AGCTCTCGCATTGGTGAGTGGATGTTGACACGAACCTCGACATTGATAGTATGACCAACCACCGGAGCCTCTACCTCTGGAAAACGGTTGTCTCGGCGGGCCGAATCTCCAGACAAGCGGAAGCAAGCGTAGCCGAATCTCCAGACAGCGGAAGCAAGCGTAGCCAAAGAGACTCAAGATGAAGCCGAATGTGAGCACGACGAGTACGGTCTCCACCACATGGAATCCGTTGTACTTGTTGTCGGGCATCCTACGTCCCTGTTGTCGGGCATCCTACGTCCCTGCGCGTTAATATTTATTCACGTATTGAGTGTTCTGGTTCAAAGAGCACATACTTGTAACTTGGGTGGATGCTTGATTGGTTAAGTCGCTTTTGTATTTCGTTTTTGGCTGGAGCTTGGCTGTCGTTCGTCTTCGTCGATGCTGCAGAAAAAAAAAGGAGGAGTCCAGGAGGATGCAGGGCTTCTTATAGTTCCGGTTGGGCCGAACGATTTTGGATCGGGAGGTCGCCCGCTCACAAAAGTACCAGGCAAACGGGCTGCAGGTACCTCAAAAGACGAGCAGCTAGGTGTTCTGATTGAGATAGATGCATAGAATTCGCCGACGCAGGTAGCAAACACGAATCCAAGTTCAGAACGTCGATCGCCGTAGTCCCACTGCAGTGTGATCAAACGTCAAGTCTGTCGAGCTTGCTTAGCTCGAGCTGCGCAGGCGTAGAGCTGCGAAAAAACATGCCGAAGCAGCCACCAGGCATCCCCATATGTACTTCTGGCTACCTCCACGCAACGAATGATGAAATCACCAAAACGCTCTCCCATTGTAGCTCACTGTAGAAGAAAAAAAACAGTCATGTGCGTGATGGAAACGTTGCGTTCGATTGCCAGTCAACCACCATACTACCTACTCGGACGACTGCTTTCTTGCGCGATTACCATAGTCATGCAGGGCTATACGTGATGCCTACAACTGTTATCTTACCCGCGGCGCCGTGGTGGTGATACATCAATTCTGCTATTGTGGGAGCGCCTAGTCGCCGCTGGTCTACGTTGCGTGTTCCGGCAATCTAGATATCATGTACATAGGGGGCCTACTGCAGAGGTGACGAGAACAACGAGTATCAGGTTTTCCATCGCAATACTTCTAATTTTTACGCTTATGCATCAGCACATGGCAGGCAGGGATATACAGTTGAGGGACCGCTGCGAATGCAAGACAACCATGGCAGCATCTTGCTAGCTATGCCTAATAGTTGATAGCATACATCAGCACCGCTAGGCACGTTTGTGGTGGAGTGATGCAGCAGCTGTTACCGAGGGGAGGTAGCGGACGGCAAGCCTTTGTCAGTGGAAGGCAGCGGATGTGATTGCTGGAGAGCATCAACGTGTGCGGGAATCAACGCTAGTGTCGCTGCGTCGATGGCAGGGCCGTTTCCTCTAAGGTCGTCGTCTTCTTCTTTTTCGTTTTTCTTCATCATCTCATCAGACGATCAACCACCAACTTCCCTTCTCCTCTGTGTTCGTTCATCGTCTCACTCTCCCCTCCTCCCACCTCCAGGAGCAGTCTTCGATCTGTTCACCAGGCGGCCCCGTCTCCTCTTGCTGATCAGCGACTGTTTCTAGAAGCGTAAGTTACTATTCCTCAACCCGTTCCCGCGGTCTCGTGTCGTTACCAGAGATTTTACTGATAGTCGCTGAAGCTTGTGAACCTACACAACCACATCATGCAGTAAAACTACTATCCCAGGATAATCATGGCAGACGCAGGCCCCTCCGAAATTCGCGAAGTTCGTTAGCCCGCTGTCACCGGATCCCCCAGGGAATAAGACGAAGCTGGTCAGGCCCACTATGCAACTAAGCTAGCGATAGTCGAAAGCTCTAGAGCGGCAGAAAAGCAGGAAGAATCGAACACTTTGAACTAACGCACTCGCCATCGCTGTTGGCTGCTACCCGTCAATACACTCGGATATGCGGGAGAGGATGATTATTCCTACGAGGGCAAGGGCAAGACGGCAGTCCGCCCGAGCGTGTTGGAAACGACCACCCCTCGATCTGACTTGGCGACCAAACAACACCCCTTCCGACAGGCAGAGAATATCGGTAACCGCAACGAGTCGTCTCCTTACGGACAAGGCTTCGGAACGAACCCGGCGTACGGTGGCTTCCAGCAGGAGTCCAATCACCACTATGGAAGTGAGTCTATGGATGAATTCGCCGCCGCCCTGAACCAATTGGCAGATGAGACGGCCAATCTCGGGATGATTCTGACACAGAACCAGATCGAATCATCTGGCGAGAACGCGCAGCTGCGTCAAGCGGTCTACACTCTCTGCGCAATCCTAGACGGAACCCGCCCCGCGCTCCAACCATCTGAGATTGCAGCTTTCAGCCTGTCAACCAGTTGGACGCGGGCGCCGCGTTCCGGCTCATCGATGCGATCCGTGAGGCAATGGCGCAGTTTGGAGAACCGCGTACACGCACTGTCGTCCGTCGCTGTTTGCACGGTGAGGTCGCTGAGGAGTGGATCACAGGGATATCTGATCATGACAGGACCCAGCTGCGTAAGCATTGCCACAACTGGATCGGCATCCTGGAACACGACTTCATGCCCAGTAAATCAACTAGGCTGGCAGTTGCCTCAGCGGAGACGTTCGAATGGGGCCAGAACCGCATGCCATCCGAATATGTCGTGAAGAAGCTTCGTCTCCTGCATGGCAGGGGTCAACGATGAAAAGATCATGGTGGAGAGATTGCAGCAAGGCTTTTCCAAAGCTGCGGCTCTGCAGCTGCATTTGGAGGGTTTTGTCAAATAGCAGTCGGTGTCCCGGTAGCCTCAAGCGGTCAATCTCGTGCAGGATGTAGCCAAACAGGCCACCGAATTCTCCTACGCTGAGGAAGCCTCTTACGAGAACTTCTCCTCCTCCTTCACCTCCGCTTTCGTTTACGATCATGACTCCTCCTCCTCCTCCGACGGCTCCTCCTCCAACGGCGAGTAATTTTATCCCGACGAGTCCTCCGACGCATCTCAGGATGAAGTAGACGAACAGGTATATAAATAATTACTAGCAGCGGATCGGAGTGGACATAGGGTGCAACTCAATCGTACCTGATGCGAAGGCTCATACTCGGATTGTTTTCTCTTGCTTTTTTTTCCTCCTCCTCTCTTTGTCTTGTAGATTCTGAGTTCGTCTCTTGTTGAATCAATTTGACAGTACCATAGTTGATAGACTACCTGAATAATTCACTACATCTCTCTTTTTATCTCAGCCCGCTCCCGAGTCTCTCACGTGATTTCCACTGACTCTTGTAAGTCGTTTTCAGTGAACGAACACATTGCCAAGAAAATGTAGTGTAATTGAGGCGTGAAAATTTAAGCATCTGTTAGCCGTTGAGTACTAGTACACGATGCTGCAGATGCTGGCTTGGCCGACTGGATTAATGACGCGTCCGGGGGCCGTCGAACGTCAACACCGTGTTCGTATGCCGAGGATCGTGATATTGTGTATTGTCAACTCAGCTGAAGATCGGTGTGTTCGACGGACAAGTGTAACTGCAACGTAGGTAGGAGGGCATGCATTCCATTCGACGAACTACGGCCGACTGCCAAAGTACAGGGGAAAAATCATAAGGCGACTCATATGTATCACAAGAGAGAAAAATAAGTCCAGCCAGATTGAAAACGCGCGGGATTACTTCTATCCTGTCCCCCGAAAGGGATGAACGTAATGGGATTGAATTAACCACTCTAGTGCCTCCGGACTACGTAGAAAACAGGTGCCTCGATTCTCTGGTAGCGCCTTACGGGTGGTTGCTCAAAGAGCGAGTCACAGTACAAGCCTTAAGGCTCGAGGGCAGCGACGCGCCTCTGCAATTGAAGATCTCTCTCTCATAAGCCTCACCATCGCAGCTACGCCACTTCAATTCCGCGCACCCACAGGGTTTAGCCGCCCACCCTTCCTCTCTTTCCCTCTCCCTCCTTTATAATCCACCATCAACATCCTCTCTTTCCTTCCACTATGTCCCTACTCCACCCACAACATCCTCTTTCCACCTGCCGCTTCTTCCTACACTTCTACTCCACCATCCACTTGGCAAAGAAAGAAACAAAAACGATTTTCTGCCACCCGCCTCAAACCCAGCCCAATCCAACAAGTCTCTTTCCTTCCCGACAGTGACCGCCCCAAATCCCCCAACGTGGGGAAAGGGAGGGGGGGTTAATCAGACTCCGATGAAGAGGACCCCGAGGACGACTCAGAGAAACTCTCTGAGTCGGCTCCGATGAAGAGGACTCTGAGGAGTAAGAGCTCTGGCTCGTTTATCCTCCCGGCGTAACCGTCACGACGGTTAGGCCATTCGTTCCTAGCGGAATGCTTTTCCGTTTCGTTTTGCGGCTCCATCGCCGCATACGACAGATTGTCCTCCCCAGCTACATGGCTTCCGCAGGTAGGTCCCTGTCTATATAGGTACCTATTATCGATCTTCAAATAACTGATCTTATGTAGTCTTTCATCGTCCACCCGGCAGACACCCGCAACCCCAATAGTCACGCAAGACATCACCAGATCCGCTACCCAATCAGTCACACAAACGACCACCACGAGACACACCCGCAACCAGGAACCGAAACCACAATCCACACCAAAGCCTCCGGAAGATCCTTTACCCATCTACATGGCTTCTCAAGGTAGATCTCTATCTACATCCTATCATCGAACTTCAGATCGCTAACTGTCCTCTCTAGATAACATGAAGCTGTCGGTCAACTGGCGCAAGCCGCTCCCACATCCGGCCTGCATTCAGATCTATCCAGATCGGTTCGCAGGGCAAGTCTTCAAACCCATTCTCAAAATCTTTGGAGTGAAAAACTACGACCACATATGGTTCGATTTCCGCTTCGAGGTGCTGCGAATGTTCCGGCAACAATCGGAGGTGCTGGCCGGAATACGTGAGCTATGATGAAGACGTGGAGGAAGACATGGAGGAAGAGGAAGAGGAAGAGGTTTAGAACTGAAGGAGTTGTTATTGTTCTTGCTTTCGATTTTATCGTCGATAACTGCATCCTCAATTACTTCGTAACGTTTCCTGCTCGTCGTGAAACAATATTTATAGTATGCTCGTAGCCAGCCTGTGTTTTACATACTACAGTCCAGCGGTGTCTTGCACGACCCATGGTCCATTGGCGGAACTGCACTAAATTCGTCCAGTCCATATCGGAGGTTAGTCTTGCACGCACTACTACTGAGTTCATCAGACAGGTAGGACGGGATGGATCGCTGTTGACTGTAGCCGAGTGGCAGTAATCTAATAAGTACATCCGAAACACCATAATGCCACATGAATCACATCGGAGAGCGCTTCGCACAGCACGGAAGAACAACGGTATTCCACCCTCCAGCAGGGATGAACGAAGCGAGATCAGGAATGTCCCCTCGAAAATGTTCGGACAGTGTAGAACACAGGTTTCGTGGACGGTTGTTCCGTGGACTTCTTCACAGCGCGGCGCTCGTTTTTACATTTACAGCGGAAGAATCATAAGGCACCAGGAATCACATCATAGAGAGCTCAGTAGTCCCGCAAGATGGCGAACAAGACGGAATATGTACAACACAGGTGCTGTGGACCGTGGTTCTCGAGCATGTCTTCACGGCAACTCACGAGTTGCACGAGTGACATCACATGGTATCACGGCTGCAGCTACAATTCTCTATGAAAATCGAAGGAAATGAGATCGCAGATGGGTGGGCCAAGCAAGCATCGGAGAACGTCGACGGCGATGGAGTAAGATGGCTCCGGTAAGGTAGCGGATATGGACGCAGGCGTGCCGTTCCCCTTCCGGTCTCACTGGCACAACTTAAGAGGCGGATTAGCGATGAAAAGTGGAGAGAGGCGCATCAGTGGTCACTGACCCGCATCAAAAACCAGCGGTACCGTACAAGAAGTGGATAAAGGAGGGATGATGATCATTACTGGTGCTGCAACAGGTCTACCAAGCAATCACGCGACCACCTATTCAAAACCGCTCGCGGTTGAGAAGTCAACAGAAAGTCTTGTGGGTAAAGGTCGGGAAGGAGACGGAGAGATGGAAAGAGAGGTGGTCGATAGCGGAGCTGTTCGCCGACGAGCGCAGCAGCGAGGCAATCGTACAGTTTCTAGGAACGTCGGATGTGGGGAGGAAAGCTCCACCAGACCTGAAGGATGAGGATGAGGAGGAGGGAAGCATCCCATCGGGGGCAGAGCAAGAGTGCCCAGGAGGGTGCTGTGTCTGCGGCCGGTGCGAGGAAGTAGGAGATGAGGATACGCGGTGATATCGTCTTGGAGCGGAAAGGCGGAAGACGGCGGAGAGAAGCAAGGGGGCAGCAGGAGGAGCGGGCATGTAGGCCCATCCCGGTCTTTACTGTTAATCTACTTTCCACTTTTTGCTTATGTCGGGCCGAGGCGGATGGGCAGGGAAGATGAGGCGCCGCGTCGGACTGGCCAGGGCTGGCAGGAAACGGAGGTCGTTGGTTCGCCATAATCTAGATAGGTTGCATGCGAAATAAACATCAGGAAAAAAAATCGCTATGAACGTAGCCGGCTGCGTGTATAAAACGTGCGGCACTCGGCGCAGCGAGTGAGTTGGGAGCATGTGAACTGACCCACTCCACCATATTCCCTGGGAACGACGTCAGCTAGGGTGGGGTGTTCGAAAGTTCGTTGGAATGCTGTTGGGCGAAACATCATTCCCAGAAATCAGTGTGAGTTTCGTGTTATTCATCGCTTGAATGTGGTCTATCTGGAGAATTGCAGTATCGACAGCCCGTTCGCTCCCACAACTCTTGCTCAGCCTCGCCCTTGACTAACCGTTCCCTCAATTCTTCCGGAGTCTTTCATTACGTCAACTCTTCGCCGCCGTCAACTCTTCGCCGGCTTCACCACTTCCGCGCCATTCCCTTTGGCTGACACGCTCCCTCGAATTTTCTTTGGCATCATCTCATCGGCGCTGTCAACTGCTCCCTGCCGTCAGAGCCTCCGTGCCGTCAAATCCTGGAAGCCGTCAAATTCTCTGTGCCGTCAAATCGTCTCTGCCGTCGGCGAGTCGGCGTGCTCTGGTATGCCAGGTGAGAGACAAATACGGGTCTCTCCAAACTTGGATAGTTGGCTTTTAATCTTTGGATCGTGCCATGCTGACACTACCTAGCACAATGAATACCCCGCTTTTCGCACCCCAAATGTTTTCTCTCTCTACTACTGTTCACTCTGCCCGTCCCGACTGAATACTCCCTCCTGGCCCTACACCGCGGAGTGTTCATTGCCGGCTCCTTCTCCTCGCCATCCTGGCGCTCCGCTTTTTACTCATCGTGCTGGTTTTCCTGGTCCTGCTGATATTGTCTTCTCACTAGGAACTACTATTCGCCAACCGTCATCTCCTCCTGCTCCTCGTTGTGCGCTTCACCATCTCCTAACCCTCCTCGTTCTACTCGCTATGTGCCTTGTGTCCGTCCTCCCACCGAAAGACTCTGATGGCGAGACTCCTCGCCCATTCCACCCTGTGACGGAAGCAGTCTCCCCGTCCTTCTAGTGGTACTGCTCGTCCTGCTCGTCCTGCTCGTCCTGCTCGTCCTGCTCGTCCTGCTCGTCCTGCTCGTCCTGCTCGTCCTGCTCGTCCTGCTCGTCCTGCTCGTCCTGCTCGTCCTGCTCGTCCTGCTCGTCCTGCTCGTCCTGCTCGTCCTGCTCGTCCTGCTCGTCCTGCTCGTCCTACCGCCGAATGAGCATCCTTGCCTAGCTCCGCACTCAATTAATCGCTCCGCTCCTCGCCCAACTCCTCCCCAGCTCCTCGCGCAGCTCCGGTTTCGCTGCCAGGGACTCACCACAGGGTTCGCCTTGGAGATGCTTCTTTCGCTGCCATGGAAGCAGAACTGGATTCGTCCAAGAAGTGCCCTCTCGCTGCGTTGGACTGGATTCGCCTAAGTGTTTTCCTCACACTGCCATGGATGCACTACTGGATTCGCTGCCAGGGCTTTGTACTAGATTGGTTGCTAGGGCCTCTTTACTGGATTCACTGCCATGGCCTGTGTACTGGTTTCGCTGCCATAGACTCAGTACTGGCCGCCTCAAGCTGCAACGGAGACAGCACTTGACATATTTTTCCCCAAAGCTCTGTTTGTCTCCGGCGAGCCTAGATAGCATGTGTACATAGAGGACCTACTGCTGCAGCAAGAAAGAGAATAATGAAGTCTTTTCATCGTCATACTCTACAATTCTGAACAGCGCTTTACCCGCCTAAGAAATGCCCCTCTCGCTACTGGCGAGCGGGGCCGGGAATGAACATATCGGTAAAGACGAGGAGTAGGAAGTGGAAGTGGAAGAGCTGGACGACAAGGAACATGAGGAACATGAGGTCTAGAATCAATTGGAAGACGACGGTGACTATGCGTGGCGAATTTTGTGGGGTTCTTTAGGTTTATCAGCCCTCGCCACAGCACTTGCCACAGCACTAGCGACAGCACTAGCCATCAGTCTGACCTCACCCTCACGCTCGCACGCCTCTGGGGAAAATGATGATATATAATACCAGTGGCAGCGCAACCTTGATTGCTTTCTCTAACTTCCAACATCAGTCATCCCCACACCTGGTACTCCCCCAATCGACACATCGAACTATACCCACGCATCGATCATGCCGGCTCCCAACGGACTGCCAATCCGTAGGCAGCGCAGAAGATTGAGACGGCCGCCCCAAGAAACAGATACGACCACCACCTCGCCATCTTTCCCCGCCAGCTATCTCGGCCGTCCTGGCGGGCAACAGACCGTGTCCGCCTATCAACGAGGAAAATCGCAAGAAGATCCTCAAAGGAACGAACGCTACTGACACTGCTGCTCACCCTCCTTTCCAGTGCTACTCCTCTTGCCAGAACTGCCGCTGATATTGCCTCCTCCCTCACTACTGTCTCTTCCCTCAATACTGCCATCTCCCTCGATACTGCCCCCTCCCTCGATACTGCCTACTCCCTCTATACTACTTCCTCCTTCGATACTACCTCTTCCCTGGATACTGCCTCCTCGCTCGATACTTTTACTCGCCAATCGTTTGCTCCTACTATTCCTATTCCATACTATACATCCTACCTACTCCATCCGTGGCACATAACGTCTCCTCCTACCACTTCTTAATCCTGTCGATCCCGATTTACCACCGTTGGTGATGCGAGAGGCGACGGACAACATCCAGCACGAGCAGGATGTAGAGAGGAGTCGTGTTTCCGTTGATATTCACGATGTGAAGAATTTTTATGTCGATGACAACGTTGATGACAATGAAACTACGGTATTAAAGAGGAGAAACGCCGCTTGACTGGGCCGGGAACGCTGAGAGAGCCGGGAACGCTGAGAGCGGGGAGCGCTGAGAGAGCCGGGAACGCTGAGAGAGCGGGGGAGGCTGAGAGGTCGGCGAGGCCGGTGAAGGCGGGGAGGGCGCAGGGGATATGGAAGAGAGTTCTGTATAATAGTAATTACAATATTTATCTATCCGAGCAAGACCAGGTCTAGGTGCTACATAATACGAGCACAGTAAACGTTATACGTCTTTTTGTACTCGGGTAGCAGATTTCAGACCCGGACAGCTATCAATCTAAGCACCGTACCTATTCAGTCAAAGTCTCCCGTTGTGCGCGGTGCATGGCGAGCTGCGATCACTCAAGGACTGCTATTAATCCAGCATCGTGCCAATCCAGTCGGAGTGTTACGCTGTGTGCACCACCAGGCTAGCTGGGGCCAGGCCTGGCGAGCTGCGGTCCGGCATGCAGAACTTCGGTCCGGCACGGACATCTGTGGTCACATGGCATCGTGCCTATCCAACCATTATGTCACGCCATGTGCAGTTCACGTAGTACAAACCTTTCCCCGCGCCCATCGGAGTTTTGGTTTTCCTGATGCATGCTATCACGGCAGCAGCTACAATCTTCTTGGCTCTGTGAAAACGGAAGAAAATGTGATGGCAGATGGGTGGGCCAACCAGGCAGCGGAAGACCTAGACGGCTATGGAGTAGAATGGCTCCGGCACGGTAGCGGATATGGACGTCGGCGTGACATGCCCCTTCCGGTCTCAGTGGCACATCTCATGAGCCTGATTCGCGATGAAAAGTGGAGAGAGGCGCATCGGTGGTCACTGACCCACAGAACAGGAGTACTCCCCGCTTGATACTGCATATACTCGCGAGGTTGCGGGATCCCGCGGCCTCATCCGTTAATCGGTGTGCGTGGAGACGCAGCATGTGCGGGTGATATTGAGTAATCAGTGTCGTTGAAATCTGCAGATAATCGGACCATTCCGCACAAAGAAGAGCAGTAGGCCGTAATGCCGCCGTTGTGTGCTGTCGACAGTGAGAGTCTCGGAGATTCTGGAGGACACATAGAAATGATATCGGTGCTCTCCGCTCATACGCCGAACTCGATCATCATGGTGAACACTGCCGGAATGGAGACACGACGCGCGGCCTCAAGGATCTATTTCATCGCGTGGGGAATGACCTAACCATCTATACATAGATCCTCGGGAGCCTGAAGTATAATCGTGCGACTGCAGGACGCGAGTGACGCGTTGTGCTGCTCGCGAACTGTAGCATGAAGATATGCGGACAAGTCCGCACGATTAAAGGACTACCAGCGGAAGTGGATATTATATATACTGGCGGAGTTTAGAGAGCCTTGAGAATACCGCTGAAATGTTGAGTGAACGTGGGTACTCACGGTGTAATATTTCGGGGAACAGATATGTACGGAAAGAAGCGATTGACAATCTGACTACTTAAATAACGGTACGTAGCAGCACGAATGGAGGACAACTCGTGGCGAGAATCACGAAATTATCCGCCATTTCAATCGTAAAAGCCTATCAAGATAGCACGTAACAGAGACACGACACAACTATTTCACCCTCCTTTTCCGTTTTCCCATTTGCTGTTCCCTGAGCACGCCGGCTCCCTACAAACAACTGAAAGTCACCTCGGCGAGCATCAAACTTTTCACCCTTATCTCCTCATTTTCAATTGCCATTGACGAGCACGCCGGCTCCCTACAAAAAACTGAAAGTATCCTTGGCCAGTTTGACGAGACCAACTCCTTACAAGAAACTGTAAGTATCCTTGGCCAGTGTGACGAGACCATCAAAGACACGGACGATGGCACGAGAGACACGAACGATGGCACGACCACATCTGGTGATCCAGTTGCCGATCAGAATGATGGTTTCGTTCTCCCTTCCGAACCCGCTGGGAGATTCACCCAGCTGGGCGTAGCCTTCCTCCGCCCTTCGAGCCGCCTCTTGTGAACTCTGTCAGCATGATCATCAATCAGTATTCGGCGGAGGAGCGGTGGACATACCCCAGTGGCCGATACCCACGCTGGGATGGTTGACGAATTCCCGAAGGTCCATCCTGGGTAGGTCAGAATAACGTTCAGGTGCGGCTGGGTTCGCAAGGTTAATGGGACAGGGAGCTTACAGAAGACCACCCACGGAGGACGCCAAGGACGAGCTGTCCGAGTCATCCAGATTGATCGTGGGCATTGTGTTCTTGGGTGTAGATGTCGAAGTGTAGAATATCTTGTTGGGTGGTACTAGATGACGAAGACAGAAAAATGCGGGTAATTTGTGTCGTTGTTGTTCAGCCGACTTGAAGGGGATGATGGTGCGGGAGATGGAGGGGGATGATGGTGGTGGGGGACGATGGTAATGGGGTTTGATGGTGGTGGGGGATGGTGGTTAGGAAGAGAGAGGGGGGGTGATCGTGGTGGGGGGTGCGTTAAACGTTTGAGTGGTTCTTTTGGGTGGTACTTTTGAGTGGCGGTTCTGCGTGGTACTTTTGTCTGGCGTGTGTCTATTTCGACGAGGAACATGATACTAGCTTGACTTCGGTGATTAAATTCTCTGCTTTGGGAGATATATGTCGATTAAGCACGTCGAGGGACAACCAAATAGGATACTATACCTAAGCTTCATGCACAGCAGAATCCCCGCGTGCTACATGTTTCCTGAGTCCTGTAGTGGCCACTGTTCGGGAAAGGCAGCGATTCGTGAATGTTCCTGGAAACAGCATGCGAGACGCAAGATATGTTAGAGAGCAGGACCAGGGATTGATCCCCAATTTTCGAAGGCAAAGTACAAGTTTCTTTCTCAGGCGAACCTTGAAGTCTGATCTCTCCAGAACGAGAATCCCCCTTTCCCTCCGATGCTGCTCGTCTATGCTTGTGTTGGGCGCAGAAACGGCGGAAGACCCATCGGTGCAGAGTCACGTACGATATCCCATTTATGCACCCTGGACAGTTCACGAATGTTTCTAGAACTCGTGCAGATACCTGATTCCACACCCTGAACGAAACACACCCATCGATTCTCCCTCGCGAATCCCGGCCGGAAACGCGCTCCCGACCGATGGTTACAATATGGCCAGAACCTGGTCTCGGCAGCCATGCAGCACCTCAGAGACTACTCCGGCTACTGATCCCTCGTCGTCGCTAATCGTCAGTCCGTATTTTACAGTATTGCCGCACACATGGCCAAATAATCACCGGTGTGGGTTTCCCCAACGCGCCGTCCAACCCAAGGACAACCAACACCGCTATATTCGACAACCCTTACTACAACACAGTCGCATCCTCGTCTTGCCAAGACGCTACACGCGTGCCGTGTTCCTATTCGCTGAATCCAACATCGCGCACAACAATTTCCGCTTCATTTCTACCCCTCTCGAAATGTCGCAGCGCACCTGTTCGCAATGAAAACCCATATAACAACCACCACAGTACTCTCCTCACTTCAGCAGCATATTGCACCTATTTGCGGTGGAGGACGACCTCGACGATGCCGATATTGCAGCGGCTACCACCCAAAAATTGGGGGGCAAACGAGCCACACAGGTGGTGAAGAGAAGAAGGAGGAGATAGATAAGGATTACGAAGAGAACGAAGCCTCCTCTCAAGCTCACTCTTCCACCGAAGACTCGAAGGAAGATTCGGAAGAGGAAGCCTCCTCCGAAGAACCCGCCTCCGAGGATGACTCGAAGGACGACGAGAACGGCGACTAGAACGAAGACGACAAAGATGCGTCAGTAGAAGAAGGCCCCTCCAAGGAAGAATTGGAGAAGGACGAAGGCGTCTCGTACGATGACAACAAACCCGAAGAATCAACTGCTCTAATCCCTCCTGATTACGTAGAACACAGGTGCCTCCATTCTCGGGCAGCAGCTTACAGGTAGTTGCTCACAGAGCGAGTCACAACGCAAGCCTCAGCAATTGAAGATCTCCCTCTCACAATCCTCAGTAACATGGCTACGCCAATCCAATTCCGCGCAACGCGTAGGGTTTCACGCGCACGGTTTCGCCGCCCCTATTCCTCTCTTTCCCCCTCTTTCCTTTATAACCCACTATTAACATCCTCTCTTTCCCTCCACTCTCCTCTCAATCCACCACCAACATCCTCTTCCCATCTTCCGATTCTTCCTACACTTCTACTCCACCATCCACTTCGTCTCTTTCCCTCCCGAACGGGACCGCCCCAAATCTCCCCACGTGGGAGGTGAGCGGCGGGGAGATTAATCAGACTCCGATGAAGAGGACTCAGAGAACGACTCAGAGAAACTCTCTGAGTCGGCTGCAATGAAGATTACTGTCAGGAGTAAGAGCTCCTGCTCGTTGAACCCGCCGGCCTAACCGTTGCGACGGTTAGGCCATTCCTTCCTGGCGGAATCTTTTCCGTTTCGTTTTGCGGCTCCATCGCCACATGCGACAGATCGCGCCCCCCAACGATATGGTTTCTGCAGGTAGGTCCCTATCTATCTATCTATTATCTAACTTCAAATAACAGTTTGTTCAAGACGCCGGAATCGAAGCATAGTAGCCCAAATGGGGCCATCTATCATCCACACTGATCACCAAACAACCACCCGAACTGTTCTTCAGACAACCACTACGGCAGGCACCCGCAACCACGATCCGTAACCACGATCCACACTAAAGCCTCCGGAAGATCCTTTACGCTTCGATATGGCTTCTCAAGGTAGATCTCTATCTACTTACCTATCATCCAACTTCAAATAACTAATTGCCCTTTCTAGATACCATGAAGCTGTCGCTGAACAGGCGCAAGCCGCGCCCACATCCGGCCGGCATCCCGATCTATCCAGATAGGACGAGGAGGCCAGTCTTCGCACTGATTCTCCAAATCTTTGGAGTGAAAAATTACGACCAGATCTGGTTTGATTTCCGCTTCGAGGTGCTGCGAATGTTCCGGCAACAACCGGAGGTGCTGGCCGGAATACGAGGGCTACGATGAAGACGTGAAGATGAACAGACTGCATCTGCACGTGACCGACTCGCAGTTGTGGCCCCTCGAGATCCCGTCTATGCCGGAGCTCGCCGAGAAGGGTGCTTACGCCCCCGGATTCACGTACTCGCCCGAGGATCTGCAGCAGATTCTGGACTACGCCGAGGCGAGAGGTATCCAGGTCATCGTCGAGATCGATATGCCTGGACACAGCACGTGTTGCAGGAAGACGTGGGGAATGAAGGAGAGGGTTAGAGCTGAAGGAGTTGTTATTGTTTTTGCTTTCAATTTCATCGCGGATAACTGCATCCCCAATGACTGCGTAACCTTTCGTGCTTATCGTGACAAAATATTTATAGTAGAGTCGTAGCCGGCCAGTATTTTACATAGTACAGTGCAGCCTACTCTTTCCCCACCCATGAACGGGATTGTACTTCAGTCACCCAGTTCGCCCGGCTTGAGGTTCCGGCAACGGCGGCGTGTCAGGAAAAGTGGTATCGCGAGATGGTATATTGAGTATCAGACACGAAAAAAAGAAAGGTATATATTCGGGAAGGCTCGGGGATGCCCCGGATAGAGGCGCCACGCCGCCGCTCGGCACCTCCGTGTGAGAACGGATAACGGAAGTATCTCGATATAGCGAGTGATCGTTCATGACCCGGTCCTCGGAAGTGACGCGGTACACGGAAGTTCGTGAGATTATGACACGGCGCGATTGGGATCACCGAGTGATCGACTGTGGAGCGCCGGCAGCGTCGGCGGCGGCAGATATCGGGGTTCATGGACTCGATACCAAGAGCCTAGTCGCTATCGAAGTTCTCAGTGTCTGTATACCGCACTGTCTTTCACATAGCCATCTATCAATATATTCACATTCGTATTAATAGTCCGCAGCAGTGTGCTGCTAAATCTGGGCTACCGGTAAGGTTGAAAGAAACGGAGAGCGGTCGGGTGTAGTCGATTGACAATAGTGGTACAAGCATAGCGGAAAAACAATAAGGCGACATGAATCACATCAGAAACAGGTCCGTCAAGATCAATGACGCCCAGACGTAGTAGAATTATCCACCCCACAACAGATAAAGGCAGGACTGGACTAATCTATAAATACTGCCCAGAATGGAAGAGTCAGCACAGAACTCTGTAGACACTGGTTCGGAACGCGACAGGGCGGGGCAAGGACCGATTCAAAAGGCGTGCCCTCTTTGCAGACGAGTAACGAGTAGTGCAGCCAGGCCATCCTAGACTTCCTTTCCTGCCCTGATGTGGGCAGACGGATCCCCGTGGTCATTGATGAAGATGCACCGAGTTGGAGCTTCATGAGCGGGAGGACATAGCGGAGCTGAGGCAACTCGACGAGGAGCAGTGTGCTGAGTTGAAGAACCCGGCGATGTAGAAGAGCGGACCACTGTAGAGAAGTGCGGCGGAGGAGGGACGATTTGAGTCCGCCAGTGCGGGTCCGGGGGGGGGGGGGAGGCGGATGAGCGGATAGCGTGGGGTGAGTGGAGGAGACGGACGGAACGAGAGAACGTACGTTGCCTCTTCCTAGCTTTGCCTATTTAGTGAACTCCCATACTGTCGGGAAAGGCCAGGACGGAGGGCAGGGATAGCCACGCCGGGACGTTCGACGAACGTCGAGTTGAATAGTGCCATGGAAGCGGAGGATGTATAACCGGGGCGGTTATTGCCTTGATGTACATACTCCGCATGCAATTAATGATGAAACAAAAAAACAAGAAAAGGACGGGCCTTATTAAAAATGCTACAGCGATTCAATCTAAAGCACCCCATAGGTTTCACTGGTATGGTGTCGCTTTATTTGTTCCTTTCCCTCCCTCCCCTTTCTTCCTACACTCGACCTTCTTCTCCTTCTCTCCCCCTTCTTCCTACTCCATCAGCAACCTCATTTCTATCCTTCATCATCCTTACCACAATGCTACTTCAGCATCAACTTCCTTTCTAATTCCCCCCCCCTTCCACTTACTCCTACCTACTGAACCGGCTCCGGGAAATGGCCATGCGCAATCCCGTTCACCGGGAGTGCCTGGTGGCAACGATTGGAGGAAGGGAGTCGTGCACAGAATTCCCCCTGACCCAATTCCCGTTCTTCTCTCCCCCTCAACACTCGTACGATATCCTCCCACCGCTCAACAAGCCGAAACGACGAACGATCCGCACCTACCATCATAAATCACACATCAACAGCAGGTATTGCCGCCGCTACCATCGCCGGCCTCATGATCCAGCTACCAACCTGGGCTTCCAGGGCTACAGGGACCGCGCGCGGGCCGTTTGATTATTCGGTTCCGAATTCGTGTCGCGGTGGAACCGCACGATCGGAAACGGCAAATTAAAGATTTATCGGCCTCAGCATTCGGATAAACATTTTGAGGTGATGTCGCCGGCCGTTGAATAATAAGTTTTCCATTTATTGATATCAACTTTTCTTTAAGTTTTAAAGTTGTAGCTGTGGCAGTGTTGTGTCCGGACGCGAGGATGATTTCTACGACGAAGGTGATGACCAGTGGTATTGTGCCTATCTCTTGGACTTGTATGAGGTTTCAGGCAGCCAGCTGATCATGGGATAACACTCATCATGCGCCTGGACCACGACAACAGAGAAGGACCAATGGCACTGGAAGGTCCGTATACTTCGAAGCATACACCCTCCCGCCGATTTGGCGAGAGAATTTGTACGAAGCAAAGTTATGACCTCTACGACCGCCCAAAACTGGAAGTGCACAAGAGCCACTGCCGTGGCAACAGAAGAAAGGGTTGGACTGCCCAGGGTCCTGGTGGGCTTCTGGCACAAGTCGCGTCCCGCTAGTGTGACGAGGTGGAGGAAGATAAGATGGAAGATGAGGATGCGTCCTCCTCCGAACAATCCTCCGGGGAGCACTCGAACGGAAAGGGCGTCGAAGAAGAAGACCCGCCAGGCGACTGCTCGAACCAACTAGCAGCCAATCCACCCACGGCTGCTCAGGATTGCTCGGACGAAGATGATGCCGAAGTAGAAGACTCGTCAGACGACTGTTCGATCGAAGAAAACTCGCACGAACGTGACTCAGCCGCCGTCGAAGAAGTCAAAGCCGAACGATACCCCCCGCCAGGAGCCATCTACGGGTACCACGAAGACCCGAACTAGGAAGACGAGGAGGATGATGATGATGATGAGGAGGAGGCGGAGGAGGCGGAGGAGGATTAGCGCTGAGGGATCTATTTTTGTTTTGTTTTGAATTTTATTTTTATCACAGACAACTGCATCCTAAATGACGTTGTATCCCTTCGAGCTCGGCGCGACGCAATATTTATAGTAGTCTCTAAGCCCGCCAGTATTCTAAATCGTGAAGTCCAGCCCAGTCTTTCCCCATTCATCGAAGGGACTCAGCTATATTCCTTCAGTGCATTGTTGCAAATCTCGGGCGGAGCGATGGAACGACGGAACTTCAGTGGTTGTCACTCGACTCGTGCAGAATATTGTTGGTAATACGCGTGCGTATTGGGAATCCTGTTTATTCTCATCCTTGCTTCTTCTGCTTCTGCTTCTGTCTGTTATGTACAGCGGTCGAAAGTGGACAAATAGCCAAACATATGTATTGTGCATTTGACATTTTGCTTTTGACGTTTTGCTACGCGCCTTCTTGCAACCCGCCGTTTTGCAACATAGCGCTGGTCGACTCACCCCACAACACAACAGAGCGCCCACCGAGACAAAAAGAGAGAGATAAAGAGAGAGAAACAGGGAAGGCATAAGGGAGAGAAACAGAGGGCGGAAAAGAGGGCAGAAAAAGATGGCGAAAAATGCGAGAGGACGGTAGGTGACAGCGAGGAGAGGAGTTTGGTGGGGTATAGATGAGTTAGGGTTTAGATGTCGCAGTAGGCCCCACGCGATAAAACAGTCATCACCACTACTATACCATCACTATCACTGCTAGATTTCTCCCTGCGGATAAATAGGTAGACCGGAATATGGTTATTGAGATATGGCGATCCCCTCCTCACAAGGGTGTCCCTCGCAACGAAAATGCAGACGAATGGCCGAAGCTGGCCGCAGAGGCTCCAGCAGCCGATAATCTGGCAGCGGGTGGGAAAACAGAGGGCTCGGGGAAAGGATCGCTTCAGGATCCCCGACCTCTTTGTTGATAACCGCCGCAGCGGCTCAATTCTGGAGTTCGTAGCAGCAACAGATGCAGGGACGGGAGGCGGCGGGGCGGATTAGGAACTCCTGGCGGCGAAGAGGTGAGTCTACAGAGCGGACGAGTTCTTGGAGTGTGCACCGAGCCGACGGAGCGACTGTAATGAGCGAGCGAGCCAGTTGAAGGAGCGGGCAGCAAGTCGATAGGGTGGGCGTTGTCTCCTCCTGGTGATCCGGCTAACCCCTCGCATTATGACTGGGATCGGGATCATGGTATATCACTCGGTATATCAATGTGACGATATCACTACTCCTGGGCTCCTTCCGGCTGAGATGAGGCTTAAAACAATACCCCTTAAAGAAGCACTCGAGGTCAACACGGGTTGAAACATATCCAGCGATTTGTGAAACGAAAAACCAGTCTTCACCAGTTATTAAGGAAACTAAGATGTTTAAACCTAAAAAGCGCAAATCCAACACCAATGTGATGCACATCGTCCAAACTTGGTATGCAATAACTTCCACTCTCTGTCTGCAGTTTTACCTTGAGTTTGTTGCTCTGGCGAGGAAAATTTCTAGACAAAGAGCCTCGGCGGCATGGTGGCGGAGGTAGCGGTGGAGGCAGTGGTGGTTATGGTGTGGTGATAGCACTGTTTTTTGTTTATCACCTGGGGCCTAGTTTCTGTGATCTAAACCCTAACCCATCTCCACTCCTCCTCGCTGTCACCTACCGTTCTCTCGCAATTTTTGCTCTCTTTTTCTCTCCCTTATGCTTTCTGTTTCCTCTCTCTTTTACTCTCTCTTTTTCTATCTCTTTTTCTCTCGGTGGGTGCTCTGTTTTGGTGCGCGGTGAGGCCACCAGCGCTGTGTTGCAACCCGGTGAGTTGCAAGACGGGGCGTAGCAAAATGTCAAATGCACAATACACATACTTGGCTATTTATCCACTTTCGACCGCCGTAGTTATTTCTAGCTGGTCGTCAGCTGTGTTTTACGAATAAACCAAGCGATCGAACACACACTCAAATTTCTCAACATCCATCCTGAGGTGTGTGTTGCGCGGACTGCTCAGGCCATGGGTAATGTCGGGAAGGACAGACTGCAGGCGATCGCAGTCGAATGCCAACAAAGGTGCAATTACAGAAGAAAACCCATAGGATAACATGAATCTCATAACAAAGGCTCAGTCCTGGTCCAAAGATTGCGATCAGGGCGGACTACTTTTATCATGTCCTTGACATGGACTGGAAGGTCGGGCACAGCAAGATCTCCTCCCATCAGTGCGGACTCTTGTGTATAACACAGCTACCCTGGACGTTGGTTCTCGCAGAGCGCTTCAATGGCCGTCGGTCGACTGTAAAGTGACGTCACATCTTTTCAGCGGAGACGAGCCTCAGTAACACTGCTACGGCAATTCAATGCAAAACACCGCGTTGATTTCTCTAGCGCAATGTCGTCTTACCCATTTCTGGTCCTCCCTACCCGGCCCCCTTCTTGCTACACCGCTACACGGCTACTCCACCATGAACCTCCTCTCGCTCCCTTTCCATTCTTACTACTCCATCATCAATTTCGTCTGAACACTATCATCATTCTTGCTGCATTGCTACTACAGCATCAACTTCCTCTCCCTCCCTCGTCCTTCTTCCTACTCCATCACCAGCCTCATCTCCCTCCATCATCATTCTTCCTACAGTGCTACTTCAGCATCAACTTCCTTTCTCTGTCTCCCCCTTCACCTTCCTGCCCCTCCCTCCGTCTTGTTCCTCCTCAACCACCAACCTCATGTTCCTGCATCCTCCTTCTTGCTACAATGCTACTCCATCATCATCCTTCTTTCTCTTCCGCCCTTCGACGTACTCCTACCGACCGATCCGCACCTGCGACCACATCTCACACATTAACAGAAAGTATGGCCGCCGTTACCATCGCCAACATCATGATCCAGCTACTAATATGGGCTTCCAGGGCTACACACGCCACCGGTTAGTCAATCGAGGATAACCACTATGACCAGCCAGGAACTGGGGCTTCCTATTTTCGTTAGCAACGCGGTAGGAGACGCGGAATCGACTCCATTCATGACATATGGCACGATGCTGCAAATCGAATCCATACAAGTTTATCCGCTGGGTCGTAGCCATATCTGGACGGTCGGCGTATCCAAGTTCAAGATCAAGAAGTTGGGTTACCGGGATGATTACCTGATCGCTAAAGTGGAACGAGTCGATGATTTCCCTCTTGCCGACGAGGAAGCATTCGAACAACCCAACAGCCACTTACGTGTGAACAGAAGACGGTCCCCGCTGGCGGAGAACGTCATCAATCTGCCACAGGTCGCGTCCCACGAGGATAACAAGGTGGAGGAAGATAGGATGGAAGATGATGGTGCGTCCTCCTCTGAACAATCCTCCGGGGAATACTCGGACGAAGATTGCGGCGAAGAAGAAGACTCGCCAGGCGACTTCGCACGAACATGGCACGTACGACGATGACTCGGATTAGGAAGACGAGGAGGATGATGAGGAGGAGCAGGTGGCGGATTTGTGCTAAGGGAGCTGTTCTTTGTTTTGTTTTGTTTTTGAATTTTGTTTTTGTCGCAGATAACTGCATCCTACTCGTCAGACGACTACTCAGACTAGGAAGACCAGGAGGATGGCAAGCAGGAGGAGCGGTGCTGAGGGAGCTGTTTTTTTTGAATTTTGAATTTTATTTTCATTGCAAACGACTGCATCCCCAATGACATAGTATCCCTTCGAGCTCGTCGCGACACAATATGTGTTAGTCTCGTAGCCTGCCATTATACGTGATCGTCAATTCAAGTCCAGTCTTTCCCGATTCAGCCAAGGGACTCGACCAGATTCCTCCAGTCCATCCTGAGCTGTGTGTTGTGCGGACTGCCTATGTATCTTGTCAGCAGGGATGAGCCTCAGTGACAATGCTACAGCAATTCAATGCAAAGCACCGCGTTGAATTCTGTAGCGCGGTGTCGCCTTACCCATTCCTGTTCCTTCCTCCCTCTTCTTGCTACACCGGCACTCCTCTCCCTCCCTCTCACTTCTTCCTACTCCAACACCAACCTCATCTCCCTCCTTCATCATCCATACTAGAATGCTACTTCAGCATCAACCTCCTTTCTATTTCTTCCCCTTCAACTTACTCCTACCTACCGACCGAACCGACTTCGAGAAATAGCCATGCGCAGCCCGGACTACCGGGAGTGCATGGTAACGAGTGGATGAAGGTTATCGTGGGACGTCTCCCTCACCGAATCGCCGTTCCTCTTACGCGATCAATAATCATACGATATCCTCCCCACGCTCCACAAGCCGGAACAACGAACGATCCGCACCTGCCTCCACAAATCAAACATCAACAGAAGGTATGGTTGCCGTTATCATCTCCGGCCTCAATATCCAGATACTTACCTGGGCTTCTAGGGCTACACCCGCCACCGATTAGTCGATCGAGGATAACCGCAACCTCACGGCTGCTCGGACGAAGATCGCAGTGAAGAAGAACACTGTTCCGACGATTACTCGGAGCAAGAGGAGGCGGATCAGCATACGGCTGCTCGGACGAAGATGACGCCAAGGAGGCACAGTTGATTAACGAGGCACAGTTGATCAAGGAAGCACAGTTGATCGAGGAAGCACTGTTGCTCAAGGAAGCATTGCAGTTCAAGCGAAAGAATTTGGAAGCCGATCAGCTCACAGCTACTCGAACGAAGATGGAGGTGAAGAAGAAGACTCTTCCGACTATTGCTGGGAACAGTACGACGCCAAGGAAGCACTGTTTCTCAAAGAGGCACAGTTGTTCCACGAGGCACTGTTGTTCAAGGATGCGCAGTTGTTTAAGGAGGCCTTACTGCTCAAGGAACCGTTTCTGTTGAAGGGAGAGAATCCGGAAGCCAATCAGCTCACGGGTGCTCGGACGAAGATGGCGGCGAAGAAGGAGATTCTCCAGTGCCCGGACGAACATCACTCGTACGAAGAAGACTCGTATGACGAACACTCCGACTAGGAAGACGAGGAGGAAGATGAGGAGGAGGGGGAGGATGAGAAGGATTAGTGCTGAGGAAGCTGTTTTTTGTTTTGTTTTGTTTTGAATCTGATTTCTATCGCAGATAACTGCATCCTACTCACACACCTACTCTCCAGACCTCTCCGATAAACCGAAAGAGACAAGGACGGTGCCGCCTGATAGCCATGGAAAGTTTCACCTTCGACAGTATGGCGGATTCATTACCGGCTACCTTGGTCTGGTTACGTAGAGCCACCTTCCAATCACGCCCGCGCTTCTCTTGAAGTCAGTTAAACCGGTACCCGTGGAACGGATTTTCTCCAGCGACAAAAACCCTGTTGTTGTGCTTCTTTTCCATGATTTTCCCGTCCATACTGTGTGTGTCAAATATATGGTAGATAAACATGATGATAGTATTGAATGCAGCGACAATATCATGAGTAGCTCTCTCTCTATATATACAACCTTCATAACCAGGAAGTCTCTGCTTCGATCCCTTCGGAGTTCCGTGCTCCGATACCCAGTTAGAGTACGCTAAGGCCATCGTCATCCTCGGACTTCCCATATTCTGACAGCGTGAATCCATGGTCTCTGGCTTTTTTTTTCTGTTTAATCATTGATTGCATGCGACCTAACTAGATCATAGCAATATAACCCCGTTCACCCCCCGGTTTCCACGCCACTGTCCAAACCTAACTTTCGTCAGGCGGCCCGATGTGGCTTCCCCTGCCCTCCGCCCTGGCCTTTCCCGAAAGTTGGCCTCTCCGCCGTTCGCAGTCGCCCCCACGCCCTCGAGTCATCTCACCTCCATTGCAACTTTCCAGACCGCTATTCTGCGTCGCTGGACTCCTCAGCTTCAGTACCCTCCTCCCAATCAGCTTCAGCACCCTCCTCCTCCTCCTCGAGTCGCGTCAGCTCCACTCTCTCTTGGTCTCCAACCTGCCCCGGCGGAGCATGGTGTACATCGCGGTCCGGCCGGGTGAGCATCGGTAATAGCGATCTAGAATCACGAAGGTATATTGAATGATCTGGTGCGAAAATAGATGTTAGTCTCATTCCAGAACTGATCGGAGAGCTCGGCTCGGGTATGGTCTGGGATCGTGTCCATACCCTCGAACAGTTACCCAGTTGAACCGAGTTGAGCCAACGAGCTGGTAGCGTCTTTGCGTAGAATTCGGAGTGTTAAGTTGGGTTTCTGGGTGTCCGATTTGTTGATGGTGCAGTTTGCAAATAATATTCTACCCAGTTGAACGATTACTGTACTGGTAGTTTGAACGAAGCTTGGTCGAAACTTTTAAATGGATGAGTTCCTGAACATCACGCTTCCCGTTTCGGCTCCAGATCACTTTTGCACCATCATCTTCCGTAGTAGCCTAGAAACCACTGCCCTAAACCTTCTTGGTGTCCATCTATTGGCAGAAAACGTCAGCGGCCTGATATCGGACGAACGAATAGTCGAGCCGCACTTACTACTTCCTCTTCCCGGTCTATCGCTAGTACGAGAGGGTTGAGATAATGCATCCAGTCGATCAGCGCCGGTGGTAGACTCTTTGAATCGCTCTACCGAGCCCATGTCGCCGGCTTTAGCTCTAATACTGACGGCAGTATCTGCAGAACTTGAAATTTTAGATTCGCCGTCGGCAGGAGTGATATCTCGAGAGTCTCGGCAGGACTCGCAGGTTTCTTCGTCTCAGCGTTCACGATTTCGTCGGTGGCGGTGGTATGATATAGAGGACGAACTGGCCGAGCTGTGATAGACCGGTGGACCGGAAGGAATCTCGCATGATCTCTACTCAATCGTCAAAAAACGTCTGCTTGGGGACTGCATCGAGAGATCCCCGTGGTACCTTAACACGGCAACCGTCTCTGTGGAGCCTGACGGTGTATCTTCGCCGTCAGCAGGAATGAGATCTCGGGAGTCTCTGAAGGAGTCGTAGGCGCCTTGTTCTTTGCGTTCGCGATTGCTTCCGCGGCGGTAGCATGACATACAGGACGAACCAAACGAGCGGCAGTAGGTCGGTGGATCCAAACGAATCTCGCACCATCTATAATCAATCGTCAGCAGACTTCCTTTTAAACGCAGCTTGAAAACTGCATCAAGAAATCCCCGTCGTACCTCAACTCGGCAGCGGTTGCTAGGGGGTTCAAACCTCAATACCGGCATCCGTTCGAGGTTGAGCCGTACTTGTGCGTTCCGGTCCGTTGAAACCTCATTTCGGTTATTCTCCACTGACGGCAGTAGCTGTGCAGCCTGGCAGTGTAGATTCGCCGTTGGCAGCAGTGGAATTTCGGGTGTCTCCATAGGAGTCGCAGGTGTGTTGCTCTCGGCGTTGGCGATTTCTTCCGCGGCGGTGGCGGGACATCTAGACGAAGCGGACGAGTTGTAGTAGGTCGGTGGCTCGGATGTAATCTCGCATTATCTGTACTCAATCGTCAGAAGACTCCTCCTTGTAGGCAGCTTGGGAACCGCGTCAAGACATCCCTGTCGTACCTCAACTCGGCACCGGTTGCTAGGGGTTCAAGGCTGGCATCCGTCCAAGGCAGAGCCTTAGTCGTGCGTTCCGGTCCGGTCAAAACTGATTTCAGGTATTCTATACACCGCCGTAGGAAGTTGGTGTCGAGTCGCCGTGTGAAGATCGTAAGGAGAGGAGTATCTGCTTACGGAAGCTTCATGGGCGTCGGTTCGAATGAGAATCAAACAACCTGAGGGAGTGCTGTGTGCTGGGAAGACGTATGAGTGCCCCAGGTCGGAAGCCTGCGAGCGACACGGGGTGATGCTAGCCACTTTGGCACGAGCAGATGCTCCTCCGCATGCACAGTTTCGCCCTTCCTCCCGTAAGCTGACGCTCAGCTGAAACCGGTCTGGAGTCTTCGTTGCGGGCTGGCTCTGCAGCTTCTTTGCTTTCTCCGCCTATGACACCAGCCGTCGACCAGAGCAGTTCGAAGTGCCCGCACGTGGGACCCAAAGTGGTATCATGCAGTTGTTGAGGAAATCAGGTGGATACGATCGGAGTTCAGCCTGTTGTATGACGATCGAATGTGGACGCACGCTGAAGCTGCAAGATCGAGATTCTGACTGTATATCGAGAGATCTGGGTATGGGGATACGGGGAGACATGAAGTCACCATATCTCACAGGCCTTTGTTGTTTGTTCATTCATCAATTGCATGCGACCTATCGAGATCATGGCGATATCATCTACACGTGCACCCTCCCCCCGTTTCCACGCCAGTGTCTAACCCAACGTTCTATCTCGCGATACCCGTCTCCACCTTCGCCTCGCACCCGCGCCCTCGAGTCTTCTATGTCACTTGGCTCCCCAACTTCAGCGCCCTGCTCCCCCTCGACTTCGGAACCCTCCTCCTCCTCGAATTCGGCACCCTCCTCCTCCACCTCGAGTCGCCTAAGCTCCGCTCTCTCTTCCCGCTCCTGGAGCTCCCACTCGGATGCCTCGCTTGTCTCAAAGGTGTTGCAACGCCACAAATGTGCGTGTTGGATATGGCGAAGAATACGATGGTAGGGATGTATCATATCGTGTCTATAGGAGATAGAGAGAAGGATAGGGAGTCTCGAAGGTGTAGGAGATAGGGAAGAAGGCCCGTGTCTTCTACCTTAACTAAGCAGACGATTGAGCAGGAGAAAGAGATCTTCCTGTCTTATTTCCCATGCAGCCTATCTAGACTATGGCGAACCCACGACCTCCCTTTTCTGTCCGCCCTGGCCAATCGAGATGAGACCCTCGGTACCGACCAGTTCGATGCGGCACCCCACGTCCCCTGCCCATGCGCCACGGGCTGACACCAGCAAAAGTAGATTGACAGTAAAGACCGGTATAGGCGTATATGCCCGCTCCTCCTGCTGCCCCTTCGCCTCTCTCCGCCGACTTCCGCCTGTCCTGGGGTTCGTGCATCCGGTACCGCCTGGCCTCCATGTTCCCGCCAACGAAGACAGTCACGTAGAGGTCCTTGCTTCGATCTCTATCAGCCCAGGCCAGAATGCCCTCACATATTTCCGCCCCACTGTCCCTTTCTTCTCTGTTCCTTTCCCCATCTCGCAGGTGTTGCTGCGCCACAAAATGCGGATCGAAGCAACACCGAGTGACACTCTATGCTTACACATGTCGCAACAACCCCAAGAGAATTAATGCATGAAAAAGGGACGATTAACGAGTCGATGTAGCAAAATGGTGGAACGGTTGAAAAGGGGATTGGATCTTGTCGGGGGTGAGCGGGTGAAATCACATTCGCTGATCATCAGCTTGCGAATCGCGGAAATTATTCGTGCGCATCTACTCCACCACCACTGAACTGACCGGTGGAAGCCTAGCACTGGATTCTCTCAGTTATTCACCGACTCTGAACATAGCCGTATACGCGAGTTGGCTGTTTATGTAACGTGAACAGTGTAAAAGAGTGGGTTGTGAGAGTGGCCGGCGGAGTGGGATGGAAGGGAACTCATGTCCGTTGGTCACGTCATGGTCTTCTTGGAAGCAGAGGCTTGACGGCCAGGATGGAGGAGCAGATTATAGTAAATACTTACAAATGAATCCTTCCACTTTGCATTGTTATGTTCTAGCCCTACGTCATCCTCCAGACTTTTCAACGGGGTGGGGTGATGCACGTTTCCTTCTGCAGTGGTGGCGATGCTATGCGCACTGCCGACTCCCGCATCGTGGCAGGTACATACGATGATGTTGAGGATGGACCCCGCTCTGCAGCAAGCGGACAATGTGATTACACTCGATGTGAGATCACATGAATAATTTTACTCGAATTAAATACCCGGAAAAACCTGACATCGGAACCCACCGTAGAGTTCAGCTTGAGCTGGGTATGAGACGGGCACAACAACTCAGGCGAATCGGTGGGAGGCGAAGGACCTTGAAGGGAGATGTTTACTTTAGGGCTCTCGTGATCCCCCTATTTCGAACGAATACCGAGTCTCCACTTAGTGATAACTATGAACGCACCCATTTCACCAAAGCCCCCACACAGCTACGAACAGTGGTTTTTTTCCTCGTGATTCGCCCACGACCGGCGTCTTCGGTAAGTGTAGTTGTGCGGTGCCTATGTAAGTCTCTATACGTTATATGCACCATAGTCTATGGGGTCGTTCATGCTGCACTCCGTGTTGATAGATCAAGTGCGGAGTGCTCCATTCTCCACAGGTTCTGCGCCAGAATTCTCCTCCGGCGTGAAGACTGGGTTCCTAAGGAGCCAAAAGCCTGAGCATAAGTGGAGACATTTCTGCACGGCAACATAATCGATTCCCGGAGTGGTTAAAAAGTCTTCGTTTAGGCAATCAGAGTCACTAAAATACATCCACGTCGTGTAGCGAGACGGATGGCGAAGCACTTTTCACACGTTCGCCTGCTAGGCAATTTGTTGGCGTGGTGGTACCGAACTGTCTGACCGAGCGCGAAAACCATCTAGCCGACCCCGTCTCTCACCGGTGCGCATTTACCAACCGAGCACAGGAGCCATACAAAGGATTCTCGAAGCTAAGTTCCTCTAGGAATAATTATTTTTCTCACGGTAATTCTGCATCGTTCCGTGCATTCTCCTTTCTTTTGTGTATATTTTTGCTGCATCTGGTCGTGGGAGGCACCTACGCGACTTTGTGCGCGTTCTTTTCTGACGTAGAACGCTCGCTCCCTTCCAGCTCTCCCAGCCCTCCTCCTTCTAAGTTCTTCCTCCACCACTCCCACCACTTCCCAACCACCACCACTTCTTCCCCCACTTCTCCTTTTCCCCCACCATCCTTCTCTTCCACCTACCCCTCCCCCGCCTCACGGATAGTTCGCTTTCTCTTCACAATTTCTGGTCGCTACAATTTTTCTCTTACACAACAACACGCGACTAGCTTTTCGCGATCGTCTCTCGTCGGTCGCGTCGTTGTTGTTCGCACGCTCTAACACCTTTCACTCTACATCCATCAACGTTGCCTACACGCCATTCGACTACCAAAGATTTGTCAACATGGGAACGTATCGATTCGGTATGTGACATTCCCCCTCTCGATTCGCGCTTGAGTTCCGCATTTATTCGGTCGTGTGTGATCGCTGACATGTCCTCGTCACAGAGAACGCGACTTCCAGCCGCGCCAAATGCAAGGCGACCACGTGCGGCCATGACAAGATCCTCAAGGATGAGCTCCGCCAGGGCACCTTCGTCACGATTCGCGGTGTCGAAAAGGGCACCTGGGCCTGGAGGCACTGGTCGGTTGCCCTCTTTCCTACTCGATTCGTTGTGGCGCGACTAACTCGATGCTTGCGTGTAGGGGCTGTGTTACGGCGAAGCAGATGTCCAACATCAAGGCGTCGTTGATGGACGGCGACAACATCAACTGGGACCTCTGCGACGGACTCGAGGAACTTACGGAGGATGACAAGGTGAAAGTTCGCGAAGCGATTCAGCGTGGATGGGTTGCCGATGACGATTGGCGCGGTGTATGTACTCTCTTCATCAGTTGTTGCCACGAATTGGACTAATAATATTGATAGGTCCTGGCCGGAAACCGCCCTGATTTCCCTAAAGCCCCACGCAGCAAGAAAGGATCCAAGGCGGATGGAGACGAAGATGATGGCAATGACGCGGCCATCGCATCCAAGGCTTCGGCTTCGGGTTCCAAACCTGATACCAAGGGTCGCGGAAAAGCCAACAAGAATGAAGAACCAGACGTCACGGATGACGCGGATGCCGGTTTCGACTCTAAGGCGAAATCACCTACTTCTTCTGACGCTATCAAGAAGGTGGAGTCTGACGATGACGCGGTCGTTGAGGAGAAATCCGGAAAGACCAAGTTAGTTGCATTCCCCGGTTTTTTTTTCTTCTTTCGTTGAATCGTACTAACACGCTACAGAGAACCTGTGAAGAAGTCTCGCACTTCTTTGTCAAAGTCCAAGAAGAATGAGGTTGCCGCGGACACCCCCGAGGACGAAGCCGAGGAGGTTGCACCTAAGCGTGGTCGCCCCAAGAAGTCGGCCGACTCTAAAGCGGAGAAGGCGGTCCCCAAGGAATCGGCTCGCTCGTCCGGCCGTGCCAAGAACGTCAAGTCATACAAGGAAGTGAACGAAGAATCGGCGGAGTCAGCCGAGGAACCTCCCAAGAAGGTTGTTGCCAAGCGCGGACGTGCCCCCAAGAGCAAAGAAGTGAAGTCTGCTGGCGACAAAGACGACTCTAAAGCTGACAATGCTCACGAGAAACCTGATTCGTCGGAGAGCAAGACCGGCGAAGTTGACGAGGTCAAGAAGCCGGCCAAACGTGGTCGGAAGGCCAAGGAGGTTAAAGCCCCCGAAGTCGAGAAGGATCAAGACGTCGAGACCAACACCGACCCCGAGAAAGCTCCCGCCAAACGTGGCCGCAAGGCAAAAGCAACCACGGATGACAACAAAATCGAAAAGACGGCCGACGTGGAGGAGCCGAAGAAGGTTCCGGCGAAGCGCGGCCGCAAGCCGAAGGAAGTCGTCGCCAAGGACTCTTCTGCCGATGCCGAGTCTGAGGACCCCACCAAGACTGAAGTTTCGAAAGAGGAAACCGAGATCGCCGAGACCTCTCAACCGAAGAAGGCGCCGGCCAAGCGCGTCCGCAAACCGAAGGAAGTTGTCGCCAAGGACTCTTCGGCCGATGCGGAACCCGAGGCGAACCCCAAGGCTTCTGCTAAGAGTCCTAAGGCGAAGGCAGTTGGCACCAAGAGTTCGGACTCCGACTCAGTCGACCAAGTCGAGCAAGATGTCAAGGTTCCTGCTAAGCGCGGCCGCAAGCCCGCTGTCAAGGCTGACGCCGGTTCCACCAAGGAGTCATCCACCGTCCCTAACAAGGCTTCCGCCAAGCGTGAGGCGAAGGCGAATGCTCCCAAGCACTCCGAAGCTACCGTTACCAAAGAAGTGAACTCAACTAAGGTTGCGGATCCCGAGCACATGGATGTTGACTCCGACGTCAACTCCGACGTCACCAAGAAACCTTCCGTCAAGAAGGTCCAGAAGCGCAAAGCGACGGAGGATCATGACGACTCCGCGGAGGATCCCAAGAAAAAGTAATTTTTCCTTTCTTTACCACACGCAGAGAATTTAGGCTGACATTCCCCGGCAGAGCTGTTGCACCTCCCAAGAAGCGTGGCCGTCCTGCAAAAAAAGCTGCCGAAGAGTAGGTCTTGCGAAATCTAGATTCATGCGCGCGGTATCCAAATCTGTGATTCCTGGGATACTTTCCTCGCGTTCGAGTTGTTTTTCTACTGGGCTGTTCATTTCTATCTTGTTTCTTGCTTAGGGATACCGCATGGTGGGTGGCAACTGGAAAAATCTGGTTTTCATGATGTGTACTTTTCTAGAAATCATAGCGACCATTTCTGATACCAATTTACCTGCTTTAATCGTTTTTTTTTCGCGTGCTTGGTTCTCGAACTCCGTCATGAACAGCCCCACCTCCATCCACCCTTCCCTCCATATATTACATACTAATACTGCTCTAGGAAAACTTCCGCCGTCGCCGCCGTTATCACCCAAAACCACGCCGGCGGCAAAAAGCAGGCCTCCCTCACTCCCTCGGAAGACGACGCACCGATGATGGATGGCGACCCGTTCACATCGCCGGCAGTCATCGGGATCTCGGAGAGAAACAGTATTTTCTAGGACCGATTACGACGACTAGATGAAGAGTGGCCGGCATAGAAATGGTGAAGTTTGTTTACACGGCTCGGTGCGGCGGGCGAGTGGGTGTTGATTGCGGATCGTGTTTTGCGGGCATGGGGGGGGGGGGGGGTGGTGGATCCGGGGGTGTGGGTGCAGAGTCTAGACTTCCTCTGCTTTCGTTCTGTTTTGGGTACATAGATTGAAGAGACTGCGAGTTGAACCTGCGAAATAGGAACTGGTATTCGGGCGGAAGCTGTCTGTTACTGACTTTAACGTCACATGTACTAAAATTGTCATAATATCACGAACTTCCTTGTACCGCGTCATGCGAGGTCACTCTGGCTTCCGTTTTCCGTCCTTGTTGCGATTCTCGCAGGAACGAGGGAACGGCGGAGCACCTATTCAAGAACTTCGCTCAGTGGAGGGAGCAACAGAAGATCCTGTGGACCGAGGTGGGAAAGAGGACTGGCCAAGGGAAGCATAGGTTTAAGATCAGGGACCTCTTTGCCAACTAAGATTGCAGCATGGCCGTCCTCCACTTCCTCACCACCACAGACGTGGGCCGGCGGATGCCCCCCCTCGGGGTAGAGCAACAGGAATTTCCGAGCCAGACATCTGACTTGGCAGCGGCAGCGGCGGATCCCACTTACCCCATAGCAGGAGAAGAGAGCGAAGGAGCGAGAGCGGTGGCAGCGGAGAGAGTGGTGGCAGCAGAGGAGAGGCGACAGGCTGGGGAACATCTTCCCCCCCAAACCTCGCACCGTCGGCATCAGACACCCCAACTCCAACCCCAACGAGGGCCTCGGGAAGAGTACGGGTTAGTCGGCAGGAGATTTCGGCATACGCGGAGAGAGAAGAGGCGTTAGACAGGCTTGAGGAGCTGTCTAGGAGGTTTGAGGTTGGGTTTCGAGAAAGACTGACGCTTTTCCTTTCCGTTCCATTTTGTCATCTCATTTGTTCTTCTTTCTTTCTATCTTTCCCTTTGTTATGCGCGGATGGGTCGGGCGGAGGGCAATAGGGAACCCGCAAGAGCTCGTTACTAGCGGTCGGAGACAGTGGGGTGGAACTAGACGTGTGTTTAGCCATGATCTGCAAAGGTCGAATGCTACAATGATGAAACAGAAAAACGGAACGGCGGAACTTCATTGGTTGTCACTCGTGCAGGATCCGGGTGCAGATTTGTCATGTTGGTAATACGCGCAGTGCGCGTCTTGGCAATCCTGTTTATGCTCATACTTGCTTCTTCTTCTTCTTCTTCTGCTTCTGTCTGGTATGTCTGGCTGGTCGTCCGCTGTGTTTTTGCGACCAAGTCAAGCAATCGAACACACATATTTTCTCAACAGCTCTCACGGAGGTAGCGAGCGACGGCGAGCGGCCTCTATCTGAGGCATTCCCGCGCTTTCTTCTACATAAGCCTTTCTTCCTGCTGAGTCTGATACACTGTACATTACTTCAAAATACCACTTTTCTTGACAAAAATCCCGTGACACGATTCGAACCAGAAACCATGAATGGCTAAAATCTTGCTCTGCTCACATGACCTTGAAGAGGTGACCGATTAGACAGCGGTGTACGGCTATTACGTGATCGATTTAACAGTGATGTACGATAATGAGATACTGTCGGGAATGCGAAATAGTTAGGGCATAGGCGGGGATGGTGGATCGGGGGGTGTGGGTGTGGACTTCCTCTGCTTTCGTTGTTTTGAATACATATATTGAAGAAACGGCGGGTTGGACCTGCAAACTGGGAACTGGTACTCGGGCGGAAGCTGTCTCTTGCTGATTGTAACATCACATGCATTAGGGAAAATCCCGTTACCCAAACCGAACCAGAAATTATGAATGCCTAAAATTTTGCGCTGCCCGCATGACCACGATGAGGTGACCGATTAGACAGAGATGTACGTACGATTAATAATCACTTTCGGGAACGCGAAATAATCGGCCGGCGATGGGGAGATTTGTACGATTTAGGAAGCTCTCGCAGCCCGTGCGCAGGTGGATATTGGAGGTGTTTGCACACGACCAAACAAATGGGATATCCACAGGGCCGGTATGAATAAGGTACATGGATATGTTTGCGAATCTCGTGGTGCGTTTGCAGTTCTTTTCGCGCGTTTGCTGAGCTACCTACCACATGCATTCTCACCAAGTTTGCTTCCGCAGGCTAGTCCTCACAAGTCATTCAATGCACGGCATCAACACACGTCACCTGTTCGCCGAGTCGGCTCAATTTTTAGGGTACTCTCGCGGTGGCCCTAGTTTGCCCTAGCCCGCCTACCCCCTGCCTACCTCCCGCCCCACTTATAAATTAGAATATTTCTTCTTCCCACACCACAACTTCTCACAATACACTTTTCCATCTTTGGACTCCTTCATCATCTTACAACAACACTTTGGCAATGGTGTATTTGACTGTGCCGTCTCGCCGAGAACTTTCATCATGGTATTTACCCTCGTTCTGCTTCTTCTAGGTGGCCGGCAGGTGTGTCGCGATGGAATAGTCTGTCAAAACCATTGCCCTAATCCGTCTAATCGGTCATTGCCAGAAGATCTCTACGGCATACCTTTCGACAACAATGGAAAACACTCTTTCCACATGCCGCTGCCGCGTATGTCTACGCCGAGACTGCCGAGACTGCCGAGACTGCCGAGACTGCCGAGACTGCCGAGGACGAAGCGGATGATGGACTAGGTGGCCCCGCGCCCGAGGCGCTCGAGATGGCCATCCCATCTTGTACCTGCCCTGGACGGGCACCGCGTTGTCGCGGCATTGGTGTTGGAGGTATGTGCACCGACCAATCCAGTTCAACGAAACGGTAGCAAAAAACAAGTTTCGCTTTTACAAATACTGACGGGCTCGTGGATAAATTCACTAGATTGATATCTCCCTACTTCGTTCTGAACGCCCCACTATTACTACCAAACCTACTACCTTAAATGTTTCCCGCCGGTGGGCAGTGATACCATATACCACGAAAGTGGCGCGGTTTACCGGCAATCAACATGGCGCCCCGAATGCTACATGATCCATCGGGGCCTGCGGCCGGTTGTTGGCTACAACTCCAATACTTGGACGACCGGTGCGAGATAGTTAGTCCCGCGGCATGCCGCCAAGTACGTAACCAATGAAATTTCTGGGCTCTTGAAATCGTATTCAAATCGGTTAAAACTAATCAATCGTGCGTATTACTCGCGCAGATGATATCTGCATCTGTGTGGTTGAATGAACCGCAAGCACAGCGATTATGATCGCCAAATGCTGAGCAACATTCCCGCCGGCCAAGAAGCTCGACGACGATATAGCCGGCCGGCAAAGATGCCCGCCGGGGTAGAGGATATTGTGGGGGGTCGACGGAAGGGGCTCGGCAGCAACAGAGGTCGCCGGCCGGCGAAGAAGGCCGCCAGGGAAACAGATACCGGCGGGGGGAGGAGAAAGACGAAGAAGATCATTAGAATTTCTTTTGGACTGGTGACTTGAGCTTCTATACCTACCGTTTTCGGCGGAGAAACTAGAGGCGTGATGTGTTTTTTATTTTCTTTTCTTTTAGTGGGGTTTGGCGGAAACAAATTTGGATTTGTACATATGTTTTTTATGGACGGTGGTGTAGGAATAGGGAACCGGTATCGAGCTCGCGGCCTGTGGTAGCCGCGTGGAAACGGATATGTAATCTACCATTATCTACTGAAGTCGAATGCAATGATGATTTTTTTTACTAACAGCATGGGGCTAGAACGATGGGGGTTATCATTTATATCTACTGAAGACCTGCAACTGCTTAGCACTTCAAAATAACGCCGATTGACCACCTCAAGACTCTGTAAATCCGATCCAACAGGTATTAATGCGGTGGAGTAACCATGTCTATAGCTGCGAAGCAGTACTAAGTATGCTGTTAGTTGGGTGGATACGCGTAAGTATGTGGTCGTCAGTGATTTCTAGACTGCAGTGCACACTGCAGGTTGTCGACAAATGTTCATTCAAGAAGCCAGTGTAAACAGTTGGGGCCTTCAACTGCGTCAAATATGGGGAGTAAACTGTACCATCCACCAATGTGACCGCCGGAAAACTAACCGATTCGCATAGGATAATCCACACGCGAACTGAACCAGTTGATTGGCTCGACCCAGTTTAACGAGGTACCTCGATACCTGTCGAAAAAATGAGACTGAGCTATCGCGGAGTGGACTGGCTGGACCGAGGGGAAGATGTCTAAGTAATGGATTCGAACAAGGCGAAGTACAGACATGCATATTTCCCACCCATTGGCGATGTGGCGATGTGGCGGTGTAGAGGTGAGGCGGCGCTGTTATGCTGGTGTGGCAGTGTGGCGAAAATTCAAAGTGGCGCTAGCAAGCATGCAGTCGTTTGAGGTGGCACGACCTCGGTTCGGACATCTCTGGTTACTTTCCCCGCTGTCTCAGGCGACAAGAGAGAGAGAGAGAGAGAGAGAGAGAGAGAGAGAGAGATCTTCCTTTTTGTTTCGCATGCAGCCTATCTAGACTACGTGGAACCGTCGCACTACTTTTCTGCTTAGGCGGCAAGGCAAACACCCAACGTAAATGTTACGATTCTCTCGGGACGGAACGATGAAATCGATGGAATGACGGAACCTCATTGGTTGTCACTCGGCTCTTGCAGAATATCCAGGCAGAATATGCGGGCAGCTTGGTCATGTTGGAAATACGCGCGTGTCTTGGGAATCCTGTTTATTCTCATACTTGCTTCTTCTTCTCTGCTTCTGTCTGGTATGTCTAGCTGGTCGTCCGCTGTGTTTTGCGAATAAGTCAAGCAATCGAACACAAACTGACACTCTCAACAGTGAAGATCGACCTTCCCGCGAATGCTAATACGTGTCCGATCGCGCTGCATCACTCGCAAGCACCATCGATATCCAGATGAACTATCCCATTCCTTCCAGTGTCAAATCCTATGGTTTCTAGGAACGACGGATGTGGGGAGGAAAGCTCCACCAGACCTGGAGGAGGAGGATGAGGAGGAGGCAAGCATCGCATCGAAGGCAGACCAAGAGTGCTCAGCAGGGTACTGCCTCTGCGCCCGATGCGAGAAAGTAGGAGATGAAGATACGAGGCGGGGGAGAGACGAGGGGGCAGCAGGAGGAGCTTGTATGTGGGCCCATACCGGTCTTTACTGTCAGTCTACTTTTGGCTTGGGGCGGCCCGAGGCAGATGGAGAGGGAAAATGGGGCGCCGCATCGGGCGAGCCGGTACCGGGGCTTTCACCTCGACTGGCCAGGGCGAGCAGGCAACGAAGTTCGTTGGTTCGCCATAGTCTAGATAGGCTGGATGCGAAATAAAATAGGAAGATCTCTCTCTCTTCTCAGAGTTGTCAATCGTGCTCAATCGTACTCGGGATGGAGGTGCTTGGGATGGAGGTGTGTGGGATGAAGGTCCTCGAGGTAGAGGTGCTCGACTCGCGGGTGATAGAGGCAGGCCCAAGGAGGTGGGCTGTCGAGGGTCAATTGTACTTGGCAGGTTGCAGACGTGCAGTGATAGTGACAGGTTGTAGTGTCGGCGGTGGCAGAGGAGACGGAGGTGACGGAGGTGGGCTGTCGAGGGCTTTCGAGGGTCAATTGCACTCGCCAGGTTGCAGACTTGCAGTGGCGGTGGTGACCCAGCACACTCGATCGCGGGTGATATGCGCGAGGCTTGCTTCTCGAAATTTTCAATCATGCTCGGGATGGAGATGCTCGACTCACGAGAGGTGGTGGACGTGCTCGACTCATGGGCGACGGAGGTGGGCTGTCGAGGAGGTGGGCTGTCGAGAGTGACGGAGGTGGGCTGTCGAAGTTCAATTGCACTTAGCAGGTTGTAGTCGTTGTAGTAGTGGGGTGGGGGAGGTGGTGGGTGGTGGGGTGGTCGGCCTAACATCACCCTCGACCACGAGCCATAGGTTGTGTTAGTCGAACGAGGGTGTTATGCACGAGGCTTGCTTCTCACAGTTGCCGGCGCCACATCGTGCTGGCTGGTAACGGGATCCCAACTCCCAGCCGACCAGAGTGGGCAGGAAAGGAGTGCGACGGTTCGCCATACTCTAGATAGGCTGCACGCGAAATAAAACAGGAAAACTCTCTCATCATGCTCACCGGATGGTGTTGCGTCTTCGTAAGCCTCCATGTTGTGAGGAGAGGTATTCATCGTGCTTTCACCGCGTGGTGAGTTGGTGGGTGCGGCCGGCTCTACGCCTTACGCACGGAGTTACAATAAGTCGGGAAAGACTGGGCAGGAATGTGCTATCTGGAGCACTGGCCCACTGGGTTGCTAACAGCATATTATAAAGATTGTGTCACGGCGAGCGCGAAAGGTTACAAAACCATTGAGGATGCAGTTACCTGCGATACAATTGAAAGAAACAAAGGCACAGGTCCGACCGTAACCTGATCACCCTCCTCCCCTTCCCGCCTATCCTCCTCCTCCTCTTCCTCTCGAGGATCCATCTCTCCCATCTCTTCCTCGCCACCTCTTGAACCGTGGACACGCTTACTGTGGGAATGAACAGGACTGAATGGCTTCATTGGAAGAACCGGGATATCGTCCACGTCCAGGTGATCAAACTTCTCCTCGCGGGCAATGAGACGGCAACTATCGTAAAGCTGGTCGTCGTCGTGCTTGGTGCGGTTACTGCCGGGCTTCACACAATGTTGCAGGACGTAATCGCATATGTTGCAGTAGAACGTCGAGTACAACTCGGCAGCCGGCGAGTTGAAGATATCGTTTAGATCAACTTCAGTGCCGATGCACTTGAAGATTTTTTTCATTGTCGCCAAATCGAGCCGCGCGTAGAAGTATTGACAGACTGCGGTGGGATATAGAGTCTCCAGAACCATTCTGTCCTTCTTCCAGACCTCGGTCACCTTTGTATCCGTCAGCAGCAGTAGTACCGGCGACCCAGAAGAGCGAACTCACATGCTTGACCGACACCTTCAGGACATCGCATCGCCATTGCCTTCCCCATAGCTGCTCGACACGCCTGATCGCGACATCATAGTGGCCCTTGGCACTGTGGTGCCTGTGGAGCTGGGCGTACACCTGACCGGCAGGTGCAGACGAGTAAACGCTTGCACTCCCCAGGCGCCTTGAGGGTGTCAATGGAGTGAAAAAATCAGGGATAAGGCACTGGAAGTACCAACCAGGTCCACAAGGTCAGAGCTTACCATCGGATGGATGGCGGAAGAGAAGCCGTGTGAACGGTCAAGTTGTGGTGGGTTATATCGTTTTTAGTTGCGTCGAGCGGTGGGAGGTTATCGTCTATTGACGTGGGGTAATTGAGAGAGAAAGGGTAAAAGCAGAAGTAGATGATGGAGTAGGCAGAAAATAGAGGGAGAGAGAGGAAGGTGACGATGCTTTAGAAAGGACAGAGAGGGAGAGAGAGGAAGGGGGATCGGCGAAAACCTGCGGGGAACACCCTAAACAGTGCGTGAATTGAATTGCCGTAGCGTCGTGACTGCTTGCGTCGCTGCAGTCGAGGCTCATCGCTGCAGTCGAGGCTCGTCGCTGCTTTCGAGGCTTGCTTCTGGTGTCAAGGCCTGTTGCTGCCATCGAAGCTAGTCTCTGCCGTCGAGGCTCGTCTCTGCCGTCGCCGTAGGGTTGTGACTGCGTGTGTCGCTGACTCGCTGCCGTCGAGGTTTGCGTATTAAGTCGCGCATCGCTCGAAAATCCGTGAAACGCTGTCCGAGATCCACAGCTCCGCAGGCAGCGGGCTCCCACCCCCAGCCGGCCTGAGTGGGCAGGAAACGAGTGCGACGGTTCGGCATAGTCTAGATACGCTGCATGCGAAATAAAACAGCATGATATCTCTCTCTCTATCCTTCGGTCTTCCAGTGTCAGGTAACCTTTCCGACTCGCGACGCGGGTGCTTTTGTTTTTCTGGTGTCGTTCTTCTGCAGGTGAACCCCTGGCGCGTGCGAGTTCAAGTAATTCCCAGAAAGCGGTGTGGCCGTTATCAACGAATCGCCAGCTCTAGGATGTTGCAGATGCATACTTTGCGACCTGCACACCCTCCCTGCCTGACCGTCTTCCTCTCTTCCCGATCCTCTCGATCATCGCGCACGTCCACTTCCGCTTCCTCTTTCGATTATTGCGCCTCTTTCGCGGAGTGACGGAGGAGCTGTCGAAGGTAGGAAACAAATGTGGTTAGCAGTGGGCATCAACGTTGGTGTGCATTGCGGGTTTCTTTTTCTTCTTTTTCTTCTTCTTCTCCTTCTTTTCTCACACATATAGATAAAATAGTGTTCACTCAAAACACTTTCCACGCATAGTCGGTTCGAATCGTGGGCACGAATGGCGAGTGATACCGAATGCGACACTGCACAACGATACCGACGGGGCGGGGTAGTTTTAAGTTTCAACTACCAAAATACCCTCCAGCCTGCCTTGAGTGTAGGAGGATCCTATCATCTATCTAAGTCCAAAACGCTGATGCTGATTTTGCGTCAAGTCTGGGAGTCACGTCTGCCAGGATAGTCTGCAGAGGTACGGTACCGCATAGGGAACCCAGAATCGTAGTGCCATCGCATTGAATTCATTACATTAGATAATTAGGTAGTAGATAGTGGCCTGGGATGAATGCATCGTTCGACTCCTGCGTCTCTTGTTTGGGCAGGATAGCCTACCACCACTGCTAGCCCGCAGAAACCCCCGCCCACCCCCCCCCTCCCACAGACATCCATTATCTTGATACTCTAATACTCCAACCGGCAACTGAAGAAAGATGCGCCAACACAGCCGTGGCAACAGGTGCCGCAATAAAGCAAAGTTATGATGAATAAAATGGAGCGACATAATGTAAGAATGGAATCTATGTCAAGAAAACACCATATGTCTCTGAATCTTCTGTTTCTTCTATATAAACCCCCCATGTTGCCTATTCTTTCCAGTATTCCTCATTACTTCAGATAGCTGATACAACATTGCGACTCCTCTCCTGTAACTATCTCTCCCACTCCGTCACTCTCACTCTCACTCTCACTCTCACTCCATCTCTACCGCGTCTTCGTCCGTACAATCTCCCCGGTTCCGCACCACCCAACAACCCGATGTTATTATTCTTCAGAGCGCTCTTCACGGCGCCCTCAACAGGGCCTCCCACCTCCAACCCAACACTGCGGACACAGCCGCAACTCCCCATCGCAATGGCTCATTGCTCCGGGTGAGTGCTCCGGTGAAGGTTTTCCACCTTCGTCACCCACCTCTGTGTCGGCTTGAGCGCGATCAATTTCTCGAGCTCAAGCTTGTCGTTACGGATGATAGCGACCCGCGCTAGAAACCACAGTCAGCACCGCTATAAACAACCAAAGTAATCCGAAAAGCAACTTACACCCATCCATAAACCTCCAACCTACCGCACCTATCCAACCCGAATTGATCAGAAATCGGAGCATCACTTCCAGCGCGGCCAGCAGCTGGTTGAGAACCGAGCCGATGTCCCACCAGAGCTTGTCTGCGCGCGTGACCATCGCTGCGTTGCCGAATATGTAAAAGCCGCGCTGGGCGCGGGACAATTCGCGAGCCGGATTCTTCGAGCCAGCGCAACGTATCCTGCGGCGTTTGGCCGCGGCACCGCTGGGGTGCCTGACCACCGGCCCCAACACGGGGCCAAGAACTTCGGCAATCATCTTATGCTCGCAGAAATGGCACTGATCGGAGCACAGAGTCAAGTGAAACCTGGACTGGATCACCTACAGGATTTCGCTGTCGTATTATGGCTCTTGTACGACAACCCCCTAGCAGGAAACTCCACCAGTCAGCGCCACTTGATACAACCAGTGAAATCCGGAAACCGACTTACACAGTGAGAAGGTGGTAGAACCGATCGGGTCGAGTGGCTAGCAGGCGCCTATTCCTCGATCGCGAAGTATCCAGCGGCGACGGCCTCGGCACAGTTTTTCGCAGCGAAGCTAGGATGAATGTTTAGCAGACGAAGGAGGAGGAGATGAAGAATGAGAAGGAGCGGGCGACAAACCAAAGGATGGGAGTATTCATGGAGTCGGATTGTTGTTGACCGAATCGGTTGGAATATATCTCTGCCAAAGATGGCTAAATTGTGGTGAGGATGTTTTTGATGTGTAATGAAAGGAAGAAGTAGTGGGTGGGAGGCGGTGTGTGGGTGGTGGGGTGGTGGGTGAGGAAACGGCACGGCGTTTGTGGGCTGCCGCCGAGTCCCACGTCACAAATTCAATTCCATAAGTGAACTAGGGCTACCACAACGAGCATAGCAGTATGCGCAAGCGTAGCCTAACTTGACAATCGGCGTGCCTAGTACTTGCGAATCTGCTGCACCGTCGTGCACGTACCCCACCGGTGAAAGTGCTTGACAGGTTCTTTCCGCAGCAAATCTTGCCGCTCTGCCCACATCCTCCAAAATTTAGTTGTAACGGGAATACCACCCCCGATTTATTCCCAGTTCCAACGATTGGAGGGTCTGACTGTCCCCCACCGTCATCTAATACACCGTATGAGCTGCTTCCATCTTGTGCTCTCTCATCTAACCTGACGTGATGGCAGACAACACTACTGTAGTAGAATAGACAATTGTTACTTAGTTACACTTTGCTGCTCCATTTAAAGCGCATTGCCGATGACGACTGCTCACCGTACTTCACGTATGGTGGAGGGTGGAATTCGAGCGATGTGAGTTTCATATCATACATAGCGATGCTACCGGTATTCCGTTACCAAGGGCGTACTTACGTTCGAGTAATGACGGTGACTATCGACTGTGCACTGGACGCATTTGAGCGAATAACGTTCACTGTAGAGGCTTTACACGGGTACTACCGTGTGCTCGAATGGTATTCAGCCTACCATCCTCCAAACGCGCACGGATAGTAACTAGTCGTGCACACGAATAGTGTTTGCGAATTGTCACGAATAATGAGCTCAAATAGCGGGTATCATAATCTCACGAACTTCCGTATACCGCGTCATGTGACATCACTCTCTATCCCGAGATACTTCCCGTTGCAATATCTGTCAAGTTTAGTCATGGTAGAAGGCACGGGCCTTGACCCCCATTCTCATATTTTCTGTTCTCTCGAGGCTACAGCCTTACACTTCAATACAATACTGTTCACCGACACATATCTTACTCTATTATTTCAACACTTCCGTTATCCGTTCTCACGGAGGTGACGAGCGGCCTCCCTCCGAGGCGCCCCTCAGCCTCCCTCTACATATGTCTTCCTTTCTACTGCGTCTGATACACTGTACACTACATCAGAATAGTTCTTTTCTTGACAGCGGGATTGGGCACGACTAGCGAGTGATACTGGATGCATCTGTGTGACAGTGCGCAACGATACAGATAGGCGGGGTACGATCAACGTTTTGGCAAACATACTGAGATAGATAGAAGGATTTTTAGGAAGACAGAACTGTTCAGTAGTTACTTGCTTTTTCTTCTACGTCGGCCGGTGGCCTGCTGTATATACAGAATACGTTTGCCGTCGGGAGATATACTCTACCCGCCCGCGAGACAAGACAACAAAAAACTTGTCCGGATACTGTTCGCATAAGCGACACAAAGAGGCAGGACACATCTGCATCGTTGGATACAGTTCGCATGACCGGGTTCTTGAGTCCTTCAGAACACTGCTCGTTGAAACTTCATCATCACCTTACTGCGGACATGGGGAGAGATTCTTCATGTACTCCGGACGCCGTATTCTGACGCTTGTAAACTACAAACGTACATACTGTACAAGTACCTACCTCGAGCGGTATGATCCTAAGTACGTCCCGAACTCTGATGCTAATACTGGTGCTGATGCTGGGTCACGCCTGCGAGTCATGTCTACGAGCATAAATCTTTGTGTAGTATGGAGAGTATCGCACGGGGAACACAGAATCATAGGGCAATTGTATTATTGAATTAAGGAATAACTAACGAGATAGTAGATTATATGCTGAAAGAAACATTTCATCCGACTCATCGCTCGCCTACTTGCGCAGAATAGTAGCCGACCGCCTCTTCCGCCCCGCAGAAACTCGGTCAATGTTTCACTACAGCTCGCACCAGATCCCGATGCTTTTGATTTCAAAGCGGATAGTATCAAGAAGACAAATATCTAGACTTTCTACCTGAGTACATCATCATCGAATATGTATCGACATCCCTACCCAAGCACATCGCCATCCGATATCGAATCAACCACTCCGAACAAAACATGAACCGACAGCAGCCACTATGGACCAACAAGAAACGACTGCGCCCCAACCCCACATCATACTTGAGCACTTCCAGGCAGTCGAATCTGAACTTACGCCCCACACACTGGACGAGCTCAATCAGTGGTTCCACAACAATCCTATCTTCCACAACAATACTCCTCTTTACGGCAACAACGAGAGATAGCTGTGATGATTATCGCAGCCCTCCCCGGAACAACGGTCTGTTTGTGCAAGAGGTGGACCGGAAGTTCAGCTATTCCTGGATTCCGGGGAGGGCTGTGATAATCATCACAGCTACCCCCCGCCATTGTCGTAGATAGGATTATTGTTGTGGAAGATAGGATCGTTGTGAAACTACTGATTGAGCTCATCCAGTGGCTGGTTCAAATCCCGCTGGCTGGGAGCGCTCGAGTATGGGGTGGGGTTGGGGCGCAGTCGTTTCTTGTTGGTCCATACTGGCTGCTGTAGGTTAATGGTTTGTTTGAAGTAAATGATGCGATATCGGATGGCGATGTACTCGGGTAGAAAGTTTAGAGATTTGTGGATTCCGGCCCGGCGCCCAACCCGGCGCCCAACCCGGCGCCCAACCCGGCGCCCTACCCCTTGCCGTCCACGGCGCCCTCCACGGCGCCCCCAACACCCTGATGTAGGGGGGAAGCTATTGCTTCCCCGAGAGGAGTACTTCGACCTCTCCCTGGTTTTCCCCTACCGGCTTACGCGCCCAAGTCGTGGCGACGTTTGACGCTCGACACCTAGCAGGAAACCACAGTCAGCGCCGCTATAAACAACCAAAGTAATGCGAACTGTAACTTACACCCATCCATAAACCTCCAACCTGCCGCACCCATCCAACCTGAATTGACCAGGAATCGGAGAATCACTTCCAGCGTGGCCAGCTGCTGGTTGAGAGCCGAGCCGATGTCCCACTAGAGGATGTCGGCGTGCGTCACCATCGCTGCGTTGCCGAAGATGTAGAAGCCGCGCTGGGCGCGGGACAATTTGCGAGCCGGATTCTTCGAGCCAGCGCACCGCGGCACCGTATCCTGCGGCAATTGGCCGTGGCACCACTGGGGCGCCTGTTCGGTTGACAGGGAGAAACAAAGGTTTCTGAGGATGACCACCGGCACCACATGTATATTTCGCATGCGGCCTTACAAGACCGTCGGGGGTCTGAGGAGATGTGGGAGGCTGATTGGATTTCTCCATGGTAGCATTGGCGACCACAGAGCGTATGATATAAGCCTGCGTCTGTTAGCCTAAGAGGGCATGGGCGGGTTTTGCGGAACCTACGCATGGGCGCATGCTACATTGCGCGACATACCGCCATCGTCCGCCATACCCGACGTTATCTCTCCAGCAGACTTGCTCGCGTCGATTCTGGGATATATGTTCAGCCAAAGAAGGATAAGTAAAAGGAGAAGAAGGAGGAAGAGGAAGAGAGGGAGGAGGAGGAACAGGCGACAAACCAAAGCATCTGAGTAGTCATGTTGTCGGATTGTTGTTGAAGCGAATCCGTTCGAATAGATCTATGCCAAAGATGGCTAAGTTGTGGTGAGGATGTTGTTGATGTAGTGTAATGAAAGGAAGAAGAAGTAGTGGGTGGGGTGGTGGGGTGGTGGGTGAGGAAACGGCACGGCGTTTGTGGGCTGCCGCCGAGTCCCACGTCACAAATTCAATTCCACAATAAAACTAGGGTTACCACCGTACGCATAGAAGTACGTGCCAGCGTGCGGCTTGCCTAGCGCTCGAGAAATAGCGTCATTTCCCCTATCACACCGGTGTAGGTACTCGACAGGCTCGCCGCTGCGGGTCCATGCAGTTTACACACATCCTCCAGCATTTGACAAGGATGAGAGCACCACCGATGTGTTCCCAGTTCGAACCGTTGGACTGTCTTCCTGTGCCGCCACCATCATCCGATCTTCCATCTGACATCATCTCATCCTATCTCATCTTATCCTACCTCACGAGACGGCAGACTGTTGAACCGATTTTCGCTTCCTAGCTCTGATGAAGTTGTTTCGTAGCAGCCCAACACTTTTCATGTTTCCATAAAGTTCACATGCGGTTCATTTGATGAGATGTTGAAAGTGGCTCTTTTGGGACCAACCCACATATTCACCGCGTACCTACTCCCTTGTTGTCTTTCAACCTACCTCTCCTTCTCCACCCCCAACCACTGCCTTCCTCTTACACTTACATAACTGTCCTGAGGGAGTGGGGCCTATAGCATGCGATACCTGGTGCCTTACTCGCGATGGCTGACAATTTGCAAAGCAGGAATAGTACGTTACAACGGTCAGGTATACGGCCATGTTAGGCTAATCCATTCTAGCTCAGATCTTTCCCGCGGACATCGAAGCGCCTTCCATTGCCTCCAGGACCACTACTCGCCACTGCCGAAACTTTCGAGGTATGTTTACTGCACCTGAAGATGTATTGCATTGGGACCAGCTGATCATGAGCAACATCGACAGCTGCGGGTGTGCGTTAAAAGAGCTCTACGTTTCCGAGGAGCATTACATTGAAATCTGAAGTCTATTGCCGGAATACTAGCGGGTCATCGCCTGGACTTCACTGGCGTGGTTTTCCGGACGCTGTCATCAGTTCACCCGAAGTCTGCTCTTCAAGAAGGCTACCACGTTGCTGGTGTTCTTCCATGCTACGCTTGTTACAGTCTATGATATAGACGCGGATTGTTATGGAGTCAATCGCCGAGACGTTTGGGAGCCTTTAGTTTCCGAGTACCCTGAGGTCCAATCAGATTATTCGAATTGCGTCTAGGAAGGGCAACGCTGTGGACGACAATGCAGATCAGACCTCTGCTATTGCTGCCGATGCCGGACACCCGGTAACCGAAGAGTTAGATTTATTAACAGAGCAACGAATCGTCCACGCCGGGCAACGCATTTATCTTCGTGGGCCGAGGTATCGGGAACAACCTCGGTGCTCGAAAAGACTGGGGTAACACTGTCTACCATAGTTTCATGGGTGGTGCTGGTGTGCTCGTGGATTTGCACGCAGAATGATTCGTGCCCACGACGACTCACATTTCTACTTTATTAGAGCGAAGTGCCAGAAAAGGTGAGCGGAAATGTGTCTTCGCAATTGTTTGACCGCCGCTTTTGGTGGTACGTATAAGACCGGTGAGCTCTGGAAAATTGGACGTCTGGATCGGCGACAACAGCGGAAAGGTTTGCAAGAATTATCTACTGGAGATAAAAGCTGTGTGAGTAATGTTTTATGATAGCTGGGGACAATCATCCAGGTTTTTGATACGTTTCGAGGAATTACCCGCGTGGGTACCAACATGCCTTGGTTTCGATCAAAGTCCACGAAAGGACGTCGATGCTCTCACCGAAGCTGGATTGGCATCATCATCCGCTCTCCCTACATTTCAACAGACTCGTTCGACACATATCCTCAAGCCCGCATCCCTCCCTGAGGCGGGGGTAATTATCTCCGTTGAGCAGTTGGGGGCTATCATTAGCCAAGCGGTGGTGCCCACTACATGGAACACACCGGGTTCGTCCGACCAGTTCTCAAGAAGCTACCATTGGAGGAAGTACGCATTTTTTCGCAGTTTGCGAGGGTGGAGCGGCTCACCCTTGTCAACAACCGACGAGGAAGGGCACGACAATAATATTGGATTGCAGAACTGGCAGTGGACGGGAGGAAACGGTAAGTACTGGGGAAAGACACATTCGGAAGAGATGGTCGCAATGACTGAGGAGGATGTCCAGACAATCGCGCACGAAGACGACTTACCGTTCTACGGCTCGCTCTTCCCTCCGTCCGAACTGAAACGTCGAGGATTCTGTGCGATTAACACAAATCGGTTATCAGCGTGAGTTGCACAGGCTCCTGCTAGTGGTGATATGTGACGTTCGGGGGAGCGGGCGGAAGTCTTCAATCGTGACGCGAGAAGAGAGAGAGAAGAGGGGGAGATAACGACCGGGGTTTGGTTATTGTATTGACCGACTAAGAGAAGGAACACCCCTGGAGAGGTGCAAATCGTGATATACAAAATAGAGTTGCACACATGTCAGTGTCGCGGTGAAGTTCGTCCCGCCGCGCCAGCGCCCCGTCTCATCCGACTATCACCCACATCACCCGATCAACAAAAGAAAGAAGAAGCTCAGGAATGGTGGTATATATTCCACAAGATATCAAGGTCTAGGTGCTGTGGATGGCTGGTGGCTGGGGAATGATTCGGGCTCGCGTGTGGATGACGATGGGTGTGATAAAGCTTTCCGATAATGTATTTTTTTCCCCTTTACATGTTACGATTCCAAGACCATCGGAAGAAATAATGAATACTCGACTACGTCTTGCCAGTACTATACACTCATTGGAGCGAGTCAATAACGTCTATTTTCAAACCCACATCCCCGATAGGCGTCTGGATCATATAAACGCACTCGCCCAATGATCATTCATGAACACAAGATCACACCCATCGGCGATTAAATCATAAGAACAACGCACCTGTTTGTGGAAGTTAACTGAGTATACTAGAGTAGCTGCAAGTCAGTGTCTGGACAATTATGGGAGGACCAAATCTCGGCGTTTCAAGGTAAGATCAGTTCAGATAATCAAAACTTTCTGGACATGTTGACTCCCGAGCGAGGTGTCCCGAGAACGGGGAGGGTGACGGGAATAAATGTCTACATGACTATGTCTCGTATACAGGTTCGATTATGTCTCGTTTATTCGTTCGAATTGGAAGGGGCACAGTGGTACACGCAATAACACCGATGAATTGCCTACCTAGATCGCTGTGGCATCGCAACATTCAAATCCATCTAGCATCTCACATCACGTTATTCACTCGTTGCAGTCTTGCAGAATCTCCTTCAGTTCGTTCAGGTGAATAGAAATGGTGTACTCGTATACTGCCATTCGTTGTGTCTTCGACGCGAACTCCGATGGGTTGCTAACGAAAGCCTCCGTTGGAATCCATGTCATGGGGAGCCTAAGAGATTATCAGCCGAGGGGTGAAGTATTCCATTCTCATCCATTCCGTGTCACGGAGAAAGGATCTCCTTACGACCTCATCAGGTGCTGCAGGGAGATTTACTTTAGTACCCACGGTCGTCGGCTATGCCACGGCCATCGGAGCTTCACATAAGCCTGGCGCGGTGCAATGCCATTCATATTCCGTGCACGTGTCTAATCGTGTCACGGACTCCCGGCAAACATCCCTTTCCCAATTTCGAATTTTTTCTCACATCATCCGGTCACCGCCACCAAGTACCCGTGCTCGAGATCAAAAACTGCATGAAGAACGAAGGCTCATGGATTGCATTCCTCCACGCACTTCACCCCAGCATGTCATCCTGACCAGAAAGGTCCTTTTCCTGGCCTCCTGCAATGAAATGCAGCATAACGCCGACCCATAAATCACCCCGTAGATGTTTTCTCCCACGCCCCCACGCCCATGTCGTGTGCTGGGAAATAACAGAAAATATATCGACCTATCCAGGAAATTCTGACCCGACCAACGCAGAAACTCATTCCATTAGCGAGAGAGAATAAAAACGTGCCCACCCGAGGATTCGGCAACAGCCAGAAAATAAAAGAAAAGAAAACGAAAGTCATCAATGCGGGTGAGAGGGCATAAAGGATGTCCGCACGCGGCGCAAGGTCCGGAGACAACAAAACGTAAAATCTTGCCACAAAAACATTCGATATCCAGCGTCAAAAACATTCAACGGCGGCGATGGAAGCGTAACAGTAGCCTGGAGAAATAAATCGAACTTTTCCACAAAATCGAAAAAATGAAATCTGATAGGCCGAAGAAGGCTTATGCCTGGAAGTCGAGTAAGTACTTGGAAGGTCGGGTAGAAAAGCATGCCCGCGGTAAAACATGTCTGTCGGAGGTTGAACAGTGACAAGTGAGAGAAGAAAGAGAAATCATCCGTCATGTATCCGTGGCCGAGTTGGCGGGTGGTTACGTTACCCGTCGCGAATAATCCACCTCTACTGCTCATCAAACTTTGCCGTGACTACGCCATAGCTAATTCCCTCATGCAGCATCTCAAACTTAATCACCTCATCCACAATCTTCATCGTCACGTCATAGTCGATAATATAGTACTGCTTCCCATCCGAACCCATCCGGACATCGAAACTCGAGCACGGTACACTGGAAAGGTCGGAGTACATATAGCAGACCGTCGTGATCGCACTCGGATCTTGGAAATTGTAGTCCGGCGGAGTATCAAGATCGCAGGAGACGAGGAAGTCCTCGAATACAAGTCTAGGTGAGAAACCGTTGCTCGGAACAGGGACCTTGCGTGTGTAGAGTTGGGTGACGAGGGCGGTCTGTGCAACAACCTCGTTGCGCCGGATGTACCAAGTGAGGTTACCTCCGACCTTCCAGAAACTGTGCCCCGGATCCCACTCCTTCCGTGCCTTCACGTCTGCCGCCATCGTGCCGGCGTACTGTTTGTGTGATAGGTACCCGTAACTCCGGCGGGAGAGGCGCTTGTGAACCATCGAGCCCTCGAGCCCTCGCTGGAGGGCTCCGCGGGCGATGGCTGACTGCGCGTTGACTGGCTGTAGAACCGGGATTTTTCCCCTACCCCCGAACCGCCCTTGCTTCAGTTTTTCGAGGAGGTATTGGGAGCAACCGGAACCGCCCACGAGGAGAATGGCCTACTCACGCCCCGTCACATAGGCGTCTCGAGGATGCATTTGATCGAGCTGAGCGGGCGAGAAACCGGGCGTCCGCCGAGCACTCGCTGCTCAACCGTACAAGCCACAATCAAGAAGGGGTAGGGGAGGGCCTACTGCGACGTGTTCCCCCTGATCTTGGACACCATTAACCTGCTGTTCGACCAGCTTCACTATGCGGTCGATAATTGGATTGAAGATTTGCTGCACGGCAGCCCTTCAAGGTGTCAGTAATCCCCGTGCAAGACCACTTGGGGTGGAAGGTAGTTCGTACGTAGTCATGAAGTGGAAACCGTCTTCGACGCTGAGGGCGGGGTTGTCGGCTACACCTGGAACAGTGACCTCGAGCATGTCTTCGTTGACATCATTCCCAAACTTGAGCTTCACCTTCTCTTCCCAGGTGCGCATCATTTCGGCTTTCGATCGGGGCTGCGAAGTGCATCGTTAGTGGAGTTTGGTGCGAGAGAACAAGAAGACGTACCTTCATCTTATCGATTACCTGGTCTCCGAGTAGACGAAGCATGTATTGTTCGAACCTCTCATCCAAGAAGACGGATCCACAGAGATCACCGGTACCACACACGCTCTCATCGGTGCGCAACGGATTCAACTCGGTAATCTTGTAGGAGATCACGTCAACTGTACTGGTTAGCTATCGTACGCCTCCATACGTCCGAGGGGATCCGACTCACCTGTTCCGCCACCCGCATCACAAATGATGAACGTATCCCCCAGTTTGAGATTATTCGGCTGCACAACCTTCAGCGTATACGCAGCAGCGGCCTCCGGCTCAGACACGAAGTTAAAATTGACTCGATGGCTTCCGTACCCGGCCCTCTCGGCCGCCTGAATCATGAGGTTCCTGGCACTATCGCTCCAAATGGCGGGGACGGTGAGGATGTAGGTTATTTTACTGCTCTCAACCCATCCGAACTCGTACGACTGCTTGATGGATGCCACGGCGAGCTCGCGAACGGCCTGAAGGAAGTCTGTGACAACCTGGACCGGAGTGAGGCTGAGATCGTTTAGTTAACCTGCTGTCTCCTGCGCGGGCGTAATAGTCAGTGCCGTAAAGCTGTGACTGCCGACGGAACTCGGCGAGCAATTGCCGGCGGGTCCCGGATTCGCCAGTTGCAGCTGGTGAAAGGTAGTTTCTAGTCCCGGTGCGCCGGCGCGGCGCGAAGCCGAGTTATTCATCTGCAAGAGGAGTTTGAACCATTGCATTGGCTTTGGGGCGGGGCGGATGTGCCTTGGCAGCGTCTCGTAGCCCCAGCATTTCGCGCGGGTCGCGGGGTTGGTGTAGTAAACGACGCTCGGGACTTGGTCGGCGCTGCTGCTGCCGGTGCTGCTGTGCGGCCAGGTTTGGACAAGCTTCACTTCGCCCGCCGAGGAGGAATGGGCAAAGGCGACCGACGTGAATCTATAGAGCGTGAGCGCGAGACGTGGACAGCCAATCAACACTCGCAGCCGGCCAAGGTGGGGTGGGGAGCGCACGTGGTGCCAAAGTCCACTCCGACGCAGAAGCCGCTGTTGCGGTGGGACATGACGGCCGGCGTTTCGAAGAAACTGTACGTTGGCCATGGCAGTTGTTTTTGGGCACGATTCTGAGGATTGAACGGGGCGTGCGCGGCTGGAGGGGGGGTTAATGTGGTTTTGTGTTGGTGAATCGGTGGTGTAATGATGATTTGGAGTTGGCGCTGTTGCTGCACCTCAGCCCCCAGGGTATGTAGTATGCATCCAGTCGGGCGCTGGAACGTTTATCTGGATTATTAAGTTCCTCGCAGTCAGTGCCGCCGACTCGACCTCCGAGTCCCGTTACTTTAGATTCTCAGTACGACGAAACCCGCTTCGGTTGTCAATGCATTCCGCACGAAGATAGTCTCCATGAAACGTCAAATGAGATGTGAAGGCTCCGTTCCTTCGATGTTTCCTGCACGCGAATCAGGGGCGCCCAGCCCCCAGCCGCTGCAGATCCTTCCTGGGAATCATCCGTCCCGTCCGTCCGAGGCTGTGCCCCGGACGAGACGGAATTGGTCGCGCCCGAAATATCAAGGACTATAGGGCTCCAGGCAAGCCGGAGGACGACTGGGACCCATTCGGGCGCGGAAATGGTGGCGCAAGTAGTAGCCTTGGGCAGTGGTGCAGTGGCGCAGCAGGCAGAAATGAAGCTAAGGAGTTAGCAACACGGCGAGAATAAAGGAGTTGGTAATGGGTACTCCCGTATGCGATCAGATGCAAAACTTTCACCGGCCAACATTTTCAGGATAGCCGGCACCGTAAACTTAGTAGCCAGCCGCTTCTGCACTTAAACTTTCCGAGCCCCACGAGGCGCCACTCGGACCCCGGGCTTTTTGGACCTGGGACGGAGCCCGAAATGTCCGGCCAAATCCTTGCCCCAGACGGGAAGGCGCCGCCGGGCTCCAATAGTCTTCCGTCCGGACGGACTATTCCCAGGCCTGGAATGAATGAACAAAAATAATAACAATCGCGATTTCCAGGATCTTGAATTAGTCGATATTACGTATTGAGCATATCTTCCCTTCGAGACAATTATAAAATCCAACTGCGTGACTGCTGTGGCGTTCTGCTGGTAGTTGCTCATCCAGAAGTGTGGCCCCCCTCGACATGTAAGTACTCCGTTTACAACGCCGAAGATTGAACTCCAGATTCTCTGAGGTTAAAAGAGCGTAACCATTACACAGTGGCCAGTACTGTTAGTATGAGGTGGCACTGGCAGCGAAGGTTCAGCAGACTCGATGGTCACGTATATTCAGCATACCTTCAAAGGTGAAATCAAATCGAATGAAAACTGCGCGTCTTCGAGGCTGAGTGTAAGAAATATGAAAGTGACGTTTGCTTCGAAAAGTCGATTGCCTAAGAAAATCCAGTGCTAGTTCCGGACCGCCGAGGCTCCCCATCTATTTATTCGTCTCTCGTCCACCTTTCTCTTCCTGCATCTTCTCTCATCCTCATCTCACCTCTTCTCTCCGCCCTCCTTCTCTCAACATCTTCCTGCCACATGTCCCTACCCTATTTGGTAGCTTCTTCTTTTCCTAACTTCGATAATTATGCTCAACTACAATCAACTCCGAACCACAAAATCAGCAACCAACTTAGAAGTCGCAACAACCCCAGCCCCCCACCCCCCAGGGACGTCGATATTGCGGTGTCGCGCATCCGTGGCATCTTCTGCGAGGTTGCGGCGAAGAGGCGTAGACCGACGAAGATGGTCCTCCTTCACCCGCCCTCAATGAACCTCAGTGCCACCGAGGCCATTGCCAACGAAAACCACGACCTCATCAACCGTCAGGTCACTGTCAAGCCCCTCCACCGCGCGCGCTCCCGAAAGTACGATCACTACTACATCCCGCGTCTATTCCAGAATCCGCCGCTGACATAGCAAATCATCAACAGTATCGGCAACAAACGATGCCGATCCTTCAAGTTTTGAAGTCAGGGGTTGGAAGCTTCCCTTCAATCCTACGGATCTGTGTCCGTCACCATCAATGAAAGTGAAACATCGCCATCGTTCTTACTTCTAGCTGCCAATAACTAATGGATTCGCAGAGAGCATCATCCATTACGGACGGTTGCTGCAGGAAAACTCGGTGTCCATTAGTAACGCAATAGCGTTTGATGATGTGGGTTACTCACACACCTCTTTATTGTCACTTGTTATTCATTATACTGATTGGTGCTTAAGCTATCGATGAATCGATAACACCTCGGTCCCCCACAAGCATGACCTTGATTCCAAGGCCCTCTGCGACGAGAGGATCCAAGCTCGGGAAGCAGAGACTTCCGAACCAACTCCTCCCAACAGCGGATCTTCCACTATTGGGCTTCCCGCGGGGAATATCAGCGATTGACTGTTATTCCCCGCAGGGATCCCCGCTAGAGCTACTGAGCCATCACACAGACTACTCCAGCTCCAAGCGGATGCGTTAACGCTCTGTGAAGACATCGCCGGAAGCAAGATTCGCCTGGAGCTGGTACAGCTTCGGCAGCAGGGATTGTCTCTCAATACGATCCGCGCGTTTGTCGGAAACGATGCAACCGACAAGGGTCTTTCGAACCACGGATATCGAAAGCTTGCAGACCGTGACGCCAGCTCGCTTGAGTCCCCTGATTCCGATCAGGACTCACATCGCTCTGAATTCGAGGAATACAATCACGAGAACGCCGCCAATAGTCCTGACGGCTCAGGTGTCGGATCAGAAGACCATTAATGTCACCCCCGACCGGAAATCCCGGTCGCGATGTTGCCCATCGTGGATGTCTTTTCCGTGCGGCTAATGCCGCTCCGAACGGCATCATTACGGGGAGGACGAGCAGTGATGGAACGGCTGTCCCCATGGTTGTCGACCGGGGCAACCGGCGACGACTACGACGTGAGTTTTTTGTGTTGTTTGGGAAGTCCAACAACGGATGTTCCGTAGTTGGACTTCCCCAACGTCAGCGCTTTGCTGATGTTCCTCGCTCGCATCCATGAGATGCCTTCCGCCCGCGGTACTATCCGCATTGATCGAGGACACCTACATCAGCGGTTCGGAAATCGACAGTATCCGACGAGCGTGCGGAAACAAAAACAAAGCCAGGACATCTGGCCAACGGCCCGATCCACAATGACCCATGTCTCCGCTGGGTAAGGTTGGCATCTATGAGATGCCCTCTGCCCGCGGTACTATCCGCATTGATCGAAGACGCCTACATCAGTGGTTAAGAAATCGACAATATCCGACGAGCCTGCGGAAACAAACACACCAGGATATGTGGCCAAAGGCCCGATCCATAATGACCCATTTTTTGCCGGGTAGGGGGTTTTTCCAGCCTTTGGCTGGTTTCCTCGTTAACAAAAACAACATTGTCTCCTGGCTTCAACGCGAGGGGATGAGGTTGCTTACGGTTACTCACGGTCCCTGCACCGCGCGGGGCACGACGTGTATCCATGGAGGCTTGAGGGCACGTATTAGGGGAGTAAATCATTCATTACGTACACTGTATGTAGTTAGAGCGATCCTTTGAAAACGGGTCGTCAAGCGGGACGCCGAAAACAGCTGACTGCATCCCATCTCAATGACATGCTTCACCATCACGACGGAGAGCTTCAAGATCTGTACCTGCACTTAAATCAAAGACGTGGGGTGATACAGAGCGAGTAACTCTTTTTCGATCGATTATTGGGTGTGCTCTGAATCGAGTGACTTCTTTTTGACGGATTACTGACCTTCACAGCTTGTCACCCGTTTTTGTTTCTCGCGAGGTGTTGTGAACATACGATGGGAGAGAGTATACTGAGATATTGGATGATGTTGATTGCTTAGCAAAATAGAAAGGAGCTTGGTACAAGACGGGGGTATGGTGATAGCTATGGTGGTGCCAAGCCTGAAATGAGACAGTCTAGGCCAGAATATACAACACGAGGAGTGTCAAGAAAAGTGGTATTTTGAAGTAGTTAGTGTACAGTGTATCAGACACAGCAGAACGAGAGGCATCTGTAAAGGCAGGCGGGATGGCCTCGGATAGAGGCCGATCGCCACCTGCCGTGAGAACGGATAACGGAAGTCACTCGACATAGAGAGTGATCTCGCATGACGCGGTCCACGGAAGTTCGTGATAGGTATCATGACAAGGAGGATCGGTCACGTTTTTATTGTGGGCATGTTCATTGTAAGTTGTGTCCTATTTGATTACGCGCGGCGCAAAGTCTATAGGAATCGCGTCGATATTGACGTCCAAGTACATCAATGAATCTCGTATGATCATTAAGTACCGGACTTGTTCCCATGCTGCGAAGCCCTCTACGAGACCTCCCATAATCACCGAGTCTTATGAGTATGCAAAACCGTTATTTGGTTGCCTATTTTGCAACAAGGGATACATGTTGTACAAATCCAACTCATTCCCCAGCTCCACTCTAAATCGGCTCCTTAGTGGGATCCCACGCAACAGGCTCGTATTTTCCGGTCTGCAAAGTTTTGACCTCTTCGTCCGTCAGCTCGAAGTCGAACACATCGGCATTCTCCCTAATCCTCTCTTCGTGCACTGATTTCGGCAGCGGCGTCCACCCCATCTGCAAGCTCCACCTGATCAACACCTGTGCCGAGGTCTTCCCATGTTTTTCCGCCAACCCCATCAACAGCGGATCGTCCATTCTCGTTGCCCTGACAACGGGCGAGTACGCCTGCACTGCCACCCCCTCTCGCGCGCACCAATCAACAATATCCGTCCGATCGAGCCACGGATGGAGCTCCCACTGGCCGACACTGAGCACGCCTCTATCCTGCTCACTCTGCTTTTCGCGCCATGCCTTCAGCTCGTCAAGATGCTGCACGCCATAGTTGGAGACGCCCAAACTCCTGATCTTGCCCTCCTTCTGGGCTTCGACCATGGCGCGCCACTGGCCGATCCGGTCCTCGGGGGTCCCGTACGGCGCGTGGATCAGGTACAGGTCGATATAGCCCTCTAGCTCGGCGTTCTCGGCGATGACGCCGTCGATCGACGCGGCAGTGCTCGCGTAGCCCCGCGTGCGCGGCGGAAGCTTCGTCGTGAAGAAGAGCTCGCTGCGGCTGAGGCTGGAGGCGGAGATCGCGAGCGTGCACGGCCGCTCGTTCCGGTAGGCGGTCGCGGAGTCGATGTGCCGGTACCCGGTGCGCAGGGCGAAGGCGACGATCGATTGGCAGGTGTTCGCGGGGCTGGCGGGAGGTTAGCGGAATCGTCTCGGGGAGTGGCGAGGGCGGCGGGGGAGCGGGGTCAACGTTTGGTAAACGCCCAGGCCGAGGCGTGGCATGCTGTGGCCACTGAGGAGACGGACGGTCGAGGTTATGGTCAGGCTTTGTGGCATTGCTGTTGCTGCGTCTGTGAGGTTGGGCATGGTGGAGTTGGAGGCTGAGCAGCGACGCAACTTGAGGTGTGGGTCTGTAGCGATGGGGATCGACGTGATACGATGTACTAACTACTTCGGTCGTGGTTATGTGGGATGTTACGTCAAGGATGATGTATAGGCTAAGTCCGCAAGCGAGACGTGCGACTAGCGAGGACTAGTGCCCCGCCTCTCACGATGACGTGAAACCCGTCCGAATCTCGGTCACATACAGGTTGGATTCAACTTGTACCTTGAGCCTGTCGCCTGATTTATGGTCCAGGGCACATAGTGTGCTATAATGACCTCGCCCGCCGGGGGTGCTCTGTTCTTGTACAGCAGGTAGCAAAATTACGGGAAGAAATTGGTACCGTAGCAAAGCTCGGATTCAAAACCACCTCGTCTTACTGCCGGGGGGCAGGGTGAATGAGGCAGAGAGTGATTTTTCATGGCAAATGTCTCTTGATAGACCAATGGCATCCAGAAGCCTCACACTCAGTTAGAACGGCACGCCGCCATGAGCTCGTCGATGATCTTCGCTTCGGGTCCCCCGCAGATAGGTAATGGCCGCACTAGGTCGCTGCGGGTATCACCACAATCACCCGCGAGTGAAGAGAAAGAACGTGATAAAATTTGAAGAAAAAAGCCCGTATACACTTCCCATAACCATCCTCGCTAGCCGCGTCACTTAAAAGAATGTTACGTACATAGTCGAGCACTACCTAGTAATCATCCTTTCCAACCGGAAACACTTCATAAAAGTAAGATGGAAGGAAAGAGATCGTAACGATATATATATCCTAGACGCAATGGCACTATGCAAGCACGACCGAGAAGCCAGCATACCTAGGAAGTTTCCTAGGCGGGAGGAGCACTTCCTGTCCAATGTGGGCTACTTAGGCATACGGCCGGAGGAACGCACACTCGAGGAGATCAGCGAACAGCTGCTGTTCGTCTATGTAATCCTCCGCATTTTTCCTTGGTGGCAGTTTGCGCCGTCGACGGCGGTCTCGAACCCCTTGATCATACTGTACATGATGTTGCTCGAGACTATATAGCAGCGAGACTTTTCGTCGTAGAGGTTCAGCCCACTGAGGTTCGCTTCGATATTCTGTCTAGTTTCGACGATGTATTGCTCGCGCGCTTCGGTAGGTGTAAGGTCTTCGTCGGTATCTAACATATTACGAATGTGCTGGTTGGCTTTGGATCGAACGATGAAAACGGGAACGTCGAACTCGCGGCAGTTCGCAAGAATTTCGGCATCGATCTCCGTGAAACGCTGTGAAAAAAAGTTTAGAATTGAGTGGTGCAGCGCGGCGCGGGTAGCTTTACGGTATCGTATACCAGAATAATGAAGTCAAAGATGAACAGTCCTTGCGTGATGAAGTACTTCCCCTGGGGTACGCCGGCAGTGCCTGCACCCGGGATATCGTACCATACAAATAGCTCGTATGGCATCCCCGGGCGACGATCGGAGTACCGTGTGACCTCAGAAGTTGTTTCAACGATCCCCACCGGAGCTGTCCCCGGACTCTTCGCCTTAATGCCTCGAAAGGCGTTGATCAGTGAACTCTTCCCCGATCCAGCTGCAACGCAGATGACAAAATGAAAGCGATCGGTTCGATACTGTAGCTTGATTTTGGTGTCTTCGACATCTTACGCGACAACCTCGTCACCTGGCTTTAAGCCTTCGGGTTGTCGGTGGCAGGATTTCGCTTCGCCGATTCGCCGTGTGTCTTTGACTTCTGTGGGGCGGGGTCTGTCTTCGCCGACTCGCTGTCGGTCTTGTAGGTCCTCATGAACGGATTTTCTTGATCCGGGGGAGCTACGAAGCTACGAAAGATGGCCATCAAAACGTTGTCTGTGAGAACGAATGGGAACAGGAGAATGCGACCGGGTGCCGTATCACGGTGCAGGTTTCCTATATTAGTGAGCATGAGAAACAGTTTTCATCTATGCGCTCTCAGATAGCAAACATGTTGGACTGCCGCGGACAGCACGCCACACCAGATGGTTATATAACAGGAGTGGGAACTCACACATGTGCTCACGAAGGTCCCCCGCTGAGGAAGCTACGTTGCCCATTTCGAGTGAAGATTTTGGCAGTTGTCGGAGAAATCTGGCTGTGTTGACAGCGAGGATGATCGTGTAGGTAGAAGCTGCTGTCTAAGGGAGGACGATGATTATATTGGATGAGAGACAGAGCAAGGTACTTATGCGGTAAAAGAGGGTTTCGCGAAGCTGCCCGCCTGCCTGGAACGACTGGCGACCGTGAGCTGAACTGCCAATGGAGTCCCGTGAACAGGGATGTTCAGATACTGTTGCCTGTTGTCGGCGACCACAAGCTTCTAGAGTAGAGCAGCCGCGTATGATCGCTACGCCGGATTGGAAACTTTCTATTCCAACTTCGGAAACACGAGTGATTTCCATGATGAGGAATGTGCTTCGCCCTGACGCAATCCCGGCAACAACCAATCAGTCCGGCATCCTTTGCTCATTCCGTGCCTGTCCAGACGTAAGATCTACTCGTAATGGCAGAGTTGGTACACATGCTACGCATCAGCTGCACCGCAATCTCGCGAGGATGGACTTTGCACAGCCATTTGGTGTGGCGGCGCTAATCGGGCGTCACTAGCCGACCTACACAACCTGTCGAAAGGCGTGTATTCGAGCTCGTGTCAACGTTCCGTCGCCCCTTGTCGCCACAGCTCGCCACAGCGCCTAAGAATGTACGCAGCGGCGCGCTTACCTCGACACTGGGGTAGGTACCTACTCTGCTCTCGCCACGGGAGTAACTGAAACTGGCTGGAGGTGTCGTCTCTCTCTCGATTCATGGCGTCGTATCTGCTAATTCGCGACCGGCAATGCGTGTGCCCAGAAACTTTCGTACCGCAGCGGCTGGCGGCGATTCGTAACTTTAGCCCGGCAGTCACCGCGATCTCAACCGGCGCCCATCCGCGCTGCGCCCGTCTCCACGTATGATGTTCGCGTATGTGGAAGTCTCCACCGCAGCTCCATCGAGATCACGAGTCAAAAATCACAAACCAAAGTCCAGGGCGTGCAAGTCTCGACCGAGTTCTCGGGACGGCAGTCGCAGGTTCGACGGAGCGAACGCAAAACTTCAAACCCGAACCGAGAAAGTTGCCACGATGCACTGTCACACTCTGCAGCTCCCCGCTCGCAGCTTGCTCGTATGTCTTGTGAGGATTGCAAGTCTGAACCAATTTCCTTTAGCAGCGCACCTAATACTGCGGATAGTTAACTAGGTATACCTAGTACATCGGAAACTCTGCTATGCTTGGGAGGAGAAAAGCACTAGCACTTCAGGCAGCGATGTTTCCGCCGGAATTGTGAACATTGATGCCGATTGTGCGTTTGTTGCGCACCTATGGCGGGCATATTCAAGACTGAAAAGGTGCAGGGTGTGAACACACACCCTGGACCTAATCAGATCCTAATCAGCAAAGCCGCGCCCCACTCACATTTTACTGTGCAGTACTGATAGATAATACAGAGTACTGAGCAGTACCTCTGACTTCCTGCTGCAAGGCAACCGTACTGTCTTATACCAGACACACAGTAGGGGCGGCTGGGGCGGCTGGGGCGGCTGGGACGGGCAGCAAGCTGGGGTTTGTACAGGGCCGTGATTGTAAGTAATGATCAGTACCGAGCGGTACCCCTATCGCCATATCGCCAGGCACAGTATTGATGGGTACTGCCTGCGGCCGAGGCGGGCAGGAAGCTGAGGCTGGTACAGGGCGGTAATTGCCAGTAATGTTGAGTACCAACCAACACCGCTATCGCCGCACCGCCGGGTGCAGTAATGACGAGTACTACCTGCGGCCGGGGCGGACAGGAAGCAGGGGATGATATAGATCTGCAATCGTCAATAATGCTCAGAAATGCTCAGTACCGAGCAGTACCAAGCAGTACCGCTATCGACGCACCACCGGTTGCAGTACTGGTGGGTACTGAATGCGGCTGGGCCGAGCAGGAAGATTGCAATGGTATAGATCTGTATCCATCGGTACTGCTCAGTACTTACTGGTACCGCTATCGCCGCACCGCTGAGAGCAGTACTGGTAGGTACAGAATGCGGCCAGAGCGGGCAGGAAGCTGTGGGTGGTATAGGTCCGTAACCATCCGCACTGCTCGGTACTGACTGGTACTGCTATCACCACATTCCAGGACACAATACTGGTGAGTATAGGCCTGACCCTGAACTGTTACATACAGGTTGTGAGCATACTTCACCACCATTGCAGATACATCAGCTTAGTCAATATTGTCCGCCGGGAATGCAATATCCCGCCTTTCATGTTGGGAGGTGCTGCATTTGGAAAGAATATGATATCTACATGCAGCTTTCCATGTCCAGCGCTGAAAATGATTGAAGTTTCCCGTCTCCAGCCATGACTACTCAGTATTTCGAGAGCAGCATTACAAGATACCCGGCCTTAGGAGGGTTCATCAGTTCTCAACCGGTTTTTTATGTTGAAATATCCGGTGAAGACTGGTACACATCAGTATCGGACTATACTTTACAGCATCCACCAACCAATCTTTATCCGTGTGGAGAGCACAATCTATCTCGCACTCTCAGTCCTGGTAGGATGCGTCTCAGAAGTTGGTAGATGGTAGTTGTACCATTCCCAAAGCTCATATGAAAGTCTTGAGGCCATCACGCAAGTCTAGTTGGGGCTTCGAGATAATGGCCCGTATATCACCTACTTTGAATATACGATGAAGGTAAGTTGATGCCAAATATCCACCAGCAGAGAATGCTGCCTTCAAGACAGCACACGTGAACTAAATACCCCGTGTAAAACGTTGCTACGATCAGAGCACAACTTCGCTTCAAGTTGCTGCTCACGGTTAGAAGCTGTACGCGCAGGTAAGATCCACAGTCGGGCATGTTTGACTGCACTGCTTGCTACTAATCAGTACTAAGCATCACACCGCGTTACCACCCACGAATGACCTTGCTCCATCTGGCCGCCGGAGGCAACCACCTGTACACGCGAGGCCACTGCGGACCCACATAGTGATAGCAGTATTACACGATGACATTACCCCTCCATATTCAGCAGTACTGCTGATTGCTGTACCGCTCATAGTGATATACTTCCCGCCTCCGATACAGCCAGCAGGGCTGTCAACCGTCCGTCCAGACTACAGTTCACTAGTGGACTATAGTCCCGTCCCGTCCCGTCTCGTCCCGGGAAGGCTTTCCAGAGGACTGATTGATTCCGTCCGGAGGATGAAATGCCCGGATACCCGCCAGGTACCTGTAGGTACCTGATAGCACTAGCGTGCTATGCTGACTACTAGTTTGCGGAGTAGTATAGCGCGGTGGCTACCAACAGAATTTTTAGCCTTGCGAAGAATTTTCGGCGTCGTCAAACAATCGAGCTCAGGGGATCGACACTGCTGGAAGTAGGAACGGGGATGGTGTGAAAGTTCCATATCGTGAGAGACGCTGCGAAATGGAGCCGCACAGCCGCACAGCCGCACAGCCGCACAGCCACACATCCGCACACCTGCGCCACTGTGTGGCGCCACGCTGTGTGCATTATCCTAGTGTCGGAGTCAATTCCGGGCCCTGTAGGGTATCCGTCCTCATTTCTCCAGCCCGGAAGACTGTAGTCATTGGTCTCCTCAGCCCGACTAATTCCTTCCCGGGCCGGGCAACCTCAAAGACGGACGGGACGGACGGTTGACAGCTAGGACAGCCAGGACAGGGCCGTACTGGGCCTGCCGATACGGTGATAGCGGTACTGCTTAATACTGCCGAGCACTCACCCTTCCGGAGTTTTACCGGTCACGATGTCCTGCCAACCGCGGTAACAGTCAGTACCACTCAGTACAGGGTCCGACGATGCGGCGATAGCGGTAGCGCTCTGTACCGATCGGTACTGACCGTTCTGGAGCTGTACCGCCCATAGTATTATGTCTGCCGCCGCCACAGTCAGTACGGGTCAGTACTTGGCCCGCCGATGCGACGATAGCAGTACTGCCTACTACTGCTCAGTTCTGACCGTTCCGGAGCTGAACCGGCCAACATATCCTGCCATCTGCGGAAACAGTCAGTACGGGTCAGTACTGGGCCCGGCGATGCGGCGATAGCGGTACCGCTCGGTACTGGACATTACTGATCATTACTGGCGGTTGCGGAAGTATACCATCCCAAGGTGCGTGCCCGGCCCAGCCGCATGCAGTACTGGTGAGTACTGCTCCCAGCAATGCGGCGATAGCGGTACCGCTCGGTACTGAACACTACTGACGATGGCAGACCTATACCTCCCCCAGTTTGCTGGCCGCCCTGGCCGCCCTGGCCGCATGTGGTACTGGTCAGTACTGCTCCCGGAAATGCGGCTATAGCAGTACTGCCTATTACTGCTCAGTTCTGACCGTTCCGGCCCGGCAATCCGGCGATAGCGGTACTGCTGGGTACGGAGCATTACCGATCATTACTGAAGATTGCAGACCTATGCCATCCAATCTGCCTGTCAGCCCCAGCCGCATGCAGTACTGGTTAGTACCGCTCCCGGCGATTCGGCGACAGTGGTACCTCTTGGCACTGACCATTACTGATCAGTACTGCACAGTATATTTTGAGCGGGCGCGGCTTTGCTGATTAGGACCTAATTTGGTCCAGTGTGCGTGTTTCGCACCCCGCATCTTTTCAGGTCTTGAATACGCCCGCCATAGGTGCTTGATTACTTCGTAACCTTTCCGTGACACAAGATTTATAGTAGGCTCGTAGCCAGATGGTGTTTTACATAGTACAGTCCAGCCCAGTCTTGCCCGACCCAAAGTCCAGGGACGGAACTGTAATACATTCATCAAGTCTATACTGAGGTCGGTGTTGCACGCACTACAGAGTCCATGAGAACGGTAGACCGGAATGGATGGCTGTCGACTGTAGCTGACTGCCAGTAATATAACAAGTACCGCTGAAACACAATGAGGCGACATGAATGACATCAGAGAACGCTCCGGCCAGCACGGAAGCACTAGGTTATTCCACCATCCGGAAGGGATGGACGAAGCGAGGCCGGAATGGTCCCACTGTTGACGTTCAGACAATGTAGAACACAGGTGTCTTGGACGGTGGTTCTGTGGAATTTATCACAGCGCGATACCCGTTACGCGAGTGACGACACGGGAGTCACGGGGTGCAGTCGACTGCCATTGACTGCCAACCGTTGTACATTTACAACGGAAGAATCATAAGGCACAGGGAATCACATCATACAGCGTTCAACAGTCCAGCAAGATGGCGAACGTGACGGAATATGTAGAACACAGGTGGTGTGGACAATAATCCGGTGCAAGTCTTCACGGCAAGTCACGAGTTTCACGAGTGACATGACATACTATCACGGCAGCAGCTATAATGAGATCGCAGATGGGTGGGCCAGGCAGGCAGCGGAAAACCCGGACGGCGATGGAGTAGAAAGGCTCTGGAAAGGTATTGAGTATGGACGCCGCCGTGACGTGCCCCTTCTAGTCTCACTGGCACAACTTAAGAGGCGGATTAGCGATGAAAAGTGGAGAGAGGCGCATCAGTGGTCACTGACCCGGATCAAAAATCGGCGGTACCATACCAGGGAGCCCTCGAAAAAGACCCCCTATGCGCTCCCTGCCAAAGCGCCAAAGAAGCTAGCCGCCCGCTTCAAGCAGCTGAAGACAGGGCATGCCATCACGGCGGTGTACCTGAAGTGGATTAAGAAGCGGGATGATGACCATTGCTGGTGTTGCGACAGGCCTACCAAGCAGTCCCGGGAGCACCTATTCAAAAACGGCTCACGGTTTAGAAGTCAACAGAAAGCCTTGTGAGCGAAGGTCGGGAAGGAGACGGAGAGAAGGAAAGAGAGGTGGTCGATAGCGGAGCTGTTCGCCGACGAGCGGTGCAGCGAGGCAATCCTAGAATTTCTGGAAACGACGGATGTGGGGAGGAAAGCACTAAAAGACATGGACGAGGATGAGGAGGAGGAAAGCATCGCATCGGGGGCAGAGCAAGAGTGCCCAGCAGGGTACTTTCCCTGCGGCCGGTGCGAAGAAGCAGGAGATGAGGATGGGCGGTGATACTTTCTTGGTGCGATTTCATTTGTTATTTGTTTGGTAGGCAGCGGCGCCACATCGTGCTGGCTGGTAACGGGGTCCTCACCACCGGCTGGCCTGAGTGAGCAGAAAAGAAGTGCGACGGTTCGCCATAGTCTAGATAGGCTAAACTGAGCAGGGCGAGTGACGCGCGGGTGGACCCCGTTGCAGACTGCTATTTCGCCGCTAAGCCTAAACGAGACTAAAAAACTTTCTCCTTCCATCTCTACTCTCCTCTCACCTCCACTCCTCTCCTCTTTCCTCATCATACCCTCACACGAACGCTCCCTCCGCGACAACCTCAAACGTCACCTATCCCAGCCCTCTTTTTCAACCAAAGGAACATCCGCAACAAGGTATTCTCCGTCGGTTTATGCTACTCTACATTTGAGCCCGGACTAATGCTGTAAGAAATGGACAAACCTGAAGGTCTCGCTGGTGTGTGGAAGCTGACGACGATCGTCCCGGCTGTTCTGGTGCTCTTCGCCGTGGTAGTTGTGCTCGTTATGCGCAAGATGGAGAGAATGCGTCGCGACATGGTTCGTCATCACCGCAATCCCCGATACGAAGCACTGCTGACTGGAAATAGAGGAACGGATTGCACTAGATGCTCGCCGCTTAGCTCCCTTCCGCCCTTGCAGAAATCATCAATGCGAATGGTAAGCTACGCACAATCCCAATTTCATCCATCACGCTCACTAACATCCTAACTTTATCCTAGGACGTGACTGAGGAGCTGGAGGTGGTGGTGATGGAAAGGTAACGGGTCGTTGTGTCTGCGTGCTTCAAATCGTGTTGCTTGTGTATATCGTCTTCCTCGTACATAACCCCATCATCAAAGTTCACCACTTCTCCCGTGTCTTGCCGAAGTTGTAATTCCTAGTTCCCTAACAGTGACATAACTATGTAGTCCGTTATGCCTAGCAATGCTCCCTAGAAGTGCTGCCAATATGTTCCAACACGTAGGTCCGTAGGATGATAACTTGTAGTGCACCAAGATACTCGGAAGCTCTGGTGAATCGGCGACGTACGTTTCCTACCCCGGTGGGTATTCGGTGAAGCTGGTGCTAACGAAGGATGGTAGTCGGTCAAAGTGAATGTATCGCGCGATGTCTTGATGGGAACATGTAAAACGTTTGCTGGGTTGGATGGGGGGTTATGGCGGCCGGCGCATGGGTGGGAATTTAGTGTGCAGAAGCTTTGCTGCGTGCGGCCGTCCATGACAATGTTTCTCTACAGAAATCTGCTGACTAGTCCAAAACGTGGATGGGCATATACTTGCGATCCGAAAAACGATCCGGATGAGCACTTGTATTGCCGGGTCGCAGTGTAACTGGAGGCTGCCCCGCGTCTGCAGAGACCCCTACCTACAACCATTCTCTACGTCTTCCAGCTCTCAGCTCTGAGGGGAGATGAGTAACAGTCGCTTCTTCTACCTACTAGCGACGAGGTGATATCTCTGTCCTAAGCGAGTCAGTACTCAGACAAAAGGCATCAACGATTGCATCTTTCCGCGCCCCCCCCCCCCCCCCACCCTACCTCACGACTCTGCAACGCGTAATAGCACGAACTCGAGGTCACCAAGCTCAACGAAAGGGAAACAGCCCTCAGGTCTCTATTCTTCAACAAGGGGCTCAACCATCTGACTGCCGTTGCGAACGTTCAAGAAAGAATAGTCTGTGGTAGGTCTGGTAGCTCCACTTCCAGCCGGAAGCTGAGTGATACGGACGCTTCGGCGGCCGAAGCGGAGAGGCTTTCACCACGATGCGTGCAACAAACAGAGCAACGCACAGCACGATGATGATGTATGAAGATAGTTGTTGATTCCAGTAGTCTCACCAGGCAGCAGTCCTCTATATAGACAACGCATCCAGCTCCACACGGTACTAGTACTCATGCTGCAGCTGTTTCTGCAGAGCTGGCCCACCGGGACAGTCAATGAGGGGAATTTGCGGATGCCATAGTAAGAGGGTTACTAAATGTATTACCGTAAAACGTTTGACGGAATTACGGATCAAACGAAGCCCATGCTCGTTAAAGAGAACGCGGATGTCCGAACACATCCAGTCAATCCTTCAGCTTCACCTATACCCACCATGGACCACTTCGTTCACCTCCGGACATAGGCAGACCGACCTTAGAATTCGAGCAGTATTCCGGACAGATGCTTGTGATGATTTCCAGCGGATACAATTGAAGAGAAACTATGAGACAGGAGTCCATCGACTGTCGCGCTCACGCCGTTCGTTGGATCCCCCATACAGACGGATTCACTACTTAGTGACCTAGTTTATGACGGGCCGCATACAAAAGTCACGATACTTGAAAGAGTTTGATCGGAGGATTAAAAACATTAACCAAAATGAAAATGACCAACTCCACAATATCGCCTGACTCACGTTGCCACGTGGAAGTTGGAGCTCATCAGTGTTATGTATGCGTGTAAAGAGTAGCGCCACCGCACCCAACCCTTAAGATACATCCCAAAACATAGGACTACGGCACTGACCATCATGACTCGGTATTTCTAACCACCTACCCTACGACAATCGTGCCCGATGATCGCAGATTAACCGGACCACTCCCTCATTACTCTAACCATCGCTAAGTGCACCGATGTACGCCCATGATCATCAGTGGCGGAGACATCGGCGCCCCTGTCCAGAAGTAACCGGACTACCGTCTCACGTCCGCTTGACGCTGCCTCGTGGAGCGCTGATCGTCCGAAGGCCGAAACTGCATCAACACAAAGACCTTCATCTAGCAGATGCCCAAGTACATCGTGCCGCCCTTCGCACGCAGCGTGAAACGGTGATAGGCATACCCGCAGATTTGTGTTAGGCGTTGAAAGCCCTCTATCCTTCAACATCCGTCTTCCTGCTCCATGAAAGCCCCACTTAAGCACTCGCAAACGATCAGGTATCGTTGTTGTTGAAGTAATTGCTGAGCAGCTGCAATGACTCCATCAACAAAGGTATCCGAGCTTTCCGAACGCTGCAAGAAACCACAAAGATGATGAATAACATCGGCGGTAGAAGTCTTCATTGCAGCTAGCACGAAGATTGCATGGTGGGTTACCAGCGCATACTTCTTGAAGTCGTGGGTACAACGGAGGATATGCTGGTCATACGCAAACAACATGGTATGGAGGAGTTTCGCGTCTAGTATCAAGTCATGAGTTGGCTATATCTCTCACTGATGTAGGGCTAACCAACCGAAAGCTGTTGCAAATGCAATCTGAATACCGGCTATGCTAAAAAGACCGACGACCGGCAACACTAGAGCGGTAAAGGATTCACCTGCTGTCAAATTAGCCATGTTACAGAGCGTCACGCTGCAGTTCTCCCGACAAAGCAACGTGGAAAAGACAATTCAATCTCATACCCCTTAGCTCTGCCAATGTTCTCCACCTCTGGTCATGAATGACTAAACGTGGCTACTTCGACTGCTTGTTGACAAGTAACAGCACTAATGATGGGGTGGGTAATCTTTGGTAATCGACCTGATACTGGGCAAATCTATGCGAACATTAGTTGTACAGCGATGGCTAGACTCGCCCGCGACATATAGTTGCAGACACTGGTACGCAACTGCGGGCAGTATTTCAAACGTGTCCACATGACTGGCGAGTAGAGGTTCGTCGCGGAGAACACAGACAACACCTATTTTTGAAACACGATGTGTTCGTCCTTCATAACCCACGTCCGCTCACCCGAAACCGAGCCTGGCTTTAGTGTTGAGTTTTTCGATTCGGACTCCCAGATCTGTAGCTGCTTGTCGTTGTCGAGAGTGGGAATTCCGAGAATTTGGGCCTCGACATATCCGAATTCATCTTTGATAGCCTACGTTGGGCGGTAGTGCATTGGGTTTTTGGGTGAGAATAGGTGTCGAAACTCACCTCGGTTAGATGTAGAACATCGTATCGCACGGTGGTTTCGATGTAGACCAGCTGAGGGTGCACAGTGATGATGTCCGTCAGGATCCACGAAGCCTTCAACAGGTTGACATATGCCTCCTTTGGCACAGTATCGATTGCGGTACGAAAATCCGTATGCGCCTGCGCCGCCAACTATCAGTCACTTTGTCGGTTAGGATACAGCGGAGCATTGCAGCCTCTTACTCTTAGTATCCACCACCTGCCAGTAGTGATACAGTCTTCGATGCCGATTGCCGTCCAGCGCTGCGAAGTCAGGGCCGCCTCCATACACTTTTGGCTGAATTCAATCCTCACCGTACTATCCGCTAACGACGAAGCCACAGGGAGAGATACGTTTCCTGTGTCGGCTCGCTTGAGGAACATCTGGATCTCCTGGACACCAGCGTCGATGGATTGGGTGGTGACCTCCAGGCGTTGGAGCGACGATCTAAATGCGCAGTTCATCAACACGTTCTGGAGGGCGCACTCCGGTTGGGGTCACCGTACTGCCGAGCGCAGGTGAGAAGCAAAGCCAGTAGGCCATTGTGGTAGGAAAGCTGGAGCGAACAATCGATCAGTACATGTGAGGAAGCGCTGGTAAAACCAGATTCGACAGTGACCGAGGCATCCCACCTTGTTCCGCAAGCCATCCACGTCCCTCGCACTCACTGCCCATTTGAACTGACCCCAACCTTTTTTCATACTGCTCCGAGAAACGTTGCCTAGATTGCGATGCTTGTTGAAAAAATCGGCCAGATCACTCAGGGTCTTTTTTACCTGCTCCAACAGATCCTTCACCATCCGTAGACGCTCTTCCCCGGCTCGCACCGGAACGGACGTCGGATCTTTGCATTCGTCTTCGAAAAGCTTCATGTCGCATGCAGGGTCTTCAACTCGTCAACCAGCATCCGGAATTCCTGGGGAGCTCCCCGGGCGATCAGGAAGCAGTCGCGGTAAAGGCGCCAAGTCAGCTCGCCGGCCGCAATGAAGTCTCCGACACCGAGTCCGAATGCCATTTCGCGTGTTCCGTTGAGGTGTTTGAATTTTCTTGATGCTGGAATTGTGATGATCGTTGTGGGAGAAGCGATCACCGCTCCAAAAGCGGGGACGACACATTTTCAGCCTCAGAGCCTGCCAGCCAATCGCGACTGCATGCTCGTTTGAAACCCGCTGTCTGGGCGCCTATCGGCACATCGCTGCAGATAAGACCCGCACCACGCGAAAGCTTCATCACCTCTTCTGGAGCCGTCTGAGGTGAGTCCGGGCATCTCCGTCCCCCGCGCTACCTGTGAAGGAAGAGAACTCCAGGCCGTGGAAACGAGGCGGGTAAAGGCTTACTGCACGAGGATGAGGGAAAACCGGGGACGAAGATTAGCTAGATAAGAAGGTTGAGGCTGGAGAAAGTCAGGTAAATACATATCGATTAGGTTTCTCTCAAGGCTACGCGAAGAAGTTTGACTGTCCCATGTGGCGAAGCCCCATCGTGGCGCAGCCATAGTGGCGTTGAGTGCGTTCTGAGAGGGAGATCTGAGCTCCGGGGCACCAACCGGGGGCTTTAGGTACGTACAGTACTAGCCCTTTTTACACCAAAAATGGTCATTTTCAACCACCGATACAACAACCACAACGTATCGAAAAAAATCAGAGACCATCGGGAGACCTCTATAACTACACCGAAAACGATATGGAACTCCTCATGGGGTTCTGAATTGTTGTTGTGGAGCAATACCACACGGGAGAAAAGTTGTTGGTTGCCAAGTAGCTTTTTGTATGGGAGCCCCATACAAAATGTAATGTCACTTATCAACTCCTGCACAATACAACGTCGTACAGCCCCAATCCGTGATGAAAGTCGTCAAAGTTTTTATTGATGAAGCAGCTTGTGATTCTAATGCTTCTGTGAAAGAAACGATTTTTTTCGACCGGGTGGATGGTATGTTTGGGTTGCATGAAAATGGGAACTTTTGTATAAAACGGGCTTTGTCCAATCCTTTTTGTCATAGTACTTTAGGATCTGCCAAAATACGTCCGACCGACCGTTGGAAGGAGACTAAAAATAAGAAGAAGAAGCTTTCTAATATGGACAAGATGATGGTCGTGAACTCGAGCTCTCTCGCCTAAGCTCTCGTAGTGGCACCGTACCAAGCTGCCAAGGCGCACTACGGCCAAGCCTCCTATTCCCGTGGGCCGTCGTGTTGCGCCTGACCTGGTCCCCACGCACACCTGGTATGCTATCTAATCTAACATCGGATCTGATCTTCTCTTATCGCATCTCGCGGATGTATGTACCACGAAAAGAATTCCGGAAATAAATCGCGTCAGTAAAGTTCTGCGCAATTCTGAACGGAATGAAACGTCTGTTTCGGTTCTCGATTGTCATGTGGACTAAACAGATCAGACCCAACGGTTCTCGCAGCCGTGCGTTAGTCAGCTAATCGTGCGGGCTTTTTGTCTGTCGACTAGACTACCTGACGTAGACTGTAGAAGCACCAGTGGAGCTTCCAGAATCCAGGCCTAGAGACGTATCTTCAGACCGCATCACGCAATCGGTGAATGCCTCATCCAGTACGTAGGACTGTCGCTTGCGAACCACAAGCGAGATTCCCAGCAGACGGTACACCCACGACTTCATATGTAACAGAAATGACTGCCACCCGAAAGTTCTTCGTTTTGGGTGTCGCCATTGATGGAAGACCGGTGGACGGAACGACTTCAGTCTCCCCCCCATCCCCCCCCCCCCCCCCCCCCCCCAGGCTCCGATGCCATCCATAGTTCCTGGCTTCCAACGGGGCGAACCAGCTCCGTCCCGGCCATAGGTAGTCGTATTTATGCACCTAGAACTCGACGACCACCTGCGCCAACAGGTGTCAGGCACCACCGGAGTTTACCGTTGAAAATCAATTTAAAGATGCGGGGTTACATACGAGGTAAGCAGTAGGCTCCACGTTTCAGTCCTTATGTAAACACTAGGTAGGTAGGGATACTGCCAAGTTGCGAGATCGTCAGGCAGGCAGGCCATGGGGAAGAGGATGGTTTAGCCGATTTTAGTCTGAATCTGACCTCTCCCGAACTCCGTGACTGGGGATGACGTTTCGACGGGTATTTTAACCGGACTCAGCTGCCATCCCATCCAATCCCATCGAAGATTCGAGGGGGCCGGATTGCCGGGAAGTCCTTGTGGAATCACGGAAAAAGTCGTCGCGAGAGAGAGAGAGAGAAAGTTCTGCAAGCTGCCACCGAGACTCTAGAGCCTCTTCTTGGAATGAAATGAAGTCGCTCATCCGGCGAACATGATCCTTTCACCCGGCGGAAGCCCGTTGACGAGAGAGTATGAGTGAGACTTAAAAGCTTAATTTGTAGTATGTCGTTCACAGCTCGCTCTCTTTTTTGGCTATTCTGCATCGGATTTCGGGCCGAACCACACACCGATGCCGACCAGTCCGAGGAAACTGTTCTATACACAACCACAACCTCAACTTCAGTTTTGAACTACCTTTTATCTAGTAGTATACTGTATATTAATCGTGTACTCGCGTCATACATAGCTATCTGTGTAGTAGCCGGGAAGACCTTCGCCGAGATCTTGGAGACGCAGTCAAAGTCAACCTAGCAATTCGTACATATGCTACGCATCCCTGCTTGCCTGTCACAGTCAGACCCCCCCCCCCCCCCCCCCCTCACGTGTCCGAGGCCACAACCGATGCGGGGCGGTAATTTTACTACAGTGGGTGGTTTATATTGCGGGCTATACCTACATTAGTTCCGGGTGTCATTCTCCCGGAGACGATGCACCCCGGACAAGACCAGATGGCCAGATCATGGTGACATGGTCCTGCAGAATCGGGAGATACTTATGTGATACCGAGAACCGTGCGCATCTCGAATATGGATGGAATGTATGGGATGTGTGGGGAAATACATTGACAGCTGTAGGGTACAGTAGGGTAGGCTGTAGTTAGCGTACGTAGGCTGTAACTACAGTGTAGCGTCTACAGGCTGGAGCGTACTAGCACGGTATGTAGGCTGTAGCGTCTACAGGCACCGCACTGCACGCCCTTCATATATTCGATTCCCCACAAAATTTACCGATGTTGCAATTTGCGACGTAGGTACACTCAGGAATCACCGGCCGCGATGCCGATGCCGACTGCTCGGCCTTACAGGGTGCAGCATTTGCCATTCGATTTGCTTCGTATAAAGACCATCGTCCTTCGCACTCTGCTTATACCAGTATCCCACTGCCCTTCACAAGCTTTTCAGCTCCGAACGTACATACTCACCACCTCACTCACTCGAAGTCACCGCCACAGCCACCGCCACAATGGTCCAAATCTCCGTCCTTCTTTCCGCCGCTCTGACGCTGCTGCCGCTGGCTTCATGCGCCAAGATCCTCCTCGCCGGTGATTCCACCATGGCCCAGTCGTCGTCGGCTACTCAGCAGGGGTCAGTTCCAGGACAGCACCCCCTCCCCCAATCACATCACATCACTAACCACTAATGTGTTTCGCAACAGATGGGGAACCCCCTTCGCGCAGTACATGAACATCGAAGTAGTCAACCTAGCGCGCGGCGGGCGGTCCGCACGGTCCTACACACGTGAGGGGCTATTCGACGCCTTGGTAACGCAGATCGTAGCGGGCGACTACGTCGTGATCGAGTTCGGGCACAACGACGGGTACGTATCCCCCTCCCCACCCCCCATTGCTTCCTCGCCTCTCTAACACTCCCTCAGGGGCAGCACCTCAACCTCCGAGCGCGCCCCTGTCGGCGGCACGGGCACGGACACGGAAACGGTCACGCTGGCCGATGGCACCGTCGAGGTGGTGCAGACGTTCGTGACGTACGAGCGGAACATGGTCGCCAAGGTCCTGGCCAAGGGCGGGATTCCGATTATTTCCAGCCAGACGCCCAATGGCGATGCGTGGAACACTGCGCTCACTGCGATCGGCACACCACCGAGGTTTGTCGGCTATGCCGAGGTCGCCGCCGCTCAGAGCGGCGCCGTCTATATGGATCATTGGAAGGTGAGTAGTGTGTGCGGGAGTGCGGAATCATCGGTGTGACTGACAGTATTGCAGTGGACTGCTATTGCCTACGAGGACCTGGGTTACAGCGCCGTCTACCCCACCCTGTTCCCCCAGGACCATACCCACACCAACCCCGCCGGCGCCGACGTCGTCGCCAAGGCGTTCGTCAACGGCCTCAAGTGCATCAGCCACCCGCTCGCGTCGCTACTGACGACAGCGGGCAATGCGATCCCGAAGGTGTGCTCATAGTCGGGTCTTGTAGAATGTATGATGTGGAACAAAATGTATGATGTATTGTATCGAGTTGGGGGAAATGGGGAGGGGGAGAGATGTGGCATTGTGCGAAAATGAATTATCGTCAAAAAAAACACTCTGATTTCTGCTTTGTCCCGTGAGGGACAAGTTTCATTCATTCCCGATTGCGCTCGCCCGGTGTGGACTTCCATTTATGTCTCCACTGCACCGTACCGGTGCACGGGAGAGCACAGCGGCCGACCGACTCGGAGGCCCGTTTCCGCCAATTTCCGCCGGTTGACGGTCTCTCCGGGGAAGGTGAAACTTCAAAGTGTGGGCAGCTCGACTGCTCGCCCCCAGCGAGTTTTCCTTTGCTTTGTTTTTTGTTTTCCGAAAAAAGACAAATGGTTCGATCCCTTGCCTTTACTTTCGTCTGCGGAGGGTGGAGGTGATCCATGACCCATCACGCGGAGGGTCCCTACTGCTGCGATGTTTTCGTTCCCGAGATCAGGAGAGTGGACATGCGACTCACGATATCGAAGCGTTTTGCCTGTGGGGTGAGATGGCGCCCTGCAGTGACGTGCAGAGCAGTAGCCGGCCAACTTGACCTGATGCGGTACTTACCTCTCTGTTGCGGAGTGCGTCAAGCGTGAGGTGCTTAGTGAATACTGAAGGGGGAAAACGGTCGGCAGACCGCGGAGGGTGCTTGTTATATAGATTATGATTCATAGATCTGTGGCTAGTCGGTACTTCCAACATAGACTTGGTCGTACGCGGGATTCCCAAGCGCACTGATAGTGAGTACAGAGCTCGAGTACGTAGATAGGTCGGCCATTATCGGTAGTCCGTGACCCCCAACCTTACCAGCGCAGTGCTGTTTCGGTAATCGTGCTAATTCCACACCTCGACGCAGTCCAGAAATAACGGTTGATGGTATTGCCGGGATGTTGGATGTATGCAGGGCCGCGGCGGAAGCATGGGCGCTCACATCGGACTGTGGCCGCTTTCGTCCACGATTCGAGTTTCGATTGGAGTAGGTAATCAGGTAGGCATATCCGGCAAAGCGTGTGTTGCTCGCCACGTCTACATGCCTGCTCCGAGTCCGCCGTTATGTGTCTCATGCGCGTCTGGCAGCCGAAGCGGTGACACCACACCACACACCACACCCCACACACCGTCGCACCCAGCCGTCCCGTCCCGTCCGAAGAATGAACACTGCCCCTCGGTAGCTATCCGACCGACCGTTGGTCGCAATAATCTGCAGGTTCCCTTCCCCCGCCCTCCCCCGCCCTTACCTGACTCCCGAGTCTCAGATCTCTCGCCCGGATTCGGGAGTGCCCTTGCTGAATCCCGCAGTCTGACACATGTACTACGGTCATCGTGAGCGGTGGGCATCAATAAGCTGATTCATTCTAGGCCTATAACTGAGTGCATATATAGGTATACGGCTTCAACTCTGCCCCAGATGCACGGCAACGGTAGCGAATGGATTGAGTCCTTCCTTGCTCTAGCCGCGGATATACGGCCGCCATAAGTGTGTGTGTAGGAGGTCGGAGGACCTTCGTCGTGATGGATCATTGCTGTGAAGATTCAGGTTGCGAGTCTCCTTCAAGCCGAAGGTGTTACGGTTAGTCCTGAATACGGTACATGTGTACATGCGCTAAAATCGAGTCTCAGCACCCCCGACCCGGCTGTTCTACGTAACCTAACCTGGGCACTTCGTCTCTACATCATACACGAACACATTCCGTCCAGCTGCTGGAGTCCCTCCAACCGGCTCCCCACCCGATGCAACCGTCACACAACCACCCAGAACCAGTCTTGACTCTTCACTCGAGGTTTCTGCTTCCCGTCGGCGGGGCACATAGCATACCTAGCGATATTGTTTGCCGCAAACGTCACTTTGCTCGTCTTCGGATGATCACCGCTACGCTACGCTTCCGGTAGTTGCATATCGCTGGTGGGATGGAATCCATAGACGAACGACTTTGGTGAAGTTGAACAGTTGAACGGATCGGCTGCTGGCTGGCTTGGATGTTGGGATATTGAAGGGATAACTGAACTGAACGGAGGTATCACCTGCGTATGTAGCAGTGGATACTGATGGCCCTTCCGTATTTAAAGACGGATCTTTCCTCCCATTTCCTTCTATCCAGACAAGCTTCAGGCCTCACTCGCCTTGCCATCTTCTCTATCGATTCGACCTTCAAACCCCAACTTTACAACAAACCATGGCGCCTCCTTCCGCTCTCATTCTCGGGTTCCTCGCGATCGCCGGCCTTGCCAATGCGCAGGACCCATACCCGATCACCTCATTCCCTCCCTGGAACTACACCGGCTGCGCCAACGAGCCGGCGATGGGGCGCGCCCTCGACGGCGCCTCTACCGCGGGAAACATGACGGCGCAGGCGTGTCTCGATTACTGCACCATGGCCGACTTTGGTCTCGCCGGTCTAGAATATGGCAACGAGTAACCCTCCACCCTCCGCCCCCCCCCCCCCCCCCCCCTTCCCTTCCGTTCCCCATACCAACACCTCTAGATGCTTCTGCGGCAACACCCTGAAGGGCAACTCGACGTACGGCCAAACGGGCTGCGACCTTCCCTGCAGCGGCGACAGCTCGCAAGTCTGCGGCGGCGCGAACCGCTTGACGGTGTATAGCAATAGCGCGTTCGTCCCCCCCTCCAACGCGCCCAAAGTCGGGGTGTTCGCGCTGCAGGGCTGCTTTACCGAGGGCAAGACCGAGCGCTTGCTGTCGGGATACTCCTTCGCCAGCGCGAACATGACGGTCGACGTTTGCGTCGACACCTGCCAGAGCCTGGCGTACGTCTACGCCGGTGTCGAGTATAGCACTGAGTGCTACTGCGCGGATACTCTGAGTAATCAGACCACCCAGGCACCCCCGATGGACTGCGAGTTTAAGTGCGGCGGAAATAAGAAGCAGTTCTGTGGTGGCGCTGATCGCGTGCTGCTTTATGCTAGGAACGAGGTGCGAGCAGATTTGTGTATCCCCCCATAAGTGAGACGACCGCTAACTTGTCCCTTCCTTTCTAGACTGCGCCCACCCGTCGCCGCAGACTGAACAGGCTGCACTGAGAGGCTGCAGAGCTACCGTTCCTGGCACAGTGCACATGGGCTCATAGAATGGGGATGGCGAATGAGGGGAGCAGAATTAGGCTCTAGAGTCGGTTTCTCCGGTGGAGTAGTTGAAGTTTTACAGTTATGCAATAAATTCTCTGGCCAGAATACGGGTGTCTTCGTCGCGGGACATGAAATATAACGCATGCGCTAAACTCGATTTGGTATTCCGAGTGACAATCATGGGTTTTCTGGAGGGGAGCTGAGAACAGCCGCTCCGGACTTATGTGTTCGAACACTAATCTATCGTGGCCCTGGGATACACAGGTGCAAATTTCTGAGTAGATGTGCCAATATCGTCACAAAGTATTCGAACTTCATCATTGAGTAGACTCGGTAGATCATCCCTAATTGCGCTAGACCATAGGCGGACAAATGAGTGATACGATATGCCCAGGATGTAACCGGTGACCACCCTGTCAGGCTATTACGAGGTACATAACTACCGCAGTTACCAGTAGAGCAGATGCCAGATGGGAGGACTATGATGAAACAAAACACGACCGCGGGCAACTTCCCGCAGGGGCACCCTCAGCAAGACCCCTTGTTCCGACTCCCGACTCCCGCGATCGCGGGTGTCTGCACCACCGCGTGGAAGCCCTCGCCGAGGGGGCCATAAAAGTTCCGACTCCCCTATTGTTTCATGTGGCCGCACGCGTGCTCCCAATGAACGAACAAAGCCCAGTGCCCAATACTGACGAGACCCGCGCTGGGAATCGATATCCTTCATGCTCCCTCCTTGGTACCTAGATACCTATGTAGAGTGGGGTATATAGTTTATGACTGTGACCGAGGAGGACGACGGAGGTATCCGAGTAGCCATGTTTCGCGCGCACTTGCGCCCCCCCTACCCCCATAGTTAATTACCAATTACCAGTTACCACTAGAAATCTACACACATTCGCCGCAAAGCGTGGCGATGCGTGGCGGTGTCTGAGTGGGCGCGCGCGCCACAGTGCCTAACGTGGCGGTCGGAGTGCATGTGCGCCCCGCCAGCACGACTTATTCCTGCGTCGCGCGGGGAGTGGCATTCACCAATGGATGCATACACAGGTACATATCAAGGCGACCATCCACGACGCAGTGCGCCCCTAAGTGCGAGTGTCAATCCACGGTGAGTCGGTGACGATGGCAGCAGCCAATCGGTACTTGTATCGTTCATACTTGTGCTGCGTGCATCGGCGTCGGCGGATGTGGCCGAGCTGAGCATGCATGGGACTGGACGGGCGGGACTGCACGGATCGCGCGCGATCGGGATTCGGGACATCTCGATTCTCATGAACGCTGGAGAAACCGTTGCACTCACATCACTTCCGAGCCCATCGACATGCTACTCATTACTGTCATCCGTCATCCATCCCGTCCTCTGGAATTATTGCTAAGCTGAAAACTTAAAGCCCGCCATCGAAACTCGCTAAATCCCATATCCGAATAGCACTCCGTAGTTTCGTCCCTTCCATCATATCCAGTGACAAAGAAAACTCATCCGATCGTAAACACATCCGCCATACTATTCCTCGAACATCCACTGCCGACCCGACCCGATCCGGCCATCCCATCCCATCCAGACGCCCGACTCCAAATCCGAAACCGAAAACTCCAAAAGCCTCCTCCGCATCCCGTTGAAATCCGTACTTTACCGACCATTCCCATCGCTACAGCTTGATACTCCCCGCCAAAAGCTGCAACAACTATATTCCCCACCACCCGTTAGCTCCCCGCCATCCAATCCGATCTGATGCTTCAAGAGAACTCACCCAAGTATTCAACTGCCCCCTACTCTGCGCCTCGCCGAGTGCCCAGTCCAGCGACTCATCGGTCGAAAACAGTAGATCGTTCACCTCCTCGTCTTCCTCGAGGCTGCGGACAAAGCTCTTGGCTTTGGAGGAGGTGCCGACGCGGGCGATGTGGAAGACGACGGCTACAAGAAGGTAAGGGGTTAATAATGAAACATTGGGGGACAGGGAGACGGGGGGTGTTACAGGATGGGCCGTAGCTACTTCTGCCGCAGGAGTGCTTCGATAACTCGTTCTTTGTCGCGAGAATGGCATTCTTGAGCATGTCCTCGTCTTCTCCGCTCGGCTATCGCACAGGCATCAGCGGCGGGCTCCAATCTATGATCACACCCCCGAACGCGCAGAAAATACCTCGCCATCCGTCACAATGATAACAACGACGGGCCTATCCAGCTCCCCTCGCCTGGCCCTATCCAGTATGAGCGGCTGAATAACCTTCGTGACGAGCCTGGTGCCCAGCTGCGTCCCCCCCTTAGGCACCACCGTATCGAGACACGTCTCAACCTGCTCCTCTGTAACAATCCCATCGAAGCCCCCGTCATTTGTAGCATTAACAAACCTGATCTTGATTCCACGGGGATTATAAGCGCCAGCAATCCGTGCGATGCGTCTCACCACCGTGCGGAGCGTACCATACCGCTCCTCGATGTTCATCGACCCCGAGTCGTCGCAGAACACGATCACGTCGTAGAGGCCGATAAGCGCCAGGTCCGGCAGCGCCCATCGAGAGAGCTCGAGAGCCTCGCAGATCCCGGGTGCACGTGCTCCGCGAGCGCAGTCCGCGGCGGCTTTGCGTGCTATCTGGCGAGGGTGAGGGTTGGTGGATGGGAATAGTGCCTGCAGGTGAGAGCGCGAGATGAAGGAGGTGAGGGTGGCGTAGTGATCCGCTTCAGTCTGTGGGAGGGGACTGTCTTCGCGGTAGGTGAAGGTTGGCCGTGTTATCAATACGGCGGATGAGGCCACGGCGGTCGTCGTCGTGTCGGTTGTGTGGTAGGCGTGCCGTCGTTGGATGCCCGGCCCGGTGCAGTGCCTCCGCGGCGAGTTTTTTGACGTCGAATAGCATGTATTCGGTCCTGGAGCGTGGATCGGCGGCCTGCGCCTGTTGGCGGGTGAGTCCGGGGTTCCGGTGGGCAGTAGTGGTGGTGGTGGTATCAGGAGGAGTGGGAGTAGTAAGCGTTACTTGCGCTGTCGCAACTGCTGCGCCTTTGGTCTCAGCTCCCGTAGATGTCGCTTTATTTTTTTGTTTTTTTGTAGATTTCGCCCGTCGCCGTCGGGCCTCGGACGAAACTTCCGTCCGCGATGCTTCTCCATTCGATTTCGAGTCTGCGCGCGACATTCCCACACTCCCCTTGCTAGCCGATCCCGCCGCCGCCTTCTTCCGCGTCTTCGCCGCCGCCGGACGTGGCTTCTGCATGCCATCGATGTAGGCATCATCGGACGACACGACGTACTCCTTGTCAGTATCGTCGTCCGGGTTGTGGTAGTTCGGGTCGACTGTTCTCGTGAGACGTTAGTGGTGTTGTCGAGCGGCGGGGAAAGGAACAGGGGTGAGAAGGCAAACTTACGTACCGTCTTCAAGGAGGATCGGCTTCTTTCTGGCTGACCTGCGCCGGAGGACGTCGCCATTGGACCCTGTGGCTTCGGCGGCATTCACGGCAGAAGAACGATGACCTCCTCCCCTCGAAGACCTATGACTGGCGGACTTTGACCGCGAAAGCTTGCTGGTCGCAGCAGCACTCCTCCTATCCCCCCCATCATGATCGTCGTCGTCGTCGTGGTCGAGCATGTTGACCATGTTCGCACGGGGATCCATGGCATCACTCTTACTCCTGTGCCGATGACCGCCATGTTTCCGTTCGCCACTGCTACCGCCCCGGCTGCTTTCGTGGCCAACCATTGTGGCGACACCGGCCGTGATTTCGGAGACTTCACCCTTGCTCCGATGCCGATGCGCCGCGTCCTTCCTCGAGTTGCGTCTCCCCGCGCCCATCCCACCGCTATGTTCCGTGTCGTGATCGAGCATGTTGACCATCCCCGCGCGCACGTCGTTTCCGTTCCCGTTCTGCCCGCCGATAGCGTACCCGGCCGCCGCCTCGTCGGTCCTGGTCCTGTAGCGCGACGACTTCGGTCGCTCCACCACTACCACCTCCTCGCGGCCAGCGCCGTGATTCCGTTTCCCGAGCATATTGACGATTCTCCCCTTCAAAATCCCCGCGCGCGAATCCTGCTCCGTGGTAACATTGCCGTTGACAGCCCTCGGCCTATACTCAGTCTCCAGATCCCTCCTATTCGCCGCGGTCGCCGCACTCGCGCGCCCAGACGACGCCCTCCTCTCCTCAGTGCGATACCCGCTATCGTCATGACTTCCCCTTCTTGCCGTCGAATGCCGTTTCTCTCCAAGATGACTCTCTCCATACCCCAGATGCGAGTTCGCCGCGCTAACCTTCGCACGCCGGTGCTGCGAGTCCGTCGACGTCGTGAACCCTGTAACCCCGCTCAGCGCGCGCTCGGCGGCCGCGCGGCCATCCACGTTACTCCCACTCCTGCGGCGCGCTCTCTTCTCCGCGCGCGCACGCTCGCTGACACTCAAATCCGTCGCAGCGGCGCCGGCTGTGGCGCCATCCACCCCCGAGCGCGACCGGCGGTGGCTGTGGCTGTGGGAATGGCTGCTGCGAATGCGTCCGTCGGCGTCCGCGCCGACTGAGCGCGACCGACTGCGCTTCTCGGGGTTGTAGGAATGGCGCCGGTGAGTGCTGGTTTGGCTGCGGCGCGCGGAGACGCTGGAGGCGCCGGTGTCGCGCGCGATCCGCACGCGCGTGTTGCGGTGGTGCTTCAGTGACTTCGGTTTGCGCGTGCGCGATTTCGAGCGTGAGCGGGGGGGAGAGGCGGCGTCTTCGAGGATCTTCCGCCGGTCGCAGCAGCACGACCAGAGGTGCGCGAAGGGGATGCAGCACATCGTAGAGGAGGCGGCGATGCGGTGTAGAGGGCGCGACGAGTAAGGAACTGGGTCTTCACTTCACTGAAAAGCGGGGACAGGTTCGAGTGGGCGAGGGGAACAAAGGGAGTATATCTATCAGTGCGTACTATAGTGAGGGGGCCAATGTGAGGGTGGGGGGGGAGGGGCTGGGACCGAAGCGGCAAGTGCAAGTAAGAATCCCACGGCGCGATGAAATGCGATGGCTGGAGCCTACTCCGTCGAGGAAAAAAAAGGAAAGCCAGATTAGATTTGCGGTGGGAAAAAGGAAATCATGCTGCGGGCGCCGGGGCGGAGGAGGGTAGGCAAACGCCCAATACATAATGAACCCGAACGGGGATGGTGATTGGACTGGTTCGTGGGGCTGCGGACATGAAGCTGAGACAGACCGTGTGGGCCAAACGAATGCAGCGAACCAACGGACAAGACGATAGGATTGGCGGGCAGAGGAGATGCAGGTGCTGCCCGAGTTCAGTGCCTGCGGGAGGGGATGATGGATATGGGAGTTCACGAGAGACGGTACGATAGACTCGAGAGTGCTTGCATCCGATGACGAGAGACTACATATCGATACCAGCACGAACGGAGGGTGCGCAATAGAGGCGAAGTCCAGTCTCCAGATAATCTGCTTGTTGGTCCTGACAGTCTCAGTATAGTATCAAGTACTACGTACTCGCACAGCATCCCTGACAATGATTGGTGAAGTGTGGGAAGTGAGGGGCAAGCGCGAGCGACATGTGCTTCTGAAGCAGTGGAGTGGAGTGGAGTAATGGGGACTGTTGGGTAGTACCCAGTACATAGTGGCTGGCCCCGTCTCTCAGAGTCAGACGGTCATGTCAAAGACTCCGAGACTCAGAGTAATTGCCCTTCCTTTTGATTCCTCGGCCCCCGCCCACGAACGAAAACTATCCTCCTTTCGGAAAGTTCCCTCCTCTCGCTCCTCGCCTCGTGCGCGCGGACTCTGCATCCTTATCAGCCACTGCAGACTTCTGCAGCCATATGCGCATGCAAACGCGGCGTTCGACGATCACCGGGCGACGGCGACATGGGGCGTGGGCATGGCGCACCGTAGGGAGCTGCGACTAACTAGTATGATTGGGGACGTCTGGATCCTTTGACGTTCGGTTAGTTAACAACAACCAAATTTTTAAGAAGAGCTCTGTACAGCGATAGAGAAGAGGCAGGAGATGATTTACACAGCGCTCTATCTTTTTTTTAGGGTATGGTTGGGTGGCAACCAAAATCCAAAATAAATAGACGAAAAATGATTTAGTATGGGGAGGCCCCGGGAATGGCCAGGGGCAAGGCTGCTGCAGCCCAGTCTTAGCATGGCTGAGTTCCCGATGAGGACGTCTTGGCAACAAACATGGTGGCTAATTGCCCTGATAAAGAATATTATGTACATAGTAAATGGAAATAATTACGAACAAATTTACTACAATTTTGACTTATCACTAACCTGTCGATGAGCTTTGTATATCTGCGCCTTAGATACCAGGCAAGAGCTGGCCGGAAAATTCTGATTTTCGGTCCCTGTGGGGCTGTGGAGCGCTGGAGCTCTGGAGTGGGCTGCGGAAGCCCGGTCAACGGCGTCGGGCCAGTCGAACGATGGGACTGATGGAATGAGCGCGTTCGTGTGATTCAGTGGAGTGTTTGATCGCAGGAAACGGGCAGGAATTGGCCGAGAAATCGTAATTTTTGGTCCCGGCGGGGCTATGGAGCTCTGGAGCAGGCTATGGACGCCCCATCAATGGCGACAGACTGGTGGAACACTGATGGAATCAGCGCACTCGTGCGGTCCAGAGATGTATTTTATTGAAGAAAACTGGCAAGAACCGGCTGCGATATTGTAATTTTCGCTCCCGCCGGGGCCAGTTGGCTACCGACGCCCCGTCAACGGCGACAGACCGGTGGAACTATCGAACTGATAGAAGGAGCGCAATAGTGCAGTCCAGAGGAGTGTTTTATGGAAGAAAACGGCCATGAACTGGCCGCGATATTGTGAATTTCGTTCCCGGCGGGGCCGTTTGGCTGCCGACGCCTGGAAGTTTTTAATTTTAATAAATGCTAATGTATTACCGCATTTGGATTTTAATTTCCCCGATCCAAATGTCCACTTACTCCGGCACTAGATGTCCCCAAGCATGGCGACCACAGCAGAGTGGCTTGAAACTAGGTACGAATTAGTAGTGACCGGGAGGAAAATAGAGAAGAATCCGGACGCACGAGTCGCGGTGGTTGGCTCAGTGGGCAACCATCTCGGATTCCCGTACCGCATCGGTAGCCGGGGGACATCCACACATTCGTCCGACTGTTCGACGCTTGATCGAATACACGCTCGGAGGATCCATGAGTGGAGCGGCCGGAAATAGGCACAGTTAAGGGGAGATGGCTGAACTCCGCAATCCGATCGATCTCGATCTTGTGGGAGACGAGCTCGACCGACGACAAAATAAAACTTGCTTCCGTAACTACCAGTATCGTCTCGTATCTCATCCCGGCAGAAAGATGGGCCTTGCGCTGACTGAGAACCTGGTGACAAAAGCCCCGGCAGATTCGGTACGGCGAATGCTATCCGATGACGCCGCCGTCGTACGTCGTACCGTACCCCGCTCATTCATGTATTCCGCAGCGCGTCCTCGAGACTCGAGAGTCGATAGTCGAGATCAGCAGCTTCACGCACAAGAAAAATGGATCCCACGCTACCTCCCTGGACGCCCCTCCCCTCAATCCGCAACCTCCGCGACGCTGGCGGATACGCGACGACTACGCCAGGCACCTCCGTTCGCCGGGGACTCTTGTACCGCTCTGCGGCGCCCCAACAGCTCACCGGCGACGGTGTAGCGACCTTCACCGCGCTCGGGATAAAAGCCGTCTTTGATCTGCGCTCGCCCAAGGAAATCCTCGACCATCCGGCCATGCCGCCGCTGGATTACCTTCCGGACGTTACATATACTCCGATAGCGGTATTTGCCGGGGGCTGGAGTCCCGAGTAGGTACCCCCTGCCGCTCGAAGCGTGCTTTTCTGTTGCAGCGGCTGATTCTGGTGCAGAGCAATGCTGTTGCGGTACCAGGACTACCTCTCCGGCACGCCGCTGGGCAATTACATCCACATCCTGCGCGCGCTGCCGGGCGCAATGAAGCCCGTGATCGCGCACATCCTTGCCGCCCCCGCCGCCCCGGTGCTGATTCACTGCTCGGCGGGCAAAGACCGTACGGGCGTGATGATCGCGCTGCTGCTCTCGCTCGCGGGCATGCCCGACCAGGCCGTCGCGGAGGAGTATGCTCTCACGCAGGTGGCCATGAGCGTCATGATGCAGACGATGGGTACCAGAGTTAGGGAAATGGGCGTTTTTAAGACGGTCGAGGCGCAGGGGTTGGCCGTGAGTGATGAAATGGTATGGAATTTGTTGAGTGCAAGGCCGGAGACTATGCTGGGCTTGTTGGGCGTCGTTAGAGAGGAGTCCGGTGGCGTTGAGGAGTGGTTCGTGAAGGAGTGTGGGATGGCGCCGGATGAGGTTGACAGGTTGAAGGCGGCTTTGAGCGTGGAGGATGATGGAGTCGCGAACTGAAAATACAACGCTTCGCTATATGTGGGAATATCGTATGTTTATCATGCCGGGCCAAGTGGATGAGCTCAGGAACGCTCGCTCACTGACAAAGGAAAAATCTCATCGCAACCACTAGTCAGATCGTTCTCACTGCAAATCTGGGTTATACTATACATCGTGATTCCTGATAACGATTCCCATGCATACGTTCGTTTCAGGATAGGGGAGTGACGTAGCCCTGAAAGGGAGACGGCGAAAATGAAAGATGATAGGGAAGTTGACGTTGTATTCACCACTGAGGGGCCAGCTAATATGACTCTCCTCCGCTGGCTGCATACAACGTTCAGTGCTACCCGATCCGGCTAGTCCGGCTATCACGACCGTTCGGATGCATCGATGATTGATCCGACTACTCATCCTCCTATTTTATGTGATTATGTATCTATCCTACATGTGCCCCTCTCATGATGGTGGCAGACGCTAACTCGCCGATTAGATTACAAAGGAAACTTGGCGCAGACAAACAGCGAGCGAGTGCAGTGCAGTGAACCTATTTAGATCGACAGTCAAACACAATTGTAGAAAAGAAGTAATGAAATAAAATAGAACCGGTATAGTTGCTTCGCTATGAGCTGGCTTCACTGTATCACCAAGTAGCAAACATCATCGACGCACAGCTACAGACCGAAAGCGACAGAGCATCAATTACGATCGTAGCCAGGAAATGGAAACTTGATTACGAGGGCATGACAGAAATTGATCGTCCGCCGCGGTCTTCTTCAGCACCATATGATCTCGCGCGATTAAGCCAACCTACCCGATTAATCTACAGTTCCGCTTTAGTTTTTAGAAGCATTATTCGTGACGATGCCTAAAGATCGAGTGAGTCTGTATGAATCACGATGTGGTGAAAACTAGTGACATCGTCGCCAACCAAACACGCCCGATTAAGCCAAACCCTACTTAGATTGACCAACACTTCCGCATTAGTCGGGGCACAACACTGATGAGTCTCGGCGGCAAGTATTTAACACTCAGACGAACACCACCATTCCTTCTACTTTCTTCACCCACGACCAGCAGACGACAACCACAGCGACCACCACAGCGACAACGACAGCGACCACGACAGCGACCACCACATCGACGACTACAGCGATAACCGCAGCGACAACCACAGTTGTGCATAGGCAACCCCTCAGCGAAAAGGATCAAATGTAAGTACTACACAACACTCCGCAAGACGGTAGCTAAAGCGAATAAAATCCGCCAGCGTTTCCACGCGGACTCCCGCTCGTCGCTGTACTGCGCTGGCACCCTCACACCACCAGGACGATCAATACAGTGCGTTCACTGTCGCTCCACATCACCAACAACATCGAACAAGTACGCTTTGCACTGTGCAGTCGCCTCAATCCGCATGCCTTTCCCCCTTCACCATCAGTTGTGACGTGAGCCTAGTTGTTGACTTTCCTCCAGCTCCATCATCATCGATAAGATGTCAACTATTCCTAACAACCTCCTCATCACTTGCACGTGCGAGGCAAGCATCCGCTGCAAGCTTGTCCGTCGCCGCGGTACCGCCACGCAGGGGCTTCTGCTCAATATCTGTAACCACTACGTCTACGGCAAGTGTGCGTACAAGTGGGCGCAACATCGTCAAGAGAAGAACGCCAAGGCCGGTAAGCTGCCCTGCGGGTGCAGCTACCAAGTCTCCGTCAAGAACCTGGACCGTCTCGCCATCGATCTTACTGCTCGCTTCGGTCCTGAAGCTGTCCAGCAGGCCGCCGCTACTCAGGCTGCCGCTGTCGCCGCTGCGGAGGAGGTCATGAACCGCAAGAATGAGTCCCCGGCTGAGAAGTAGTTGCTTGGTGGTGATACGAGTGCGATAAAATGGGTGTGTTTAGGAGATAGGCGTCTACTGGTCTGGTTTAAATGGGTGTGCTTGGGACTTGAAAAAAAGATAGGCGTCGGGTTTGATTGATAGAATACTCGGTGGCTTTACTTTGAGACTCGAAAAAAAAGATAGGCGTCCGGTTTGGCTGATAGATTACTCGGTGGCTTTGCTTTGATTCTTTTTTGCCGCTTTTCCAGTAATTCTTCGTAATTGTGATCGTGATTCATCTCGCCACTTTCCGCACCAACTCCCCCGCTCTACCGTTTCATTGCATGATTCTTCCGATCGCTTTCTGACATTCGGAGAAACTTGACTCTAACCGTAAACAGTATAACGTTTTCGTCACCCACGAGTGATACTACTAGCACTCCCATGTTCTCCAGCGAAGTCCACCCAGCTCACGGCGCTTATTCTAGTCGCCCACCCCAGCCTTAATACCCAGCTCTAGCTACCTCTGTAGAAGCCTAATAAATCGTGTGTCTTTTCTACCACTCGAGACTACCGGCTCATACGACCTGACGAAACCAATACCGCCACCGCTCGAGAGCCCACTCATAGGCAGTTCACGTTTATCTCGTTTAAACCGAGTGGTACAGTAGTCGGTTCGAAAATGGGCGAGCGGATGACTAACGTAGCGGCTCGCGGGCCGCTTGTGAATGTGGACAGAAGCGATTAAGCGAGCGAAGCCGTGGCGGTGGCGGTGGAGAATTCACTTGGGACTTCCGAGTCCGCACTGTCTCTCAGCAGTTTTAAACCACATGGCACACTACGCACGTTTTTACTGATACAACACGCCAGAATCCACTGCTACAAAACGCCCGATATTTCCCCTCCACCCAAATAAACTGGCCTTAGCCGCAAGCTGGGATTAAATCTTTCATCGTTGCCAAGGTAAATGTTGTGTGGTTTTGGTGTGGCGGTGGCTGGAGGTGGTGCCTGAAGAGGGGCCACTGCTGCAACACAGCAACCGCTGTGGTAATGGTATCGAGATATTGCCCGCAATGTTCTACATAGACCAGTCCAGACCGTATTTGGGAATGGACGGGTCAGGTCGGGATATATCACGACCAAACGTTTTCGTCTGGTCGGGCCTGTCAGATAGACACGTTTGAATGGGTACTAGACACGTTGCTCTTTACAATCGCCTATGCGAGACTAGATCCTCCTCGCGTAGGGCGCCCAAGATCTCCGCGACTTTACTCACATCCTGTTTAGTCGCCGCGATCATCCCATCCTTCTGCCCGGTTTTCAGGCACTCGGCAGCCTCTAGTACATTATTCCCCTTACGACACTTGATCGCACAGGACTAGATTCTCAAGCAGACCTCTGGAAGAACCGGATGGATGTACTATAATTCCGTCATTGTGTCGGGGCGGACTGGGCTGGACTGGACTTTGTAGAACACTGGCCGAATATGAGTTTATTATAACTGTTGCCTCGCGACACGCTGTGAAAAATTCAAATTCAGTGATGATGCAGTCATCTGCGATAAAATTGAAAGAAACAAAAACAATAAAATGGAAAGAAAGAAAAACAAACTGCATCCTCGACAGCCTCCTCGTCGTCACCGTCCTCACCACCCTCCACCCCTTCATACTCATTTTATTTCTCGTCCATCACCTCCATCTGCTTTGCCTCGTCATCCTCTTCCGAATTCGACATCAACTTCTTGATAGTGGTTTAACCGATAGGATCACTTGATACGGATCTGTTCGGAGGAGGTGAGAGCCCAATTGATCAAGGCTTTCAACACGGCGTGCTGTTGATGTCCAGAGGCTGGAGAGCGTTCGCGAACCCCGTGGGTGCTCCCTCTCCAGCCTCCTGATAATGGCATCTATGTTATCTTCTAGAAAATTGCCGTGACTATTGGAACCGGTTTTCGCGTCTTCCTCCAAGTATTCGGAAGAGGGAGGGCAGCACCTAGGTGCTCCCTGTCCAGCCTCCTGATTATTTAGTCGATATCCTCCAGAAAATCGCCGTGACCATTGGAACCTGTATTAGCCGCTTCCTCTGAGTCTTCGGAGGAGGGAGAAAGAGGAAGGGACGGGGATGGAAGTGTCCTCGTCCGAGGAGTATTCCTCGGATGATTGACCTTCCAACCCCGCTCCTCTTCCATCAATTCCCCCTCCTCTGCGCCACCCTAGTGGCTTTGCGGCCTCAGCCCCTGGGGGGTACCTACTGCACTTTCGGCAGCGTCAAGTAATCCTTCCTGGCGCAGGTAGACGATGGCGCCGCCGGTCGGATCAAGCGACATCAAACGTGCAGCTTCGTCCAGCTGTTCGCCGCAGTCGCAGCGCGCGGACCACGCGATCTCGCCCGTGTAACATTCAGAATGAATGCGGACCAATGGGATGTTCTTTTGCTGCTGTTCGCCATCACTAGCCGGAATTCCCGGTAATCGGACGTGAGCTGGCGCACGACCGACCACCGGGAATGCCGGGAGGATTATTTCGAAGGGTGGTGGTGAAGGAGGGACGGTTGATGGGAGGTGGTGAGGGACGGGGTTGATGGGGGTAGGATGAAGGAGGATGATATCCATGTATCCAGGTGAGATCGAGTTGACTCGGATATTGTAACGTGCCCATTCCGCCGATGTTCACTAGCCGGTATTGCCAGGAGGATTATGTTGAAGGGGGTAGTTGAAAGAGGAAATTGATGGTGTAGTAGCGCTGTAGCAAGAAGAAAGAGATTTATCGAGAGGATGTTGATGGTGGAGGAAGAAGAAAGGTAGGAAGAAAGAGGATGTTGATGGTGGAAAGGGAAGAAGGAGGAGGGAGGGAGAGAGGAAGATGATGGTGGGGTAGGAAGAAGTGGGAGGGCACAACCCCGCGGGCAAAACCCTACACGCTGCTTGGCACTGCACCGTCGTTGAGGCTTTCGAGTAGTCAGCGTCCCTTTGAATTTTGAATAATCGGAATATTCACCTCAAAAGCACAACTTAGCCGACGCAAGAGTATACTACATCAGAAAATAAAATTTCTCCATAAGCGTAGTCGGCTACGTGTATAATATTTGCTGCGTTAGGTGCGTCGAGTAACAGGGGGGGGCCCATGGACGGATCTACTCCACCCCGTTCCGTGGGAATGACGTCGGGTGGGGTGTTCGTACGTTCGCTGGAACGATGTTAGGCAAAACATACGCAGAAATCGGAGGGAGTTTTGCATTCTTTATTGCTTGCATGTGGCCTATTTGGGCAATGGTAGTATCTACATCCCGTCCGCTCCAACAACTCTCCCCCAGCATCGCCCTTGACTGGCCCGTACCCTAGGTTCTTCGCTTGATTCGCCCTGCCTCGTCCTTGACAGACTGGTTCCCTCAAACGAGACGACATGACGCAGTTGAGAGAAAACCTAGGCGTCCAAGAAGATGCGCAAGTAAGATAGAGTCCGTCCTCTGTAGAGAGTATGGCAAGATGTTGCCTTCAGGCTTCATCCACAGTGATAGAGGCGTAGCAAATTCAATGCCGTAACTGCACTCAGCAATTAATCGTCTACGTTGTACGTACGTCACACAATGTAACGAGGTCACTACCAGCTACCCAGAAACATAGGCTGTCACGCGGGAACAGAGTACCGGTTGACAAAGTGATGTGTGTGCGTTGTTTCATGACCGAATACTAAGAATCTGCGCGCCGCGTATAGAGAGAGAGATATTCAGTATGTTTTGCATGCAGTGTTTCAAGACTCTGGCGAACCATCGTACTCTTTTCCTGCCCACCCTGACCGGCCTGCAACATGTGGCGCCGCGGTCTACCAAACAGGTTACAGATGACAAAGGGAATTGGGCCGACATATGTTTCGCACCAAGAACAGACAATCGTATGTGGTGGCTCCTCACGTCCGTGCACAGACGGAAGACTCTGTACTCTGCTGAGGTCTCTTGCTTTGCACCCGATGCTTCGCCTCACTGCTCCTTCTGCCCTGGGAACTCCAGGATCGGATCCCTGCACCGCTCATCGGCGAACAGATCACTCGATGTGCGCGAGATGACGCTAGCCTCGACGGCAGAAGCATGCCTCGAAAGCAGCGACGAGCATAGACTGCAGCGACACAAGCAGTCATGACGCTACGGCGATTCAATATCAAGCACCGTAGTGGGTTTTACCCTGAAAATTCCGCCGCACCCCTTGCCACCAGCTTCCTTTCCCTCCTTTATCATCCACCATCCACTTCCTCTCTCTCTCTCTCCTTTCTCACTACTTCCTCATCAACTTCCACTTTTTACCTCTCCCTCTCAATTACCTCTCCCTCTCAATTACCTCAACGTCAACTAGACGATCGGTGAAAGGACGGCACAACCATAAGACTAGTTCCGGCGCCTGTACAACGTCCTCGCCGAGTCGCCTTCGTCCTACAACTCACCCGTGATCGGTTCAGATTCGACGCAGGGTACCAACTTCGATGGGTTCATGAACCCTCAGAAGCGAAAGAACTGCCCCATCGGTATGGACAGGTCCGAGAGGAGTCCGTCGGTCGTGGGCGGCACCACGGTGCCCGAGCCCAACGTTAAAGTAGGTATATCCTGATCCATGGGGTGCAACCTGTATCTCGAAAACAGTGACTGACATCGTGTAGGACTCGCTGTTGGTTTTCCGACCAGTCCTCTTACCGAAGACGACGTGCAGATCGCCGTCGACAGTAAGAAAACGATGAAGAGGACAGCAGGGATAACGAAGTAGACAAGGATTACATCTCTCTAATGGCCGGCAAACAGCTTCGTACTTTTGCGCGCTAGCACGGAATCCCTCTCTCCAGGGACCTCACGCGCAGGGACCAGATCGAGCAAAAGATCTCGTGCTCGCTTCGAACTTTCAGAGCACTTTGCCCACGTTCCCCACTTTGCCCTCGCTCCCCACTTTGCCCTCGCTCCCCAGGGGCTATGTCGGCTGTCGCGGTGGGCAAGAGGCACTGTTCGCCTAGCAACGACAAAAATCGCAAGATTCTCAAAGGAACGAACACTACTGACACTGCTCCTTACTCTCCTAGATCCGCTGCGAATGCCCTGTCACCTACTGCTACTCGTCGTACCAGAAATACCCACTGATACCGCCTCCTGCCTCGATACCGCCTCCTCCCTCGGCACCGCCACCCTCGATATCGCCACCCTCTATAACGTCTCCTCCCTACATACTGTCTCCTCTCTCAATACTGCTACTCACCGATCGTCCATTCCGACTGCTTCTCACGCGGCTGGCACCACCGCGGATACTGTTAGATACAAGAGGTAGATAAACATATCAATAGTATTTGATACAGCAGCAACATCGTGAGCTGCGAGCTCTCTCCATACAGTCTTCATAAACCAGGAAATCTCTGCATCGATCTCTTCATGAGGTCGGGGTTCCGTCGCCTGTCGACCGTCTCCCGAGCTCAGATACTCCACTAGAGTACACTAGGGACATCGTCATCTCCGGACGTCCCATAATCTGACAGATACCATATCCTTCCCCTGTATCACGCTGGCCTTGAAGAGGAGCCTGTGCTGTTGTTTCTCGTTCATGTCTGGAAATGACTGGTGATTGGTCGTTTATACTAGAAATGTAGGCATTCACTCTATGCAATGGCTCCGGGACATTCCCAGCGTTACTAGAGTCAGGACTGCCTACACGCACCCAACGGATTTTTTTTTCTTCCTGTTGTGTGTATTTTCAACTGAGCTGAATATTTTGATGTTCGAAAAAGAAGTTCAACTGTAACGTAGGTAGGAAGACACGCATTGCAGCCGACTAATTACAGCGACTGCCAATACTGGTATAACTACTGAAGGGGAAAAAATCGTAAGGCGATGTGTATCACAGGAGAGAAAGCTCAGTCCAGCCAGAGTAAAAACAGGGCGGATTGCTTCGATCCTGTCCCCCGAAACATATGAACGGAGTGGGATTGAATTAACAGCTCTGGTCCCTCCGGACTACGTAGATAATAGGTGCCTCGATTCTCGGGCAGCGCCTTACGGGTGATTGCACAAAGAGCGAGTCACAACGCAAGCCTTGAAGACAGCGACAAGCCTCAGTAATTGAAGATCTCTCTCTCACAAGCCTCAGTAACGTGGCTACGCCAATTTAATTCCGCGCATCACGCAGTGTTTCACCCGCAGGGTTTAGCCGCCCACCCTTCCTCTCTTTCCCTCTCTTTCCTTTATAATCCACCACCATCCTCTTTCTACATACCGCTTCTTCATACTCCACCACCAACATCCTCTTCCCACCTCCCGCTTCTTCCTACACTTCTACTCTACCATCCACTTCGTCTCATTCCCTCCCGAAAGGTACCGCCCCAAGTCTCCCCACTTGGGAGGGGGGCGGGGGGGTTAATCAGACTCCGATGATGAGGACTCCGAGGAGGACTCAGAGATTATCTCTGCGTCGGCTCCAATGATGATGGGTGATGGGGATTGGTACTACCGAATGCAGTCGCCAAAGTGGTACCGTAACTGTACAGCCAGCAGTGGTGGTGATGGTGGTGGTGGTGGTGGTGGTGGTGCTGGTGATCTCGAGCCCGTAATATTACTACCTAGCCGGTTTCGGTTTCAGCATGCAATTCTATTCCTGGGCCAGCCTACTTAGGCAGAATTCTATGGATAGTCTGGCCCATGGTGAGATATCTGGCTCCTGGGCCAGCCAAGGAGCCGGAAAAAATCTATCCATGGTCCGGCCTGTTGTGAGATCCGACCCACCTATACACGGGCCGGTCCATCTATAGTTGCGCCGGCCCATCTAAAGAAGAATAATTTTGCCCAGTGGCATAGAACATATCTATAGTAGGCTCGTAGCCCGATAGTGTTTTACATGGTACATTCCAGCCCTGTTTTTCCCGCCCCATTGATAAGTTAGACGTTCCCAGCGTTACCAGAGTCAGTGCCGCTTACACGCACCCAACGGATCTTTTTTCTTTCCTGATGTCGATCAACCTGGTGGCGAGATCTCCGGCCTCCGCAACAGCAGGAGTGAGAACTAGCTGAGAGGCCGTACGTTGAAGCCTTACTGCCTACACATCGTCAGGGGACCCGGGGACCGTGCGTCGGACTCCCATTTCTGTGTTATTGTGGTAAGTGATTCAGTTGGTGCAGATGGGTAATTATCTCCTACAGAGAAGCTGAACTCCGTGAGTCTGTGTAGAAGAACTTGCTCGTATCTCCCTCTTCGGTCTATAGACCTGCACGACATCATACACGAATTAGAAGTTGGCACTGGAGAAGGATGACGGCTACCATCGGAGGCTCGGAAAATCGGAGGCAAGCCGCCAATGGCGCCTTGCGCTGTCAGGGGGAATCGACTACGAAGATGGCAAAGAGTACCCAGGGCTAGAGAAGCCAACTGATATGCACTAGCACGCCTGGCAGCACGTAACACTGTCTGGATACTGAAATCCGGGCGTGGCCTTTGATACCTTCCGGGAGTGGCCTTTGATACTTTCCAAAAGCAACCTGCCTATCACCCAGAGGCGCCTTCTCCGGCCGCCGCAGCATGAAGAGCGGCAAATGGCTGCGGAGCCGCACGATTATGCCTTACAGGTCTCCAGGGGAGCCGGGTCCCCGCGACTGCACGTCTGAATCCGAGTTCCATTTCGCTGTGGTGTGTGATTCAATGTGCAAATATGTACAGTCTACTGCAGACAAACTGACCTTTATGCAGATCAGCTAGGTCTTGAGTGCATCGCTCGCCACACGCTGCAGAGCCGGGCAATATTCTTCACCACTTAAGAAGTAGAGAAGTCGCGGCATGTTTTCCGCCCTCTCGGTCAGCAATCATTCGTATCGCCAAATCCAACCCGATCCCGGTCAAGAAACAGCAACCGCCAGCTCGAATATCATCACTGCCATCAAGACCCTCAACAACAGCCTTATTACCGTTTACGCTGGAAAATGGGTGAGGATGGGTCGGGATTGGGCGGAGTGCGCGGCGTCGAATTACTGGGCGGAAAACACCTCCGGTACGGCGGCACAAACCAACTAGCCGCACTGGGGCAGTGGAGTTATAGGTTGGGGCTTGTGAAGTCCCTTCCAAGTTCCATCCCTTTGATCCCCATAGGTACTTAGTCAGAGTTCGTACGCTGATGACTGGTGAGGAGAGGATATAGCTTAGCTGAGAAGATTGTATACGAGACTGGAATCAAATAAATACGGACATCTGGTAGTGGCTGTGATTCGTACAACGGCAGGAACGGGCTACGTCGCCGATAATTACCCACTCCCGGAGGTGGCCGTACGTCCAAGTGCCATTTCCATGTCTCGGTGGTGTGTGATCCAGTTGGTGCAGATATCTACAGATTACTTCAGAAAACTGACCTTTGTGTAGAAGGAGCTTGATAGTATTGCCCTCTGCAGTCTATAAACCTGGGTGGTATTATGCACTACTTGAAAGTTGGCACTTGAGAAGCTCCGGCGTGGCTTTCTTCACGCTCGGAGACCGATATAACGTCTAAGGTCTACCTCCCTTCGGAGAATCGGAGAATCGGAGGCAAGCGGACAGTAGATCATGGCAGTATGCTCGCGGAAGAAGGTTCGACGATGACCACTACAACGGCGGGGACGATGCCAACCTTTGGCTAGAGACGCCAGCTGATATGTACGCTTGACGGCACCTGCCGCATCGTGAGCTGGCCATGCTGTACTCCGGAAATGGCCTTTGATTCCACCATATGCGAGTTTTCTTTATATCTGTCACCCTTTGGCGACAACGCATGTGCATGTGCTGTCACTCGCTCGCATGCACAGCCTGTCTGTTAAGAAAAGTGGTATAATGAAGTAGTGTACAGTGTCTCGTAGCCAGAGCAAAATACATAGGCGCGAAGGTGCCTCGGATAGAGGCCGCTCGGCGCCGCTCGCCACCTCCGTGTGAGAACGGATAAGGGAAGTCCGAGTGATCTCGCATGAAGCGGTACACGGAAGTTCGTGATATTATGACGCTGTCGCTCGTGTTGCACACGAATTGCTGTATAGCGCTAGCAGAGTATAGAGTCTCTGTCCGTAGCTAATGACTATCTACATCATCTTTTTCATCATTCACATTTCGTTCGTTTGATTGACTTCATCATCACAACACTACCCAGAGTGCGGAGGCGAGATCTCCGACAGCCGCCGCAGGACTCGGGAGATACCTGCACGGGGGAGGAGAGGAGGGAATACGCACGTTACAGCCTAGGAAGACGCACGTGACAGCTTTACAAGTCTCCAGGGGAGACCTTACACCAAAGTCTCTTTTCCGTGTTACTGTTACTGTGCCGTGAGTGATCCAGTTGGTACAGATAACCATCTAGTGGACTACTGCAGATACTGTGACCAGTGAGCGCTGTGTAGAACACTGCATCGCAACGCCCTCAGGGCCTTCACACACCTAGAGAATAGCATTCGCAATCTGGATGCTGGCACTTGCGAAGCCGCGGCGTGGCCTTTCGCCCCGGCGAAGTGTCGGAGTTGATGTCTACCTTCTGAGAATCGGAGAATTAGGGGCAGGCTTCACGTGAGATTGTGTGTTTGAAAGAAGACCCGACTGATGCGACGATGCTCATGGCGATGGCGACGCCACTACCTACACAAAGACGCCGGCTGATACTTACGCTTGTCGGCACCGCAACTGAGACTGGGTACTAAAGACCGGGAGTTGCCTTTGACACCTACCTTAGGCAACTTGTATATCTACCCAGAGTTGTAGACTCACAGAGGCGAGATCTCCGATAGCCGCCGAAGGAATCAAGAGAGAGCGGGCACAGGTAACTAAGTCACATGTTACACCGTATATGGGGAAGGTAGAAAGAGTAGTAAAGTTATGGCGTCGCGACGAGCTTGATAAGATACATAGTAATTGAGGATGCAGATATCTGCGATAAAATTGAAAGAAAGAAGAACGAAACACAAGAAAAAATAGAAAAAACAGAACAAAAAACAAACGCCCGAAATCCATCAGAAACCCTCCGTCCCTGCCAGCGGCCAGCACCAGAGCTTTTGGACTCCTCCTTGCTGTCGCCTCATAAGCGAAGTTATGTCGGTCGTCTAATTGCCCGATATCGTCCTTGCTGCCGCCTCGTAGTCGAAGTTATGTGGGTCAGCGTGCCGCGCAGCCCTAGGAATGACGTCCATCAGGAGATACAGCAGATATCCCTTCGTGTGTCTTTGGTGTCGCGCGTCCAGTCCCACGTTGCCAACATAGTCGACAATCTTCATGAGCAGCGGCTCGACCTCTTGACGGCGTAGGTCCCACTGCCAGATGCGCCAGACGTATTCGTCCTTTTGAGCCGTGCTTCTGACTGGCATGTCCATCACCGTATAGCGGTGATGGACTTGTAATTTCCTAGCGGAAACGATTCCGCCAGGAAAGAAAGGCCTAACCGTCGGGACGGTTGGCCGGGGGGATCAATGAGCATTAAGCTCTTCATCCTCGGAGTCCCCGTCATCAAAGTTGACCCAGAGAGTTTCTCTGGGTACTCCTCGAAGTCCTCTTCATCGGAGTCTAATTGACCCCCCCCCCCCCCCCCCCCCCCCCCCCCCCCCCCCCCCCCCCCCCCCCCCCCCCCTCCCGCAAAACTGCGGGAGATGGATCTGGTGCGCGCTGTTCTGGCAACCAGAAGATCTATTCGCCTGGCCATTGTCAGTGCCCATATTCCAGATCTTTAGATGAAGGACGGAAAGAAAACTCACCACTTCCTTATTCGCACTTGCAAATAGAGTGGTCTTCAGAGCGTTCTTCAGAATCTGCTTCTCGGCGGCGCGAACGGAAAGCTGAGCGCACGGCTTACCGTTGTCGTCACGGCAGGCGTCGACACCTGCAATGACTCAGTCATCTGTGCCGACATATGTGAGATAGATTTTGCAACATACCGAGGTCAATATTTTCCTTCCATTCGTCGTTATTCAATGCTTCGGTGACACCTGCTGTAGTTAGTACGAGCTTCACCCATTAATAGAAAGGGTTTCATACCGGGAATGGCACCAAGTCAATCACTCAGCGAGCAATGATTTGTGTGGATTTGCGGGCCGGCGAGCACTGATGCGGCTGGATTTGTGAGCCAGCCGGCGCAGGCCCGACCACCGGGAATGGTGGAGAAGTGTTGTGGAAGGGAGTTGTTGAAAGAGCAAATCAATGCTGTAGTAGCACTGTAGCAAGAAGAAAGAGAGAGAGAGAGCGGATGTTTACGGGAAGGACGAAGAAAGATAGGAAGAGAGAGGATGTTGATGGTGGAGAAGGAGGAAGTGGGAGGGCGCAACTCTGCGCGCTGCTTGGCAATGCAACACCGTTGAGGCTTGGGAGTAGTCAGCAGCCCATTGTATTCTCGAATTATCAGGGGTTTCCCTTCAAAAGCACGATTTTGCTGACGTAAGAGGATACCACGTGAATTAAGACATATCATTCTGTTGACATGCTCCACGGATTATGCGACAATTTTCCGCTGTACCTGTACCAGAGTTGGCAGTGTGTCGCGTCCCACCTTACTGCGGTACTGTTCCGAACGGAATGCACCAAAATATTTAATCGTGGAAGAGGACTATTGTGCACCTCATTGACCTTCACTATAATGGCGATGGATGCCTGTGTCTGGTCTACCTATCTCATATCTTCACGATAGAGGGAACTCCGGGAATGTCCTCATTGTCGCTCGGCGATTGTTCGGGTGAAAAGCTCCTGCATTTCCCTACAGAGCCTATGGGTATGAGATTTTGAGAGAAGAGCGCAACCTATGCAGTACAAACTCGTTCATCCCCTAATCGCCCGAATGCGTAACGAAAACAAATGTTCGAAACCCGAGCATACGAAACTCCTTTCCAATCAGTCCATCGGCTTCTTGCCGTACACGACGTAGCTAGACAACCCCAATGATCAGCATGCACCACTGTAAGTCCGACGACAATGGAGGTGAACGTACAAGTTTGTGTAAACATGATGATTCTTGTTCTTACAACTCTTCCACGCCTCAGCACACAGCTTCTGCGCCTCCTCCGCCTCCATACCCATAATCCTGGTAGCCGCAGCCATAACGTAGGCCTCGATACCAGTTTCCATCGCCAACATTGCAATTGCACCAATCTGCTTCTGACGCGGATCCCTCGGCCACAGTCCGTACGGCTGCTTGTATGTAGACGTCGTGATATCCACACAGCCGGCCATTTTGAGGAACGCGGCCATACGCTCCAATCTCGCTCCGTGGCGGCCGATACGTGGTAAAGCTTCCGCATTGACGAGGTCGTAGGAACGTTTGAACGCGTTGTCAGGGGCGAGTGTGCCGTCATCGCTGTAGAGCTCGCAGCCAAGCTCTGCTAGCTCGATGTATCCGCCCGGCTTGGTACAGCGGAACATTTCGGACGTGAGTTTTGGCCAGTCGGTGATGGACTGCGCGAGGTTGCGAGCGTGAACGTAGTCGAACGTGTCCTATGAACCCCATGTTAACATCTCCTGGTAGTATGAACGAGTCACACCTTATGACTTACCTCCGCGTGCGTCCAATCCTTCTCCGCATCATCGACTTCAAAGTTGCAGTTCGGGGGCACCCAATTTGGTTGAATGGGACTCAGATCACTCCCGGTAACCCAAGCAGACGGATACCTATCCGCCATATCGATAGCCCAAACTCCGGTACCCGTTCCCACATCCAGTATCTTCTGCGGATTATTCAACGGCGCCTTGTGAAGACTTCCCCCCAGCAGGAGAAGCATCATCTCATGGTGCATGTCCAGTCGATCTTGTTCTGTTTCATCGTTGGGAAGGAGGTTCTTCTCGGCGCCGTAGTAGACGTGGTAGCGACGACCGTTCTCGAAGACGAAGGCGTTGATCGACGAGCTTAAACTCTGGGTGCTCGTATTGTAGCCGGCGGATTCGTAGTCTTCGTCGTCATTCGCAAGCTGAATAACCAGATGAGCAAAGCGGGGATAGGTGTTATAGGCCGAGTGAACTCACAACTTTGGGGTCGACCTCGATATCGGAATTGTTGGACATGACTTTTAATCTTCTTCGCACGGATATCTGGACGCGAGAACATTGCGAACAAGCCGCAACTTATATAGGATTCCACCTAGCACCTGAGTCTTATTCGATCCTCCCAGCTTCCGGGGTGAGTGCAGTAACCGACATCCGCCTCCACACCAGCCTCTCATCCATATCCTAGCCCTGCCTCAGCAGCGGGTCGGGCCTCTTGCCGCTTCGGATCTCACCTCTTAGCCCCTCGTAGCGTGGTGCCAACAGTTCTTCGCGTATCCAATGTGAATGGAGCTGGCGTCTCGGGAGCTTGTTCGGCGTCAATTGGATCCCTCGCTTTAGGCTAAAGCGCGGATGGGCGGGTTACCATGCATCCAGCCGACACCAGCGACTGTGGATCTGCAGCACAAGGTGGTTAGGAAACGGCAGTTGCGAATGCGTAGATTGCACATCGCGGTGTTGGTGGTCTCACATGCGCATATGGGAGTCTGGGCCACAGCTGCCAGGCACAAACTGACGGAACCGCGAAGGGCGCGAATAGCACACCTGATAAGGTCGGGTCGGATTCGGCCAGCCTAGCACGGATCGCGTCTACTGAGGTAGACCATATTCGGACCGGTGAGGGATTCGGGTCCATTAGCCGCGAGTGCATTGGCGAGCGGGATCGAGTAGCGTAATCGAACTGCCGCTGTGGCCTGGAAGAGTGTCCGCGACGCCGCGCGGCTGCCGACTAGCAGCAGGGATGTCATGATCGTCGGGAATATCGAGAGACAGCACCATCAAACGACACCCTACGCCGCGTGCCCACCTAGCCGGAACGTAAACGGTCTGCCGAATACCCGTGTCGGTTGTCCTCGGGTTGGACGGAGTGTTGGGGAAATCCTCATCGGTAATTATTTGGCCATGTGGGCGACACTGTAAGATACAGACTGACGATTAGCGACAAAGAGGGATCAGTGGCTGGGGTACTCACTGGGGTGCTGCGTGGCTACCGGGACCGGGTTCTGGCAATATTGTGTAACCATCGGTCACGGACCCGTGTCCGGCCGGGATCTGCGAGTGAGAATCGATAACTGTGTTTCGTTCGGGTTGTCGCAAGAGATATCTGCACGAGTGTTGGAAACATTCGAAAACTGTTCAGGAGTGGATAATTGGGATTTCGTACGTGAATCTGCACAAATGGCTCTTCAGCCGTTTCTGCTTCCAAAGCGAGCATAGGCGAGCAGCATCGCACAGGGAAACGAAACCCTGCAGGTGAAACCGTCGGTACGGACGAGAATGGACTAGACTGTGAAGAACATTGGCAGGCTACGAGCATACTATGGTCACGACGAGCTCGAAAGCTTACAAAGTTATTGAGGATGCAGTTATCTGCGATAAACTGAAAGCCAGAACAATAACAACTCCTTCAGCTCAAAAACTCTTCATCCTCGGCATCTGTCACCTGACCACGTCTTCCTCCCCGTCTTTTATGCTCGAAGCTGAATGTTGAACGCATCTAGTAGACAACAAAATAACAACTTCTTCAGCTTTAAGCCACTCCCTCTTCCTTATCCTCCACCTTTTCCACCTCTACCTCGTCCCCAACTACTACCTCCCCCCGTCTTCATCGCCTTCTTCTTCTCCGCCCCAGCACTGGGCGCCATGCTCTTTTCGCGTGACCAAGCACCTTCATCTTCTCCCTCCTGGGTAAATCTCATTGGCTTATCGAGGCAGTCAGTGATGATCACTGGCATGGGGTGAGTGCGCCGGGCGGGGTGGGGGTGGAGGAGGTTGTGACCCACATGTCTAAAAAGCGTAGCTGTGTAAGAAGATTCGCCTCTCCTCCGTTACTCGGAAGCGACAGAGTCATGATTGACTCCGTATTCATTCTGGAACCGCTTCTTCATCATTCCAGCTCCCGTTCCATCTTGAGCAGCTTGATGGCCAAGGCCTTCTTGCCACCCTTCGGCACGGATCCGGAGTCGCTCTCCGACTCTGGATCCGTGCTGTCCCGGGCCTTGCGCGCCTTCTTGCGCGCCGGGCGATCGGTCCCGGAAATCTTCCTGCACGTTTCGCCGGCGGTCAGGTTGTATGCGTCAAAAGGTTTTTAGTTGTGTCGAGCATTGAGAAGTTATCGTCTGGTTGACGTTGGGGTAATGAAGAGGAAGGGGTAGAAAGAGGATGTTGATGGTGGAGTAGGGTAGAAAGTGAAAGGAAAGAGGGGAGGTTGATGGTGGTTTATAAAGGAGGGAGAGGGAGAGAAATGAAGCGTGGGCGGCGAAAACCTGCGGGTAAAACCTAACTCGGTGCGTAGAATTTAATTGCCGTAGCGTTGTGACTGCTGGTGTCTCTACCGTCGAGGCTCGTCTCTGCCGTCGAGGTCTGTCTTTGCCGCCGAGGCTCGTCTGTGCAGTCGAGGCCTGTCTCTACCGTCGAGGCTTGTCTCTACCGTTGAGGCCTGCTTCTGCCGTCGAGGCCAGTTTTTGCCATCCAGGTTTGTCTTTGCCGTCGAGGCGTGTCTCTGCCGTCGAGGCTTCTCTCTGCATTCGAGGCGTGTCTCTGCCGTCGAGGTTTCTCTCTGCATTCGAGGCGTGTCTCTGCCGTCGAGGTTTCTCTCTGCATTCGAGGCGTGTCTCTGCCGTCGAGGCGTGTAGCGGCCGTCGAGGCTTGTTTCTACCGTCGCATCATCCCCCCCTCTCTTCCCCTCCACCATCCCCCTCCTCTGATCAACAGCAACAACACCAACCACCTCCCACCACCATCATCCCCCTTGCGCTTCCCCAGCATCAACCCGCTCCACTGTTCAACAACAACGACACCAATCACCCGCGATTCTTCCTCTCTTCGTTAGCTGGTACCCGAGAAGAAAAATGCCAAACCTCAACTTGGACGCCGAATCCGACAGCTCTTCGGAGGTGTCTTCTGCGGGCGGCCTGCTGTAAGCTCACTTTCCCTTTACCTTGTGAGACCAGCCCCACTGGAACAGTATGCTGACCTACCCAGCAGGGACTCCCGTCATGACGACTTCGAGGGCATCTTCACGGTTGGTATCGGTCACTGGGGTATGTCCACTGCACCTTCGCGCAACAGTCGTTGATGATCATGCTGACGGAGTTCACAAGAGGCGGCTCGTATGGCGGAGGAGGGCTACGCCCACATCGGCGGTGAATCTCCCTGCACCTTCGGCACCTGCATCTGCAGCATTGTTAGCACCATCGTACGTGTCGGGTACGGACTGGTGACCCTCGCGAAGGAGACTTTTGGATGTTGAGGAGCCGGCTTGCTCAGTCAATGGAAATCGGCAACGGAAAATGGGGGGTTAAGAATTTGTGATCGTCTATCTGTTGTGTGGCGCCTGGGATACTTTCAGTTGTCTGTAATGAGCCGGCGTGCTCGAAAATGGCAATCGAAAATGGAAAACTGGGTGGTTAGGAATTTGTGATCGTGTCTCTGTTACCTGGTGTCTCGATGGGCTTTTAAGATGAAAATTGCGGATACTTTCGGTATTCTCTCCTCTACGTGTGCTCGATTCTTGCTGCTATGTACCGCTGTTGAAGGTGTTAAATTGACAATCCCATGTTTCTCTACCTTTCTGTTCCCCGAACTGCTACAACGTGAAAACCCACGTTCCCTCCACTTTTCATCCGTGAATCCTCAACATTCTCTACGTCGCATGCGTCTACGACATCCGCACCTCCGATGGTAGTCCTCTCATCGTGCGGAATTGTCCGCATATCTCCTGCCTACAGTTCGCCAGCGGCACGACGTGTCACTCGTTTTGGTAGTCGCACGATTATGTCTCTTGCTCCTGAGTGTCTACGTGAGGATGGTAAGACCATTACCCACGCGATGGAATAGATCCTTCTAGCCGCACGTTGAGACGTCGTGCGGAAGTGTCTGGTTATCCGCAGATTTCATCGAAGCTGATCATGGCTGCGTCTCTGCCCAAACCGATGAACTGATGATGCCGCGGATTCCCGCAACTTCCGGAGGATATCAAGTATCAAGCCCCGATTACCTACTCATGTTTGGATGGTATGCTACCCAGGTCGCGTCAGTCTCCCGCCCGGGGTGGCTCATCATGAAGCAAGAAGGTAGGAGTAGTGTGAGGAACAGCAGGTGGTAAGATTACATGTCCCTTCAAGCTTCAGCTGTAATATTTCTCGATACTGCTCGATACTGCCAGAGCACTCCTGGCGTACCGCAAGGCAGCTTCAACCACCCTTCCTCTGATGTCATCAAGCAAACACAATTTGAAGGACGAGTGAGATCACATGTTCCTGTAAATAGAAAAGCGCAAGTTCTCCGAGTCTTTCAAAGGTTGACTGGCTGAAATTTCCATGATTTAACACCAACGGAGCGGGGTGATTCTAAGGAGGTTTTTTATACGAAATCAGATAAATCAGAACATTGCAGCCAGCTCATTTTCTTCCTGCTAGATCTTCCGGCCAACTGATTCTTCACAGCTACACCACACGTTTTCCTCCTTACTTCACCAGACAAATCGGATTTGATCGTACGTTCCTCTTGAATCTTCATTCTCATCATCTTTCCAGTTTCTTCCCCTCACACTCTCCGCCGTCCTTGAGCACCCATCCACGCTGCGGCGGTCCATCCATCCATCCATCCATTCACCCATTCACCCATTCCGCACGATTGCGCTGACATTCTTACCTCCACCCTTCTAGAGCTCATTGTACTCGTCCACCCTGAATCTTACTCGTTAAAACCCAGCTACACTCGACATCTCCCCTGCTCCCTTGTCCAATCGCTATTACGACCTCCCACTGACCTTCGCTCCCCCGGACGCCTGTTCTAATCAATCGTGCACAGCCACCCTTCAAGACTCGTCACCCAAGACTCAAGATGTCCGCAGAGCAGTATTCGCAGATCTCTCCCGGTGACCGTGCGATCCTCGGGAGGTACGTACTACCACATCCCGCTTTGGTCTTCGATGATGTATGTAAGGCTAACGATACATCCCCAGCTTGTTCGCCAGCGGCACAGTGAGGCGGCTTGGAGATACGTTGGACGCCAACGCTGCCCAGCAGCAGGGGAGCGCGACCGCGCAGTCGGGCGAGGCGGGCAACGGCCGGGTTGGTCTGGCTGAGCTCGATGTTAACCGTTCCAGAGATGAGCACGGATCTGATAACTGGCGTGTCCTGCGCCTGCAGGGAGTCTATGGGCTGGGAGTTGCAGAAGACAACACCACCGCTGCACAACAGATAGTGGTGTTCCCTGCGGAACCGGAGGCGGCTGGCGAACGCTACGATGGCATAATACGCGATTTGGATTTCAACGGCAGTGATCATGACTCGGGCACCCACGGCGTACAGGGTCTACCGGGAGAGACCAGTGGGAAGAGTGAAGAAGCCAAGGCTATCGAGATGCAAGAGGTCGCCCTCGAACAATGGATGTCGCTTCGCGACGTGGCCATGCGCGATTCTGGAGTGATCCACGACGGCAGCCTTGATCGCGGCTCGGAGAGTCTCGGTGTCGAGAGAGTCCCAGTTAATCCCGCATCCGACGTTGATGATGGCAGTTGCACAGCTGCACACGGGGAGGAACACGATCTCGAGCAGGGATCCACCACCGACGCCAATACTGTGTCTCTGCAGTTGACCCAGATGCAAAATTCACACCGGAATATCTCGCTGTACGGTACCACACCCAGCGTCACCTCGCCCTTCGTACAGAACTACCAGCTGCAGAGCGAGCTGAATTACAACGAGTACGTCAGGCAATTCAACACCCGTCCGGGGGCGATCCACGGTGCGGAGGATGATCGCCGTCTGCCGGACGATCTTTACCACGCTCACCTGCGTGACGTTTACGTCCATCCCGCTCACCCTCACGCCCGGTCCCCAATTTCGGATTCGAAAGTGAGCTGTCGTATCGGATGGTGGGTCTTCTGGATCGTCGCAATCGCCCTGGTTGTCGTGCCGCCCGCTATTGTTCTGGCCATTTTCACCCACGATCAATAATAGGTTTTTAGTCTAACCTGAATAACCAGCCGGTTATCTAGTTCAAACTTGCCGATCAGTGTAGTGTCGCCTTCAAGTGTCGGTTGCTTTGCGTCGCTGTGCATGGGTTGGTGTAGAGTAGATGGTCGCTCTTCATGTCTCGGGCCTGTTTGTATTTGATCTCTCTGTACTTCTGGGAACACGTACTAGTACGGCATTGGGAAATGAAATTTGTCTATCTAAACCACTTCTGTTGCTTATTTTTGTGTATCTCTTCTTGATAACGTCAGATAGTTAATACACCATCGAGACTTCTGTCCTTCAAAATCTCCCTCTCTCTGTCTCTACCGCGTTCCCCCTTCGCACGACCTCCTCTTTTCCGCTCCGCCCAAACGACATCTGTGATGGGTGGACAGAGGCAGAGTACCATTATCGTTCAGATTTTCCGCATATAGTTACCGTAGGTTGCACAAAGACTTTCAGGTTTTCCTCGTATCGGCAGAGTATCGGTTGCACAAACACTTCCCGGCTCGATTGGCTTTCCCGAGCATACCGGTGATTCCTTGCATTCTCTCGCTACACACGGCCAACTCTTATCACAGCCCAGTGCAGGTTTGCAACACCTTCTGCATGCGGCTGCTGAGCTGATGTTTACCCCGCTCTTAGCACGGCACCTCCGGTCACTGCTCAGAGTCCGGAGGGCATCCAATCCGTGTATAAATGACCGCCATTCCTACGCCCTTCCCTCTCTTTTCTCTCTTTCTCCCCCATTGACACCACCGCGATGAAGCCTTCGATAGAAAGACCGTAAAAACCGGAACCCCGGGGCCCACCCCCAGACGCACGCCTGCCCCCCGCCCGCCGTCCTCCACAAGCCCGGCTCTCTCAATGTGACCATCCGGTCCCCCGGCGCGCTTGCGCGGCCCGCCCTCGCACGCCCACGTCTGCATCTGTGTCCCCTCTCCGTCCTCTCCCTGTTCAGGTCCGTTCTACGTCGCCCTGCTTCGATCGCCATGTCGTCCGCCACCTCGTATGGAGTTACCGTTAAACCCCGACACCGATCGGTAGAGACCCTACTCCTTCCCGCCCCTGTGACGTGCACCCGGTACGCGTAACGTGTCCCTGCACCCAGCTGGGACGCTCCGTTCTACCGTTCGGGGGCGGATATGCTAATCTCCTTTCGGTGTCGGCCGGGTTGGCAGCCCGAGCCCTGACGATGGTCGCCTTTGAGGCCGAAACACCGTGATTTTAGGTTCGAGGGTTGGTCGCTTCGGGGCGACGTAGTGCTGGCTGTGAAGTATGCGAGGCGCAGCGGATTGGTTGCGGCGGGTAGAATGGTACGTAGATAGAAACCTGAAGCAATAGATGATCTGCTGTGTTCGTTAATAAAAATCGCCCGAGCGTCGATGATTATGCGCGATTAAGTGACCGTACTTGATATGTGATATTTCTCGTCGCACAGTATGGGATGAACGAACACTCACATCGACTCCCTTGGGCATTGAATCCCTCCCATTTTGTGGAGCCTTCCACTGCGATCCCATGTTGTTTCCCAAGTTCAGGCTTCAACCGTTCGCTCCATCAATCCCAGCGCTTTCCCGCACGTAAGCCGTTGCCCAATGTTGCACATGTACGTATGTAGTACATACCAAGCCCCGCACCTCAGTACACACGTAATGAGCACGATACGGTCAAGTCTCGATGTTGTTGCCACACCCGGCACGAACGTCGTCGGCTACCCACAATCCTCCCATATAGCCGTACCGTGTATCGGCTCGTGATAGCATACGACGAAGGGCTATCATCTCGCAAGGAAGTCGGTTGTGCCGGTATCGGATTCCTCGGCCCCGTACCTGTGGCATCGATGTCAGCATCAGTGTCAGCATCGCACGGGACGGACGGGGAGGGAGGCGCGAACTCTACGATAGTGGGGCTCGCTGTACGCGAAGACCTTCGCAGCTGGATTCGAGGAATAAGAGATTCGAGGGATGGGAGGTGGCCTGGCGTGGCGGGCGCGGTTGGCGTGATGGCGAGTGTGTGCTGGACTGCTGGACGGTGAGGAGTTGGGAGGAGTAGGAAGGAGTAAAGCAGCGTCTGCCATCGTTGCTGGCTCCCGATACGACTACGACTACCACCAGCACCAGCACCAGCACCGTCGTTCGTCTCCACCATTCGTGCGTATGTGCACTGCGCGCGGGCTTCGCCGTGAGCGGGAACCTTTTGTTCCGTTTCGCTTAATCGTGCACATCCCGAATCCCTGCCAAAGCGAGCGAGAATCGAAGACACGAGTGAGGTTCTGTGTACTACGACTGCAGAATTGCTTTTGACGTACCGGAGGAAGCAAGTAATCGGACATTTTCATGGCCTGTGGGATCGACCGAATAGAGATTTACACAGAGATTTACCGATATACACATTGAGATTCACTGAGATTCACATTGAGAGTTGCATAAAGATTTGCACAGTTTCAAGTTTCGGGCAAGAATGTTTATTATTTGCTATCTTGCGCGCGCGGAGGCCGGAAGATACAAATGAAAAAGGTCCTGACCGATGAACGTGATTTTCTGACCCCAATTACTCCGTTGACATGCCGGCGACACAGCTGATGCCCTGCGTACCCGGGGCCGGCTGATCTCCCACATCCGTGTGGATGTAATGTTGGTAGATGAGGGCGGGAACGTTGAGGTTATTCGCATCTTGATTGTTGGTGGCCTGGTCGGGATCTTGGTGGTTCACATTATCCCCATCGTGATCCTTCTTGTCGACGAGCTTAGCGGGATAGTTGTTGGTATTCTTGATGAGACCATCGTCGGTACCCACGATAACCTCCTTGACTTCAGTCTTTTTGGGAGAAGGCTGGATGTCGTCCGCGACCTTGGGATCGTGTTCGACACTCTCGACAGAGGACTTCTTGACAACGTTGATCACATCCTGCGGGACATTATTGACATCGGTACGCTCCAGCAGCGTCATGGGGCGAACATTGACAGCATTCATGGGCGAGCTAGACACATCAGCATCTACTCATCACGAGCCAACCAGCAGGAGACAGGAGACAACACATACGCTGGCTGGATACGGGGGTTGGACACCCATGGCATGGGGACCGCGGCCGCAAGGCCAGCTCCGGCCACATGCACGACATTCATCGGTTGGCCGATTACCATAGCTGGGCGTTCAACTTCTTTGTCGGTCTTGAACAAGGCAAGCTTGTCCCCACCCTTCTTGACGACCTTCTTGATGGACTTCCCGGACTTGTGGCTGGCAGCCTTGATGAGCTCCTTGAGCTCTGCGAAGTGAGGCAGTTAGTACACATGAGAGTACGGAGTGGGTGAGGGCGACGAACTATGGATATGCTCGCGAATTTTGGGCATATTTGTTGTTTTTGGGGGTGATTGGATTTTGTGAAGATTATTGAAAAGCTCAAAGTTAATTGAAGTAGTAGGATACTCCAATGTCGTTGTGTCCTGGTTATCTGAAGGGATAAGTAAAAGGAAAGGAGGAAGAAGACGAAAGGAAGCAACCCTTTTATTGAGGGCCGAGGCGTCGTAGGGTAAAACCCTTTGTGTTTTGGGCAAACCTACTCACGATCGTGAAGTCCCGCTAGCTGTGTTTTGTCGGCGAAATTATACATAGAATTGTCCCCGTGATGGTGGGGTAAAGTGGTTTTGACATCGAGTGAGTGCGGGAGGCAGGCACAAGGAGCCAGTACGTGAATCCGGAATCCTCCACCAACGTGCGTCACAGGCGCGGCTTGGCAGACGATAGAGAGATTCGGATATACTAAAACATATGTAACCACCTTTATGGACAAGATATGGAAATACAGGAGGTCATCACGCTCATAGCATGAGATATCACGGTGGAGCGTGTGAAGCAACCGTGATCATTTACTGTGAACCCCGCGCCCTCACCAAACGTGCTGCACAGAGACTCCAGCTCGCTCCGCAAGTGGGCATACGTCAACCGTTACATGGTAGAATACACTAAGTGATCCATTAGGCAGGGCATAATCGGTCCCCAATCAATCCCTCAGACTCATGCCAGCACTTGTGGTAATTGTAGACGACTACTACTTTGGGTCAACCGTACTATTCGTGCGGACAGGACTCTTACTCGCACGATTACCATTGGCCTCGTAAGCGTGTCGGGTAACTATGATCCTTTACTGTGAGCCCCGCGCCCCTCATCGAATGTGCCCCAGCTCACTCCGCAAATCGGGATAGCTCACGGTTTGGCAAGCCGTCTTACTACTTCACGTGCGCAGCGATTGTTGGAAGTTGAAGTTATGTATGTCACAGAGCACGAATTACTATGGTCAAAGAACGACGGTGTGATATAAAAGCTTAATTCGCATCCACTTATACTGCTTCAGACTAGACTGCTTCCAACTCACTCGGTGCTGTTTTACCAGGAACGTGACTACGTTATTTTCAACCGGGGCGTGGCGGGATGTGGACTCGCTTGTGGTGGTGACTCCCGCTGCGGCTCTGGCTGAGGTGGTTGGGGCGGTATCGGCAAGCCCATACGATGCGGCGGAGTGGGAATTTGCAGGGCTGCTAACTTCGAATTGCCGCCGTCCCCGCCGCTGTTAGGAATCGAAGACAAATCCGCGAATAGCTCATCAAACTTGGTAATGCTTTGAATGTGTTGGGATCTACGGCAGCAGCCACTTATCTAATCTAGGAACCGGTCTTTTGATATTTCACTAGTTGCAGCCCTACACGCAACTAGCGCTACAAACGTCACAAGCTTCTTGCCCCCTCCCATTTGTTGGAAGTAGCGGCGAAAGTGGGGCACATTCTAGGATGTTGCCCTAGACTGCGCACCACGCGCCACTTATAAAAGGGTAGTTCTTCTTTTCACAACATACTTCGTCCTCCATCCTTCTTCCTTCATCTATCCTCTTTCATCATTCTGGCATTCTTCATCCTTCACCAACAAATATTCGGTAAGTTACCACGAATCCCAAAGAAACATGGCACACATCGACATGTCCCTTTTTAACATCACCAGCAATTCTTTTCTTCGCCACTTCATGATTTGCGGCTGTTCTTCGGCTTGCCCTGCACGGAATAATTTCCAAAGCGCAGCTCGTTTTCTCCGTGATGGAGGTTTTACCTCCACCGTGTGCGTACCATGGTGCGCATATTAAGTAATACCCCATCCTACCAAGCCGCCCGGATTCTTAACATTAATAATCCCGACGTTTAGAAAAACTGCCTACAAGACCCATTACTAGTGCCACGCCTCCCCTGACTGGATTCAAGACCCGACCGGTGGGGGCGCTCTGCGGATGTGGACCTCAACTATACCCTGGTGGTGGTCATGCAGTTGCGCAAGGTATGCTACTCTCGGCCGATGTTCCATTTACTGTTTCATGCTCACATGCTTCTAGTGCTGTGATCACCCCCACCTTCTGCCACGCGCAGAACCACATCGCCCAGAAATACAGAGCATTGCGGATCACTCCGCTACGATCATGTTTCAGGTTTGGACGACTGGATGGCACCACCCCATAGCCAGACGAAACCTCGGCATCAGACTGTTCAATAATGGCCCCAATTACAAGATCACCCTGATCTCGACTGGCGCCGGAGGATTGGGAATCAACCTGGCACTGTGTTTGATGTCATATTTGGTCCGCCTGAAGTGCGAGGGGCCCCCAGAGAATTACTCCGAGGCATGCTCCGATGACGAGGACTCCGAGGATGCCGCAGAGAATACTCTGCGGCACACCGATGACGAGGACTCCGAGGAGGCTTACTTCTACTGGAGCCATATTTCCGCTTCCTATCCTCATCTGGCGGTGCCTCCGTCAGCCACAGCGTCTGGACTTGCAAATCAGCAAGTGAGTCCGAAACTCACAGGGATTAAAGGGACCCCTACCACACCCGCGATGTCTACAGTCCACTAAAGAACCTCGTCCCAAGTTTTCAAATGAGAACAGGGATTCCAGTCTCCGAAAGGCTACAGAACAAGATGAATCGTCGAAGGCCTTGAAACACCCAGGAGGCGAAGGCAAAGGAGGAGATAGCAAAGGGACCTTCAACAAAGCATAACTCGGTGGTGACGATCCGTGAAACGGAATGACGCTGGACCGCTTGAAACTTGAAGGTACTGCTTTGCCAGGGTATTGGAACGACATCTTGTATAGTTTAATACAAAACCTCAGTCAAGGGTTGTTGAAATACCAGCAGTATACGGAGGCGTGGGTGGTCAGCGGCGACGGCGCCGATAGGGCGTTGGCGGAGGCAGGTGGTGCCGGCAGGTAGTCGCCGGCATGATATACGAGTCGGTAGATAACGGTCAACGCAAAGGCAACTCTCATACATATCATCCGTTCGAAACTCCGTGCCTTTCAACAATTCAGCTGCTCTCTCAATTGTTGGATATGTGCTAAGATGCCGAGAATGTGGAAGGCGGCTCGGTTTGCGTATGCGCGGTGGGGAGGATAGAGGCCCATGCGAGGACGCGCTCACCCAACAGTGGTGTGGCCTGCGGTCGGAACTCGTGGGGCTACACATAGCAGGTCTAGTGCAGATATAGCTGGACCTCTCGACCGCAGAGACGAGCCTCGACGGTAGAGACGAGCGTCGACGGTAGAGACAAGCCTTGACGGTAGAAACAAGCCTCGACGGCATAAACAGGCCTCGAGGGCAGAAAGAAGCCTTGACGGCAGAGACAAGCCTCGATGGCAAAGACAAGCCTCGATGGAAGAGACACACCTCGACGGCAGAAACACAAACAGTCAAAACGCTACGGCAATTCAATTGCACGTACCATGTTTAGTTTCACCCGCAGGATTTCGCTGCCCACGCTTCCTTTCTCTCCCTCTCCCTCCTTTATAAACCACCATCAACATCCTCCCTCTCTCTTCCTACTTTCCTTCATCCTCCACCATCAAGATCCTCTCTCTCGCTCTCTCTCTCTTCTTGCTACACTGCTACTACATCATCAATTCTCCCTTTCAAGACTTCCCTCCAACAATCCCCCCCCCCCCCCCGAGATCCCCGACGGTCGTGCATGCGCCTGCGGGCGCGCAAATTAAGCCGTATCGTCGCACCCTCCCCATTCGTGTCGCAGCGATCGCTGCCAGAGCTACAGCCTCCACCACCGAGGCGACGGATGTTATCACGTACCATACGGGAGTCGAAGAGGCGAAGGAGGAGTACGACTACCATCCTAGGGGATCCAGTAGCCCGTCACAACCAAGAAGTTGTGATTGACTTGGTTGTGAAGGACTACTGGCGTGTGGTGTCCTTGTGTCTTTTTAGGAATACTTTGCGATTGACTTGCTGCCATTCTCTTTATGGACCCGTTCTATTAATCGGTGAAGCTCGTACTAACTACAGCAGGTGTCACCGAAGCATTGAATAACGACGAATGGAAGGAAAATATTGACCTCGGTATGTTGCAAAATCTATCTCATATATGTCGACATAGATGACCGAGTCATTACAGGTATCGACGCCTACCGTGACGACAACGGTAAGCCGTGCGCTCGGCTTTCTGTTCGCGGCCCCGAGAAGCAGATTCCGAATAGCGCTCTGAAGACCAATCTGTTTGCAAGTGCGAATAAGGATGTGGTGAGTTTTATTTCCTTCCTTCATCTAAAGATCGGGAATATGGGACTCCGATGAAGAGGACTCCGAGGAGCACTCAGGGAGACTCTCAGAGTGTGCTCTGATGACGAGGAGTCCGATGAGGAAGAGCTCAAGCTCATCGACCCGCCGAACAACCGTCCCGACGGTTAGGCTATTCATTTAGGCGGAATCTTTTCCGCCAGGAAATTTTCAGTCCATCACCGCTATACGATGATGGACTAGTTTAAGATCACTCACTCCTGGGAGGAGGAGTTTTCAAGAAGCTTGACGACTACATCAAGAGCTTAGGAATGGATGCGGAACACAAGAACAAGGCGAAGGGATACTTACTGTATCTTCTAATCGGAGTCATTCGTAAGGTTGCGCGGCAATCCGACCGGAACGAGTTCGATTGAAAAAGCTCAGGTGCTGGCCGCTGGCGAGGACGGAGGGTTTCTGATGGATTTTGTGCATCTATTTGCTTTCTGTTTTTCCTTTTATTTTTTCTTACTTTGTTATATCCTGCTGTGTCAATTGAGGTGAACATTTCCGGAAAGACTATGCGGAAGAGGAGGAGAGAGGGGGGGAAGAAGAAGGAGGAGGATGAGGAGGGCTGAGGGGGCTAGTTTTTTCTTTCAATTTTATCGCAGTAGTCTGCATCCTCAATGATTTTGTATCCTTTCGAGCTCGTCACGACGAATTTTTCACAGTAGGCTGGAAGCCAGCCTGTGTTCTATATAATCCCATCCAGCCCCTCTTTGTGGCCTATGGACGGGACTCTGCTTCAGTCATCCGGGGTAGTGCAGGCAACAGCTCGAAATGCCCATAGGCTGGGCTGGGGTTAGTGGGCTGATCTGATAGCCCGGGCTGGAGCCGATGTGCTGGCAGCCCAGCCCGGGCTATCAGTTGGCGTTGGGCGGGCTGGATCGTAGAGTTGGTTAAGGTAACACTACGACAATAGATAGGAAACAGGCTCACGCCGGCGAGACGAAGGATTGAAGAAAGAGTATTGGATTTACATAGGACACAGGCCCACGCCAGCAACAGTAACTTTAGCTTACTACCCGGGCTGCTACTTGGTTCGAAACCGGCGCTCTCGATTGCGTCTGACATCGAATTTAGGGTTATATGGGATGCGATTTGTGGCAGGAGGCGATTTGTTTAGGGAGGTGACTTTGTTGCGAGAGATGATTTAGTTGCGGACGATGATTCTGTTGCGATTATTGTTCTTGGGATGCAGAATGTGGCCGTGCCAGATCACCCTCGTCGATACTATGTAGAGTAGAAGTGTGACGCATCATTGAAACTCACTCGCTACTACCCACTAACCCTGATGCGCCCAGGCTAAGGCATCCGAGTGGGAGCTCAGGGAGCTGGAAGAGAGAGCGAGCTGAGGCGAGTCGAGAAGGAGATGAGTGCCGATGCCGAGGAGGAGGAGGGCGCTGAAGCTGAGGAGCCAGGCGAGGTAGAATAGCGGACCAGCAACTTGCTGTGGAGGTGGGTGCGAGGGCGGGGCGAGTGGTGGTGGCGGACGTGGCGGGGAACGGTCGTTGCCTCCTCTAGCTCTATCTCTGCCTGATGAGCTCACATATAGTACTGTTAGGAAAGGCCAGGGCGGAGGGCCAGTCACATCGGGCCGCCTAACAAAAGTCGGGTTGGACAATGGCGTGAAAACGGGGGGAGGGGTGCACGTGGAGATGATAATGCCATGATCTAGATAGGTCGCATGCAATTAATGAATTAATAAAAAAAAAAAGGTGGGCTGCTCAAAGCCAGGCTGTGGGCTGGCTTTGACCGGGCTGAGCTGTTGCCTGCACTGCCTGAGGGTGTGTGATGGACGGGTCACGGGCGTACCCACGAACAAGGTCGGACGGGAGGCACTGCAGTTAACTACCGTCGGCTGCAAACAGGCGTACAGGTTCAGGAGAAAAACCATAAACCGGGATGAATCACATGAGAACAAGCGATGTTCAGCAAAATAGCGTACAGAACGGAATACTTTCATCCCGCGCTCCAGAAGAATGGACGGGATGGGGGTAGACAGATCCCTTCCAACCCACCTGGACTATGCAGAACACGGATGCCGCGATTCTCCTGAAGCACTTCACTGGTCATGGCTTGACTTGTGTCTGACATGTATGATGTCATGCCTCGAAGGCAGCGACACCCCTCAGTAACGGACCTACTGTAATTCATTGCCAGGCACCGCGTGCGGTTTTACTCGCAGGGATTATCCTCCACCCATTACTTTACCTCTCTCTCCCTTCTTTCTCCTAAGGGACGTGAAGGGTCGAGCAGGAGCTGGCTCGCCGGGGTGCACCAGAGGGTTGCCTCTTATTCCGTCAATGGTGTGACCCGAGTGAGACTAGTTTCTGATGGTATGACGATGGCTCGCCAAGATTGTGGGACCCGATTGATGCTTGGCTAGACAAGACAGAACTTGAGTGGGCTTGGGAAGACTTGGGTTGACACCCCTGTTTTCAAGGCGGAACCTTCACAGACCTGGGTGGACCTCTCTGTTTTCGAGGCTGGACCTTCACAGACCTGTTGCGACCAAATGTTCTGTAGTGATCATTTCTGTTTGTTGACATCGTCGTCGAGCCGACCTGATTCGGTCGGCCAAATGTTGTGTTCTCGCCGGCAACTCTTATCTAAAGGGGTCGTCGTCTCTTCTCTTTCTGATTTCTGTGTCGCGATTTTCACTTTTCTCATGTTTCCCGTTCATTTGTGCTGTTTCTACAATTGACAATCTCATTTTCATTACACTTCTCCCAATTTGTGGGCCCTCACTACTCCAGCATCAACTTCCTCTTTCTACATCCCCCTCTTACTACAGTTCTACTCCACCATCAACTTCGTATCTCCCCCTCCCGGACGAAATCGCTCCGCCTTTGCAGATGCACACAGCGATCTACCACCTCTCCCCTTACCACCCCATTAGCATCCTCTCTCTCCCTACCGCCTCCTCCCTACCCCACCATCCATTGTACGATACCCCATCTACCTCACAAGCCGTCGCAAACCCGCCATTGCTTGCTATCGAAGGAAGCTCGGCGGAGCCGGGCGCGACCGAAGCCCAGCCGAGACTAACGATCGAAGAAATCCCTGCGCGTGCGACCAAAGCGGGGCAGGATCTAGAACTCTGTGATATCCCTCCGCGTGCGACCGAAGCGGAGCTGGAACTGGCTCCCGCCAATATCTCCGAGGTTCCGGAACCGGAAGCCTCTCGAGCCCCGTCCAGCATCCGGCAGGTTGGAACCGTGGTGTGGATTAGTAACGACATCGGATGGCGGTGTAAATTCTGTATGCTCTTCCACCTCCCCAGCCGGTGTATACAATTATCTAACCCTCTCCAGGCACCCAGCAGTATCGCAACTATAAACCATCCAACCCCGCCACCGCAAACCACAACAGATCCCGACCTCGCGTACTCTACTGCCTAGATTCAAGACGACGAAGATGAAAGCCTCTACTCATTCGAAGAAGGAAAATACGAGGAAGATGGGAGAAAGATGAGGAGGATGAAGAAGGAATAGAAAGGGGAGTAGGAAGATGACGAGAAGAGGGTAGATAGCAAGGGGAAGAGGCAGAGGAGGACGCGGAGGAAGAGGCAAAGTGGAAGCAGACGAAGGAGTCGAAGGAGACGAAGGAGGTGAAGGATTTGAAGGATTTGATATTTTTCTTGTCTACATGCGAGGAGACGAGAACATCCGACTACAGATGGGTACAATCTTTGACGGAAAGCACAACATCGTATTGTTGCTATCAATTTTATCAATTTTATCGCAAATAACTGTATCCTCAATGACTTTGTATCCTTTTGAACTCGTCAATTCAGCAGCTGTTTGGCGATACGTTTCATTATAATGACGGTCGTCGTGATTAAAACAACATTTTGACTATTGCCTGGTTTTCCGGGTATCTCGAAGTTGGAATCCGAATTTTCGATCTCGTGCTGTCATGTAACGCTCCGCTTATAAGGCATAATTAGTAACCTTCTGCTTCCTACATCCCGCGTCCGAAATTACCATGGACTAAAGGTTTACATTGCGCAAGACTTGGGAACGGCCGTCGAAATCGCCATACGCAAACACGGCAGCATGTGGTAGAAGAGCAGCATTTAGCTGTAATCTTGACAAACAATCTACAAGCTTTATAAACAATCTAATGAGTGGAATCACAGCCCCCCAATCGTCTGACTTTCTGCTGCACCGTTGTTCTTGCCATAATATCACGAACTTCCGTGTACCTCGTCATGTGAGATCACTCGGAGGTTCGTTTTCCGTTCTCACGGAGGTGGCGAGCGGCGGCGAGCGTCCTCTATATGACTCTCTTTCCGCTACGATACAGTCTACACTACCCCAGAATACCACTTTTCTTAACAGTTCTACACGGATAAGGGGTGAGTGATAAAACGTGAATCAGTGAACCGGTGCCGCAATATGGAACTATAAGCTGCGATTAGTTGTGAACTTTTTTAAGCATCTAATGTGAAAGCAGAACATCCTAATCGTTTACAACAGACTTTCCGCCGGACCGCAGTCCGCCCGACTAAGATGTGAGTGATGTAACGTGAATCTGTGAACCAATGCCAATAATGGCGTGCCATGGCCCATGGGTGGGGTATTTTGTGGAGCTCTAAGAACGGTCATTGAAAGGTATGAGCTCTACGTACGTTGTGGAATGATGGTTCTTTACGGTGATGACCTTGGGGAAACTACCTAGGAGGATGGAAGCATCGTATTCAGAGAAACGGAGACTTGATGCGTGGGAAGGTTCGAGACGTCTATCAAATACTTGAATACAGATGGTAGGATACGGCACAGAAGTAAATCTCCATTATCACCCCTTCATCGGCCGGCCTCGGCATCACCTCCATTTGCCGCACCCACCGACATCCCACCGCCGTCTATCACATACCATCCCCGGTTGCTCACCCTTCACAAGGGCAGTGTCACGTTTTCAGGCGTAGAATAATATCGGCACCCAAGAACGCTGGTTATGCAGCGGCATGTGTTTAGATCAGATGGCGTATTCGCTTAAGCGCTCTCGGTCTATGAACACGCATTCACGAGATCACTCGGTCGAACCACGGCATGTCTAATCATTTTCTATAACGGCGACGTCGGTGAGTACGACAAATACTAGGGCACACACGACGTGCATGTATTACGAGCTTCAATCAAGCAACACACATCCGCTCCTTATTTCTATCCCAATTTTTACCACCCACCCTTTCCCCAACAATTACTCAACCTGACATTGACTTCCCCCCCCATCACCTCACTAGACACCAAAACCACCATGAGCGACTACACTCCCTCCAACAACGTCAACACTTCACCTACTCCCGGCGCGGGCAACAGGCCTCGGTCGAAGTCCGTGGGAATGGATACTCCCCTGGACCGCGCGGCGGCTTCCCGCTTCACTACCACCATGAGCGACGACACACCTTCCAACGACGTCAACGCTTCGCCTACTCCCGGCGCGGGCAACAGGCCTCGGTCCAAGTCCGTGGGAATGGATACTCCCCTGGACCGCGCGGCAGCTTCTCGCTTCGCTGCGGAGTTTCCTGGCCCTCGCGGTGCCGTCACGTGGGAGGAGCAGACCATGGCTACCATCGCTACTTACATGGAGAAACACAACGAATTGTTTCTTAAATTTGAAGCCATGAGGCTTTCCTATGACGAGACTTCACCGATGATGCGCGGCGCGAAAGCCCGCGAGATGGTCGCGATCGCCTGCGAGATGGCCAGGAAAGCCCGCCAGATCGCCGCGGTGGCTAGGCGTGCCGAGCTACACAGGTCGCTGCAGAATGCGAACCAGTCCCAGCTGGACCCTTGGGCTTGGGATGCTAAGTATAATGTTCTCGCCAGGAATATTTTCTGCGGTATGTTCGTCATTCATGGTTGCATGGAGATGGGGGGGCTGACGTGGAGTGCAGAGACGTGCTGTGATCATTCCGACGAGGACGGAATCTGCAAAGACAAGTTCGGTGATGAGTCCAACGAGAACGAAATCTGCAAGTGAACTAGGGTTTCTTCGACAACACCTTCTCATTCACTGTGGTTCGATGGAGGTTGGGTTCACGGGCGTGGGTTCATTGATAAGGCTTCTTTGGGATCATAGCGGATGAATGGAGGATGTTGTCGATAAAAAGTGTCTTATGTTCACTGGCTGGGGATGAGTTGGCATTGCAGGATCTGTTTTCTCTCAGCATTATGAGCAATTACTAGAACCTTCAATCTACAATCTTGTCATGATTGGTACATAACTTCGGCAATCGCGTGAACCCCCCAAGCCTCAACCTCGTATGGCCAATGTCTCGCCAGTATATACGCCAGTGACGGTCAAAGCCTCATCGACACCCTCTGCCCTACCATGGCTCCACGAACTATTCGCTTCTCATTCACCGACCAGAGCTAAATGCAACATTCCTCATCCCTTCTAAACCGAACCGCGATCAAAATTTCCGTCTCAATCCGTGATGCTAACGCTTGCGAGTTTCCACCCGCTCGGTGGCCGTCACGCCCGAATGGCACGTCATTCTATGGTTAGCTAAACTGCAGTTTATGGCGGTCGAAAGTCTTTGATTGTATTTGCTATGCTTACTTCCAGTTTACAGGATGGGCAGTCGTCCGGTGACTATCAGCATTGAAACAGAATCTTCATCGCTGAACGGAATTTCACCGCACCAAACACAGTTGTCATGATATCACGAACTTCCGTGTAATGCGTCATGCGATCACTCTCTTTGTCGAGATACTTCCGTTATCCGTTCTCACGGAGGTGGCGAGCGGCCTCTGTCCGAGGTACCCCCGCGCCTTCCTCTACATATGCATTTCTTCCTGCTGTGTCTGATACGTCGTACACTACTTCAAAATACCACTTCATTAACAACAGTTGCTTATGGGAAGGCGAGTGATATCACGTGATTTGAAACAGCGAGCGACTGCCATCCAGATATCATACAGTCCGCAACGAAATAGGGTTCAGGTGGGCTCGGTGAATAGACCGTGCTGTGAGTAGGCACGAGAATTGTGATGTGTTGGATAGTCCTTTGTAGGTCGTATATCGAAAATGTTACCGTGAAAGGTTAGTTAGAGTACTGAGTAGATTTGGCATTGTGAAATACACCTGCACAGCCACATATTCGCATACCTGCACCGCCGTATAACGCCCCGCCGCCAGCACCTTCCTAGGGTCCCGGTTCACTCCCAGCCCTGTGGGGTATCCGTCCTCATCACGCCATCACGGAAGATTGTAGTCCTTGTTCTCCTCAACCCGAATAATTCCATCTGTCTCGGGCAACCTCTGTGGAAACCAGAAAGGCACAGGAATAATTTCACTCAAATGTACGATTTTGTATGAGAGTTGTCCTTTCATTAACGGCTATCTACCGACCCTTATATCCTCCTGCCGTCGCCGGTGACCCACACTTCCATATAATGATAGCATTTGCTGATTCGCCACACCTTCCAACAACCTCAAAGACGGGCTGGGCGGACGATTCGCCGCCCTGGGGAAGAACGGCTGAGTCCATCGATCTGCAAGATGTTAGCATCAGGTTCAGAATTTAGGAGATTAGTGTTTGCCTTCCACCACAAGCGGGAGGAATTTTCCGAGGAAGAGGCATCTCGGCGACACTGTCCACAGGGGACATATCAATGTGTTAAGAACGACGAACCCGTCAATCTGCATGATACGATTAGTGTTACGTTAAGCATTTGGAGGATTGGTACTTGCCTTCCACCACAACGAACATGAATAAACGGTCCTAAACCGCCACCTCGTAAGCGGCTCAAGTCGCACTTCCCAGCAAGGGACGCATAGTGATGGCTCCACTAGCCACGGCACCCGGCTCCCACGTCTTTCCAGTTGATCTGTCCGCGGCTCTTTGGTTGCCTCATCATCTGTGTCCGACGTCGGCTTGTCATCCGTTTCCGAGGTCGCCCCATCATCATTGTCCCGACGTCGCCTCATCATGTTCTGAGTCACGCCCGCTGTTGGGAGGCTCAGCCGTGTCCGGCTCGTCATGGGCATTATCATCGGTCTGATCGTCATTGTGGCCCGACGCAGCCGCCTCAGGCTCGCCGTGCATGGTGCTGCACGTGGCCATCACCAAGTGTGGTGAAAGTGGAAAGGAGATTGTGAAGGAAGCCCGCTCCTAGGCGGGGTGGGAAAAAGATGAGTCAGGTTATCAATGCGAAGAAAAGAACGAATATTCTAATATTGCCACCAAGGGCAGTTGGGGTTGATGTTTGATGTTGTGTGTTGGTTGTTGTGGGAGAGGAGTGAAAGCAGTGGTTGGTTGAGTTAAATGTTGGGGGCTACGACGAAGTTAAGGTCGAAGCTAACGTCGAAGCTAATGGAGCGTGACAGAACATACGGAGCTTCTGCGCTTTCTATGACACGGATAACGATTAGATCCACCCTCCTCCTCCCCGATGTCGGTAAGCAATGATCTACATAGAAGAACAGGAACACGTGGCATGTTCCGAGTCTCCGACTTTTTGGTCTCTGCAGACGAGCCAACAGTATTTGTTTGTCGCGGCCAAACAAAGTACTCCACCCATATTGAGAATAACCATTTGCTACCGCGATGATCAGAAGTCGCAATTCACGCCAGCTTAGAATGGTCGCCCATGTGAGGTGAAAAACCACTACTAGGTATGGTGCGCTGGGTATGCGGGCGAGTTGAGCCTCCTAAGTCCTGATCATTGCGGTATGTAGAAAATACATATCGGCAATGTGAGTCCCACTGTCATTAGAGTGAGCTGCAATAATTTATACTTTCCAGCCCGTGCGTTCTCCAGCTCCATGTGTGTTGCCGCATTTTGGCCTCATATGTACACTGCTATGTAGAGTATCCGCAACCTGCCACCTACGTCATACCAACCCCCCACACTCCCGCTGGGGTCGCGCACCCCTGCAACAAGCACTGCTATGTATGGTCCGACCTCTTGCTTGACGTCTGGCATCTCCATAAATATTTATGTTTCACTCCAGCAGTAAGGAGCGAGCCACTTACATCAACGCCCTGCATTTGCAGCTGCCACAGCAGAGACCTCCGCCAATGGAACCCAACACCGCCAGCACTACCCGCATCATACGATATCGAGGCTACCAGGAATCGAGAGGAAGGTGGATACGGAGGGGCTCTTAACACGGGTGGTGGAACGATATATGGAGGAGAAGAAGCGGGCATAAAGGACATCGAGTGTTTTCTTGACGAGAGTTTTGTTCAGATTGAACAAACATCAACCTACAACCGAGCGTTCATGAAAGCAAACGGGGATCTGTCGGTTTGGACGTCACACGAGAATGGAAAACAAAGGTGTGTTAGCGACAGCCTCGAAATGAAGACCCGTTCTGCAGAGCATGTGGGGAATCATTAAGACCGGCTAACGGGCAGATAGGGCTTGACCGTCCTATCCACAGTGGCGCATCTCGAGATCCATTCGGTAATTCCCTTACATCGACAACATCTGCAGCTATCTGCGGGAATGGGCTCTGGCGAGTACTATCCAGCCCAAGGCCTACGAATCCTCCATTTTGAACGATCACTGTCAACCAACACACTACCGACATCCATCAAAGCCCTTTCACGACGCAGTGTCACTGTTGTAGGATGATATTAAAGTCCGGGAAGATACGACTTAATCGGCGGAATCTGCGCATCGCGCATACCCTACAGAATATACATTACTTCCGAGCTCTGACCCGTTACCAGATATACCAAGCAAGAAGCAGTTCATTCCTACCAAGCTGGCTAGTGGATGGACGGCCGGAGGCAGGCCATGTTTTCTTCTAAGCCTCAAGCTCCTCGGCTGGTACCTGTCAGATCTAGGCTCATTGGGCGCCGGAGGACTACATACTGGCTTTTTTTTGTTTAATCATTAATTGCATGCGAACTGTCTACATCACGGCAATTTCTACCCGTGGAGGGAGCGGGAAGAGAGGCAGCGGGAAGGGAGGGAGGTGCTGCGGCGGCTCGAGGAAGAGGATGAGGCGACGGGGGAGGCGACGGCGTGGATTAGAGACTCGCGGAGGTGGTGGGGTACGAACGAGCCCAGGGATTGGATGGTGTCTTATCCTGGTATTGTTTCTTTCGGGCGCTCTATGTTCATTTCTAGGACTGGCCGGGGCGGAGGGCAGGTAAAGCCACATCGGGCCGCTTGGTGAAAGTCGAGACGGACAGTGTCGTAGGAACAAGGGGGTGTATGGGTAGACATTAGACGACATACTGGCGCCAGATCTTTGGCTTCCGGTGATTGGGCGTCCGAGTCAGATTTGCTGTCCGGGGCGCCGTGATCGGGGCGGGGGCCGAATTGCGAACCGTCAGCTTGGAAACATGTATATAAAGGACCTACTGTTATGACGAGAGAAATAATAATCAAGTCTTTTCATGCTCCTAGTTTTCACACCGATATGCAGATTCAACTTATGTACATACGCCGATGATTGGAATGCCTACGTCCGTTTAATTCACTAGTTACTGCCGAGCGAGCGAATTTCGCTCTTGATATGTTTGACAGGTAACTACCGTCTATTCCAAAGTCAAACAGAGTGACATAGCAAACGAACCCATCCCCCGCTTGCGAACCGCAAGCACAAACCGGCTTTCATCTAGCTCTCCCGTCCCCCAGCCTGGACCGAAAATAGACATCTTCTCGACTATCATCAGAATCAGACTCGTTTTGAAGTGCTTCATCCACTGCTCTATCAACGCTATCCAGGGGGCGCCGTGTTGATTTACATCCGCTTGGAAGCCTATCAGTATTGCGGTAGCCGAGTCTCGCGACCCTCATCAGTAGTGAGCAACTCCATGCCTTGCAGCATTTCTTGTGGATCCAGTGGCCGCATTCGGCAAGTGTTACTCCGTCCCTGTCTGTACCGGTGCGGCGGAGGAGCTGGCAGGAGTTGCTTGTGGTACATTTGCATCTACGCATTGTTGCAGTGGGGGTAGTGGATATTGCTGTTGGTGGTTGTTGTTTGGATTGAGAATATCGCAGTTGGTGGCACCGTGGTTGTTGTGTAGATGGAGGATATTGTGGATAGTAGTTGTTGTGTGGAAGGAGGATGTAAGAGTTCGGGACGTTGACGGATTTATGTGATAGATAGTAGCCTATGTACTTGAACGGTAGAAGAAATCACGTGGATTGAAATCAAAATACATAACTAAACATTCTATGTTTGGTCTTCATTATAAAATCCGTCATCGCATTCAGACGTCTGCGAACATTCTCACCTATGTCGAGCATGTGCGCAATTACAGATGCCATCACTCGCATAAACGAGTGATTACTCATGCCGAGTTGCTCTTGGTTCGATTATAGTCGAATGGACTGATCCCCTCTTGACAAAGGGATGAGTCTCACGAGACATTAATGACTATACATTGTACTACTAGTGTATCGGTTTTCACTATTGCCCTACCGGGACTCCATGCCACGAATCTATCATAGCGCATTAGCAACTAGGTACCCCATTCTCTGCCGATGAGTACAAAAACAGTCTTACCACTGGTCTCCTCCATTGATGACACTTTCTCAGCGAGCTTCCTGGTGGTATAACCAACAGCTGGAACTACCCAATCTGCGTGTTCGGAGCCTGAGTTTCATGCTGAGCTTTTAACTGCAGTGCAGCCGTACGATTGTGTCCACATAGAGTAATCCCACCAATACTGAAGAATGTGCCCGCTAGTAAATATTCCTATGGGGCCACCCCGAGATTCCTCCTTTCCTTCGATTCCAAGCTGAGATCATTTCTGTAGAGTATCGAAAGGACACCGTGTGATAGCCTAACCGCATCGCGTCTAGTGTCATCCTTGTTCAGACGTCATCACACCCTGTCCCACCAACCTGTATCTAATCTATCATACGATCGCATCTTATCTTATCGTACCCCACGGGATGTACTCGTCACAACGGGCGACTCAAGCAACTACATAATGTACTCATCCGATTTCATCATACCTCTATTCGCCCACTTATCTGATCGAAATGAAGGTGCGGAGAGAAGAGATAGGCTTGACATTCCTACGGACAGGTTGCAACGTTGGAAAGGTCATCGCTTACTAAATACCACGTGGACTCAACCAAGTTCCAATAGCTCTTCTGCAGTGATTATTGGCACCGTTTCGCCGTTACCAGCACCAGAAATACTCACCTTGTCCAGTTCATCAGATGAAGCCGACCTCATGCTGTCTGTGTCGCTCTCACCGACCGCTTCAATGTGCTCCGAGACTCCGAGTCGATGAACCCATTTGATCACTCCAGAGGTGGTCGCCCCGAGGCCCGGTGAACAATTCTGCAATACTCCAGCAGTGGTGCTCGCCAGTGCACCGCCTCCCCTCCACCGCCCTCAGAGCGAATGGAGGAAGAGGATCGTTCCGTCCTTAGTCTCAACGAATTTGTCGCGTCGCCGATCATTGACAAAATCCACCACCTGTACGAAGACCTCCAGGAGACTTTCCTCCACGAGCTTGGGCTCGTTAGAACTATTGTCGAAGAGTCAGCATGTCCGGTTAAGGGAAAAGCATGTCTGGTTAGGGAAAAAGCATGAAAGCTCAAGTGCGGTCGAACGTTTACGTAAATTGTATCTTCCTGATTGGAAACCCGACACCAAGACCGAGGATGACTTAGAGGAAGGTGCGATTGGCCCCGGGGCAGTCAATGAAGTCGAGGAAAATTATGATGCTAACCAGGGAAAGATCACTTCTTTAAGACGGAGGCCGGGGCCGGCCTAGAAGAGAAGCATTACGACCAAACCTTTGAACAGAAATGCAGGGAGCAAACCGGGGGCACGCTCCAGAAACCTCTGGTCGATGCTCCAAGCACCCATGCAGTTAACAGTGCGCACCCAGGAACAACTGGTTGGAAACACGCCGATCATCGTCACCGGGTTCTCAAACAGTGGGCTAGTCGTTTCAAGGTTGCCATCGAAATCAATGACGAATCACGATGTATGGATGTATGTTCTCTAGATGCTTAAAACCAATACTTAACAGCTGCCTTGGATATGGGAAGTTCTGTTTAGCGATTCGAAACGCACAGCTTATCGCTTTGTCGGTGGCCTGCGCGAGTCGTGAAAATTGGTTTTTCCCTCCGCATTCTTCGTCTGATCTCACCCAACTGAGTCTGTGATGCAACACTCTAAACTACAATGGCATTACCAACTACGAAATCAACTCCAAAGAAGTCCCATACACTCTTCTTCTCCCTTTTAATCTCGATGTTTTGCATCCCCTAGATAAGCCCTTCTACCCCTCCCCCCGAGACCTCCCACCACATCGTCTTATTATAGACACCCCCTTCCAGTTAGCGCAGTTTAAACCTCAAGACAATATGATCATGCCTAGCGTTCCCCCAAAGACCCCTGCTCAGACCCAATGCCCGCCCCTTTCCTACCGTTCCATAGACCGCCTTTACCGGGCAGGAACGACGTGATAATTGGTGAAGTTGAATGTTTGGAAAGAACATGTTTCTGCGGTTCGAGCGTGAGAGACTGTCGTCCCGACGTCCCTACCAGTATCCCGGGGCATATATCGGCGTTATAACTTCCCGTTTGCTTGCGGCAAGTGAGGGGTGTATTCACAGGTGTGTTTCCGAGCAGACGCCACATCCGGATCGTGGCGGGAACGTGGATGTGGTAGGCAACAGCCCACCCCGTGCCTACACGTCACAACGTCCTCAACGATTAGACATCTCCCACATCCTCCGTATGGTCTAGGTATTCTTGCCTCAGCCGTGTCACGTGTGAGTGAGGTCACATGATGCGGTAGGTGCTTGTATTCAACCTAGATAGGTACTCTAGGTGGGTTCTCGACACGAGATTTACAGGATTGATTTCTCAATGTTTCTGTGCGAGAGAAGCAGACTGCTGTTTCCGTGGTGAGAGATTAACCGGTCGGCTACCGCATGTGCCCTCCAAGTACCGATTCGAGTGGCGAGTCGGCACGGGACGTCTTCCCCACATCACACACGAAAAGAAAGACGAGAAAGTGTGACAGTTCAATCTAGCCTCGAACCAAGTAACAGTTGAGTGATATGTAAAGTACCATATGTGTATAGAGTGTACAAAAACAGACGAAATCCGGGTTATATAAAAGCACAATAACATCGATGAGTACGAAACAGGGGCTCCTGGGAATCAGAAAAAGACAAGACCAAACTGAATGTATCGAAAGAGAGAAATGAGAGAAAACGCATGAAGGGAAAGCCCCTGTCCAGTAACGCCCGCATACCTGCCTTGACATCTAACGCCCCGTTTGTCCCCAGTCCGGCCATCCTCCCTGCGCCTCCCAGTTGACACCAGTGACATCCCCCGCCTCCCATCCGAGCTCCCCTAGCCCCGCCAGCTCGTTTCCCAGTTCGCCTTGGTCCCGAAGTAACCACCCATCCGGCCCTTGCCACGGCGTGTGTGCGGTGCCCATATTCGTGGCGACGTGGGCGACCGCGCCCTGAGGACTCGCAGCGGCATAGATACTCCCCATGTTTGGAGGGTAGGTTGTATACGGTAGCATCGGCACGCGCTGCTGCGTTGCGGCAGAGATCGGCGAGAACTCCGGGATGACAATGTCCGAGCGCGGCGAAGTCGAGACGTCCGAGTATGCGGGGGAGCTAGCTGGCGACGTCGTACTCTTTTCCTGGAGGCCCCATTGTTTGGCTTCTGTGCGAGCGCGGGCGAGGATCACCGCTGCTTCCTCGGGCACCTCGAGGCGCCAGCGGCGGACGAGGATATCGATTATCACTAGTGATCGGCGGGCGACGAGCCAGCATTCGCCCATTTCCTCGAGGCCGTGGAGGCCTTGGATTATGTCCCTTGCCGCGGTCTTTTGTGGTAGGTTGAGGAGATGAATGGTGCACGCGGAATGGATAAAATAGCCAGCTACGTTGCAGATCTGCTTCAGCTTGTAGCGGTGTTTGTAGAAGCGTAGGTACTTGGAAATGTTCGTCGCCGCGTGGAGACACGCTTTTCGAGGATCAAGGTGGGAGAGCGGTGTGGATGAGCTCTGGGAGGAGAACTTGAGAAACGGTCGGAACAGGTGGATGTAGAGGGTTTGATGGAACATGTGCATTAGTAGTGCGCTTGGTAGGCTTCCACCGCGAGCCTCGAGCTCTACCGGAAGCTTCTTGCGCCAATCTTCGAGACGGGAAAATAGCTCGCCAAGTTTCTTGAATTCGGCAGAGATGGATGATTTGGTCAGAGATTTGGCCATGGGGGATGCGGAGGACGGAGTGGGGTTGTAGAAGCACAGAAGTATATCGTTCGAAATCTCACAGAGGTGGGAGATCTGCAACGAGATGGCACGGATTCTCGACGGTTGCGCGTTGTCGATGATGCCTTCGTCTGTGTACGGCACCCAGTTGTCCGAATCTTCCGATGGGAAGACATCAGGCTTGGGAACTGTCACCATCGCTGATGGCAACTGTGGCATGCGACCCATGTAGTTGCTCCAACATCTTTTTCTCGGTCAGTGACGGATGATGGATATGGACGCGGAGCAGAATACTTGTCAAAGAGAAAGCAGCCCCAAAATGTGATCCTCCTGGCATCCGTTTCTTCATCACTCATAGAATCGGTTTCTTTCAACGAAACCGGATCTAAATGAAGACCAAGATCCATCGCCATTCTGAAACTCATGCCAGAATAGACCCAACCCTTCGCTTCTCTGCCGCATCCTGCCTCGCGCACCGACATCAGGGCGAGCGCTTGTACAGTGGTCAGCCGTGGGTTCTCATGCTCATCGTTCTCGAAGATGATTCTCTTCGCCTCCTTGAAGAAATGGTCGCCGGCTGTAGCCGAGTCGTTCGGATTTGCGCGTGCCGATGGCCATGTCGTGAAATGGCACCCAAGAGCGAGCATGATGTTGACAAGTAACGAGGTGCAGTAGACGATACGACGGGGGTCAAAGGGTTGTTTGCCGCGGAAGAACTCCTTGTAGAAAAGGTCCTTCGAGAGCGTGGTGAAGAAAGGGTAGTGGTAGGTAAAGTAAAGCGTCTGTCCAAGGTGAGCAGAGGCCAATAAATGTCGCACAATGGAAGGCTCACGATCAGATGCAATATCAAGTCCTTATCCTGCGTCACCGTCGTCCACGAAAGAATGGGAATGTCTTGCCGCTGACTCTGCAACGCTGGATTCCCGGCCTCCTCTTCGTCTTCGGTACTTTGGCTGGATGGCAGCAGCATCAAATTCGAAGTCGCGCCGATAAACCGCACCTGACCCTCCTCCAGACGAAGCGATCCCATCTTCCCACTTAACTCTGCCTCAAGAGATGACGGTATGCCGTCTCCATCCCCTTCCCAGATACTTCCCTGGCTCTCCGGCGAATCCCCGTCGACGATCCCCTTCGGACTGGTTGCTGCCCAGTTTTCCGACAGCTGCTTCTGCTCCTCGGCGATCCGCTCTGCCAGTTCCTCGAGAGAATCGCACGACCGTATCTCCTTCACCAGATCATAAACCCTCTCATCCGGGTACTATTCCAAGTCAGCTGCACTGAAGCGGCGGCACACGCCATCTCGGGAAGATCGAAGAAGGGAACCACGAACATTTAAGACAGCCTCAATCAGGGTCTGTAGGGTACCATTCTGCGTCTTCAAGCTGTCAATATCCTTCTTATACACGCCCTTCCTTCGATGATCGGAGTTAAGGTCGTAGACACATTCGGTGTGGTAGACGGAAGCGCACGCGGCACACGAAGGCGTATTCCCGTCACACTTCGATTTCCGTTTTCGACACGCGATGCATGCGCTACTCACGCAACGCCGCTTAGTCGGCCGGGACGCATCCGAGAGCTTGTCGCGCCCGGACTTGGCGAAGCGCGCGGGTTTGGACGGCGTGGGCGAAGGCGAGGACGAGGACGCGGTTGGGGGGTTGGAGGCCTGCATCGCTGGTCGCGTGCAAGGGGGACGTGCGGGCTCAAGAAATGGCGGAGATCGCGCGAAGAAACCGGACGGCAGTTGTGCGAGTCGTCGTCGTTATAGGCGGGGAGAGGGTAATGGTGATGGGGTGGCCGGGGGGGCGAAAGTTCAGTCGCAGAGCCTGAGCTACGGTCGTCGATGATGATGCTATCTTCGAGCTGAGCTAAGCAAAGCACGTATGATAAGAGGAAGGGCAATTGCCAGAGTCGTGGTGTGTATGGCGAGGCGTGCGTATGTAGGTGCGTGGAGTTGTGATCCTTCCCTCGTTCATCATGATGACCGATGGAGCGAAGGAAAACGTGGGGTAATCTAGCGGCTGGGCGTGTGGAGCACCAGCAGGGGTATTTTTTTTGCGATACTCGCTTGGTAATTGCACGGGAGAGGGCGAAGTGAGTTCCCAGAATGCGGGCTTCGGCTGCGGACTTTAAAAACCATGCGAAGAGATATGCGAAGAGCCGAAGGTTTTGACGAAGACCGTCAAGAAGCACGCGACGGCGGGATGGCGGGAGACTTTGGTCCTTCATAGTCCATGGTTCGGATCATCTATACTATCACGCTTATCGCATGTCCAAGCGGGTCACCCGCAACCACTGCCCGCCAGGCCGCAGCCAACACCGCGCCTATCATATTTTATTTTGGCCGGGAGTTTATAGTATCATAGGAGATTTCCATTCTGAACCGTATCTCGGTATGCTCGGTATGGCAAATTTTGGATGCTCGCGAATTCTCCTGCAAGTGTATAATCAAGCGAGAAACCTCTTCTGCGAAATTTATGTTTTCGCTGAACCTTCCATCTGGATTTAGTCTATCGATGATAATTAATGTTTATTTGTCTGCAGTAGATAAAACATCGAAGAAACCTCCAGGGCTTTCCAATGACATGTCTCTACTTCCTGCAGTCGACTCGGCATCCGCGTGGGACCTTCGCCTGTATTATCGTTCAGCGGACGCGGCAAGCACTAGACCGACGCATATAATAGCTTCCCGATGGTTCCCATTGGGGAGTCTCCCTCATCGAACTTCAAGGATCCTTCGTCGACGATTATACCTTTGAGAACCCCGTCGAGTAGCACACAAAGGAAGTCGGTGATGGCTACTTTTTTGCTGTTCCGTCACCCATCGGCAATGACCCGATGATTCGATGAAAGAGTGCTCCAACGAAATCAGTGGCAATAGACGGATGTAGAGACCGAGCGACAGACTTCATTCATAACCTACGCACTAGCATGGACGTACGGCGGCCCACTACCTACCTAGTTTGTATCAGCTGCCTGTAAGGTAGCTATCTTCTCGGTGAAGATTCTCAACATGACCTCTTGGCCATTCCGAGCTGGTCTACGAAGCGGCGTCGGCTTGCCTTTTTGGTTGACTCCATTCTCGTTTCCGCTACACGCCGACCGGAGTCCAGGGAGGAGAATCGTCCGGACGGATATCAGTCCGATGGGGGACTATAAGGCAGGGCAGTCCCGGGCAGGTTACCCAAAGGACCATAGTAGTAGTCCTGTTTGATATTGTCACAGAAATCCGTAATGTCCGATCACAGTTATCTTCGTCTTATACACAATCATGCAACGCAGACAGCCACACAGCCAAACAGCTACAAAGCCACAAAGCCACACGCCGACAAATCCACCAAATTCACAAAGCCACACAACAACACTGAAATCCAGCCGCCTGCAATGTCCCAGTGTCCCATTCCATATCAGCCCCTGTAGGATACCCGTCTTCATTTCGCCGGCTCGAAAGCTGGTAGTCCTTCTTCTCCTCAAACCGACCAACTCCGTCTCGTCGTCGGCAACCCCAAATGAGGACTGGACGCCCTATTCACAGCCCCGGAAGAGACTACATATAGCATGGTGGCCATACTGAGCTGCGAGATCAAACGGCGTCCACCCTTCTTTGGCAGTTGCCTCCATGTTGGCCCCCTTCTCGATGAGGAGTCTCGATGTGGCCTCGTCGCCTCGCTGTGCAGCCAGATGGAGTGGCGTCCGCCCGTCTATGGCAGTTGCCTCCATGTTGGCCCCCTTCTCGATGAGGAGTCTCGATGTGGCCTCGTCGCCTCGCTGTGCAGCCAGATGGAGTGGCGTCGACCCGTCTTCGTCCACTGCCTCCATGTTGGCCCCCTTCTCGATGAGGGGTCTCGATGTGGCCTCGTCGCCTCGCTCTGCAGCCAGATGGAGTGGCGTCGACCCGTCTTTGTCCACTGCCTCCATGTTGGCCCCCTTCTCGATGAGGAGTCTCGATGTGGCCTCGTCGCCTCGCTGTGCAGCCAGATGGAGTGGCGTCCGCCCGTATGCGTTAGTTGCCTCCATGTTGGCCCCCTTCTCGATGAGGAGTCTCGTTGTGGCCTCGTCGCGTCGCTGTGCAGCCAGATGGAGTGGCGTCCGCCCGTATGCGTTAGTTGCCTCCATGTTGGCCCCCTTCTCGATGAGGAGTCTCGATGTGGCCTCTTTGCTGTACTCTGTAGCTAGATGGAGTGGTGTACACCCTTCTTTGGCAGTTGCCTCCATGTTGGCCCCCTTCTCGATGAGGAGTCTCGATGTGGCCTCGTCGCCTCGCTGTGCAGCCAGATGGAGTGGCGTCCGCCCGTCTATGGCAGTTGCCTCCATGTTGGCCCCCTTCTCGATGAGGAGTCTCGATATGGCCTCTTTGCTGTACTCTGCAGCCAGATGGAGTGGCGTACACCCTTCTTTGGCAGTTGCCTCCATGTTGGCCCCCTTCTCGATGAGGAGTCTCGATGTGGCCTCGTCGCCTCGCTGTGCAGCCAGATGGAGTGGCGTCCGCCCGTCTTTGGCAGTTGCCTCCATGTTGGCCCCCTTCTCGATGAGGAGTCTCGATGTGGCCTCGTCGCCTCGCTGTGCAGCCAGATGGAGTGGCGTCGACCCGTCTTCGTCCACTGCCTCCATGTTGGCCCCCTTCTCGATGAGGGGTCTCGATGTGGCCTCGTCGCCTCGCTCTGCAGCCAGATGGAGTGGCGTCGACCCGTCTTTGTCCACTGCCTCCATGTTGGCCCCCTTCTCGATGAGGAGTCTCGATGTGGCCTCGTCGCCTCGCTGTGCAGCCAGATGGAGTGGCGTCCGCCCGTATGCGTTAGTTGCCTCCATGTTGGCCCCCTTCTCGATGAGGAGTCTCGATGTGGCCTCGTCGCGTCGCTGTGCAGCCAGATGGAGTGGCGTCCGCCTGTATGCGTTAGTTGCCTCCATGTTGGCCCCCTTCTCGATGAGGAGTCTCGATATGGCCTCTTTGCTGTACTCTGCAGCCAGATGGAGTGGCGTACACCCTTCTTTGGCAGTTGCCTCCATGTTGGCCCCCTTCTCGATGAGGAGTCTCGATATGGCCTCGTCGCCTCGCTGTGCAGCCAGATGGAGTGGCGTCCGCCCTTCTTTGGCAGTTGCCTCCATGTTGGCCCCCTTCTCGATGAGGAGTCTCGATATGGCCTCGTCGCCTCGCTCTGCAGCCAGATGGAGTGGCGTCCGCCCGTCTTTGGCAGTTGCCTCCATGTTGGCCCCCTTCTCGATGAGGAGTCTCGATGTGGCCTCGTCGCCTCGCTGTGCAGCCAGATGGAGTGGCGTCCGCCTGTCTTTGGCAGTTGCCTCCATGTTGGCCCCCTTCTCGATGAGGAGTCTCGATGTGGCCTCGTCGCCTCGCTGTGCAGCCAGATGGAGTGGCGTCCGCCCGTCTTTGGCAGTTGCCCCCATGTTGGCCCCCTTCTCGATGAGGATTCTCAATGTGGCCTCGTCGCCTCGCTGTGCAGCCAGATGGAGTGGCGTCGACCCGTCTTCGTCCACTGCCTCCATGTTGGCCCGTTCTCGATGAGGAGTCTCGATGTGGCCTCTTTGCTGTACTGTGCAGCCAGATGGAGTGGCGTCCGCCTGTATGCGTTAGTTGCCTCCATGTTGGCCCCCTTCTCGATCAATAATTTGACCGTGCGTTCGTCACCTATCATGGCGGCTAGATGCGTCGGCGCCCGCCCCAGTCTGTCTTTAACGTCCTTGCTCGCTCCCCGGGCGATAAGCAGAGTTGACGTAGGATGATCCCCTTGGGTGGCCGAAACCAGCAACGGGGTTTTTTCGTTCTCACGACAATCAATGTGTGCACCTGCTAACAACAAAGCTTCTGATACACGAGGGTACTTCCTCATGACAGCGGCGTGTAATAGTCTGTTCCTGAATTCTTTTCCGGCATTGATGTTGAACTTTTTGTTCGGAACGTCTGTCAGGTGAGACTCGGACCTCGCCCATCCTTCCAATAAGTACCCAGTCGGGTGTTTCGTCAGCGCGCAAATGAGCTGTGAGACAACATCCGAAACTTTTCGGCGGCAGGATTTCATGTGGTGCGCGAGATTTTGTAGGGCGTAACTGAGCAACGGTCTGTCGTGAAGGTATTGGACATACTCGTCGAACTCACCTGGCGTCCAATCCGTTGTATCGCTAGTGGTCTTTAAACTGGTGCTTGCGACACACAGGATTAAATATCGGATACAGGTCACCGATATAGCAAGATGGGCGTTGTCCTCATCCATCTTAAATTTGGTCCTATATGCATATCCGGTTGGCCGCAGAAAATATTCCCGAACGGTTTGATGCATGACTTGAACGGTACCACTTGTGCGTTCACTTTCTAAAGATCAGATTAGCTCAGCAAACTCGAGAGGGCGCAGTAACACCTACCAATGGCGCCCTTGGAATGCTTTATCTCCAGAAGGTTTCCTCCACAGTGTATGATTCTTTTGTCGACATCCTGGATCAGGGCGCGCTTGAATAGTTCGTCTGAAGCAAGATAGCTAACGACCGGGGACTCTGGTATAGCTAGGGCGTGGGCAACTTCGGCGTTTGTCGGAGAGCGGGCCGCAAAAAGAATGAACTGGAACAGCCGTATCCCAACTGTAATATCACGAGGTTTGCCTTCGAGCAGCCGGCTCAGAATAAGCTCGTATAGTTCTTCCAACTCCTTCGGTAAAGATTTAAGAACATCGAAGATTTCTTCGCTGGAGTAACCGGTCTCGGCATATACAGATAGTTCTTCCATAACGAGGTGTGTCCACAGGAAAACCCCTTCAGCATACGTGACAATGTGATCGATAGATTCGCGAAGGATATCACCGGTGAAGCTGAGGGGTGCACCCTTCAGACAAGAAAGAGCGTACTGCTCGATGTCGGGCTTGTTCTCGTCTTGAAGCCTTATGATGTCTGAAACTGGGATTCTCGATTCGAGCAGACCGATTGGCCTGCTGGCGATGAACACCTTGATAGTGCAGTGTTTGCTATCGGAACAGAGTTCGAGCAGAAGGTTTAGAATGTCGCGTCTGTCTTCTTCAGTGGATTCATCTACGGCATCGATGATGAGATAAAGCCGTTCCGCATCAGGATGACCACTAAATCTTTTAACGATACTCTTCAAAGAGTCATATTGCCATTCCGAAACAAGGCCGTGTCGCAGAGATTCCTTGTACTTCCGATACTCAGGTTGAAAGTGGAAGAAAAACGACTCCCTCGCGGTGAGGACATCGAAGAGAAGCGATCGAATCATATTGTAATGACTGGTCTGAAGAGCGCCATCCCTGTTGCTGTAAAAGAAGTCGGCGACGATAGCCGAGCCTGCAGCCGGCTTGAATTTTTTTCGGAAATATTTCGTGAGAGTGCTTTTTCCGCTGCCCGGTTTTCCTTGAATATAAAGAAAGGAGGATTTTTCCGACGCTTCCCATGCCTGGTATTTGTCGTGCTTGTGGAACCATTTCAAAGATCCGCGATGCTCCTCGGAGATTTTGTCGTAGCGTGTGTTCTGAAAGCTCAGAAGATTCAGACATTCTGTAAGCCGTAATTACCAGTCAGTCTCAATAGTAATCGACGCGTTATTCATAACTGGATAGGAACGGAAAAACCTTGTCTTTCTTTATCATACTCAATGCGAACCACACCGACCTCAGATGACAGCCCCTCTGGGATTCGCCCCGTAAGCAAGGCTTTCACTCTCGGGAATCTCTCCTGGAGGCGCGCAATGAAACAAATGACTCCCTCAATGAATTTGGTGCTTTGCCGTTGATCCGACTTGTCTAGCCCGTCGATAATGATGACCACCGGTTCATTTCCAATAGTCGAAAAACGAAGACCATTCTGTAGTGCTTTCCAGTAGTTTTCCGCTATTTCCAGCTGAGGATCAGAGTCCACGTTCAGGAGCTTTTCTATGATGGTTTCTGCGGAGTCTTGCTTGGCGAATGCGGATGACACCTCGTTGGAGCCTTTTCTACCTAGAACCCCGTCAAGAAGAACACGAGAGAACTCCGAAATGGCTATCGTCTGACGTGGTGCTGGTAATGATTTCAGGAATTGAAGAAAGAGAGCTTTAGTGAAATAAGCAGCGGTTTGGTCGGGCCCTGGAGCAGAAGCGCAAAAAAAGTATAGCAGGAGCTTGGATTTCAGCTTCCATTCGTCGACAAGATGAGCCGAGACCCTGCTCATGTGGAATCGTGGTGGTCCGGACAAACAAAGCACCTGAGAACAATCCGCCGATTTCCACTGCTCAAATTCTGTATCTCGAAAAATCCAATAGTATTCTGGCTTCTGGTGTACCAAAGGTTCTATCGAATCTTTGTGCTTCTCCTGATCAGCCGCCGATAAATGTTGCAAGAACAGTTTGGGTTCCATGGCGTCAATCTTGGCCAGAATCATTTTTTGTGTGCATGCCGTAGCTATATTGGTAGTTGTGGCCGAATTAGTCGCTGGATAGATGTTTGTGAGTCAATAAATAAAAGGATAATATACCGATCCAATCCTGCAGGTGCTTGACCACTGTCTGATAGGTCGTGTCTGTTTTAGAGGCAATCTTCACCATATCCGTATGATTTTTGTGAACCGGCAACCGAGTCTCGCATCCAGATGGCAGGAACAATTGAGCAGACGATTTTGATACCATTTGTTCCGTCGGACCACTTCTAGAAATCCTTCCTGATCTCTGCAGCAATTAGTCGGTAAACACTCATACCAAACAGCGGAGACCAGGGCTGACCTACTTCGTCTCCCTCAACTGTCGCTGTCTCGCAAGTCTCATAGAAACTGACAACTTTATGCTTGAAAACTCTCCAAAAACCCAGAAGATCCTCCTTTTGGTTGTTCAGAAAGTCGGAGTTCTCTTTCAACAGCCTCAGCAAGTTGTGCCTATCTTCATCCGATTTTCCTTCCAAGATTTCCTCGAGGCCACCAGCTTTCAGCCCATCGTGTGGCGTTCCGAAGAAAAATATCCCATGTGTTGAATCTAGAAGCGCTTTGTGATCGGAGTTCCGGTGAGAGTTGATTAATGTCTGTCGCGCATCGCTTGTTAGTGAACCGCCGGATCAAGACTCGACACCTATGTCGTCAGGCTCCTTACCTGTAAGATCAAGATACCTCCCAAGCTGTGCCCAATAAAGATGAGAGGCCGATGCTGGGTGCCGAGAATCTCAGTATCACTCGGCAGATCGCGAGCTAGGAATGCATACCTTCGCCGAGCTCCTGCTATTCTCCAACTGCTGGATGAATTCACGCGTATAGTCAAGTAGCCCCGAATGACTTTTCTCCCGTCTGAAAAGCCTGCTGTCGTAGCCGTATGTCATAATCCTGATACCCGTCACGTCGTGAGGCAAGAAATCTGCAAGCCACATCTTGCGGGTCTCCCGGCTCCTCCAAGATCCGAATGCATGACCAGCGAGACCAGTCACCGCGACAACACTGCAAAGGGTCATGTCTCAGCAATTTCTCTCATCTGATGCTCAAGTATAGGAGACGGACTCGGCAAGGATATCACCATCGGGTTTATTCAGCGGCGTCATGTTGTAGAAATGATCGTCAATTGCAATTTGGACTCCGTTGACTATCACATAATGATTTGGCTGCAGGTTCAGAAAGTAGTCGGTGCAAGAATCGATGTTGAGGATTGCCGTCTGAGTAGATCCGCAACAAGCTGGGTAAAGTGAAAGTCGATATTTTCGATCCTCAAGTGAGGGATCGAGGGTTCGCAGACCATCGAGAAGCTGGTCGTCACTCCAGTCCAGTGGCACACCGCTGATACGAAAGCTTTTCGGCCCGCGATTTACTCGCTCGAGTTCTGGAGTACGTCCCGTCGAAGCGGCGAATCGTGGAGCCTTCGAAGACACAACTGGCGCCGCTGTGCTAGACTCGAGAGGCCTAGCTGAAGATGGCGGTGAATCGGAAACGATGCGCTTCGAATCGTCTACACGGACGGGTCGGTCGGGCCGGGAATTCATCGCTTGTTGTAGCGAAGTTGCAGTAGGTTGCGGAATGGCTGCATTCTCAGTGGCGCGTGGCCACCAAAAAGGACATGACCAGAGGACAAGGCGGTAAAGGACGTAAAGGAACAGAATGCTCTCGATCGTATATTGCATCATGCTTGCAAACGGTTCAAGAATTGGAAATCGAAGATCATTCGCAAGAGTAGAACGGAGCCGTGGGCAAGAGCAAGTGTAGGTAGTGGCCAACTGAGCAGAAGTGGTGGTGGCCAGCAATTATCGACAAGAGCCGCACGCCGCCGAGCCTGGCTATGTGTTGTCTGGACTCTGCCATCCCAAGAGGCATGGTGAGATGCAGAGACGCGATAAGATAAGCCGATCGAATCCTAGCCTGCCGACAGCACAGCTGCCAGCGGCCGGAGAACATCGAAATGGCACACCAACTTTACGGCCTCAGAACACACCGGTGATACGCAGTAGCAGAAGTTTATGACCCACTGACCACCGACACCAGGAACGCGTCAAAGTTGCTGCCCCCATTCACTGGAACCCTGAGCCCTCGTATCTTGTCTCCGCCTCGAAGCTTGAGGAGCTGAAGGCTGAGCTGATGTACGCCGTAGTTAAGGTGCACTCGGACATATGTGTGGGAAACCGAAAATGGTCTCATACAACCAGAAATGAGCAGCCCAACTCCTCCCTCTCGCTAAGACATGCTGATCTAAAAGCCTGATGAAAATACGAATGCTTCTGGGTTACCAATTCAGCGCATCAGTGCCAGATCCGAAGGAAGTCCGAAGAAGCCAACACGGTGGTATGACGTTTCTACTTACCTATGTACGGCAAATCTAAACTTTTGCGTGGAGAAATGGTGTCTAATCAGCGCGAGTGGAGTGTCAAAGATATGTACTGATTTCTACTAGGTATACCTGCCCGGTACCCACCGGGCAATGGTAGGTTTTCCATCAGGTCTCACGGCGGATAGAGTATCTATCAGCTCGGAAGAGCAGGCAATGTTATCTTTTGCCCTGCTCTAATTCGTGCCCGAATAGCGATCCGCAGAGTATGGATTACACACCCGGGGCGCCCGGGCGCGTGACGAACACTCCAACTGGAAAAACATCCATCCGTGACCGGACTAGCTCCAAGCATCACGTAGTCGGATGTCTGCGACCAGTACGTACGGCTGAGCGTCGTATCACCGTATGTGGACTACATACCTGGAATTGTTTTCCTGGACCACTCTCAGCCCCAAGGACTCGAAAGGCCAGGTCGTGAAAAACGCATCTCGCCGCAAGTTCGTCTTTGTTGCATCAGGGACCCAGAGTCATTGGACAATACATACAACGGGAGTGATCCTGCGAAGCTGGTTCGGCCTCTATGCATAGCGCCCGCCGCTGACGATAGGCCTCGTATTTGTGCTCGAGTGATTCTCAAGATAGCAACATGGGACCATGGGGTGCTTCGGCCGTGTGTTCTGCTGGAGACGGGTGTGCACTTTGGACTCTAGAGTGGAAGGGGGTGATCGCGAGCGGGGAGTTTTTCATCGCGGATGCATGCACAGCGAATGAGGCACGGAGAGGGCCCATTCATGATGCCTTAGGGAAGGGTGGGAGGGGGGGATAAATATTGAGTATCCTCCGCGAGGCCAGCAAGATCCAGCTCTCCCGCCCTCTCGACTCTACCACATCTCTGCACTTTCCCCGCTCCTATCCAGATTCCAACCCAACACCAGTACGGTAAAGTACCCAACCCAACTAGCCATGCTCACGAACCCGCACTGACGAATCCAGCCCAACACCTTCATCGCTACCAGCAAGCAGCAAGCATGCACCTCCGCCCGCAGCACATCATCCTCATCGCCTCGCTCCTCCCCCATCTCACACTCATCCACGCCTCCTCCCACGGCGGCAAAGCCAGCCAACTCCTGCGCCGCGACGCCGACGCCGCCGCCGCGGACGACCTCATCCTCGCGCGCGATGACGCCGGCGGGCTCACCAAGCGCACCTGCAAATACATAGGCTGCAAGTGCTACCAAGGGACGCCAGCAGGCGTGTATTGCCGCGGCTGCTCGAATGCGGTGTACGAGTCTGGAGATCTAGCTGCCTACCCGGGAACGCACCAGAGTAATTGGGCGTTTCAGTGTAATCCCACCGGGGGGTGCTGCGCGTATGGGCCCAGGAAGGATTGCTATGGTGGGGCGCATGGGACTTGTGGTTAGTCTACAGCCTACTGGGGTTGGTGTGTTTGGATGGACAGAGCGGTGGGACGTTGGAAGAGGGATACGGTGATTCGGTTGTCGTGCGGCGGCCGTGTCGAGGACTTTGGGATAATGCTTTTCATTCTTTCTTCGTATGATGTTATGCAGCCGTTACGAAACTGGCTGAAGAATGTGTTACCTATTCGGATGGTCAGCGATGGGGAATCTTCGCATCTATGTGCAATTCTTCGGAACTATGGGGTAGCTGGAATTGCCGCTCAAGATGGCCGCTCCAACGAAGTATAGTGGCCGTGGGTCTTGTCCCAACCGACCACAGTCTTCCGATACGTTTCCACCTGCACAGCACGCTGGGCACATACGTCCGACCCCTTTCCACTACCTATCATCAAACCGCCGTGGTCATGAATGATGATCGGATAGCCTTCACCACAACCCCGCCCCTTCCCTTCCCACCTGTGCGGCTCTCAGCCGGTCCCGCCTTCACACCGCCACCTCCGCCGAGGACCGCATTCCTCATACCTACATACCGTTGTCCCGACACCTGAAGCCCGTCTATCCGGCGTCTATCCATGCCCCCGTTAGAACTTCGAAGCTTGCAACGGCGGGAAAGATCCTTGCCGTGATAGTGGTCCCAAGCGCGACGGCAGCGTCGCTTCCTGGGCTCTAGCGAGACGCTGTTGAGGGCCAGGAGAGTGGTTTTGCGGCGATTAGGTAGTCTTCGGATCTGCGAGTAGCGGAGTTCAGGAAGTCGAGTACTTCGGCAGCTCTCCCATTGCTGGCTAAGACCGGATTGGGAATGGCGGCCGACCCGTCGGCCCGAGGCTTTGGCGAGGGCACTAGTTAGTCAATCGTATTTCAACCACCTGGTGAACTCCCATCCACCTCGCCTGCCAGCGATGGCGCGACCTCGAAAGTCCAAGCCAGGTACTAATCTCTGGTTCGCCGAAATGCGAGGGTATGTGGATGCAAAGTTGCCGACCTGCGATGTATCTACAAAGTGACCAAGCCACCACGCTCCGTCACCTAAAGGCTTCGCTACATAAGCGTGGATGGCCTGTGCGGGGCAGCTGGCGTGGGGGAGCATGACCACTATCTAGTAATAGATAAAGTAGAGTATTCGAGCCGGAACATCGTCACCCCAAGAGTGTGTCAAATCGATACGGCGCGACCAACTGGAACTTCACAGCTGCAAACTGCGATCGAATTTCGAAACAAGAAACGACCTCTCCCACTTGGTCTTCACTCACTTGGTGCGGGCGAGACTCTACCAATAGCCTACCAGCTGTATTGGCGGGGAAACACCCTCCACACGTCGAACCCTGGCATTGCGCCTGTATCCAGTAACGTATCCGCACTTCGAGCTGCAACCCTGTGAGCGGCAACGAATCGGCGCGGATTCCTGCCCTCCGAACCCCACAGAAGCGGAGACAGGCTCTGCGCTAGTGTTTTGCCCGCACGAAATGCCGATATGTACCTCAGTAACCAAGGAAGTACCAAAGTATCCAACGAGCTCTCTGGCAAAGTACGGTCGATAATATACCCCACTACAACCCCGCCATGGACTGCATAGAGACAATAAGTACTCAATCATCCACCGCTGCCGCACTCGAGCTGCTAATCTATCGAAAGAAACAACAACCCATCATTTCCACCGCTTCCGACACTCAATGGCCACCCAGACACAGCTATCACACCTCCGCGCCCAGTCAGCGATAGACTGCGACACGCTCGACGTTTCCGTCGCGGAGGCCCTGGGGCCCTTCGCCGACTGCACCTCGAACCAAGCGATAGCGCTCGGCGAGCTGACCAAGCCCGCAAACGCCCCGGTCCTCACCGCTGCTGCGACGATCGCGCTCTCGCACCCATCGCCGACACCCACACTCGTCTCCGAAATCGCCTCATGCCTCCTCTCCGCGCGGATCCTTCCCCACCTGACCGGGTACGTGCACACGCAGACGAACCCGCTGCACGCCTTCAGCACCTCCGACACGGTGGCGGACGCGCGGCGCATCGTGAGCATCTACGCGACGCTGTCCCCGTCGATCACGCGCGAGCGCGTGTGCATCAAGATCCCGTCGACGTGGGAGGGCCTGCAGGCGTGCCGCATCCTCGAGGCGGAGGGGATCCGCACGCTCGCGACGACGCTGTTCACGCTCGTGCAGGCGAAGATGGCCGCGCGCGTCGGATGCACGTATGTCGCGCCGTACGTCAACGCGCTGAGAGTGCACTTCGAGGAGGGCTACGTGGATGCCCATCCCGGCTTCGAGATCGCGGTTGCCGCGCAGAAGTGGTACGAGGTCGTCGGCGCGAAGACGCAGGTGCTCGCGGCGAGCTTTGTTGCGCCGCACGAGGTGATGCGGCTTGCCGGGTTAAAACATGTTACCGTCTCCCCGCCGCTGTTGGCCGGGTTTAGTCAGGAGGCGTTCGTGCACGGACAGGCGCAGAGTTTGGTCGACGCATGGGCCGAAAGCGTGCAGGAGACGGAAATGGGCGAGCTATTGACCGAATCCCAGTGGAGGCTGGAACTCAATCGCGAGGATGCCGGGCGCGGCGCGCTGAAGCTCGTTGACGCGATCAACATCTTTTCGGATGTGCAGGAGAAGCTGGATGCGTTGTGTGCGGGCGCGCTGGAGACGGTGAGGGCTGCGGCGTGACTCTGCGGTGCGGTGCCGTGTTCCGGTGAATGAGTGCGCTCGATAGCAATTGCAGTTATATCAACGCGTACATAACTATTTCGCCACATGGTTTCAAGCGCAGTCGTGCTTGGGCGGGACTGTCACGGCATGCGGATCCATGTCCGCCCCCAGTATTCGCTTCGCCCAGCTGCTCTAACTAGCCGCTCATCGACACCTCAACCACTGCCAGCATCACCGGTGAATTGTCATCTGTTTAGCCCAAAGAATTCGTGATAGCAATGGCACATGTGAGGTGTGTGGGGAAAACCAATCTATCCGAGCCCGCTGGTGTACGCCGAAAGCCCTTCCGAAAGCTGCCAATCTCACTCGATCACCGCGCCGCCCATATCCTATCAGCTTCCCCGAGTGACACTGTCCAGGATGATGGATCTCCACGCGGGTAGGAGGTAGGTATGCGATAAGAGCTGATCCGACATCCGAGCGATCCTGGCTGAAACAATCCCGCCATTGCGGAGGATTCGCACGCCACATGCAGCCCAATCGCGAGTGTTGGATGGAGATCATATCGGTGCCTGACCCTGACCGAGAATGACGCAAGAAACCGTTAAGATTGCTCACAGCCAGCCAGAGACGTCAGAGTATAAAGCTGACTGCCGTCGACGGTCTGTCTCCAAATCGTAATTCAGCAACAACCTAGATACTCGCAATGGCTCCTTCTACTATCTCACTCGCCCCTTCTACGGCCACCGCCTCTGCCACCGAGTCCACCAAGCTCAAGACCACTCCAACTCCCACTCCCACACAAGCCGTCAACACGCTCACCGCGCCCCTCCCCTATCCACCCGCCTTCTCCCCGCTCCTCTCGCACCCTCACCACGAGTCCACGCCCGTAATCGGCACGGAGTTCAGCGGCGACTTCCAGCTCTCCTCAATCCTCAGCTCCCCCACCTCTCTCCAGCACCTCGCCTCACTGATATCGCACCGGGGCGTAGTCTTCTTCCGGGGGCAGGAAATAACGCCCTCGCAGCAGCGGGAGCTGGTGCAGTCCCTCGGCGAGCTCTCGGGGAAGCCGGCCACGAGCGGACTGCACATCCACCCGCTGACCCGCGAGAACGGGAAGGACGGCGACCACATCTCGATCATCAGCAGTGAGGAGCGGATCAAGTATGAGAATGCGCGGAAGGAGCGCGAGCGCGTGCGTGAGCTCGGGTGGGAGAAGGGCGAGGAGTCGCAGTTGGCGAGCGTTGGTTGGGTGAGTACCTACTCTCTGTTAGGAACGGCAGACGGGTGGCTGACGGGATATGTACATAGCATGCGGACATCACCTTCGAGAATGTCCCCAGCGACTACGCCACACTCAAGGTGCACACGCAGCCGGCCACGGGCGGGGACACGCTGTGGGCCAGCGGCTATGAGGTGTACGACCGCTTGTCCCCGTCCTTCCGCGCCTACCTCGAGACCCTGAGCGCCGTGCACAACGCCGATCGCTTCAAGGAGGTTGCTGCCGCGCGAGGCCACACGCTGCGGAATCATCGCGGCGCCCCGGAGAATAACGACCTTGAGCTGACTGCCGTGCACCCGGTAATCCGGACTAACCCCGTGACGGGCTGGAAAAGTACCTCCGCCTGCTCCCTTTCGTCCTTGTCCCTGCTAACACCTTCTGTGCACAGGCGTCTTCGTCAACCGCTCCTTTACGAAACGGATCCTGGGCGTCTCCATTGACGAGAGCGAGCTGATCCTAAACCACCTATTTCGGCTAGTATCTGAGAACCACGATCTGCAAGTCCGGTTCCGGTGGGCGCGGTACAAGGACGGGGAGACGGGGGACGTTGCCGTGTGGGATAACCGGAGCACCTTCCATACCGCCACGGACGATTATATCGAGACTGGAGGCGTGCGCAGCGGGGATCGCGCTGTAAGTCTGGGTGAGAGACCGTTTTACGGTGGTCAGGGCGAGCGGAGTAGAGGCCGCAGGGAGGCGCTTGGATGGAGGGGCGTGGAGAGGATTTATTAGATACATCTTGGGTAGAGGAGATTTCTGTGCGAATAAATAATGAGCTTGAAAGTTCTTCCAGGCGGGTGAATTCGAAGAGGGATTTCCGCAGCTGCACCGTGATGCCGTAGTTACTCATAGTCGTGTGGTTCCACGTAGATAGCGCTTGTAGTAGTCGCGCCTATCGCCGGTAATCGCGTGAATTGACGTCGACAGGCGAAGGTAACCGTAGAAGACCTCAATTAATCGGGAGCGAGGTAACTCCTCGGGACGACCGAACAGGCCCCAGGCATAAAGTGATCATAATTCTGCCCTTGACTTTGTGTGATATCGAGGGGAAGAAATCTCCCAAAGACAAACGGCTAGAGGACATCCACATTAGCTAGTTGCTCGACCGGCGACTGGAGTAGGTAGGATACCGCAGGAGGTCGCATTCGATTCTCGCATAATACTCGCAGAATACTCCCCAATTTCGACGTAGTAGCATCGTTCTCGTCGAAGCAGAGGGATGCGATCGATTAGGTAGAAGATGTCTGGGCCGTGGCTCTTGGTGGCTTCGCCAATCCGCCACTTCTCCGCGGTATCACGAGCGATGGTTGATGTAGGCACGTCTGGAAACCGTACAGCGTTGGCGTGGTAAATCGTTCTTGCCGAAGCAGAAGGATGCGACCGAATAAGTAGAAGATGTCTGGGCCGTGACTCTCAGTGGCTTCACCAATCCGTCACGTCTCAACCGGTTTGGGTTCTCGATCCAAAGGCACCTTTCGTCGCACAAGGTGAAGCGAGAGTTGTCAATAATCGTCAGCAAGCGGAGGCGGTAACGAGACAGCAAATGCAAGATTTATACATACCAGGTAGACGGTGTAGATATCTCCCTCATTCTCGCCTATATCCCACACAGTCACCCAGTGCAACTCTGATACAGGTTTTGCGAGGGCTCGTTGCCAATGCCTCTCCAGGGCTGACGAGAAAAGAAGCGCACACAGAGGAGAGAGAGGAGATGGGGGGTTGACCGTCGACTCGAGGGATAATGATCCAGAAAGAGGAAGAAGAAGAAAACCCTGCCATGCTCACCAACGTTGACGCCCACAGCTGCTAACCACATTCGTTTTATCCCGCCGACAGGAGTCCTCCTTCACTTCCTCCTCTCGCCGACAGCTTTTACGTCCCTAACAGCTCCTCCATTGTTCTGCCACACTATACTTCCCATCCCGCGTACGAAAGAGAGCCATAGTCGTTGACTGTAGACGCCCTAGCCACACCCGTGCCGTTCAGCTCCTCGATGCCCATACAGTCGCAATCATGCGAATGCATTGCAATGTTAGTCGAGATGAGCCGGGATGGGTGCTTAGAAGTTAGCTACCCTTTCGGCCCTTTCGGGTTACTTACTTGAGGTGTTGCAGATCGGTTCTGCCTGCCGGTTGGACTCCTAGGTGTGGGGCGTGACCTTGGTCCTTTCTCACCCCCGGTGTTGACAGCGGAATCCAATGGAGCCCAACGCATCGCCGTAATCGTTGAGGTGCATGGGAATTGTAACGATTAAACTCGGTGGTGGAAGTCATCTGCTGGCGCACATATTGCGTATTCGTGCGGCCTTGCACGATCATGTATCGTTGAGGTCGTCCTTGGATGCGTGGACAGACTGCCTCGTCAGCTTCTGATGGACGTTGACATCGATGCGTAGGTCAATGGGCCAATCGATAGATGCCTTGCCTTGCGTCTCGTAGTCGGGATATCGGATCCATCCAATTCATCCCTTCGGCCCGATCAGTCTGCTCCACACGTTTTGCACAAGGCAGGCAGAGCATGGGAGCCCACCATTTGCCGATGGTTGGAGCATCCACGAAGACGGCACAATCGGACAATAGAGATGAGCATCACCGGCATGTCGAGCTGCATGGATCAAACTCAAGCTATAAGCTATCGCACTCTCTCCGACACTTTACCGCAGTCCTGGGCGAGTGTAGTAGATAGGTTTACCCAATGCACTCGCATGCGCCTTCACTCCAATCGCTATTGTCATCGACGTACCCCACATTCAACGGCCAACCCCGAAGAGCCTCGGACGGCCGCCCACGTTTAGGGTTCTGGGCGTCGCGACGTGCATTCTTGAACGTCGTTACGCGGAACTAACAGTTTGGGCCTTCACCACCTATAAATCGGTTGCCAGCGAGCGAGCTGTTCCCTTTCTTTTTCTCTTCACACCATCAACTTCTCCACTGGTAGTTGGAAGTTAAAATCACCCAGACTTTCAACTTCCTTACCGCCTGAAGAGTCAAGTCTTCTGTCCTCCACCACGAACGATCACAACATCCATCACCACCACCACCACCGCTATCACGCAAAAAGTGAACAGAATGGGTCAAATTAATTCGAAGCCTGTCGCCGAGGTATGGCAACTCCATCCGTTCTCTATATCCTGTCAATGAATCGATCTAACTCGCGCAACAATTCAGGGCAACGCCGGTTTTGCCCTCAAGTCCATGAATCCCCCCCAGGTTCCCTTCGCTGGTGACGGTGCCCAAGAGGACAAGAACAGTGAGTAACCATTATCCAATCCTGCACGATTACCGCTGACATGTGTTGCAGAGGGATTCTTTGCCTTTTTTCAACAACTCTGCGGTGGCAGGCGTAAGTCCATCATCAAGAAAAACCGTAACGGCACCATGGTTATTCATGCCCCCCTAGACGGAGGATGTAAGTATTCGTTCAATCTCTCCATATGCTCCACCAAAGTTGCTGATGAGTCTTGCAGATCCGGTCCTCGCGCCTTTCCCTCACGGGTTTGGCGACGGCAATAACTACTTTTCCGGTAAGCATCTACCGAGTGATGCGCTGTGAGTCTATGCTGACCTACATCCTTTGCAGTAGCCGAGCTGCTCGCCGGTGCGGAAGATTCGGGCTTTGCTGACGGTGTCACCTGTAAGCTGCCTTCCTTCTCTTTTCTTGCTGATATTTACAGCTCATGCTGACTTCTCTGTGGCTGCAAAAGATGAGAGTGAAATCGAGGATGAGAGCCAATTTACCATAAACGAGTTTCTCGAAAACACCGAGACTGCCGAGGATGCAGTCAGCCTCGCAGAGAGCAGTGACAGCATCTCCTGGTCAATTGATACTCTAGCTCCCCCGATTCCCCCCAGGAACCCCGCCCGCGTCGTCCTTGCAGGTCAGCGTAAGACCAACCCTTCCTGTAACTAAACCATCATCGGGAAAAGACACTGACACCGCGCAGTTTGTGCGATTACCCACGACCGCTACTACCGACGCCATACTAGTAAGTCATCTTCCGTTCCTTCTTTCTTCTCACCGCAGGACTAACGTGTAGCAGTCTAACTGTGCCAACATCTGTCGCCATACTACCTTCTGTAGCAACAAGAACCGGACATCGATGTGTGGGCTTTTCTGTGCATTCGGTGTCTTATAACATCTATCTTGTTGTCTTCGGAATAGGGATCAATGGCTGGAATTGGGCGTTTGTTTTCTGGGTACTTCGGGAGTGGAAAAAAAATGGGGGATTGGGCGTTTGTTTTCTGGGTACTTCGGGAGTGGAAAAAAAATGGGGGATTGGGCGTTGTTTGTTTTGCTGTTCTGGGGTTTGGGGGGGAAAAGGGCAAATCATCTCTGGAGTTTCGATTCTGCCTGGGTACTTAGGTTGCAATCGTGCTTCGGGGACTCAATCAAAAAGTTTACCTTGATTCGTTCTTGCTCTTGTTTTTGTTTTTAATCTTGTTTGGAGTTTTCGGGGTGCAGTGCCAGCCTCCAGGCGGTTTGTGAGTTTTGTGTGGACACGTTCGTGGCAACAGGACTCGGTAGTCCTGGTACCTGAAGAGTGATGGCAAAGTTCGACATCGGGCGGCGATTATATTGGATATGATTATGGATGGATCCGAGAAGATTCACGAGACGGCGTGCACACTCATGAATGAGACTCGTCCAATAGAACTGCTCATGGCAGTGTGTACGCGCCCCCCGATTGGCTATTCACTGATTTTCAAAACTCTGCAGACTGCAGCCGCATGCGTCGCCGGTTGATGTGGATACCTACATACTTCCCACCTACAGACATCGCACACTGTTTCAGCCCACTACATAACCTGGCCCCCCGCAACCGCCCCCACTGCTCCGCAACATCACTCTCTCCCAGCCTCCAGGTCCCTCGAGCCTCCAGCCTCCAGCAACCAGCAACCAGCAACCAGCAACCTTCTCCTTCCCTCCATCACGAATCACCACCCAAGACCCAATGGCGCCCACCAGACCGTGCATATTCTTCCAACAGGGCCGCTGTCGCGCCGGCGATGGTTGCACGTATTCGCACACCGCCGCTCCGACATCGACTATCCCGCCGGCAACACCAACGCCAACGCCAATTCGGCAAAGACCGGCGGGTGCGGTTGTGTCACAGGCGGCGCACCTAGCGCACCTGGCGCTTCGGGAGGGGGGCGTCGGACGAGCCGGCACGGACTTGCGTACAGTGGGCGCGACGGCGGGAGCAGAGGGAGCTTGGAGGTCGCATAGGACGACAACGGCGGCGCCGGGACCGGGACCGGGACTTCTGGTGCCGTGTAGGTTCTTTCAAATGGGACACTGTGGGCGTGGCGAGGGCTGCAAGTTCGCGCATGTCACGGCGTCTACCGGGCTCGGCGATGCCGTGGGAACAGCGGAATTGGGAGCGTTTACGGTGGGCGCGATTCAGTCGGTACTTAACTACCTTGTGCTCCTATGTCCGGGTGGTGATATGACAGATATTGACAGACACTGACATGTTCCCTAGTTCGACCAACCCACACCTACACCCACCCCCGCCGCAGCTACCGCCGCCGCCCCACGTGAGACCGACGTCCGGGTCATGGGCACGACGCTCTCGGTGACGTTCGGCGGGGGACTCACGATCGCTTCCATAGGCTCAGCCTCGGACACGAACATCGTGACGATGCAGCACCTACCAGCGCGCGCGGACGTGCGGGTAATCCAGGAACTTCTCTCGCGGTTCAAGTTCGATCTCCCACTGGAAGCGATCCGCGCAACGCCGATCGACGAAGGAACGTACGCCACAGCCAAGTTCGCGGACTCGGCGCAGGCGGCCGCGGCGATCGCAGCGCTGGATGGGCTCGTGTACGAAGACCACACCTTGGCCGTCAAGCTGTACCGCCTGAAGGGCCTGGCGGGCGTGAGCCAGAGCGCGACGAGGGTTAGCTGTACGTTCTTTGCGCCGGCTAGGATCGCGTCCATCACCTTCAACTCGCAGCGCCTGGCAGTGCAGGCGATGAGAAGATGCGACGGCAAGCGGATCCGCGGCCGGAAGATGGAGTTCAAGGACCACCGCAATTACCGGCTGTTCTCCAGCAAAGGCGAGATCAGCGTCGGCGGCCTGGCGGCAGCGACGACGAAGGACGAGCTGAAGGTGGCCTTCAATCATGGTGTGAAATCCATTTTCCTGCACGACCCGACGTACGATCTCTCGGCGCACGAGGCGATGGCGCACATCGCCAGTCTGTTCACGCAGCGCGCACCGGACGTCGAGGGATGGGAGATCGTCTCGCCGGCGGACATGCGCAAGACCAAGACGATAATCCGCTTCAAGAGCGCTGCGGCGGCACTCGACGCCGTGCGCAACCACGACGGAAAGGTCTGCGCTTTCCTCGGCGGGAGCCAGATCTTCCTGCAGCCCATCTACACCGCGAACTTCAAGATTGTGCCCGAGATCCACCGCGCGGTCGTGAAGGAGCTGGAATGCCTGATGAAGGATCAGCCGCCGGGGGTGCAGATCCGCGTGTTTGGTGGCGAGACGCAGTCGCTGGCGACGGTCCGCGTTACGGGCCAGGACAAGAAGAAGGTCTCGGCCGCAAAGACGATGGTGGGGAAGATTGTGAGGGGACGGCTATTCCAGACGGCGACTGGGGAGGCGATCTGGGATCCGTTCTGGGCTACTGCGGAAGGCATCCAGAAAATTACCGGGATCGGACGTGAGACTGCGACGTTCGTGTTCTGCGATAAGCGCAAGTCGCAGCTGTTTCTCTTTGGCACCGTCGAGAACCAGGAAAAGGCCGTCGAGCGTCTGCACGGGTGCAAGGCTGCCATCGCCGAGAGCGGTCACAAGATTGCACTCGAGGGCGGCGCGTGGAGGAGCATCATGCGTGGTGGCCTTCGCGCATTGCAGGAGAGATTCGGAGCGAACATGGTCAAGATCGACGTCACCAAGCGATGCATTATGTTTACCGGTTCCGCGGTCGAGCTGGAAGAAACCCGGACTTTGTTGAAGACCAACACTGGGGCGGAGAAGGACGTAACCTCTACGGCGACGGCGGACGGGGATTGCCCCATCTGTTTCGACACGGCGGAGAGCCCGATCCAGTTCTCAAGCTGCGGCCATACTTACTGCCTCTCCTGCCTGCGCGACTACGCCAGATCAACACTTGATACCCGCAAGTTCCCCATCGCCTGCATCGGCGCGACCTGCGAGCGCACGCTCGACCTCGCCGTTCTCGCCACAATCCTCACCCCGGCCGAGTACGAGACCATCCTGTCCACCGCCTTCACCGACCACATCCGCAGCCATCCGACCGAGTACTCATACTGTCCGACGCCGAACTGCCCGACGGTGTATCGCACCACCACTTCCACCTCCTCGGACACCGTACTCACCTGCGCCTCCTGCCTCCTCGACATCTGCACTTCATGCGCGGTCGAAGCGCACACGGGGCTGACCTGCTCAGCATACAAGCTGTCAATACACTCCGACACCGACGCGGACGTTGCGTTCGAGCAGTGGAAGCGTCGCAACCGAGTGCACGCGTGTCCGGCCTGCGGCACCGATATCCAGAAGTCGGATGGCTGCGACCATATCACGTGTGCGGTGTGCAAGGCGCATATCTGCTGGAAGTGCTTGATGGTCTTTGCCCGCAGCCCGGAGGTCTATACACATATGACCAAGGAGCATGGAGGGATTGGGGTGCAGTATGATGGTGATTCTGATGATTGATGGTGAGAGATTGGTGGTTGATAGGGGAGGGTTTCCGATTACCTACGTGTTCTGAATTCAAATCTTTGGGGTTTCTGGTGCATGCGGTGTGCACTGTGCAAGAACCGGGGGAGTGATCGTCCATGAGAGTTCCACAGGCCGGAGGCCGGTGGCTGGAGTGCAAGGCAAGGTTGAGAGGGGGTAATGACGTACCGTAATGGACAGTGGGGCACCGTACTCCATCTGTACATAAAATTCCGAATGCCCGCCAGGCTGCCAGGCTGCCACGAGTATGTACCAATGTAGGCAGAAGGCAGTGTTTTGGTTTATACCTCAACTAGGCAATACGGTATGAGCACCGTACACATGACGATAGATTCCGACCTCAGTTATCAATACGAACCTCGACGCCGATGGTTGCGTAACCCGTTACATACAGCCCGTTAAAGCCTGACTTGTGTATGTAGAAGGATGTCGACAGTCGATCTGAAAGGGCTCTAGGAATCTAGGAATCTAGGAATCTAGGATTGTGGGACTATACCTAATAGTTTAGGTAACCAATCCAATCCACGCGTTCTCGTTCTCGTCCCGGTGACGTTCCCGGTGTGCACCGTGATCACTAGTCGTAAGTTGTAACTTGTAGATACATATATCTCTAGGGTGGTTCCTCGTACGCTAAAGCTGTCTGGTCTCCCGACTCCAGACTCCAGCAGGCGGTCGAAGGCTCGAAGCGCAAGAGTAGGTCTTATAGTCTATAGAATCATAGATACAGCTAGCTTGTGTTGAGTACGCTCCCTTCGTCCGATTTCATCGATGTTGGGATGATATGTAGAGTATGTAGATAATCCGCACGTCCCTCGCCCCGCATTCGTATCTCAATTTCTCAAGTTCACGATTCTCAACTTTCAAGAGTCAAGAGCCAAGCGACAAGAGGTGACAAATCCGGACCAGCTGGTCACACCGAGCTCGCTACACTAGCGCCCATCGTACGTGAGTAAGAGTGCACTTCTGCAGATATCTGGAAGCCGGTTAGTTAGTTGGATGGCCCATGTGTTTGTCATATACCTGTCTGGTATAGTGGTACGTGTACGGGTGTTTTAGGCCAAGACTCAAGTTTAGACTCTAGAGTAGACATCACACGTTACATAGAGCAGAGTATAGTACAACACCCGTCAACCTATGAACTCTAGGTGAGTAGGTACCTACATACGGTACGTCGCACACTGGTTTCCGCACTACATAACCTGGCCCCCCGCAACCGCCCCCGCCCCCCGCTGCCCCGCAACGTCTCTCCCTCCAGCCTCCAGGTCCCACCAGCCTCCAGCCTTCAGCAACCTTCTCCCCCTCCATCTCTCACCACGACCACATGGCGCCGACAAGACCGTGCATATTCTTCCAGCAAGGCCGCTGTCGCAACGGTGATGGTTGCACGTATTCGCACATCGCAGCTCCGGCCACGGCTGTCCCGCCGTCGGCCGCGGCAACCCCAACGCCAATTCGGCAAAGACCGGCGGGTGCGGTTGTGCGACAGTCGGCGCACCTGGCGCACCTGGCGCTTAGGGAGGGCGGAGTCGGACGAGCCGGTACGGACTTGCGCACAGTGGGCGCGGCGGCGCCGGGGGTGGAACGTGGTTGGTGGTCGCGGAGGACGACAGCGGCGGGACCGGGATTGGTCCGTCTGGTGCCGTGTAGGTTCTTTCAGATGGGACACTGTCGGCGCGGCGAGTGCTGCGAGTTCTCGCATGTCACGGCGTCTACGCTCACAGCGATCCCGTGGGAACAGTGGAATCGGGAGCGATTACTGCGGGCTTGGTGCAGACGGTATGCACCTTGTGCTCTTATTTCGCTGGTGATGATATGACAGATATTGACTGTTGACATGTTCCCCAGTTCGGCCGATCCATACCCATGGCCACCCCTACGCCGCCGCCCCACGTGAGACCGACGTCCGCGTCACGGGCACGACACTCTCGGTGACGTTCGGCGCAGGACTTGGCATCGCGAGCATAGGCTCAGCCTCGGACACGAACATCGTGACGATGCAGCACCTACCAGCTCGGGCGGACGTGCGGGTAATCCAGGGACTTCTCTCGCGGTTCAAGTTCGACCTCCCAATCGAAGCGATCCGCTTGAGTGATTGATGGTGGTGGATTGGGGGCCATTTGTCGATAGGGGAGGAATAGAAATAGGTGTTCCGAATTCAAACTTCGTGGAGTTTCCACCGCATGCGGTGTGTACTGTGCAAGAACCGGGGGAGTGATCGTCCATGAGAGTTCCAACTTCCACAGGCCGGAGGCTGGAGGCTGGAGTGCAAGACAAGGCGGAAAGGTGGTACCGTAATGGCCCATGGGCAGTGGGGCACCGCACTCCATCTGTACATAAAACTCCGAATGCCCGCCAGGCTGCCAGGCTGCCACGAGTATGTACCTATGTAGGCAAAGGCAGTGTTTTGGTTTATACCTCATACTAGACAATACGGTATGAGCACCGTACACATGACGACAGATTCCGACCTCAAATCCTCAATACGAACAGAGACGCCGACGGTTCCACCTTCCAACTTTCGTTTAGTAGTTAAAGCCTGATTTACATATCCAGAAGGATGTCGATCTGAAAGGGCTCTAGGAGTGTCACCTGTGGGACAGTGGGACTATAACTAATAGTTTAGGTAACCAATCCAACCCACGCGTTCTCGTTCTCGTCCTAGTGACGTTCCCGGTGTGCACCGTGATCACTAGTCGTAAGTTGTAACTCGTAATATAAATACATTTCTAGGGTGATAATTGATTCCTCCTAGGCTAAAGCTGTCTCGTCTATGGTCTCCAGCACTCGGGGAAGGCTCGGAGCGCAAGAGTAGGTCTTATAGTCTATAAAATCATAGATACAGCCGGCTTATGTAACTACGCTCCATTCATCCGGTGTCCTTGTGGGGTGATATATGGAGTATGTAGGTAGGTATTCCGCACGTCCCTCGCCTCGCACTCGTATCCATCTCAAGTTCTCGATTCTCAACTTTCAACAGTCAAGAACCAAGAGCCACGAGGTGACAAATCCCGACCAGCTGGTAACACCGAGCTCGCTACACTAGCGCCCATCGTACATGAGTAAGAGTGCACTTCTGTCCTCAAGGCGCGGATAGCTAGTAGATAGAGTACACACTCTACGCCCCCAGATATTAGAATTGCGTCCACATGGCTGGGCTGCGCACACACTCCACACTCCCAGCCCCAGACCAGATATCTAGAAGCCGGTTAGTTACCTGTTAGTTACCTATTAGTTAGTAGGGCCCATGTGTAGAGTATGTCATATATTCACCTAGTATAGTGGTACGTGTACGATGTTTTAGGCCAAGTTCGAACTTTGAAGCAGACATCACACGTTCCAACTTACAACACCCGTCAACCGCCGCATCCATCGCCGACTACCTGCCATGAACTCTGGGTAGCATGGGGGACCAATGGCAAATACCGGCCTGGTTTCCGGTAAATGGAAGCGGAACGTCGAGACCCTATCATCTTGATTCATCTCCACTGGATGGCGGAAAAAAGCAAAGCCGGTCCTGGGCACTGGGCACTGGGTAGAGACTCTAGGATGGATTATGAGTGTGAGCGTGACTTGTCGGTGAAAAGGCTTCGAGGAGCTTACCGCTTCACGGCTTCAGATCAGGTCGATCTTCATGTTGGAACTTGGAGTCTGGACATCCCGATCAGCAGCAGCGGCGGCTGTTTGCGGGAGCAAGGACATGATTCTCCAGCCTCAAGGCTCGGCCGGCCGGCAGGAAAGTCCGGTCTCCTGTCCGGGACGAGGAATACCCTCAGTAGTCACCTCGAAGCCCATGCGGTACGATTTCGGTAGCTGTATGTACACATGTAGGTACAGAGCTTCTCCTCCCTTCCTACATGACTTCCCGAAAGGTTGTTTTATCCCATAGAGGAGAACCACGACGGGAAACTCCATGTATTTTTATGTATAGCAGCCTTTGTATAGGTATATAAGATCGGGATGCGTCTCGACTCTCGCGCAAAGCGGCGATCTCCCTCCCCTTCATTAATGGATGGTCCTGGATGCAAGTGCCGGCTGTTTCAACTTCCCACCCCCCACATGCCCGGATCCAAGGTTGAGCCTACTACTAGTACTAGTAATTAGCAGTGTACCAATCGGATGGGAACACTAGCATGCTTGGTACTATCTAGTAACATAGGCATGCTCCTTGGACGATATCTAGAGTACGGACACATGGAGATGCACATGACGGTACTCTACATAGGAACATCATGTTATCGTACCTAGCCGGAAGCGTATCCCTCCTGAGTCGACATCTTTTCCCACCGCAAGTTTCAGACGAGACTTGATCGTCCTGAACCGGTGAACAACCCGGACTTCCAATACACCGTGAAGCCTCCGATCACGGGTGTAACTCCAGGCGGTGACCACTGCCCAGCTTCTCAGAGCCTGTTGGAGTACATACCAAGTATTTAGCATGTCTCCCATCTCGTCAGCCAACCCGCCCTGCTAACCACGGTTCATTTCGATGCTACTAGAGCAGTGGGGGACATGCGCGCAAACATTGCGTGAGAGGCGGCGGCACGCAACAGCCGGCAGCAGGGGCCATAGACAGTCCTTCCGGCAACGACGGGGAGACAGCAGGAATACCCTCTGCGAAGTCTGACTCGATGATGATGATCAGATAGTTAGTTACGTACCGTAGGGTATCGGAATACCTACACACCGGTATCTCTTGGCGCATGCTTTCGCTAGTCGACAACCAATAGGTTTTGTGCACGGAAGTTCCGTGGAGTTGGACGAGCATCCCGCCGGGCACCATTGGATCTGGTTGGCTGTTGATAGAAGCCTGGCAGTATTCAGAAAAGCCAGTCTGTCACCTTGGCCGCTTCGCAGAGTTCCCGCCATGCCCGATACGGCGGAAAGCCACGTTTCTTCTCGGCTCGGCCTGCTGCTCTCGGGCGGAATCCCTGCGACCACTGCGACTCCCGATGGCACCGGCGAGGCGGTCGGCAGCCACGGCCACTGCAAATGCTGGTCTGTGCACGATGCAGCTGCGGGCCTAGACACTAGAGTACCATTGACAAGCGTCCTACGCTGCGCTTGGCTCTGCGCCATGCCAGCTATGCCACACTAGGTAACTCTGCTATAATACCCAGACTATGGTTGCACCGGAAACGCAGGGCAGCACCCTCTTTGAAATCGAACGTTTGCTCCACTGCGATCGGATCTAAAAGGAAGCTCCCTTTCGAACGTTCGCTTTCGTCGTCGTGGATCGGCCCGACTGATAAGTGGGGATCATCTCACCTCTGCACTGCTCCAACAACTCGCAAGGAACCTCTACCGTCCCGCTGTACTACAGCCTTGGCCCGTAGTCCTACGCTCCGACAGCCCTTCTCACACCCATCCTACCCACCCTGCACAACCCGCCCAGCCTGTTGCGATCGGAATTCTGGCGTTCGAGATGGCCGACACGCCTGAAGAGTTCATCGAAGTGGATCCCGCCGCGGTATCGTTTAGCTGCTACGCCTTTCCCGCTCGCCGCTGACCATTCTGCAGTACGGCGGTGGCGATGGTTACGAATCGGCTGGGTATGTACTGTACATACATCATATGTACTTCCGCTAAGCATCAGGACTTGCACTTTAAATCCCCGACTTCGGCTAACATTTGCACCCCGTCCCCCCGGAAAAGATACGACAGCAGCACCGTGAGTCTGTCGTCCTCCATCAATGAGTACATATTCGAGAATGGTACGTAACAGATTCTTCGCCCTTCGTGCCCCGCGCTGGACTGGGAATACCTTGTTGACACGAAATGAAACAGGTCGCAGGTATCACGCATACTTTGGCCGGGAGAAGAACCTGCTCCCGACTGATGAGGTTCCATCCCTCGGTGAATGTCTCCTCTTGCCCGGCAGCTAAATCATGCTCCACATCTGCAGACCGAACAAGACCGGTACGAGTGCAAACCAAAAACCATCCCCAAATGACTGTTGGACCTTGAGAACTGACTCTACGCACCTACTGCCTAGTCTCGATCTCCACCACGAGATCTTTCTCGAAATCTTGGCTGGAGAGCTTCACAAAGCACCGCTGAACAATCCCCAGCGTATCCTCGATGTCGGCACCGGCACGGGAATCTGGGCTGTCGACGTGGCCGACACGTACCCGATGGCCGAGGTGATCGGGACCGATTTAAGGTATGCATATCTCACTCGCTCCATAGTCCGTCCGTCCGTCTATTTGCATGGCAGTGCTTACTTGTACGCCCCTCCCCCCGAAAACGACAGCCCACTTCAACCGACCTGGTAAGATTCATGTCCACCGCAAGAGAGAGAGCGTGTTCACATTTGACCTCCGCCGTCCTAGGGTTCCCCCGAACTGGTACGCAACACATCCCCCTCCCTCCCCTTCCTTCCCTGAAATCCGCAACCTCTCTAACCCCCCCCCCCCCCGCTGCAGCCGCTTTGAGGTCGACGACTGTGAACAGAATTGGACCTTCCGCCAGGACTACTTCGATTTCATCCATATGCGCAACCTCGCGCAGAGTACGTCGCCCTCGTCTTTTTTTTCTTCTTTTTCCTGCCTCCACCGAACCCCCGCTGACCCGAGCAAAACAATCATAGGCATCTCCGACTGGTCACGACTCATGCCGGAGGTATACCGGTAGGTCTTTCCCGCCCTTCAGTCGACATAGACTAACTCCTGCACAGCTGCACCAAGCCCGGCGGCTGGGTACCTCCCCCGCTCCCCCTCCCTCCCTCGCCCGCAGCACTAACCCCCCTCCTCCAGGTGGAACTAGCCGAAGTAGGCCTCAACGAGCTCCTCAGCGACGACGGCACTTTGCTAGACGGAGACCCCGCGAAGCGGTGCGTCGACCTCCTGACACAAGCAATGGAGCTCATAGGGCGTCCCGCGCCCACCGTCGCCAGCATGCGCGCAAACCTCGAGACCGCCGGGTTCGTCGACATCCACGTCTGCGCGTACAAGCAGCCGTTCGGGCCCTGGCCGAAGGATAAACGCCTCAAACATGTGGGCGCCATGGCGTTGTTGATGTTGCAGACTGGTACGTTGCCCTGGGGTATGGGGTAGGGGGGGGGGGGGGGGGGGGGGGGGGGGGGGGGGGGGGAGGGAATGAGGGCTGATGAAATGGGGCACAGGAATCGAGGCCTATGTCATGGCCAGCTTTTCAAGGATCTTGGGGATGGAACAGGAAGAGGCCGCCAAGCTGTGTCAGGAGGCCTATGCTTCGTGTAGTAATAGGAAGAATCACTTCTATAATCACTTGTGAGTATCCCCCCTTCCCCCCTCCCCCCGCCCGCACGCACGTACGCACGTAATTGACATGACAATGCCTAACTAACCATCGAACGTTTGCTGGATAGCTACGTTGTTTACGGTCGCAAGCCGGGCGGCGATTAGTATTGGGCCTACAGGGACGTGGAGTAGGAGTATATTATTACGGAGTCGAGTGGAGTGTTGTATTTTGCTGTGCTGTGTTGTTTTCCGCTTTATGTTCCGCTTTATGTTCCATTGTACCATTGTACCGTACCGTCGCTCATCACACATATTATTCCATACATATTATTCCATCGAACCAATCGTTCCGGCGACAGGCGAATTGCATGTTTCTTCTTCTGCCTACATACCGGTATACCGGTATATATCAAGCACGTCATGACATCCATCAAACGCACTGCACTGCACTGGTGTGGCGTGACTGCAGGGCTGTCTAGTGCATCGCCGCATCGCCGCATCAGTGATCACGACGATCACGCGCATCGGGCTAAATTTAGTCATTCATACCATAATCTTATCTTATCTTATCAGGCTTCTATCTAATCAAGATCAGATCACGCATGCATAGAGTATCACTCGAGATGAAAGTCAAGTCACGAATCTTCACGCGACGGTGTGGATTTGTGGTGTCGGTTTTACTCGAAAATGAAATTCATTTGAGACTAGCTGCTGGTTGGATGGGTGTTGTGAGCCGCCGATGGATCCATTATGTACGCAGGGTGTGTACTAGGCATAGTTACCTGCCATGTTGAGCCACGTACCTACTAAAGTGAGAAGCCTTATGTAGGCCTCATATAAGATGAGGAAATTATTTGTGCCTTATAAGCCACTCATAAGCACGTCCACCTCATGCGGTTTCCGCAAGAGTTATGTCAAAAGACGGCCAATGTTCTCAAACCCCTATAATTCATGTAACTCCTACATAACGCCTATGCAGAAAAAACCACCAGTACATAAACCGGCCTTCTCACTGTGTAATTCCTGCATAGGAGTTTCCTCAGGCCTATATACTAGGTATATAAGCCTTACTAATCCTTGTTTTTAAGTATTCCTTATGACATCCTTAGCAAGCCCTTATGAGCTCATAAGGCGTCCAGACTAGTATGTAGGCGTTACAGAAGGCTTATAACACGGGACTAATTTTCATCGCACCGCACTCGGGATTGTGGAAGCCTTCTCCGACAATATATATCACCTGTAATTTGAAACCCCTGGTTCAGTCGAATTTTACGAGAAGTTTTACGGAAGAAAAATAATAATATTAGTAAAACTTTCTCATCAGGGGGGAGGAGGAACAACGGCAGAACAAAGTGAGATGCAGTGATTCACCACAAACCAAAAACACTCAAGGCCAAGCAACAACGTCCGGACTCGGGAGCACCCACACTTCTATAGTAACCCGCCGCTGTGCTCCATGTTGTGCAGAAATGCTTTGCCGCAGAGCTGAGTTGTGCACACCGGGCACTCACTTGGCCAAAGCGGGGTCGGCGGTCGGCGGTCGGTTCATCCCAGCCCATGGGCTACGAGGCGGGCCGGTGGTGGACTGGAAAGGTATGCATAACGGAATACGCATATGCGAGAGATAGCAAGAAAAAAACGCACGGTTTCTTGTTTTTCTCCCATGGGACGAGGAGCGGTCCCGATCGCAAAGAATGGGAGGTCAGTAGAGTAGTATAGGATTCCAAGGGCTTACCGGAAAGGAAAAAAAACAGAAGGGAAAAAAAACTGCAACGCCCGCGTTTTTCCAAGTTTCAACCGAGGCCGGCTGGATGGAGCAATTGCTCCCACCGTCCCACGAGATGGCAATGATAGGTATCTTGGTGGGACTTTGTAGAGTATCGTGCGGTGGTCTCGCACTATCGGCGTCAACAAAAACGCCATTACGCCCAACGTCAGGAAGCAACTGTTCAGGGATGGGAGAACGAGGAAGATTAGAGAGGAGAGCAAACGGTATAATCTAGAGCAGCGAAGCACCCGGCCTAGCCGCGGTTGCTCAAGCGGTAGACAATTCACACGTCGTGAATACTTGGGCGTTCTCACGTATGTACCTAGGTTGAGTGATAGCCGTGTCTCAATCACTCGGTAGTTGTCTCGTACGCAGGTTGAGTGATAGCTGTGTCGCAATCACTCGATAGTTGGCCGGATGTGTTTACAGTCATGATCAGATAAGGTCGAATGCTATGATGAGCAAACAAAAAATCACACGATAATTGTGCCAGAGAGGGCAGGTGCAAAAACAGTGGCGGCGCAGAAGGCGGCAAGTGCGGAAGAGGAGAGGGAAGCAAGAGCCAAGCGAGACGAATGCGCGCAGAAGGAGACGGGCCCGACCCTCTAAGGCTCTTCCTCCCTACCCCATTCATTCTACTTACCCAGATATCATAAGATCCGGCAATAACTAGACTGAGAGAGCGTGGGAGCCAGGGCGGAAAAGAGGATACAGGATGGACGAGGTGACTGGTCGGAGGACAGAGAATACGGGTAGCAGGGACGAGAACTGGATTAATGAATACCTTCATTCGTTCATACTCTCTCGCTTTCTATCTTTCTTCCTTCCATTTCTGTCTTTCTTGCTGGTGATGAGCGGAGAGAGAGCAGCGAGGGTTGGTCGGCGGGGAGTGAGAAGGTTTGACGAGAAGGGAGGGCTGGGAGGAGAGCAATCTGGAACTGTTATCGAGCTCGCTACTTCCGGTCGGCGACAGCTGGGTGGAACAGGATGAACCAGCTGTCATGATCTATTCAGGTCGAATGCAATGGTGATCAAACAGAGCAATCACTCGGTAGTTAGACGGCCGGTTGACTCTCAGATGCGTCCCGTGACAGATTTGGGCAATCAACCACGCGTCGGCCAAAACATACGTGCCCATGCGATACTCATAAATGTATCGATCCTCCGTAGAGAAGGCGAATCTGAAACAACTTCGAATGATCCTCCCTATATCTGAATTCTGCGATCGAAAAACTCAATTTGGAACATGTATGTGCGTATCAGATGAGATCGGAGCCGCATTTTCGCTATCGGCGTCGGGGAGGAGCGCCAAGACATTCGAAGTACAAAATGCACCCACCGCCACCCACTCTCTCCTTTTTTTCTTTCCACATCATACAGCAACAATCATCACTCGATCATCCCTCGTTAGAATGTTGTCGGTCAATGATACCACCACCAGATTTCTACGACTTTCTCACCTAAATCAGGACCGGCCTATGGGCCCTCTCGTCCACCTAGTAAGTTCAAGAAAACATATCTTCTCTTTCTTCGTGAATGAAGTGATTTAACACAGAAAAAGTAGAAACGCCCCTGCGGATGCGGACACATTGAAGAAATGCAGCGGAGCACTGCAAAAGCTTCAGCGGTTCGGCACGCGAACTGTAGGTAAGTTCAAGTTAATTTATCTTCTTTTCCGTCATGAAGAGGTTTAACACAAAGGAAGTAGGGGCGCGCCTCTGTGGAGGTGGATACTTGTAGGATGTTGAACATCCCCAAACACAATTGCGGGCAATTTTGTGCTGGCAACAGGATCGCCAAAACGGCATAACGAAATACTTTCGTTCTGCCGTAATACCATGGCGGCGCGGAGGACGCCATGGAATGGGTCGACAAGACCGGGGTCTTGTCGAGGATCCGTTTCGACTCGGACCCAGGTTCGGAGCCCGAGCCTGTACCGGAAGAAGACAGCCGACCAGTGTGTCTTGGCGGGTCTGCGCAGTCGTTGATGAACGGTCCGCTCTTGGTGCTGGACTCGGAGGCTCCAAGTTTCATGTTATGAATACCGAGTGATTGGCAGCAAGGGGAGGATGGCCGCCAGCGGACCGATGACATGTACCACGGCTACATTCTCTTGGCCGCAGTGTGGCGGGCGCGCTGCTGTGGGACCATGGTCCTGTAGTCGCCCGCCTGTTGGATCTTCGCAATAGTAGTGAGGCGGGCGCCGGGCGCGCGGAAAGATCCTCGTCATGAAGGCAATTATACTGAGGATGAAAACGTGTGAGACCATGGTCCCGCACTCGGCCACCCGGTACATACCGAATCCATCAATCCCCACCTATTCAAAGTATGGTCGGTGTTGCGGCTAGCATGTGCCGGGCCCTTTGCCCGGTGCACCGCCACAATTCCAGGGCCATTCTCCTACCCGCAGACCTGACACCTACGATCTGGCCGCTGCTGGCCACCTCAGCAAACGACAGACGACAGACGACAACGACAGACGACAACGACAGACGACAACGACAGACGACAACGACAGACGACAACGACAGACGACAACGACAGACGACAACGACAGACGACAACGACAGACGACAACGACAGACGACAACGACAGACGACAACGACAGACGACAACGACAGACGACAACGACAGACGACAACGACAGACGACAACGACAGACGACAACGACAGACGAAATCGAGGACAAGACCCAATTCACACTGCGTGTTGCCATGCCGACACCGCGACGTGACAAGCAGCACATCTACATCCGGCCACTGCTACCACTACTAGCCACCACGGTTTCAGGCCTTGCGAAGATTTTCGCACGTGACACCTAGAGGCTCCTTAGAATACCATCCGACATTGTGTCAGAGTGAAACTCCCAGTTTAAGCCAGGAACTGGTAAAGAGTTCATTTGGCGGGTGTCAAATCTCGCCGAACACGTCTCTCCATAGAGGGGAAGTGCTAGAGCGGGACCATGGTCCCGCCCCGGTCCGTCGTGGCTGGAGCCTTTGCGGGAATCACCGCGCTTTCCCCTACCGGGGCTTTTCCAAGAGGTTGATTTGATGGATGGTTCGAGTTGTTCTTGGGAATGCAAAAGAGATTGGCGGAGGGTGTAGGAGCTGGAGGGGGGGGGGGGGGCTGAGGGCCCCGCGCCACCGGCAAGATCCCTATTGTGGTACGTGTATCTGTACTGGTCGTAATGTGCATTGTGGGATGGAATCATGGAATTTATTTGGTTGCTCAGTCTTTAATCTTCCGTGCTTATATCTCGTGCTAAACTTCCGCTCTAAAAACCTCTCAAGACGTAGAGATAGCGGGGCAGCGAGTCTGTAGATTGACGATGCTGGACTCCTTGAGGTTCGATTGAGATGCGAGATATTCGTAGGAGCGGAATGACTGTCTCAAATGTACTGAGATAGATAGGAAAATTGGTAGGAAGATAGAACTGTTTTGTTGCTTGGTTCTTCTTCTTCTCCCAGCCTGTGCCCTTCCATATATACAGAATATGTCTGCCATTGGGAGATAGGCCCGCCGGCGACACCAGACAGCAGACCAGACAGCAGAGCTCATCTCCTCCTCCGGATACAGTTCGCATGACCGAGTCCTTGACTCCTTCAGAATGGAGAACAGTGATCCTTGAAACTCTACTATCACTTTACAGCGGACATGAGGATAGAATCAGATAGATCCTGCAAGTTCTCCAGACGCCGTAATCTGACAACTACGGCCGGAATGCATCGACCTTCCACTCAAATGTACACTCGATTCTACTTCCTCTCGCACACGACGTGTTCGTGGCCAAGGCGGCATCGGGTACATCCTCATCCGCTACCCATTTCGCAGGCCGTAGCCACTCATGAATGGCTGTGCGTAATGCACCGGCGATCACTCGCGGCCTTGTACTTTACATGCAAATATTATGCGTTTCCACTCTTGCGAGGGCACTTTGTCACTGCCTCCCCAGGCCGGAAAGCGGCGAGTTGAAAGAAGGAGAACACATCAAGAGGGAGAGGAGATATTGGTTGATAGTCTATTCTGTAGATGATGATTGAGAGAGAAGAAGACGAAGAAGTGTCAGATGTAGAGAGATAGATGTGAATGAACTGATTATTATGATGCTCTCGTCAAGGAGCACAGGATCTCTATATACAAGTAGGGTCTGCATTGAGTGTCCGCTCCAGGGATCAGACGTCCGGAATGAGGTCCATGTCCACTGGGAGTTCTCCGTAGTCTCCTTGGATCCACCTCCAAGTCCGGACGTCTGACTTTTGACAAGAAGAGCCCGCCATGGCCGCCAACGTTGATGCCCACCGCTACTAACCACATTCGTTCTCTCCCGCCGACAGAAGTCCTATTGCACTTCCTCCACTCGCTGACAGCTCTTCCATCACTTCCTTCTGTCGCCGGCAGCTCTTCCATCACCCCCGACAGCTCCTCCTCCCAACAGCTCCTCCATCCCTCCGCCCCACCATCGAGTTCATATCGAAAACCTTCTTCCGCGCCATCACCCCACACGTAAGCTTTTGCCCGATGCCCAGTCTCAGGCTCTCAGTCTTTACGTAGCAGCCCCACAGTCCCAATCACCTGATGTCTCTGAAGTTTCGGCCAAATCCGCGTAGCTGCTTCAGCCTTCAGATCGAACGCATGGGATGTCTGCCCATCCCACATCCCACATCGCGGAGACTCGAGACACTCGCTCATCGTGTCGAGTCCGGATTCATCATTCGCTGGAGGACGCTCCACTTGATTCGGATGGTGGGAGTTACTTTGAGCAACGGTTGCGAGACTCGAAAGTGCCCACAACAGCCTCCGTGGATACCCGCATCCTCCAGCTTCATGCCTATTCGACGAGTTGTATTGAGATTCGACTTCAGCGGCCTGTACGGTCTAGTCTACCTGTGCATTCCAGCATATGTACAACTCCCCACGCATGTCGCCTGTCGTCTGTTCGTTCCGTCTCGACTCTCGACTCTCCAGCCCATATGTACACATTCACACACGTGCAGCGTGCTGGACGTCGCTACCGCCGGTCCCCTCACCCCCGCCTTTCATCGACTTCTTCCTCTTCTTCACTTCTTCAAATGGATTCCAACACTGCACTTCACTCTGAACTTCACTCTGCACTTCATGCCCCACTAGTCCACGACCGCTCTCCAGCAACCCACCTCCAGCAACCAACCTCCAGCAACCCACTTCCAGCAACCCACATCCCACCTCCCTATTCCAGCCCACACCACGTTCGGACCCAGGATGCATTTCCATCGTTGGGCGTCTCATCGCAGCACTTCAGGTGGTATGCAAACGATCGTTTCCAGCGACCAACAGCCGCGACAGCGAGAATTTACAACTTACAAGTGCCGGCTGGTGTTACGTCGGTATGATAGTCGATTGGGGGCCGGGGCATGTGATGAACTCGAACAGGCTACAGCTTATAGGCGCGCATATATGCTATATATGTGGACATGTTTATGTATGGAAGGAAGAATAGGTACGTCTACGTCTAGGCACTGGCGGTGACTTGCCCACGAAAGAGGCCGGAAGGCGGCCAAGCGGGACTCGGGAGCGCCACGAAAGAGGCCGTATGCACACTACATTGGTGTATATATGCGACATGTCGCCAAGCGCTGGTTGCCGCTACCTGTGTTGGTTATTGGAGCTTGGTTGTTGATGGCCCAGACTCCAGACTCCAGATCATGGACGACGACGCGGTACTACCGGTACTAGTGTCCCCCACATACCCGCAAAGATCTCTGGTTTAGCAAGCCTCAAGGTGGTCTGCCGACGGCCGTGAACACTGAAACCTGGAATCCGGTCGATTTTCAACCATGGAATCGTGATAATTAGCGCGTAAGCCCCCCGCCACATTTCCCTAGCCATTACATATATGCGACAAACGAGGTCGCAGAGGATAGGTAGCGGGCGCAAATTCCAAAGACCAGACCGAAGCTCCCATTGGGATCTGAGCGGCTTCGAACTTTCGAATCCTGTTTCTGCGGGCTTCAACGAAACCAGTTGCGTGCGTGCGTGCTGCAGGCCCGGTTAGATCGCGCGTCGGTTCTTTTTGCCCTTCCCTTGGTTTCCGGGCTAACTTAGTCGACTGAGGCGCGCTTGTGGCTTGTGCACTGCAGATGCCGCGCGGTCGGCGGTCGCCTGTCGACAGTCTGTCGGCACTTTGGTTATCTACCGCCAATGCATGTATGTAGAGTAACCTCAAGCTGGCATTGGGCAAAAAAGGAAAGAATGAATGAAAGAAGCATGACTACATTGGTCTGTCTATGTAGACTGTAGTTAAGGGCGCGTGTGACTCTGCAGATATGGAGATACCGTATCCAGCCGGCAAACTCGCAGCTTCCAGTCGTGCTGGACTGATACGGCCTCCCCCACATCGAAGTGCAATTCAGCCTCACCACCTCCAAGACTCCCAGTGCCCAGTGCCCACTGCCCAGACTCGCAGTGCACGTTTCTGTAGTGCTGCACGCGCGCTCGTTGTGGCTCTTGCACGTGGAGTATGCACGCGATCCCATGCGGCCGCAATCCATTTAGAGCACTAGACTACATAAGCGCTTCCGCTTCGAATCTTCGATTGATAGCTGAAGCCTGAATGATAGCAAAGGGGACAAACACCAGATACGAGATAGGTAGTACGAATTGATTTGAATTGGATTCGATGCCGTCGTCAGCCCATTATAGACGGTACCCCCTCCCTTTCTGCCTCCCTCAAAAAACAAAAAACAAGAGAGAACACGATCAGTGGCGCGCTGTTGACGGCTTCCGTCCGTAGACCACGTAGCTGGTGGGTGTTAGTTTGATACTGCGTGGATGCCTATGGGAAATGTGAGGGAGGGGGAGGGAACGGGGGCTTACTAGTGGCAGTAAGCGTGAATGTTCTTGTTGCGAACCGACTTCATCCCCTCGCGGCACTGGCGGTCCGCCTCCTCTCCGTCCATGCCGAGGACTCTCGTGAACGCGGCCATGCTGTACGCATGGAAGCCTATCGCACACTGTCAACAACCATCATCCTTCCCAAAACCCGTCGCAATCAATACCAGTTTCACACTGCAACATAACCATCGCGCCAGCATGTTTCAGCCTGGGATCCTTTGGCCAGGGTGCCATAGCGTTTTTATACGTGATGACCTCGACATCGACGAAGCCCGCAGCCTCGAGGCCAGCCTTCATGGCGGGGCCTTTGGCGGCCGGCCGTCCCAGCTTCTCCATCGCTTGCGTGGTCAGCTCGAAGCAGCGCTTCACGGCGTTGTCGGGTGCCAGCGTGTTGTCGTCGGAAAATATCTCGCCGCCGAGCTCCCCCAGCTCCACCCAGCCCCCCGGTGCGGTGCACCGGTACATCTCCCGGTATAGCTTCGGCCAGTTGTTGATTGCCTGTGCGAGGTTGCGCGCGTGGATGAAGTCGAAGTTGTCCTGCTGCCCGTTAACCCACCTATCCCTCACCCATCCCCCCATCCACCTCCCATCCTCCTCCCCCCCTCTCCCCCACCCCTCCTTCAGAGTCATCAAGTACATACCGGCGGATACGTCCACTCCAGCTCTACATCGTCAACCTCGAACTTACAGTTCGGCGGCATCCAGCGCGGCTGTATCGGCGAGAGGTCGGTACCTATGACCTGGGCCTCGGGAAACCTGTCTGCCATGTCGATCGCCCAGATCCCAGTGCCAGTGCCCACGTCGAGTATCCGCTGCGGATTCGAGATCGGCGCTTTGTGGATGGCGCCCTCGAGGATCAGGCGCGTTATCTCGTGGTACATGTCGAGGCGGTCTTGTTCTGCCTGTGGGGCGGTGGGGGTGTTAGTGCGGGAGAGAGGGGGGGAGGTGAAGGGGGGAGGAAGCGGGAGGAAGCGGGGGAACACGTGCCTCGTCAGTAGGCATCAGGTTCTTGTCCTCGCCGAAATAGGTGTGGTATCGCCGCCCGTTCTCGAAGACGTATTTGTTAATCGACGAGGTCAGGCTGGCCGTGCTCGTGTCGTAGCTGTGGGGGCGCAGGTGTCAATTCGATGATGATACAAGGTAGGAGGTCTGGGGATTCTGTGTACGAACCCGCAGCTGGAATAGTCCGAGTCATCGTTCTCGAGCTGGGTGCGGGGGAGACGGAGCGTTAGCAATAGACACGATTAGACTATCTATGCTTGCTGGCGGGGAGATTGGGGAGGTTGCGAGTAGGTAGAGAGCATACCAGTGACGGATCGACCTCGAGAGGAAAGTTGTGGGCCATCGTGATTCGGATTCGCGATTCGTGAGTGGCTTCTGTTGCTGGGGATTCGAGAGTCGAGAAATCTGCTGGGCGTTGCACTGTTAGGTTCTGCCGAATGATCACCGTCCCATCCCATGTGTTTTATACCACCTCTGCTCGCTCGTTTCGACTTATAATGGCTGCTAATATGATTGCTCCCATCCCATGGTGCGCAAAGCCACTAACGCATGTATGCCAAAGGGAGGGGGGCCTTTCCCGTCCTGGCCGTCCAAAGTTCCACGGCCAAGTCGACGTCCGTATGTAAGCTGTAGCCGCCGTAACGGGTTGCGGCTGCTGCCGATCTCCAGCCCGACGCGGTCCGCCCACATCGCCTCTCTCCACCACAGCAAGAGCAAGAGCTGACCGAAGGAATAAGCACGCCCCCCTGTGAGCAAGCACCGATTCGGATTGGCCGCGCTCTACTCTGCCGATGTTTGCGAGCACCATCTACACAAACCACCGCGGAAAGTGGGGAGCCCCACCCGCAGCACACGCGCATATGTGTGTGTGACCTACCTACATGGTATAAATCGGTACCTCGTCGGGATTCTCCTGTGTAAGACCTATGGGGATTACCTTAAATCCCGCAACTTACTCTACATGCAGGCAACAGGCTCACATCCACCCCACCGATTTGCGCGTACCTATTTGAGATGGCCGGCTGATGGAATAACCGAGTATGCACTGATGGACCGATGGTTCTCGAGAGTTGACAGGCTGGAAACCGGGGAAGGAAGGAAGGGAAAGTTCAAAGGGCGGGGGGTGAGTAAGCTTCCCCTGCTCGCATCACAGATCCTCACTCAAGATCGACATCCGATCTGTTGGAGACTCGGAGTCGAGTAGGAAACACTAGGAACTCTACGGATTACCGTGACCACAACAGTCACCCCGGTCCTGTCATGTCACCTCCCGTCTTTCGTCTCCAGAATCTCGAACTGTATGCGAAACCTCCGGTCAGCGCACACAGCGACAGTCCCGACTCCCGACTCCCGCCCAGGACGTTCGCCGGTTTCCATGGCTGACGAGTGGCGGAGAGCAGTTACGAACGTTGATGCACCACCACCTCCGGGCTCCCTACAGGCTACATTCAGTCTCCCCGTCCTTGCCTCGCAACTTCAAAGTTCAACAAATGTCGATCTCCGGCGGACCTTCACAAGCAGTGTACTATTACCTATATCCTAGCTAGCCAGCCAGCCGGCTATAAACTACAGGCTATATAGTCTCGGATCCCACACGCAGCCTCGGCCCGTCTTGTCGCAGGATCCACGAGTTCGTCCTGACTCCCGTCTTAGCCCATATCCCACGTTCAACGCTACATTCGCTTCGTCACATGGCTTCTGCGGGCCTGTGGCCCATACTTTATCAGGGCCGATGATCGATCCTCGGCGTGTAGACAGTAGCCATATTAGTGATGGGCCATGACTCATGAATTACCGCCCATGATCTATGATCTATCCCACCCGTTCCGCGGCCTCTATCATCTATCATCTATGATACTATCGTATTCGCAAACCTACTCACTCCCCCATCCCCCTCGTCCTCCTCCTCCGTCTTAACAGCCCTCCTCACCTCCCTCCCCACCCCCGCCCCAACCACAGGCACAACACTCCCACTATCCCATCCCAGCTCCCCCTCCTCCGGCACATCCTTCATCCAGCCCTCCTCCACCTTCATCCCCAGCGCCGCGCGCAGCACCACCGCAGCACCAATCTTGCTGGCCACTGCGTTCCCCTCCTTACACGCCGGACCCAAGCAGCAGTCGACACATCCCTTCTCGCAAAGACAGTTCTCAACCCTTTCACACGCCCTTCTCAGCACATCCTCGGCCTGCCCGTACGCCGCTGCCGCCCCGCCGCCGCCCGCACGCGCCTCATAGAACACCAGCCTCGCCTTGCGCCTCCTCGTGCTCTGTGTTTTCGCCCACTCCTTTTCGGGCGCTTTACACTCGGTCCTCAGCTCTTTTCCAGGTAGCAGGTTAAGAACCGCGTGCGCAGCGGCATGTATCCCGGCGGCGGAATTAAGCCTCCAGCTACGCATTTCCTGCAGGAGTTCGGACGGAAGATCGATCCAGACTCCCAGGGCCTCGCGCTTGATCCCCGGCGAGTCCACGTCCACCGCGTCCAGGATGCGGCGGTACCTGTCCAGCTTGTAGTAGCCGAAGACCTTTGTCGCGATGTGGACGGGGCCGTAGGCGATGTGGCTGGAGGAGGGGGGCCGCAGCGGCTTGATCGCGCGGGTTTGCAGCGGGTCCACGTCCGTGAAGTCGCGTGGCGAGGTCGTCCAGGACACGTTCACCGCTTCGACTGCGGCGAGGCGGGATTCTGCGGAGAATGTGCGGATTAGGAATGGCCGCCCCTGGTGCAGGAATATGCCGCCTTCGTAGAGGGCGAATATGGCGCGGGAGGGCTCGAGCTCTTCGAGCAGTACGTTGCGCGAATGCGTCACATCGATCACGGCGTACCCGGTGTCCTCCGTGTCGCGGATGGCGACGTGGCGCGGGGGGTAGGGTAGGTAGCGCGGGTGCGGGTTGTGGAAGCCGGTGGTTGCGTCGAAGATGAGTTTTTCCAGTGGGAGGTTGGGGCCCAGGAAGTACGAGTCGCGGTCGGTGTCCACGGGCAGCTCGTGTGCTGCGCATTGAAGATGCGCTTCGAGGATGGAGGCGTTGGTGATGTCGACAGTGAGCGGTGCAGAACTCTTGGTGAACAGTTCAGACGGGTGCGTCATGTAATGTTGGTCGATTGGGAATGCGCCGCCGACGAGCACCGAGAGGGAGTCTCTATTCCTTCTGCCGGCACGTCCGGATTGTTGTCTGAAGGCGGAGATGGAGTGCGGAAAATTCACGGTTATCACGGCATCTGATCACATCTGTCAGCTGGAGTGAAGAAGCCAATGGAGGAAGCAATACAGACCGAGACTGCCAATATCCACACCCAACTCCAGCGCATTGGTAGCCACGATCCCCATAATTTGACCTTCAAACATCTCTTTTTCGATCCTCCGGCGATCCTGCGGAATATACCCGCCTCTGTATCCCATCACGCGATCTGTAACCTCTCCTCTGCCCAACCTCTGCAGTTCCGCGCGAACAGCGCGCAGCACAAGCTCACAGGCTGTTCTGATCCGACAAAACGCAATCGTCCTGACCCCGCGGAGTATGAGCTGAGCGAAGATCCTGGCCGCCTCGGAGATGGAGTCGGCGCGGCCAGAAGATGGATCATCGGCGGCCTTGAAGGGCGTGTTCCAGCATAGAAACTCTTTGCGGCCAGATGGAGAGCCATCCACGTCTGTCAGACGAACTGAGTCGATGCCAAAGATGTTGCGCATGTGCTCGATAGGATTGCTGATCGTGGCGGAGCACGAGATGAACCGGACATCGTGATTGCCCACCGCTGAACAGATTCGGCGGAGGCGGCGCATAATGAACGCGACGTGGCTGCCGAAGAGGCCAGTGTAGACGTGGAGTTCTGCGATTCATGCGTTAGATTCAACGAAGCAAGATGTGAGGCGGGAAACCATACCATCGACAACCACAAACTTGAGGTTCTTGAGAAACATGCGCCAGTGTTCCTCGTTGGGAAGGATATTGAGATGCAGCATATCCGGATTTGTAAATATGACCGATGCCTCGTCTCGAATCCGCCGTCGTTCATCGGATGGAGTATCGCCGTCGAAAGTATCCACGACGACATCCCCAAGGCGTGGCATGTAGCTCAGCACTTCAGTCAAGCTTCTCTTCTGATCCTGGGCCAGTGCCTTCGTCGGGAAGATGAACATCGCCCTCGAGTCTCTGTCCTGCTCGAGCTCGTGCAGCACCGGAATCTGGTAGATCAGAGACTTTCCCGAGGACGTAGACGTAGAGACGATGACATGGTGGCCGTCGTTGAGATTGTTTATCGCCTCCGCCTGATGCGAATACAGCCTCGTAATGTTCCTCGCAGTGTAAATCGCATTCACCAGCTCTTGAGACATCAAAAAGCTCAAGTCCCCGTAGACCGGCGGTTGCTCGTCAAACATCCGATGGCCATCTTCCACGATCTGGTCCGAGTACACCTCCTCCCTCTTGATCTCCTCGATGATCTCTGCGATCGACTTGCGTTCTGTCGGGATCTCGACGGGTATGGTAGTAGTGTTCAACGATGCGGGAGACGGCTGGTTCGATTTCTCGGGAATGTACGGCCGATGCTGTTTCTGTATGCTCTCGACCGGATCCTCCCCCGCCTCTACACACTGCTGTACAAACTGATCCACCGCCACCTGGAACCTGCTGTTCCGCTTATCGATGAGCTTCTTCATCTGCAGAACCGAGACAGTCGGCATCTTAAACTCCCCCATCCCCGCCGCCGTCTTCCCCTTCTTCAACGACTTCAATTTGCCACCAATAGACAACCGCACGTCCTCGACGAACTCAAACAGTAGCACCTCCTCCCCGTGGCCATGGCCGTCTTCCTCTACCCCGCCCTGCCGGGTCTTAGAATACGCCTCATCCCGCTCCTTCTCCCTCCCGCCACCAGCAACATATATCTGCAGCGCCTCGTCGTCGACGTACTCAAAGTACACGCCCTTAGGCACGAGACATTTGATCTGTGCGATATCTGTGATCGTGAGCGTCCGCCGCGTGTGCGCCTCGACGGCTGACCGCAGGTTGTCGAACGTCGTCGTGAGCTGCTTGCGCGAGCAGAAGAATGCTTGTACGAGGTTCAGCGCGCGGTGCACAAGCTCCAGGTCGCGGAAATGCTGGGGCCATGGAATCGAAGGAGTTGGGGGCGACGCGGGCTTGGGAGCACGACCGGTTTTAGGAGGACGACCGGTTTTCTTTGCTGCCGGGGCGGAGGCGGTGGAGGTTGTCGCGGCGGTCTTGCGTTTTGGCGGCATGGACGCGGAGTACGATATGTTTGGGGAAATGAGCGACGGGGGAGACGCGACGGAATGGCGGCTGTGGCGAGGGCACATGGTATGATGTCACCAGGTCCACGTAAATTAAGAAAGGCGCAAAATCCTAAATCGGGTACGCCTTCCATTACATTCAGCCCATCACAGGGCGGTCCGCTATTCGGGACAATCCTGCATTCTGTCTTCTTTTCTGTTTAATCATCGATTTCATTCTGTCCTACTGCGGACGAGCTCTATCACATGCTAAAGCAGAGTGATACTGCATGTGCCAAGTGTTCCTCCCCGCCAATCTCAGCCCTACTCGTTGCCTCCGTGTAACAATAGTACAAGTCCCAGAGTCCCCTACGCGTGTCCCCGCAACCCCTCAATGCTCAAAACCATGGCCTCCGCCGCCGCTACCACGACGCCAAAGATGCCGTCGGCTCTCACGTTTCAGATCGTGGCCAAGTGCTCGGTTCGTTTACCCTCAATCTCCGCCATTCGAAGTTTAACGTTATGATACGCTCGCCCAGACCACGAAAGCGCGGGCCTCCGTTCTCCGATTGCCTCACGGCCCGGTCGAAACTCCGCTGTTCATGCCCGTGGCTACTCAGGGCTCTCTGAAAGGCCTCACCCCAGAACAGCTCGAGGCTTCGGGCTGCAGATTGTGTCTAAATAATACTTACCACCTCGGCCTGAAACCCGGACAGGTGGTCCTCGATGCCATCGGCGGCGCGCACAAACTCCAAGGCTGGAACCACAACATCCTAACCGACAGCGGTGGGTATGTCCTTCCCGTCCCATCGCACCTCGCACCCCGAACTGACCGGGACAAAGTTTCCAGATGGTTTCCCTACTCGAGCTCGCAACCGTTACCGAATCCGGTGTTGAATTCCGGTCTCCACACGACGGCTCGCCGATGCTCCTGACCCCCGAGCACTCCATGGACCTCCAGCACAGCATCGGCTCTGACATAATAATGCAGCTCGACGACGTGATTGCGACGACCTCCACCGACGACGCCCGCATGCGCGAAGCCATGCACCGTTCCATCCGGTGGCTGGACCGGTGCATCACCGAGCATCTCAAAGTGCCTCCCTCCTCCACCTCTCCCACCGCAACCTATGCCGACACGCAAAACCTCTTCTGCATCATCCAAGGCGGGCTGGACCTCGCCCTCCGCAAGGAGTGCTGCGAGGAAATGGTGAAGCGCGACACCCCCGGCATCGCCATCGGCGGTCTCAGCGGCGGCGAGGAGAAAGAAAAGTACTGCCAGGTGGTAACGACATGCACCGACCTGCTACCCGAGGGGAAGCCCCGGTACGTCATGGGCGTCGGCTACCCCGAGGACCTGATCGTCTCTGTCGCGCTGGGTGCGGACATGTTCGACTGCGTATGGGGCACGCGGACCGCGCGCTTCGGCAACGCCATCACCAGCCGCGGGGTCCTCAATCTGCGCAATTCGCGATACGCAAACGATTTCTCCGCCATCGATCCCGACTGCACCTGTACCATCTGCTCCCCGCAGGATAGCCCCGCCCGAGCACCACTCAACCCCACCAACGGCCCCGCCTCCTACGCCGACGGCAGCGGGTACACAGATAAGGGCCTCGGTATCACGCGCGCGTTCATTCATCACCTTGCGGCGAAAGAGACGGTCGGCGCGCATATGCTCACAATGCATAATGTCGCGTATCTACTCAAGCTCATGAATAATGCCCGCACGGCGGTCGTCGAGGATCGATACCCGCAGTTCTTGAGGGATACGTTTGGAAGATGGTATGGTGGGGATAAAGAAGCGTTTCCGAAGTGGGCGGTGGATGCGCTGAAGGGCGTGGGCGTGGATTTGTTGGCGTAGATGTAGATGAAAGAGTCTTTGTTTAGGGGTTAGACGACGAAATGGGGTCATCTCAATGATGTTTTTAGTGATATTGCGGGATAAATGTGTTGCTGTGGCTGGTAAATAGTGACGCCCAAGGGTGTGAGTCTGCGTCTTTGTACCTCTAAATAGATACTACAGTTTCGCCGTCCACACGCAACGTGTCTTCGGATTATCCATCATTCCCACCAAGTTGACTGCCTCGTCAGCCCGATACAGTGGCCGCTTATAGGGTTGTCAGCTGCTCTTCCGGATATTTTGGCATTCGGCCAACCTCCACCCCAGCCGACGGGCCCCATCAACAAGAGCCACAGACCACCCTATCTTCCCCCGTGTTCCGTTTATCGAGTGATATACTATACTCGTGTGCTCTGCACAGTGCAGCACTCTCCCTACCCACTCAATGGCATAACGCCGCCGGTACCGACTGACACTACGCGGTCATCCAGGGCGACTTCGGCACTGCACGGTGGTTTACTATAACTACTACTCCATAACTGAGATCTGCCAGGTCATGCAAGTAATAATCCGTCGACAGCCGGTGGCAGTTGGGCGGCCTGTTCAAAGCATTCGGATGGTCTGTCCGAAAGCCCAAGATTCAAAGGGTGTGGACTCTGCCATCCAGAAGCCACTGACGGCCGGCCTAAACAAAGCCTCCCCATAGTTCCAATCCACAGCCTTCTATAGAGCGGCCACAAATATAAAGACTCCTGGGAAAGGGAGCAAAAGGCTGGTATCCACTCTAACGTAAGAAGTGTGTTCGGTTTTTGTCGAAATAATGCTTATGAGTAGTATTAGTATTAGTATATAGTAGTAGTATCAACAGTAGGTACCTGGATCCTATAAGTTTATGCCTTTGGGTATGTACCGAAGGCGTTAGTGAACACCTACATACCATGGAGAATATTGCTCTAGTTATTATAGTATATGGAGTAAATAATCCCTAGGCTTACCCCAAACCACCACCTTTGACGCGGACTGCCTCTTCGAGTAAGGAGTCAACTGTTAACTCCCACTACACTACTCTTAACCTCCTGCAGAGAATTAAATATCCGCCAGCCGACCGCGACGCAGTGACGCACAGACAAGTGAGATCGTCCATCGGTCTGTCGGAAGGAAAAGTTCCGAAATGTCTACCGCTATGTACACATGCAGACTACATATGGTGGAGACTCAGACGCGGGATGAATCCTTGTACATGTCGTGTGTCCTTTAGTAGTCGAAACGTCAAGTGATTAACTGTGATTTTGTTTCCCCGAGCCGAGCCACAGTGCGTGTTTGCACTTTACATATGGGAATCTACAATTGCTCGGAGCCCTCCCCCCTGAGGACTGATAGGTAGATAGTAGATACCGGTACCTCAGTCGGTAGTACGTTGTATACCCTTGTTCCATGGGTATTCGACGGTAGATACCGCTTACCAGGTGTAAGTCTGTAGATATGCGGGGGCTGCGGGACTGGAGTGCCGGGTTCTGCCACAGGTTTTTGGCCGTCCAGCCGGAAGGCCCTGTAATACGGTGTCTACGTAGGGATACAGTCCCTCTGCCATCTGTGGCGTCTGGGGTTGACGTAGGCGCCATTAACCAACAAAGATAGGCTTCAACACTGTGCAGAGAATGTTCCATATCTCTACATTTCTTTCGCACTGTACGATGATCAAAACCTGTCACTCGTGCAATGCGTGTTCAAGTATACGGAGACCGCAAAGACAAGTCGTTTCTTTGCAAGTAGTATCATTCATTATGTTCTATGTCATTGATATTTCTTACTCTTCCATATCTCCCGTCCGCTTGGGCTTCTCCGTGGACTCCGATGCATCATCGTATTCTGCCGACTCGTCGCTCCCATAATCCTCGTCACTATCCTCGTCATCATCCTCATCGGAGAACTCGCCATCTTTCTGTTTCCGGCCATACGCGATATAGCTGCATCCATCAGCATCCGCAAATCCCCCCTCCCCCCATAGGCTGTCAGACTCACAAGTAATTATAAGCGTGCATCCCCCTATCGCACGCTCTCACGGACGCTTCTTTCAGCAGAGCACTCGCATCTCCAGTGGCCATCCCCAGTACCCTCGTGAACGCCGCCAAGCAATACGCCTCCAACCCCAGCTGGATATTTAGCAGCATCATCTCGCCGATGACCTTGAGCTTGCTGTCCTGTGGCCATCCGCCGATCGGCTGTTTCACACGGAACGACTTTACGTCCACGAACCCGGCTTCGGTGAGTCGTTCTGCCAAGGTATTCGAATATATCGGATCGTGTCCCGTCAGCTCCATCGCCTTTGACAAGTAGTCCCAGGAGAGCTTCAGCGGGTGGCCGGGCGGGACAGTGTCGTCGTCGGCGATGATGTCGCCGGAGACTTCGGCCAGTTCGACGTAGCCACCTGGTTTTGTACAGCTACCGGTAGGTAGCGGGACCGTGTCAGCATACCCTACATACGTGCGGGGGTGTAAAAGGGGAGATATACCGGTATGTCTCGGCCAGCAGATGCGGCCATTTAGTGATATTCAAAGCCACGTTCCTGACATGTATGTAATCGAAGTAATCCTGCAACCTTCAGTCTCCAGGCGTCACGGACCGCGCTGCCGCACATACATCCTCGTACATACCGCGTCGTACGTCCAGTCCTGTTCCGCATCATCCACCTCGAAGTGACTGTCTCGACTCGCCGTCAGCCACCGCCCTTCCCGTGCCCCCCCCCCCCACGGGCTACAACATCACGGAGACAACCGACCAGTTCGGCGGTACCCATGTCGGCTGGATCGGACTGAGGTCAATCCCCATCACCTCCGCGTGCGGAAACCGATCCGCCATGTCGATCGCCCAGATGCCCGTGCCCGTGCCCACATCCATTATGCGCTCTATCTTCTCAGGCTTCAGCGGCGCCATGTGCAGTGCGCCGTGAAGCACCCCCAGGAATATCTCGTGGTGCATGTCGAGTCTGTTTCATGTACTCGTCAACGGCTATCCAGACTACGTATCGGCGGGTGTAGGTGTGGGGGGCGGGGGGCGGGGGGCGGGGGTGCGTACCGGTCCTGTTCCATCTACACCCGTGGGGGAACGATCAGCAGTGTTCAGGTGCGGGCGGGGGATCGATACGCCGTACCTCGTCCGTCGGCATGAGATTTCGATTGCTGCCAAAGTACGTATGATATCGGCGGCCTGCACGCAATCAGCCCCTGAGCCGCGTCGGTGGGGGAGGGGAGAATAAGCTGGGGGGAACACGCCATTCTCGAGGATGTACTGGTTGATCGAAGACTTGAGACTCTCGATGCTGCAATCGTAGGAGCTCGCGGTTTCGTAGCCGTCGTCGCTGGACCACTGCAGCATCAGACACCGTCAGTCCCTGTCCTGCCTTCGGTCCTCGGTGCACAACGTAGGAGGGGAGGAGAGACACGATCGTGCTCGGGATCGATTTCGATATCCATCGTTTCGTGGTGGGCGTAGGTCATCTTCGTCGCCGGTATCGGTGTGTCGTAGGGAGAAGGATAAAGTCGCGACTTGTATTGAGATGAGCAGCAGCCAGCATCTTTACATACAGTATATAGATCTGAATACATTACCCTGGTTGCGAAAGTATATAGGCCAGCTCGCGCTAATGTGGGCGGAACGGGGTTACGGGAGGTGCAGCGCACTTGCATGCGTAGTCTACAGATTTGAGAAGTCTAGGCCGAACCTGGTAGCCAATAGATTTGGAGAATCGTAAGAGCGCGGAAGTGTTATTATACCAATAGCATCTTGCAGAGTGGGATATGGATGTTCAAATCAGATATGTGATATCGGGAGGTAGAAGTGGAATTCACGAGTGATGATGTGTGAATACACTAGGTATCAGGAAAAGCTGTGAAGTGTCTGAAAGTACTTGGGTATGTACCACGCGGATTCGCGGTTCCTGCCACTCTCTATCGACACAGGCCAGGACATGCAAAGGTGGCAGCTATTTAAGGCCAACGTCACGATTCGGCGCGGGCACGGCTGCTCGAACTGAGATACATCGTGCCGCACACTGCGAGAGAGGGAGACGGGGGCATCAAGTGCCAGCAGTCATAAATTCTTAATGCGTCGGGGCCAGGCGAGGCGTATATCATATATGTACTGGGTATGTTATCCAACGGTTACCATCGCACCTCGTTCACGGAGCAGCGAATTCTCGCTCTCGATGCACCCAATTATGGCCAATCAATCCAAGTCCTCTCTTGGCAGCCGCGGTCTTCTCCAGCCATCATTGACCAATCTAGCCGTGTGTGCATCACGCGGTACCGGCTGCGTTTTCTCATCTAGACTGCATGGTTCCGATTGTACCTATACCAGTAGTATAATGTATTCTCCACCTACTAGCTATCCGCTGGCGGCAAAACCTGTGCCGCACACATACCGTACTGCTCGTCAAAACGGGTCAGACGCGGATGCACGCGGATGCGGACGCCGCTGATATTGATCTCACAAAAATATTAGGCCCACCAAAAAAAATTGTCATATGTAGCGGCTGGTTACATGCACATGCACATGCAATAATACATAGAGTATAGTTATACCTACACTAGAGGAACTTACCGTTCCAGTGCATCGAGTGTTCCTCCGCAAATAATGTGAGATTATGTAATGGAGCGGCTTGGCGGGAATGGGAACGACAGTGAGCGAAAACGAGCATACTTCGTCTGTAAGAGCTTGGTTGTCATGCAAAGGTATTTACGTACTAGAACGAACCAACAGGTGGGTCGAATACGAAGAGTTGTCATGGCTCGTATGTACCTACCCAACCCATGGACCATTTGTCTCCAGCCACGCTGATTCGGAAAATTTCACCGACCGCTCCGCATTTGACTACTCTCTAGTGCTGTAACTAGTCGGTAAGCCCACGCTCGGATATATCCCGAGTCGCTTCGATAGAGTACATGTGATGGGTTCTGCCTTCGTTTCACCGTTCGCTTAAAGGGAGAAACACCGGCGGAAGCCCCCTCGCACTGCAGTCAGACTGTCAGAGTCTAACCAACGCTAGCGATATCTATTGCAGATCTGCATTTGCTAGGCAGCTACCGGTACCATAGCTCGGTAGCTGTGCCGAGAAGGTAAAGCTATCCTGTGGAGAGCTTTTTGGATACCATCTAGGGGGTACCTAGGTAGAGTACATACCGCGTTGGACCGATCAGACAGTCGGATTCAGCGTTGACGGCAGATGAGGAGGATGGCGACCTGAACGCTATGGGCAAGCCGTACCGGTGCCGGTATTGTTTCCAGAGTATGCCAGCCGCAACCGAAGACATTCCTAGGTACATAGTCGGGGCAAACCCCAACGTTAGCATAGGTAGGTAGCAGAGGAACGGATGGTGTCTATCCGCGCGGAGGATGGTGCCCTCCCTCGGGAGGAAAAGCCCCACTATTAATAACCGTTCAGACGCGATTCGACAACCGCTAATACCAAGTGATCTCCATCCCCAATCAGCAATATCCGTCCCTTCTCTCCCGTAGTCTGTGTGCAGGTGGATTCCCCCCGGAAGATGACTGGAAGCAGACCATCGAAATGACCGACTATGAGCAGGTTCGTGGGTATGCAGCGAATGACTTCGGGGCGCCCGTCGGTGGTGTGGAAAACAATAGCCCGTGCAGCTCTTACTCTCCTCATCTCAATCTCTACTTCTGTTCGTCTCCAAGCATCCCGTATAGCCGTGAAGGGAGTTGGATGCGATCTGGCGTTGCGCGAGGTACATCCTGGAGAGTGGTTCCTCTGATGCCTAGTCTTATGTTCTACTAGTACCCTACATAGTAGGAGTGTTCCCAAACGCTGTGTTTTGCTTCTCGCTTCTCTACCACAACCTCCCTTTCCAACCCCGAATTCTGGAGTAATGAATCATGATTGCGTTCGGCAAACTCCCGACGGAGATGCTCGAGCCGAGGGTGTACCAACTGGGTTAAGGACAGCTATTCGGTCGAATACCATCTTGCCAGTAATCGTGGAGGCATTCGACCTAATGGCGGGATGTCCTGGCCTGGGGGAGGATTCGAGTTGAGTATGTGACGGTGATACCTACTATACGGTGCCCGCACCCAAACACCTCCAGGCTCCAGAACACCCACTGCTCATTCCGCACATTGTAGGCAACATCTAGCGCCGGGCAGCCTGTAAGCTGTAATGCCTCGGGGTGCTTGGGGAATCCTCAGTAGGCGACCACTCAGCACTGTATACTCTTCAAAGGTCAGGCTGGGGATTGGATAAAGACTATGGGAGGGGTCGTAGAAGGTATGAATACCCAGCCAAGCGGAGGAGAGACCGGAGAAATAGCGACCTTAACCCATACCGGCAGTCTCCTGTGAACGGTTGTGCGCTGGCGAAGTAATGGGCTACAGCGATATTGTTTAGGTTGCGGCCGATGAGGCTTCCGGTATTGATAGTTATGAGGACGATTACCGATATTGAACGTTGAGTGCGAGTTAGTTATGATCAGACGCCACCATCCGCATTTTGAGCTACCGATCGAAGCTCGATTGCATAAGCTGTACACCAACATTGGTGCAGCTTCCGCCGCCTGCCTTCTGGAAGCTAGGTATTGATTCTGTGGAAACCGGTTGTAGAGTAGACGAGGGTTTGTCGATGAGGGTTGGATTACTCACCAAGGCAGCAGTTGCATCACATAGAATCACTAGACACTAGCTAGTCAATTCGGGTAAATTCTATGTGTGGGATTTCGCCGACGCCCACATTTATAAAACCTCCTCCCCACCTCCTCCTTCTCCTTCTCTTTCTCTTTCTCCCCATCTTTACTCAACAACCAACATCAACACTGATCCCTCGGTGGACCTCACAATAATTACCAAACTTCCGTAGGTTCTCCGACACCGTCCGTTAATGGTCTCTCCGTTTCTAACCTTTACCCGCCTCCATCTCTTCAGTACCCACTAGCAATCTGGAACGTATTGCCCTATCATCACTGGGTTTACACACCCAGAAACCGAGTGCCACATCAGCCTCCCGCTGGATTAACATCCAGCGGATAAGAAGAAGAAAAACCGTGGTGGGAGGTGGGGGGCCGCCGGATTAAAATCCGGCAACTCTCCATTCATCTTGGAGGAACCGCCGTTGGAAGGGAGGAAGGCATGCGTCTATTCAATGTATGGAAACTAAAAACCCTCGAAACGATAACTTGGTTGCCCACAATTATCGAGACGCTGCACCCGAACCAGCGTGGACACGGAGTTCTTTCATTGGGATGAAGGGAAATATTAACCGGTAAGACACCCCTCCCCCAATTGTTCTCCGCAATATCTGCTAACCCAACAAAAGATCAAAAGACGCCCACATCGTGCACTGTAATGTGGTCGGAGATATCATGGTCAGCACCAAGCTCCCGCAGATGGAGCTATTGGCAGAGAAGTTTTCGAACGAGCAACGACGGCTGTCAATCTTTGTGCCCGATGGGCCCCCCGTCCAGGCGGGGGGCACTTCGCCCCATCGGCCTCCCGCCGAATTAACATCCAGCGGGCAAGAAAAAGAAGAACGGTGGTGGTGGGTGGGGGGCCGCCGGATTAACATCCGGCAACCCCCCATCAACCTTGGAAGAACGGCCGTCGGAAGAGAAGAGGGGATGCGACTTTTCAATGTCTGGAAACTAAAAACCCTCGAAACGGTAACGTGGTTACCCAAAGTTATTGAGTCGCTGCATCCGAACCAGCGTGGGAACGGAGTACTCCGTCCTTCTTCGGAAGATTTTCTTCTTGGATGAAGGGCGGAGTGCTGTCTTCGTCCGAAGATTTTCTTATTGGGATGAAGGGAAATCTTAACCGGTAAGACACCCCTCCCCCAATTGTTCTCCGCAATATCCGCTAACCCAACAAAAGGTCGAAAGACTCAAATATTGTCCACTGTAACGTCTCCAGAGACGTTATGGTCAGCAACAAGCGCCCGCAGATGGCGCTGTTAGCCGAAAAGCTTTCGAAAATGTCTGTTTTGTTTATTTCTGAGTTGTCGGTATTTCATTTGGAGGAATTTAAGCACGATTACATATTGATATACTCTGCTTCGTGAACTTGAAATGATAACAGTGATGTGATGTGATGCGATGGGTTTACTGAGCCCGCGGCCCCGCCCACGTAAAATGTGAAGCACCGATGCAGTCTCACAGCCCTGCATACCGCCGTACCGGTATCCATCAGGCGCCCCCCTATGACCGACAGCAAGTAATATAGTATGTCCTAGACTCCTGGTGGGAGCTTCATAGACTTCACTGCTTCAGTACACTCGTCCCGCACTAATTTATATTCATGCAGAGTCTATTCTTATTCGCGCAGAAATGTGAGTAGAGATACGGAAAATGTTCGCGGTTAATACTATTCCGATCGATTGAGGTGTTTTACAGGAAATGGGATGCAAGAACACACTGCTGCTGGCCTCGAATCAGAGTCACCAAGACAAAGCCGAGTGACGTCATGTGCGCGGCTGTAAGATTTCTTAATCGTCCTTCTTCCATCGCCATCGGACACAGTCAAGTAGGTAGTTGCAATAACCGTGAAGAGCCGATTACTAAATCTGAGATATTCAGACAGAAACGTTCACTCTATAGTATCGCCTTAATAGCACACCGTGCGATCCGAGCAGGCTTATTATCTGGTACGTATGGCATTGATATAGCTAATGTGAACATTCCTAACTCTCGGTGCGTCGAGCTCTGTGCAGATACCCCTTCCCTCCTGACTCCCTCCAATATATGGTTTACACTACGTCTACAAACTCACTCCTTCCCACGATTGATAAACAAGCAAGCAAGACAATCAAAAACAAAAAAGCAAAACTCGCCCCATGTAAAGCAAACAAACCGCAAGCAAGAAACCAGACTGCAAAGGAAAGAATTGGATTTTAGGGAAGGTTAACGCAATATCTATTTCCTGAGGTCTTCGGCGAGCTCAGGTGGCACACCCGCCGTCATGCCGTCTACTGACACTGTCACTGCTCCTGCTTGCACTAACGCGGTTCGAAGGTCATCGATCAGGTCATCCACACTACTTCTCGTTAGCATGTAGTCCACTTCGGAGACTGCGGGAAGGTGGATACTCACTCCTCGATTCCAACACACAACCGCACCAGATCCTCGGGGAGCTGTCTCTCCTTCCTCGTCTTCTCATCGATGCTGGCATGACTCATGCGGCAGGGCATGGAGATCAAACTGTTGACACAACCAAAGGAGACACTGATGGCCCACAACCGGGTGGACTCGACAATGCGCTCACTGATGACCGTATTACCAGTTTCGAAGCTCAGCACCGCACCAGCACCTCTCGCCATGCTCCAGTGCAGATCGTATTGCGGGTGCGATTTCAGCCCAGGGTATCGGACCTTGAACCCCTGGTTCTCAAGGAACTCGGCGATCGCTTGCGCGTTCGCCTGCTGCTTCTCCATGCGCACGCCGAGGGTCTTGATTCCGCGGAGGAGCAACCAGCAGTCGAAGGGTGCCAGTCCGCATCCCGAGGCGTTGATGGTGAAGTATAGTTTCTCGCCGAGGGAGAGGTCATTAACGGCGAGAACTCCGGCCATCAAGTCGTGGTGACCGGAGAGGTACTTTGTGCCGGACTCGTAAACGATATCGGCGCCAAGTTCGAGAGGGTTCAGCAACCACGGGGAAAGCATCGTGTTATCCACCGCCACCACGGTCTTCGGGTTCGCATCGTGTGCAGCCTTGGCAATCGCGGGGAGGTCGACGATCTTGATGAGGGGGTTGGTGGGGGTCTCCAGTAGCACCATTGCTGTTTTCTCCGAGAGCACGGGTAGCACCGCGTCCACGGAAGTGGTATCAACGTGGTGCACGATGATCCCGCCATGCGTGGACAGGTACTTCAGCAGTCGGTTAGTACCACCGTAGAGATCGTCGCCAGCAATAACTTCATCGCCCGGCTTCAGCATGCGCGAGATGACATCCATGGCTCCCATTCCCGAGGAAACGACTAGGGCCCGGTTCGCCCGCATAATCTTTGCGAGGTGCTTCTCGAGGTGCGAGCGGGTGGGGTTGCCGGATCGTGTGTAGTCGTATTCGCCGCCGCCGGATCCAGAGGTCTGCTTGAAGGTGGCGGTCTGGTACAGGGGCATCGACGAGGCGCCATATTGATCCGAGTGTTCGGTGTAAACGAGCTCTGTTGCCAAAGAGTAGACCTTCCCAGTGCGAGGAGAAGACGGCGCCGGGGATGGGGGGAGGTCATGGCCGGAGAGGTCGAGCTTACTGAAAGCTTTGAGCGGTGGGGAGGACATGGTAGTGGTGGTAGTGGTGGATGCGGGCGCGAAGGCGGGGTATCGACGAAGAAGTGCTGTTCCGCGGCGGTGGAGCAGGAGGGAGAGGAATTGCACACGGAGATTGGGCGGTTGGGGAAACAATTTTAGCTTCTAGCTTTCGAGCTCGGTGCAAGTAGGGATCGGTGATGCTGGAAGTTTCGTTCCTCCTTTCTTTCGATGAGTATGAGTGGTGTTTCGGGAATTCTGTGGGGAAATCGTTTTTGAATGGCTCGGTGACCCTGCCACCCACTAACATTGATCCACCAGTGACCACGCCCTGCTTGATTGCCGTTTGAAGAAGATCGTTAGTTAAGCACGCAATTCCTTGGACAAAATCTGAATAGGCTGGTTGCCGGGTGTGCGGTTGTTGCCATCGCCAAGCCCACTATCGGCCATCCAATCACCGTCCCTAAACCTGATCGAACCAAGGCCGCCCGCGATAGTCGAGCACTCACCGTGATACCGATCAACCCCACCATCATCACCACTGCCGTACCCGCCCCGCAGGCCAACAAACGAAGTCCGCCCTCCTCCGCCTGCCTGCCCCTCTGCCGCGATGGCCTCCTCCTCTCCCGCCCTCACATCCGCCGCCGTCCAGGGTCCCACCGAAAAGTCCTTCTTTGAGCAGCAACGCGACCAGCTTCGCGGCGAGATCGCGCTCGCGATGGAACACGTCTTAATGAACATGAACACGCTCAATCGGAACATGGAGAGCATTATCGCTGTACGGCCCTACGCCCCGGTTTCTCCCCATCCACAGAATCTCCTGACACGCGTGTGCAGGTCGGTCGCGAGTTCGAGAGTGTCGAGGCGTTGTGGAGCCAGTTTGAGGGCGTCATGGGTCGGAATCCGGGGGTGTCGAAGCAACCCGAACAGCCTGCGGAGGAGGAGCACAGGGAAGAGGCGGTTGATCGCGATGCTGATGTGACGATGGGGTAAATGGGTACTGTGGGCGGTGGGCTACATTCGGTGTTTTGGCGCTCGGGGATAATTGCGGGTTTCTGTTTACGGTGTCTTAACGCGATCACGATTCTTCTCTTCTTCTTCTTTCATGCCATTACTACTATAGGTGGTCGATTGCCCGAGTTCCCTACTCAAACTCACGCCTATCGAACGACCGCCCAGTCACCACATCCACGTTCCGCACCTGTATACCACCAAGCCTCGGGAGTCGGGACCGAGCTTCTAGCCCAGACGAGGCGACGTACGAGGTCATTCACGCAAGGGAGTGATTAGACCGGGTCCACGAAGCTTGATTGGATACCGTCGGGGGGATACCGTTACCAGTAGAGGGCTGTGATCTAAGTACTCGACTAAGCCTTTAGTCGGACGCGAATCAGTGTGCTGCGTAGAGTCGACCGAGTAGGTTAGACACGAATTACCCACCTATATCACAATGATTGCTATCATCCGGTCGGTGCAACAGCTCATCCTCGCGAATAGCTGAGCGTGGTCCTTTACTACGACCTCACTTGACGAGTTTGAGATTCGGGAACGGCGAAATTCTATCCTACTACCACAGGCGGTACATGTGAGAGCACTCGAGTCACTTGGAGCCCCCAGCAGTCACGGTTGCATCTACAACTGTCTTCTTGTATATGTGACGCTCTACTCTACATATGATACCTAAATACACGGTTCTCGGCATTTGGTTGTGATATGTGCAGATTGGTTGAATCCACAGCGTGTCGAACCTGTTGAGTACACATGTGACCGGTGGGACAAGTGGATTGCGCCGATTCTCGAGCACCAGGCAAGCCAATTCTCGAGTTGAGGCAAGCAGGCACGTAGTTCTATGCTCACTGTAGTAGCCCTACATTGAATTCGTGACGTGGAACTCGGCGGAAGGCCCACAAACGTCGCCCCACAAACGTCGCCCCGTCTTCCTCAAATACCACCCACCCACCCACCCACCCACCCACCACTTCTTCTTCTTCCTTTCACTACACAACATCAACAACATCCTCAACACAACTTAGCCATCTTTGGCAGAGATATATTCCAACCGATTCGAATTCAACAATAATCGGACTCCATGAATACTCCGATCCTTTGGTTTGTCGCCCGCTTCTCCTTCTCCTTCTCCTTCTCCTTCGTCGGCTGAACATGCATCCCAGCGTACGATAGACAGCGCCGAGGATAGCGGTGCAGAGCAGATTCTGGCGAAATATGGCATGAGCCCATACGTGAGTTCCGCCAAACTCCTCCATAACCTCACAGGCTAACAGACGTAGGCCTACATCCTAAGCTCCAATGTTGATGCTGGTCATCTTGCCGCTGAGGAGTACGAAGAGTACTCCGATATTGGGTGGTGATCCTCAGAAACTTATGTTTCGAGATCCCAACCATGCCACGAAAGTGTAAGTCGCTTTCCGGATTGCTTTGGTTGTATGTAGCGGCGCTGACTGTGGTTTCCTGCTAGGTGGCGAAGTCGAAGTACTTCCCTTGGAGTGGTAGCACTGCCTATCGAATTTCCTGCCATTGTCGAGATCGAGAATCTCGAGGGCCTGTTGGGCGCCGTGTTGCGCCGTGTTGGGCGCCGTGGAGGTCTCGCTAGATCGAGATCTTCCACCGATTAAGGCGCCGCGGAGGGCGCCCCCCGACCTCCCCCACAGGGAGGAACTTTCGGTGAGTTTTTCACTCTCACCATACTCTACAATATGACCTTTATCATGTTCCGACTTCTAACACGGTCAGACTTCTTCTACTGCGGTCGTACCAGATCTTCCCATAGATCAGTCAGCCGCACTTTTCTGCGGTTGCCCCACGCTCCATAAGAAGACCATTTCCGACCTCCGTCATGAAATCCATATGGATACCGATGACGCGCGGAAGCGGCTACACCCTGCGGAGTCTGGCCTCGACGAGAACTACCAGGAGATCGCCACCCTAAGTATCCAACAGGGGTGTTATCGACAGATAATGCGCATCAACAGGCTCTCCATCCAGAGACCTGGGTACCGACGGGAGTGGGCAAAAGGATTGCCGCAGTTGACAGGGAATTTGAAGACATGAAAGCATCTAGGACCCTGCTCAAGAACATTCTCGAGAGACTTGAGAAGAAGATCGAAAGCTGTGGTGGGCGCCCCGTTGGGCGCCGTGTTAGGCGCCGTGGAGGAGCCGCGGAGGGCACGGTGGAGGTCTCGCTGGGTCGAGATCCCCCACCGGTCTAACCACCGCAGAGAGCTAATAATGGGCCTAATTCACCAGTTCCGCGGTGTCCACCACTTCTGTGGAAATGAGTACTGTGACCGGTTTCATTACGTGTGGCAGAGGCCCAAGGCCTTTGCCCCCACAATGCACATTTTGTGCATTGTAACGTAGCCGGAGACGTTATGGTCAGCACTCGGCGCAGTTGCGCTTGGTGGGCGGTTTCACCGTCGCTGGACGGTGGCCGTGGTGGGCGCCGTGGAGGACTGTGAAAATCGGCAGTCCGGATACGTTTCTACCATATCTACAGTAGATTGTGTCCGGAATGGAGCCTGAGGCATGTGTCTGCAGGAGCTGTACACAGTGGTATGTGGGGGTGGAGCCTAAATAGGGCCTTACAATAAGCCATCATATATACTTGCTACTTACCTACTGAGTAATGAAATGATGCAATGATACTATGATTGTAATTTCTGAGTTCCTAGTGCGGTATTCTACCTGTAGTTCGCAATGATTTTGCCTCGTAGACGTGACTTGCAGACGTGACCCAGTATCAGTATCAGCATCAGTGTTCTGGACGTAGATAGGATCCTTCCGCACTCGAAGGAGATAGGTAGGTGGTTGAAGGTATATAGTTGAAGATATCCCGCCCCATCTGTATCGTTGCGCACTGACACTGTCGCATCCGGCATCACTCACCATTGGCACCCACTATTTGAACCCACTATTCGTCACTATCCGTGACTATTCGTGCCCACTATTCTCGCCTACTATTCGCTCAAAATGACCAGTGCACCGTCAATAACTACCGTCGATACTCAACCCACCTCCAACCACCGTCCGGCGTCCGTCCCCGTCTGCAGAATACCGGTAGCATCGGTGGGTAGGTACCTACCTCCCATGATATGAAACCCACATCGCTCGAACTCCACCTTCACCATTCACCCTCCCCTCCAACCTATCTATCTACGATAGTACGTACTTATCTACAGTATACCAAAAACCCCCCCCTCCTCACCAAAAACCCGCCTGGTCTATTCACAGATTCTCACTCTTCTCCCTTCCACAAAAACACCCCCAACCCAACCCAACCCGGCTAAGCGGCACCAGCCACGGCCCACCCGACTCCTCCCCGCCCAACCCGTCGTAGCCCGTCGTATATAGCCCATCCCTCCCCGCCCAGCATATCCCTCCCCGCCCAGCCCGCCCATCCCTTCCAGCTCACAGAGCAAGAGCCCGCAGTATCCCGCAGTAGCCTATTTCACATATCCACTGCCACCCCGGTTGCCCCCTCTGCCCCCCCAAGTAGTAAGTACGAGCCACAGTTCTACTCTACACCACTCTACTCTACGTCACACAAGCAGTCGCTTAGACTCCAGTCGACAGGACAACTGGTAGCGAGGTTGTGCAGCTTGGGGGCCGAGTTGCGAAAGTAACGAAAAGTTAACCAGCAAGGTACTTGCTCTCGCTCTGCTGTTTGCTGTTCTGCTGTTTTGCTGTTTTGCTGTTCTCCACCACCACCACCGTCGGCAGCAGCAGCAGCAGAGCAGAGCAGACTTTCTTTCTTTTTGGTTATGTATGTGCCGAGGACGAAATCTCTCTCGCTGAATCGCTGAATCGCTGAGTCGCTGACTCGCTGTGGGCACTGGGAACGAACAAATGATGTATAGACGCCACGCCACGTAGGTATTCCCGCCCGCCGCCTCAAGCCAGCCTAGAATACAGCCAGACTTTTCCCTTCCCTCCCCATCGCTTCACTTCACATCGCTTCCCATTCAACTCCGCAGCTTCGCTAGAAATTTCCTCAAACCCTCTCCATACGAAAAGCAAGGTTAGAAAAGAAAAGTAAAAGTAAAAGTAAAAAATAAAAAAAACCTTCCAATTTTTCAGCCCTTCCCTCAAGCTTCGTCCTTCTCCCTTCGCCCCCACCTAGGTAGCACCTGCACGCACGCAGAAAAATCAAACCGGCCAACCCAACCCATTTGAACCCAAAGTTACCCAAGTTATCCAAGTTACCCAACTAACCAAAAACCGAGAAAAATATAATGGAAAAAAAATAGACAAATAATTCCTGACAGGAATTTAAAACCTAAAAGGCCACAAAAAGCTCAAAAAATAGAATAAATGATGGAAACGCCATGTAGAACGCCAACCCCCACCCGCAACCGCAACCCGCAACCGCAAAACCCATCCTCCATGACCCATCCCCCCCGCCCACCGGCCAACCGAGGCCTGTCTGTCCCCCCGTTCCCCGTTCCCGCTTAAAATTCCCCACATGAAAAGAAAAAGAAAAAAAACAAAACAACACCCGTGATGGAATAGAAACGTCCGTCCGTCCGTCTAAGGAAACAAACAACGATGGTGGTTTATAGAGATATATGTATCAGAGAATCCGAATGTCGAAAGCAAAAAAAAAAAGAAACCGAGTGTCGTGTCGGTGGCCACAGACCTACGGTGGAGTGTGGAGTGCGTGTGTGATGTCGAATCCCGAACTACCGCCCAATTACCCCCTTCCCTTTCCTTTTGCGTCGCCGTCCATTAATCGTGGAGGAGGAGGAGGCAGTACACCTCGTGGTTTCGGCTGCGGACATGATTCTGTATCACGACCGCCGGACGCCGACGCGGACCCTGACCCCGACGACCCCAACCCCCCCTCCGCCTTCCTCTTCTTCTCCTTCTCCACCTCCTCGCCTAGTCGCTCCGGTAAAGTAGGGTCGGTACTCAAGAATTCAATGTACCTCCGGTAGCCCCAGACCGAGTCGTCCTCGGCGCGGGCATCATGGCGGATCTCGACGCGCCCACTGAAAGCCTCTTGCAGCTCCGTCAGATCTCCCAGCGTGAGGCGTTCGCAGCCCTCAACGTTCAGGACCTTGAGGTTGCTGGAGGTCGGCAGCTTCATCAGATCGTATAGCCACGTGATCTTGACCTCCCGGAGGCCGCGGAGAGATAACGTCACCAGGCAACCGGGAAAGCGCTTGCACAGAAAGTTCCGAATGCTTGTGCGAGAGACCGACGTGCACGACGAGATGTCGAGAGTATGCAGGACCTTCGCCGTCGAGACCGCGCGCAGTGTGCCATCGCCGATGGCGGTGTGCGAAAGGTCCAGCGTGCGGAGTGTCCCCCGATGTCGGTCCATCAGTGCTACCACGGCGGGAGTAGTAACGGGGGAGTGCGATAAATCGACGTGCATCAGACACCGCGATTGCGATACGCGGAAGTGGTGCTCGAGCGAGTGAGAGTTCAGCAGGGAGCCCATCGACTGCAGGTACAATCGCTCCAGCAGTGGCGACCCAGCCAGGAAATGCAGCAGCGCTGTCACATGCTGCTGAGTCAGAGCTTTCGGCTCCTTGAGCGTGAAGGTGCGACACGATTTTAGGCGTGCTGTCAGTGTGGTTGCGGTTTTGGGGTTGAAGAGCTTGCTCTGCAGCAATGAGAGATCAAGTGTTCGCCACAATAACGGATCGGAGGCGATGAAGTACCACTATTAGTTTTCCAATCACTCGCCGGTCAGAATTGCACATTCGCATAGAGTGGACGTGGGGTTTCGGGGAAGAAGAAGAAGAAGTCTCACCTCGCGGCAACAAGAGGCGCTCTGCACCAGCTCGTGTGGAGTTAGGTGGGAGAGTATCCGCACGACTATCTCCGTGGGCAACGTTCTGAATAGGTTTTCGCTTGGTGGCAGTAGCGCCTCCCTTCCCTTCCCTTTATCCTTATTCCCGACCGCCGCCACCGCCGCCGCCACCGCCGTCCCCGCCGCCGCTTGCGAACCAACTTCCGCCTCATCATCACGACCCACAACCTTGTCCTCCCTCGTCACCTCCCCACTCGTCCTCCACTTGTCGGCACCCGCATCCTCATCCTCATGCCCGACTTTCCGTCGTCCCAGGTCCTCATTTTGCGTGGGCATTCTATATTCCGTCGCCTCCGCCATTTTCCCGATGAATCCCCGGTCCAGACGGGAGAGCTTTCGCTGCGAGATCGTTGCGTCGTGATATCTATCGTGATTGGGGTGTGTGGGTTATCGAGTTGGCGAGATGGACTACTTTTGCGACTTTTGCTGGCCGGGTGAATTTATCGACCTCTTTAGTTTCTAGTTTTTTTTTTTTTTTTTTTGCGCCGTGATGAAGCAGAGCGGAGCGGGGAGAGAACGGAGACGGGGGGTAAGGTAAGGTCGTCTTGGGTTGGTACGGAAGAAGTGGCTTGCTTCTTCTTCGCACTTTCCTCTTTCTCTCAACGCTTTGCGCGTCTCGCTCTTCGGCTGCGCCGACGAACTCTAGCGCACTCTCACACCCCGTACTCGCCCACACACGGAGGAAGGATAATCGAGAACGACACAGTTATTAACAATCGCCAGGTGATACTGAGAGGATCGTCGTGGGGGGAAGGGAGCAGTCGAGCAGCAGGTGCGGAAGATTGGCAGAGGAGGAAGAGGAGAAGGGAGATTGATGGAGGATCGCAGGAGTGAAGGATCGCAGGATCGCAGAACAAAGCAGTAGTAGTGGTGGCGGTGGTTGGTGGAGGTTGGTAGAAGAGGTAGTGGAGAAGGTATGTAGTAGAGTAAAGGTGGTGGAAGGGGCTTTCGGAAATAACGTGTTCAAGATTTCGTAAATACACTCAAGAGCGTACAGACAGCATACCCAGTCCGGCCAGGATCGCTACTTCAGATAGTAGGGCAATATGAGTATGTGGTTCAAGTTTCGTTCAGTCGGCTAGGAAGTGAGAAGAAGATACGGAAGGTCGTGTCGGTGGTGTCGGTGGTAGTGGTGGTAGTCGTAATGGTGGTAGTCGTAGTGGTGGTGGTGGTAGGAGGTAGGGTAGGTGTTGAAGGTGAATGGAGGTGGTGGACCGTAATGGTGGTGGTGGTGGTGGTCGACCGTAGTGGTGGTGGTGGACCGTAGTGGTGGTGGTGGTGGTGGTGGTGGTGGTGGTGGTGGTGGTGGTGGTGGTGGTGGTGGTGGTGGTGGTGGTTGTTAGTAGTGGTGGGGGGGGGGGTGGTACGAGTGCTTTAAAGGACGATGCATTTCGTCGTGCAGCGCGAGGATGTTATTTAGAGCAGAAGGGAAGGTGTCTCAGATGGGCGAGCGACACCAATATGCGGCCACCCACGAAGCCACCCAACCTAAAAAGAAACGAGAAAAAAAGAAAGGAAAGGTAAGAAAAAGGCAAAAAGCGAGGAAAAGAAAAAAAGAAAAGGAAAAAAGGAAAAAAAGAAGAATCGGAATAATGTGTGTGTGCGACCTAAAAAGAGGATTGGGCGATGGTGGAAGCGGAGGAAAGTAGAGGACTGGTTTCGAGTAGGTACCGTACTATACACACATACCGATACCACTCGACTCGCCCATTTCGCGGCTGTTCTTCATGGCCAACTTTGATTCCGCCTCTCAACACACGCTTGTAACGTCGATTGATATAAGGGTAATGTAATATGGTGTTCATTCGGGTCACGAATCCAATCCAATCCCCTTTCCAACCTCTGACGGCAGCAGCAGCTTATTTGCTTGCGTTCTTGCGTGCTTGGGGAGAGCACTCAGCACTCTACGTGACGGCGATTTAGACGCGAGTATGAAAACGGGCAATCAGATGTATGTACTCTACATACTTGTGATATATGGGCGTTTCACCGGCGTGTGCACTGTGCACTGTGCAGCCAGAGGCGAGAGGCGAGAGACATGGTGGTAACGATCATCTATGTGCTGATGTTTCTTACGGCCGAACATACACAGGTACCTACAGTCTACTTACTACACCTATACTCTACTCGAGTACATACATTGCTGCCGAGCAAAGGCTGAAGGCTGAACCTGCCCCCAGTCCCCACCGTGTGCTTCTTGATCACCAGCTGAATCCACTGCGCACTGGCTGGCTGGCTGGCTCAACATACCCCACTCGGGCATGTCCAATGATTCCAATCCCCTCGAGCCGAGAACCATCAGCAACAGCAACAGCCGCAGGCGTTGTCCCCCCATCCCCATCCCCATCCGCATGTGCATCCGGCGAACGAGTTATGACCGACTAAACAATCGGCAATCAGCAATCAGCAATCAGCCCTCCCACCCAGCTTGACGCCGCGTTGCAAACTTGCGACGGTAGTTGCTATATCTACCGACGAGGCTCCGGAATCTTGGCATGGTGGGAGGGGGGAGGGGGATCCGGGAGAGCGAATCGTGTGGATGGATGGATGGACTGTGTGGATGGACTGTTCTTGGTGGGTGCTCTACTTATTACAGCCGCTCGTGATGGTCATGGTCATTGGTAGAGCTTCCGTCCGTAAAAGTAGAGGACGTATGATACCCGGGTCCTATGTGGATCAGCGAGGGAGGGACGAGGGAGGAGGTACGGTTGGTTGATCCGTTGGTCAGTCGTTCGGTTGGTCGTTCGGTGGTCGGTCGTCGGCCACTGAAACGAAGCAAGGGACGGCAAGACGGAAGGAATGAAAGGTTCTAGGTAGTCCAAGGAACAATTCCTGGCCACGGCGCCGTGCCGCGCCGCGCAAGAATGTAGAAGCTTTCGAATCTTCGAATCTTCGATTCCGAAAATACAACGTTTCCTACTACGGTCTACCTGCTAGAGTAGAGTGTCTAGCCCTCAAGCGGGTTAGTCGGTTATCTACCAACTACGGTATTCTCCATAGCTCCCATCCTCGCTTCCCGATATCGCATCCATCTAATCTACGGAACTCACCACCTGCTCGAGTGTCCTGGCTGTCAGATCCGTTGGCTCTAGGTTGGTTCCTTCCTTCCTGGGCGTCGACGATGACAACGACCGAACGATACATACGACACCTCCACTGAGTACCAGCAGGTAGGTGGTCGCAATCCCGAAAACCGGTCCACACGGATCGGGCGCGCCCCAAAGTCCCCAAAACTCGCCTCCCAAGATCTACGCACATCACCAGCAGCAGCAGCACCACCACCATCACCATCACTACCACCACCAGCTTTGGGTTAAGGAAACAGCACTGCAGCCAGCAGCCGCCTGAACATTACCAGCAGCACATTACCAGCAGACCCGAGCGCCACCAGCACCCCCATCCCTAAGCCAAGAGGCCAGCCTAGTGTTCACCACGTAAGCTCTCCTCTCCACTGCTCTCCTCCACTTTTCTCTGGCTCTCGCTCGCAAACCCTCCAGATTGGTGGAGGCATTTGATTCGCAACACCACAGTCCACAGTCCACTGTCGGTCGGTCGGTCACCACACCCACTCTTCTCCCACCACCCCTTCCTCATTTGCCCGTCAAGCGAAGGGGGCTGCACGCTCGGAAGCGATTTTGGCCAGGGATTGGTCGCACACACCATAGAGAGTGTAGAGCACGCACACCACCACCATAAGGGAGCCGTAAGGGAGCCACACCTCCGACCGCCTGCTGCTGCTGCTGCTGCTCCGTCCGCCAGCACCAATGGTACTCGAGTAGATACACCAGCACCAGCATCAGCACCAATGGTAGAGCAAACCGCCGGCAGCATCAGCATCAGCACCACCGGCAGCACCACCACCACCACCACCACCACCACAACTACCCTGGACATGGCTGCGGTGCGGTGCGGATATGTAAGCCACATTGCGCTGGTGTGGTGGCGTATTGTACCGGGGGTGGCTACGATTATCTACATTTCCTCTATACCAGTGGTCCAGGTACGGTAGCATAGGCGTTCCCTGCTCTTTCGCTCTCGGTGTAGAGTATGTATCTATCAAAAGAAAGCAGCCACTCCTCGCGGTTCTTGAGACACTGGTCCGGCTCCGCGTACTCTACCTGGAGTACCATGATTATATTTATCGCCAGAAATGCCCTTTCGTGTCGGTCGGCCTATGATACCAACGATGCGACGCCGCGACTGACGGAAGCGAGAGGTGAGAGGCGAAAGGTGAGACGTCGCGGGTGAGGGTGGGAGGGTGGAAGGGTGGGAGGGTGGAAGCTCAGTCAGCAGGTCAGCCAGCCAGCAGGCGAGTAAGCCAGCCAGCCAGCCAGCGCAACAGAGTTGGTAATCCACCATCAACAATCAACACATCAACCATCAGCCGCGCGGCGCCGGCGGCGGTGGGGTGTTGGACGAGGCGGTACGGTGCGGGGAAGTGTGAAGGGTGAAGCAGATAGAGCGCCGGACCCATCAGCGCGCGCGAGAGGGAATCCACCCTGTTCGTTCGGCGTAGACTGCCCTCTCCGGATGGTGAGGATTGACCCTACATGAGTACCGTGTATTTGGGTATGTGGGTATGTGGGTATGTCATCGACTCCCGGAGCCCACGCTGCGCACACGGGGCAAACGACCAGAAACGTGAAGACTCGCTCGCCTCATCACACGCGGCGGATGTATGATGTACTCTACATACTCTTACTGGTACCTTTTCGCAGCTGCACCGGGGGGGGAGGTAGAGTACTCTACATGCAGGAGCGGTGTAGATATCTCCATAGAGTGAGTATACGGGTACTTTCCTTAGCCCACAGCACACAAAGTAGTGGCCGTCAGTTAGTTGGTCGTCGTCGTCGTCGTCGCTTGTGGCTGCGCTCGTACCACCGTCGCACAAGAGGCAGGGATGGGACTCCATGGGAGCGAAGCGGGAAGCACCGCTGATTGGCCGGCTAAACGAAACGAACAGCGGAGAGCTCGCTCTCCTCCGAAGCTCGGAGGGAGGGCTCAGGGATGGGCTGGTGCTTGCGGTGCTGGGTGATGATCTATGGGTCCGGGGGGGGGTGGCTTTTTCTTTTCTTTTTTTGATTTTGATTTTGGAATTGTTTCTTCGAACGACGAACGAGAATGCGGAGAGATGATTGGATTGGATTCAACTGATTGGATTCCACTGCTACCGTCCAACCGAAGACGAGAGCAGAGGAAGCGGAGGAACAGGTAAAACATGAAACATAAAACATAAAACACGGAGATCTCGTAAGGAAATTTTATTCCTCGTCAATTATCACCATACAGCTCCACCACACACCTACTACTACTACTACCACCACCACCACCACCACCACCACCACATAAACCATCTCCGCTACGGTATCCAATCCAATTCACCGGTGATGGCTCGGCACGCCGACCGAACCACTCACGCGAGGCACGCACCGGTTCCGGCCAGCCGGCCACACGCTGATCATCAGCTCCACGTCGACGCCTCGATGCCTCTCCGGCTCGATATCCTCGGTATCCTCTCTTCTTCTCTCAAGTCTCTTCTTCTCGAGTCTCGACTTCTGCCGCGCCCACAGTCCCACTACGAATCTACGATCGCTGGAACACTTGGACTAGGTAGTCTAGGTACGGTACGGTCCGGTACGGTAAAACGACTAGAACTACCAGAACTACTCGAGTAGAGTGTAGTACTATAAAGCTCTGGGCATCTTCTCCCCATGGGTCCATGGGATAACCATCATGGATGGGATCGGTCTGCTCGCAAACCGGCAAGGTTTGAGGAGCTCTACTATATCCTCTACATAGAGTCTATGTGTGTATGTAGGTACGAATCACGATTGGATTCCCGTTCCGAAGCACAGCGCACACATACACACACACACACACATCATATACCTACGCACACACATACCTAATATACGCACACACGGATGGACTCCACCGAGATACATGGAACTAGAGTAGTTAAGCAGCCAAGTGATGAGCAAAGTGGTGGAGTGGAGTGGAGTGGATGGTGGAGTGGTGAAATGGTGGAGTGGATCATGATGACCTTTCCCTTCCTTTCCATTCCCTCCGGCTCTCCTCCGGCCTGGCTCCGGGCGCGCTATCTATCCACCATCGAGCATCCATACTGTTTTTTTCGTTTCCCAAAACCCCACAGGGCCACAGGATCCGCCCTTAAGCTCAAGCTTGGAGAAAGCTTCTCCCCACCCCCACTAACTACGGTACACACTACGGTACCACCCACTACATATCCATGAAATCATTCGCCCGCTCGCCAGCGCAGCAACACACTTACGACGACGCTTGCATCTTGCATATCTCGCTCGCTTGCTCGCGTCCCGCCATCCACTTAACCTACATATGAATCATGATGCAGATACAGGCGGGCAGGGAGGCTAGACGGTTGCTCTAGTATGATAACTTTACTCGATCTTCCGTCAGCGAGACCGTAGAGGGAGCGGAGTTGGATGGTAACTATGGTACAGGACAGTATTACAGGATGATACAGGATGCTGTAATAACTGCAGTGTCATCAGTTTCCATGTCTGTAGTCCGTGCTACGTTTTACTAGTAGTTCTGCCTCTTCTTCATCTTGATCTTCATCATGATCTTCTTCTCACCCGTACCAGTACAAATATCCCACTTTCAATCCGCTTTCCTCGTGTGCACTACAGTAGATACTACCAGTCCTCCACTCGACTAACTACCAACCCCATCTCACGCCCAAAAACTTTTTCTTGCCTCCCTCGCCTATCCTCTGTGTATCATCTACATTTTCCAAGTACACTCTGCTCCTCCCTGCAACACCAGTGACCGTGGTTTTAGCTTCTTCTCCACAAAAGACAAAAAACAAAAACAAAAACACAAGTGTGAGAATTGTGAGCCGATAAATCCTCCTGCTACTACCACCCCTCACCAGTTCGCAAACCTGACATATCCTGATGGGTGGGTGGGTGCGGTATAAATGATATAATGATATATCGGGGGTCATATGGGTGAATTGTGTAGGAGCGGGCTTGGGCAGTTACAACATAGACATACCTGCAACGTCAAGGTATAGATATTTGTACTCGTACTCCTTCTGGCCCGGCCGTTTGATTAGGTGGAGGTTGACCACGCCCTTGTCCAGATCGCCCTCGACCTTGAGAAGTTGAGCGAGATGTCATGTCAGCCTGCGCACCACATAATGGAATAGGCAAAGTACGACGGGATGCATGATGATGATGAGGATGATGAAGGGCGGGCCACAAACATTGAAGTGTACCCGAAGGTGCTCCGTCCCGGACCGATCTGTGCTTACGCTTGCTCTGTTTGTCCCGTATGCGTTCGTCAGAACCAGCTGCTTTAACCTCTGGAAGCAAAAAACCCCCATCCCCGCGCGCCCCCTCCCTCGAGTTTTTCTCGCTTGTGTATGTGTGTATGTGTATGGGTGTGTGCACCCATCAAAAACTCACGCAATCGGTCTATTCCTTGCCCAGCGATTCCACGTCTCTTCACCGTAGGCCTTTATCGTTCCCGCACCCAGAAGTTGCACGCACTGCGGATCGCTCTTGACCCGTGCGTGCGCGCGATTGAACCAGTTCGTGACCGAGTCTGGCGCTATCACCTCGAGGTAGACAAATGTGAAGACCGCTCCCTGCAGAGGCAACGTAACGCAAACAGACCGTCAGCGATGCGAGAACAGAACAGAACAGAACAGAACTAATTGGGACACGGGACGGGACACAGGACGGATGCTCAGACACGCCTGGCCGAGTGGTGATCCACTCCAGAGCTCGGCAATCAAAGACACCACCACCATCCTTTTCCACTAGTACTGCCGGTGCTGCTGCGTGGAGAATGAAGATGGAGGTAGTGGTGGCAGTAGCAGTGGTGGGGGTGGTGGAGGACGACGACGAGGAGGAGGGGAAGCAGCAGCAGGAGGAGGAGGGTGAGCACCTACCGTCACAGCCAGTCCGACCAGAATCGTGGCAGCACTCGCACCGGTGCTCGCCGTGCGCACCGCCCTCTGGCCTCTCGACAGTTCGGCCCACTTCTTCACGCTCGGATCACCACGGTTCAAAGATATTTGCTTCTTCGGGGACGACTGCTGCTGCTGCTGCTGTGCAGCACGTGTTGCAGCACTAGAGTGGATCCCATACGCCGGTGCCGAAGGAAATAGGCGAAGGCTCTGGAGCTGACTCGACAGGAACGTGCGACGAGCGGTGGTTCTGGCGAGGGACATGTGCGTTGCGATTGGCGAGAGGAAGCGAGCTGTGCTGGAGAGGCAAGGCAAGGGATTGGGAATTTCCGTGTGTGTGTAAAGTACACTCTATTTTTTTGGTTTGGGTGGGTGTGTGTTGTATGTTTGGGGTCGGTCGTCTGCAGTTGGAGGTGACGTGAAGTTGGTGTTGTGGGTTCGCTCGCCTGTGGACTTTTTTTTTGTCGCTGGTTATTCGAGATCTCTGCAACTTTGGGTTGTTGGGTGTTTCGTCGGAAGATAGCTGGGGAAGGGCGACGGTAGATGCCGAGCACGTGCGATAAGATCGGGTGTCAGATGATGCATTGAATGGATATCTCCGGGCAGGATCTAATCTCCTCAATCTTATCGCAGCCATCATCACATGTCCCAGCGGCCAGAGTATTAGTCATCGTTCATTTCCGGTTAGTCGCTGCTTCACGGGCGATTTTAGGACAAGTCCCAGAGTAACAGTCTGTCCCCTCAAACCTCTGCCTGTTGCTGATCAGCCAGCTATCACATCCACCACCACCGACACCCTGCCACAAACACAACAAAAAATACTAACCCCCCTACACCTACACGCACAGCTACGATCGTTACAATGAGTCTAGCATCGAAAACACAGTCGCAGAAACTGTTTGAGAAGCTCAAGTCCAGCCGGTCCAACAAGGTGAGTGAATCGGAAGGGGGAAGGGGGAGGGGGGAGGATAGGGATGAGCTGGCTGGGCGTTACCTGCATTGGTGCCTCCCGTGCTCTTGTTTCTCCGGCGCGTCGTCTGTGATCTGTCTGGCTGACACTATCCTCGAACACAACCGCAGGTCTGCTTCGACTGCACTTCAAAGAACCCAACCTGGGCCTCCGTCCCGTTCGGCATCTACCTATGTCTCGACTGCAGCTCGCATCACCGAAACCTCGGTGTCCACATTTCGTTCGTTCGCTCTACCGTGCTTGACCGTAAGTTTGACACCACTGCCGCTCGACGCTACTGGGCTCATGTGGATGTACGACAGAGTGGCAATGGGACCAGCTTAGGATCATGAAGGTCGGTGGTAACGAGTCCGCCACCAAATATTTCCAGAGCCACGGCGGCTCTGCAGCCCTGGTATCGAAGGACATGACCGTCAAGTACAGCTCGAACGCGGCGACCAAGTACAAGGAGGAGCTTAAGCGGAGAGCTGTGGAGGACGCTAAGCAGTAACTCGCCCCCCCTTACTTCTGCATCCCACCGCCGGACTCCACTCACATGTGTTGGTTGTGTGCAGACATCCGGAAGAGGTCGTCGTCGACGGCGGCGAGGAAGTTGCCGCTACACCGGATAAGGACGAGGATTTCTTTTCGTCGTGGGATAAGCCCGCCATCAAGCGCCCGACACCCCCGCCGTCTCGTACCGCCACTCCTCCCGTCATCGGCAGAACCGCATCTCCGCTCAATCCGCAAGCCGCTGGCAATGGTGCCGCCGGGAACGGAATCGCACGATCGAAGTCGCCACTCACCGGTACCGCCACCCCTCCTGCCGCTCCTCGAACTACCACATCCTCCGCGCTGCGTACCAAGAGCGGTACCACCGGTCCCCGCAAGAGTGGTGTATTGGGCGCAAAGAAGGGTAAGCTCGGCGCAAAGAAGCTCGCCGGTGAAATCATCGATTTCGACGAGGCGGAGAAGAGGGCAAAGGAGGAAGCGGACCGTATTGCCAAGTTGGGCTATGACCCTGATGCCGAAGAGGACCAGAAGGACAAGGGAAAGGTTGTGGCGTCGACACCGACACCGGCATCGGCGGCCAAGGGACACCAGAGGAACAGCAGCGACACCGAGAGGTTGGGCCTGCAGATGAACAGATTGGGCTTCGGTCAGGTTGGCGGTGGTGCTGGGGCGGCTGCAAAGGCTGCGCCGAAAAAGATGGGTGGGTTCGGATCTGTTGGAGCTTCTGCTGCTCAAGGTATGCTCATCACATGCTAGCTCACATGATGTGTACGGATACTAACCATGACCTTCAGACGATGATGAATCCTTTGCCCGCGAAAAGTTCGGCCAGCAGAAGTCCATCTCTTCGGACGAGTTCTTTGGTCGCAACAACTTCGACCCACAGGCACAGTCCGAAGCTCGCACTCGTCTGCAGGGCTTCGACGGCGCCACTTCCATCTCGAGCAATCAATACTTCGGACGTCAAGAGGAGGAGGAGCCTGTCGATTTGACCGATATGAACAACCTCGAGGGCACCGCGAGGGAGCTCGCCCGTAGGCTTGCGGGCACTGCTGGCGAGGATCTGGAGAATATCACGATGGCGCTGGGACAGGGCGCCGACAAATTGCAGAATGCTCTGAAGCAGTAAGGACCCACAATTCCTCAGCAATGCTGGCTCGAATCTAACACGTGCACCAGGTACCTTCGATAAAGAGCTAGGTAGGTAGCCATGTGGGTAGGGCAAAGGTTGGCGATGTATGATCTGTTTTATCGCGTGCACTTTTCTTGAAGATCGGGATCGGGATCGGGATCGGGATCGGGATCGGGATCGGGATCGGGATCGGGATCGGGATAGGGATAGGGGGAGCGCAAAATGGTATTCCTTTTGTTCTATATTCTACATGTTCCTGCTCGCGTCTGGTTATGCAGTTTTCTTCTTCTTTTCCTGACTCCTGAGCCCTATATCGTGTGTTCTATATTTACCTCGTCCCCTACGTACTAGAATGATAATCTCTGTGCAATGTGCATTTTTTTCTTTTCTTTTCTTTTCTTCTTGTAAACGTACTTTTCATACGCCGTACTCTACGGGTTCAAGGTTGAAGAATCGAAAATGCACATAATCCCAAGTCGCAAGAAATTGACGGTTTTGGCGTTTGGGCCGGAGCTAGGTGCTGCGGCCGCGGAGCTGATGGCGTAACCTCGTAGGCGATTGGCGGCTGCGTATATCGTGGGGAGGGATGGGTAGGGAGGGGTGGGAGCTGGGAGGGAGGGGTGGGTGGAGCTTTGGAAATTGATAGCTTGTTTCAGCATTCATGCTCGTGTTTCGGCTGAAATAGGTATTTGGATGGATGGGTGGATGAATGGACGGCTATACTAGTTGTACCCTCTCTGTACTCCGTGGGGCAAATGGCAAATGTGCGCAGGCGCGGAGAATGGGAGGATATGCGAGCGAGAATTTGTGATCAGATTGCTGATAATCGGATAGGATGGGCTGGGATTGGATGAGCTGGGGAGGGACGGGCTTAATTCGGTTCGATAAAGTGCTGCTGCTGCAAGGCCGGGGTTCCGAGCCTCCTTCCGCTCCGAGTTTTTAAGTCACAGTGAGCACGGTGAGCCGGATACTATCGGCTCGGGCTTCTCCGGTGCTGACTGCTGCTGTCGCTGTAGGCTGTGGTTATACGGGCAAGATGCCTCGTGGACGATTACTGGCTGTGCTGTGGCCTGTGGGTTGGGAGGCGAGGGGGGGGGTGTGGCTAGAAGGTGAATTGGGCTGGGTGTCAACGTGGCTGCAGCGTGGTAGACGTGGACGGCAGGCTTCATGGACGGATATACTGGTCTTAGTGGTATGTCGGCAGGCTTGAGAGCACCGGCTGGTCGCTGGACCGTGTGGGATACATACAACACAGAGTCGTAGAGACGGGGAGCTATCATCGATTCATAGGCTATCAGCCTTATCTAGCAGTGTATAGTATGGCCGAATTACCTAGGCACCTCAACTTTCAAGGGCAAAGCTACAGCCTACAGGCAGTCTACCAACTGTGAGGCCACGGCTGGGGATAGTTATGTATCAGTCTGCTTTGCTCATTCACCGCAAGGGCAGCCGATTAGCCTACCGAATGATAGGTTTTATGAAGCAGGATCTAAGATAGAAGCGATTTGGAGAGGGTATGAAGTCTGTTCGAATAAGGAGACACTAATATCGGTTCGAATAACGAGATACTGATACTGGCTCAAGTAACGATATACGTGGGCACAATTTCAATTCCCAGCAAAACATTAACTAGATTATCTCCCACCAATCCACCACGTCTACGGTCTACCACCTGCTTCCGGAGCAGATCTAGATTCCAGAAAAGCCAAGCAACTGCGGCTGTAAATTGCGCAGATACTCGGTCGCTCCCCATCACCTACTCTGCTGTATGTACATTGGCAAAAACAAATAGACCTGCGAGGAACACCCTTCCCACTCCCTCATATTCCTCCCTGTCTAGTCTGGTCACCCCATGATGTCGACGGCGAACGATATCACTTCCTCTCCGCACACACCATCCTCCTGCTTGCAGTGTTCTGGAGTACATGGTCCGATCTGGACTGGATTGGACTACCTATGTAGAACATTGGCGGGCTACGAGCCTACGAATTACGATGACAGGTAAATATCTGGTACCTAACTAAGGTGCGTCACGACGAGCTCGAAAGGATACAAAGTCATTGAGGATGCAGTTATCTGCGATAAAATTGAAAGCAACAACACGATCTCATGCTCCCTGTCAAAGATTGCACCCATCTGTTCTTAGATGGCTTCGTCTCCTTTCAAGTAGACAAGAAAAATAACAACTCCTTCAGCTCTAAACCTCCTCCTCTTCGTCCTCACCGTCCTCACCGTCCTCCTCCTCCCTGACTTCCATAGCCTCCTACAGAATACTGCAGTCTTGGCTTAGTCCTTACTCCTCCGTCTCTCTCGTAGTTCTCATCCCCCCCCTCCTTGCCTTCCATCAGCCCCTTCTCCTCATTGCCTCACTTGCGGCTCTTGTAGCTCTTCTGTCCCTCCATCTCCTCCTCGGCGGCGGCGGCAGCATCGTTGTCGACGGTGTCAACGGTGTCAACGGCGTCGACGTCATCCTCGACCGCGAAGTTGGCGGCGATGGCCAGCTTGGAGGCTGGGGTGATAGTGGTGGCGGCCATGGTTTCCGTTAATGTGTGATTTGTGGTGGGTTCGAATGGTTTTTAGTTGCGACTTGTTGAGCGTTGGGAGGTTATTGGCCGATTGATGGTGGGGTAGGAATAAGGCGGCGGGGCAGGTGACATGGCAAGAGGGAGAGAGAGGCGGAAATGGGGGAGGTGGAAATGGGGGGCAGATGGAAATGGGGGAGGTGGAAATGGGGGAGGTGGAAATGGGGGAGGTAGAAATGGGGGGAGGAGGAATCCCACGGGAAAAACCCTAGGCGGTGCAGGGAACTTAATCGCCGTTGCGTCGTTATTGACGCATGTCGCTGCCGTCGAGGCATGTCGCTGCCTTCGAGGCATGTGATGTCACTCACTCATTGAGTGATTGTGAATTGCTGCCCGAGAGCCACAGAACCAGTGTTCTACATAGTCCGGACTATGCAGAACACTGCCTACTTATTTCTTGGGCCGTCCGACGGCACCAAGCTGTTGGGACAATACCGGTGATGATAGTGATGGATGTATCAAACATGACCGGACGGAGAGGTAATCGATGAGACAGAGCCGTTTGATGTAGGGAGCGATGTAGTGAGAGTGCAACGAGGGAGGACTTTGACTAGAGGAGTGTATTGAAACATAGAGTGAGATGTGCTTGTCGAAGAGTTATGACGGATGGAGCTGGCGGTGGAGCGAGCGATTAGACGTGGGGGTATATGCCACAGAGGGCTGACAGGGATGTGTGATTGTGACAGCGAAGAAGGAAGAGCGAGGAGGGAGAGGAGGAGGGAAAGGAGGAGGGAGAGGAGGAGGGAGCAGTGTTTGGCAATGTTACACGGTGTGTAGGCCGCGACATGATGGTGCGTGGATCAAACAGTCCGGACAATTCTATCCCCCGACCCCACCGTGTGAACCCCACTCTCCTCCCTCTTTCTACTTCCTTATACTCATCTCATAGCAAAACATCAACTTCTATTGTTAGTCCTCTCCAGCCATCCTTACGCTACAAAGCCGATTCCTCTCGACACCTCCCGCTTACCGCGTATGGTTGACAGTGTTTTTGATATCTATATTCTACGATCTTCTACTTCTACTCTCTTTCCATACAATCTCCGTGTGAGACGATAGCCACAGCGCCTCCCCACTTAACCCCAAAGGCCACCATGGGCCACATAAGTAAGTAAACCACCACCGATGGGCAATTGGGTCAAGCCAGATGCTAACGGCCTAGATTTGAGCGGGGCATCCTCGCAGCAATCAAGGAGTACTATGATTGCCAATGGACGGCTCGAAGACGAGATCATCAAGGGCCGAGCTGAGCAAGGCCGAGGGAGAGAAGACAATGCCCACTCTCCTGCTGTAAGAAGCTCTCCATCTCGCTCGAAGACGAGATTGTCCAAGGCCTTGTGGGCAAGGCCCAAGGGGAGAAGACAGTGCCCACTCTCCTTTTGCACAGTGCCGAGGGACTCAAGCTCTTCGAGGGCATCACATACCTCGATGAGTATTACCTCACCAACACCCAAGCTTCTCCCGCTTCCTTTATTTGCCGTTGTCGGCAACCAACTAAGTGAACCATCACGATGGAAGATTGAGTCAAGCCAGATGCTAACAGCGCCTAGATTCGAGCGAGGCATTCATCGCCGTAATCGTGGATCTCGACCGGGACGCATACAGCTCACGCAACGGAATCCCTGACTGCTACGACCTCTTCGACTTGCACGTCCACCGGCACCTTACCAGCCTCTCAGCGCGCACCATCTACGCCCTCTTCGAAGCCGTCTCCAGCCTATGCGGGGCCGGCCGAGAGCCGCGGGCTCTATACGGATGTATCGTAGAGATAATCAAGGGCCTTGTGGGCAAGGCCGAGGAGAGCAGACATTGCCCACCCTCCTGCTTTACGGTGCAGAGGGACTCAAGCTCTTCGAGGGCATTACATACCTCGAGGAGTACTACCTGACTAACACCTAAGTTGCTTCCGCCCACACCTGCCCCCAGCGAGCCCAGCGACACCACCAGCAGCTTCAACCTTCAACTTCTACTCTCTTTCCATACAATCTCCATGTGAGACACGATAGCTATAGCGCTTCACCACTTAACCCCAAAGGCCACCATGGGCCACATAAGTAAGTAAACCACCACGATGGACGAATGTGTCAAGCTAGATGCTAATAGCGCCTAGATTTGAGCGAGGCATCCTCGCTGCAATAAAGGAATATTTTATTTGCCGTTGTTGGCAACTAAGGTCGCCCTATGGGAGCAAGCTGCTCCCTCTTCCTTTATTTGCCGTTGTCGGCAACCAACCAAGTAAACCACCACGATGGACGATTCAGTCAAGCCAGATGCTATTAGCACGAGGTTGGGTTGTTTGCCGACGGTGCGACGGTGAAGGTCGTGGGAGAGGAGACGTTCAGGCTGTGTAAGGAGCATGCGGATGAGGTTATTCAGGTCTCGGCATCCTTGCAGCAATCAAGGAGTATCTACCCCCTGCCCCCGCCAGCGAGCCCAGCGACACCACCAGCAACTTCAATCTTCAACTTCTACTCTCTTTCCATACAATCTCCATGTGAGACACGATAGCCACAGCGCTTCACCACTTAACCCCAAAGGCCACCATGGGCCACATAAGTAAGTAAACCACCACCGATGGACGATTGAGTCAAGCTAGATGCTAACAGCGCCTAGATTCACGCGAGGCATCCTGGCGGCCATAAAGGAATATTTCATTTGCCGTTGTCGGCAACCAACCAAGTAAACGACGTGCCTGAGGATATTTCGTACTGGCTCGTCGTGAGAGAGGTCAGGGTCTTTGGACATGGTGCGGGTTTCCCGGAGGAAGACATTGCGGCCGGAAAAAAGGTTGTTGCTAGCAAGAAGGATACCGCTGGCAAACGCAAGAAGATTTCCAGGACCGGTCGCCCGGCGCGCAAGAAGGCCCGCCAGGCAGCTCGGGATAGCACGGATTCAGAGTCGGAGAGCGACTCCGGATCCGTGCTGTTGGGTGGTAAGAAGGCTTTGGCCATCAAGCTGTGCAAGGTGGAACCGGAGCTGGAAATGATGAAGAAGCAGTTCCAGAATGAATACAGAGTCAACCATGACTCTGTCGCCTCCGAGTAACGGAGGGTCAACATGGACGATCTACGGACGACCTTTGAGCACGGAGATGGGGAAGGAGGACGGCAGGCGGCCGGGTGGAGGATTTTCTTTGTCAGGTTCTGCTTTCTGCTTTGCGTACCTGTTTCTGTTTTTGCTTTTGGTTGTTGTATTTCCTTTCTTTATCGGCCATAGCCTTAGTGCTCCAAGCTGTATGAACAATAAATAAATAAATAAATAAATACGGACGACCTTTTTAAGGGACGGCGACACTGCAGGAACACAAGCACAACTTGTTAGCTGAGGACGACAAGCTTCGAGCAAAGCTCGACGTCGCGAGTTATCCCGTTTAACCCGATTACTTAGTCGGTTAGTTCTGAGCAGTGCAGTTGGTTTGGTGGATTCGGCTTATCATGTACTGACGTCAACTTTCAGGACTCGTTGTCAATTCCGGCCATGACATTTGAAGAAATGTGGGATAAGGTATGACACGCAATTGGTATACGCAATGTGGAATGAGACAGCTCGAGGATGGAAGACAGATGTGGTTCTGTAGACTGTATGGCACTGTATCTCTTGTTTTTGTTCTGTATAAACCGCCCATGTTGCCCGCTCTTTATAAATGTCAAGTAAAACAGTCGATTCAATCCCTTGTTCTACATCTCTCTCTCTCGAGTCCCTCTACCGCATCCTCTGCCCGTACGATCCGAAATACCGCACCACTTAAACGACAACATCGAAACGGAGAAGCATTTTCTCCTCTCTGAGTGCAAGCGGATCGTCACAGATGACCGTCATTCACTGCTCTCTGATACGATTGATACGGTCGAGGCGTTGGATTTCCGAAAAGGTATGTACTGGTACCGCAAATAAATACTACTGTTCTTCTATAGTATCCTGAGTTCACTTCTGCATGCCGTCCATATATCGTGTGATCACCATGTTGCCATTTATTAAGTTTGGCCAGTTCTAACTGGATGTTTAAACTGGCTCTGTACGCAGTTCGGTTCAGTGGTTCTAACAAATCTTCGAATCAGTTTGCACTGTTGGCAGGTCTGGGTTGTACATACTTCGATGTTCAATCACAATATAGGGTGTGATAATGAACATTGAACTCGAGTGTTCACAAGTCCAGGATGAGGATATCCCAGGTGATATCTATAGCCGATGCTCTTTCGGTACCTCACGCCATCAGCCTACCTGCACGACTCCAGTCGACGTATCTACGCCTTCCAACTCTCGTCACTCACCCACACGGTGGTCAAAGCACGCGATATCACTCGCCACCTACCACCGCTGCCACGATGATCGCACTGGCGCGGTCGTAAACCGTATTCCGTGCTCGCATACCCCCACAGAGCGTGCTCGCACCGTCAGCCATCACGTCGCCCGCCTCACGCCTATCCGTGCGTGCGCCGTGCGAGATCGGAGAGTGCCATGAGTCGTAGGCCATGACATGCCGTGGACGGTGGAATCGTGGACCGCCGCTTTAGGCAACGCAACGCAACGTAGATTGCGGTATTAACTACTAGCGATACGATCCTTTCTATCGTCGCCACTCCTGCTCCGCCTCTCACCCACGACCGTCGACGGGGCGCGCTAGCTCGCTCGCTCGCGGGACATGATGATACATCTCGTCCGTACTAGGTAATACACCCACTGCTTCAAGGCTCGAATCGGCAGCGGAAGCCTCAAGCTCGAGTTTGAGCTTGAGTTCGGCCGCTTCTGGACTCTGGATACTGTACCTCCCGTGTTTGGACTGCGGTGGCGGACGGCGGTGGTGGACGTTGACGGCGACGTCAGTGAGCATCTCGCACCGCTCGCCGGTAGGTAGGTAGGCTGGAAGGCTGGAAAGTGTGGCAGGCAGGTAGGCAGGCAAACCAGCGTATGGCGTGAGCGGAAACGAAAAAGCACCGGTATGCACAGGTACAGCCTGGGGCACACGCTGCGTAGTGGGGTTGTGTTGTGTCTTTTCCCCCGCGATGGTGTTCTCAGTTTTGTCGTGCAGGCTGCAGCCTGTGCTAGGGGTTGGTGCCTACCAGAAGGCTGCGACTCTGCGAGGTTGGCTGATATGCGGCCTTCTCGTATCGTATTCTTCCATGCAGGGTGGCAGATCGGATGGATCATGGACCCTTATGCTTCGCTGCGGACCCGCAGACCTGCTGTGTAGAAACACATCTTCTCTATGTATTTCCCAGCCGAGGGCTTCAACTTTCGAACTTCGAAGCGTCTGGCTGCCTGGCTGCCTGGCTGCCACTTCGGATCCGAGGGTGTTGTGCTTCTGCGCTGGACAGTGTATGTATACGGTAGACTCTAGAGCAGTAACATTGACGCTGGACCGGACCGGACACACACGCCGATAGGTACTGTAGAGTATGTAGCTGTAGCTGTAGCGACTCATATCTTTTATCGACGCCGTTAGATAATGATTCGCATACGTAGAGTACCCTGCGGGATCTTTTCTTTTCTTTTTCTTGTTTCGTCATCCTACGGCTGTCTATTACTGGTACTACTCTATGTTTCACGCTGCGCCCACATGACGCACGATGAGCGAACACCCGGACAGTGCACGGGGAATCACTCGGCATACTATCCCGTGGTGGTGTTGGAATAATAGAGTAAGATGTGGTGGTGAACAGTGTAGTATTGAAGTATGAGGCTGTAGCCTTTTGAGAACAGAAGATATATGGGAATAGGACTAAAAGCCCGTGCCTTCTACCATGACTAATCTAGACAGATATTGCAACAGATGGGTCGGTTGCGGTTCATGGAATCATGGGGAGTCACCCATCCGTGCAGGCCGTACGTGTGGAGGAGGATGATGACAGCGGGCGCGGACGCGGATACACATTCTAATTACAGCTGTGGCCCTGTGGGTCGAGGGATCCACCCAGGTACTCGTACATAAGCCCCTCATGCTGGAGCCTGGGATCAGGTATGTGTCTTATACGGTTTACTGGCTCAGACGAGGTGCTGTGTCCCCTCCCCACCACCACTGGCAGGCACGACGGTCATCTGATCTCAACTACGGAATTATAGTCACTGTACTACAGTCTACCTATAGATATTCTCCCGCCTCGGCCACCGAAGATGGTGGAATGCCATCAGCCATCCCCAATTGCAGCTTCATATTCGTCCGTATCGGGGCTTTCCCCTGATCGACCTCGAATCCGGCGAGTTGGCGACCCGCCAGCCAGTCATACTCATACTCATACTCATGCCGGCTGACAACTAGATGTCCAGAACGATCTCCCCAGATCCCACGTCCCAACACGATCACCCCCGGCACGCAGTGCCGGTGTCAGTATCGGTCAAACGAATCTCTCCGACGTCGCGTCGTTCAAACTTCAAACTTCACGCCAAACATAGCACAATCCGATTCTGCGAGTTTTCATTCGGCCTGGGGTGGGTTGCACGCACAAACACTGTAGGTACCTATATAGTAGTATTGCAATCTACCCATCGATCTCCCTGTCGGTGGGTATTCAAACTTCTTCGATCGGATTGAGCGACGAGAAAAGTTTCCGTAGAACCGGCCAAGCCCGCTGGCTGATACGGTGATACCGTGCTCGGCACCACACAGGCTGCGATCGACGGAGGTGAAGGTACCCAGGGTTAGTGAGCAGCGGACGTCATAGCAAGCAGTAGGTAGCCAGCCAGCCAACCAGTGCACCACCACTCACCCACCGCGTCACGGCCCTGGTGCGTTGTCACGACTCACAACGCAGCTCACTCCTACTCCTCCTCCGACGAAGTTTGACGTCGGGGACGCTGCAGGCCGTATGTACGGATCGGGCGCTGTGCGGTTCTCGCTTCCCCTGATCGCCAGCTGTTTAAACTTTGAGTTTCCCCTGCCGATCACCCCCCCAGTTCGTTTTTTTCCCAACCGGCGAGTCGGCGACCGTCATCGTGGTCGTGGTCGTGGTCGCGGTCGTGGCTTTGGCCGTGACTTGTCGACTGGGGACGGAAGGGGAAGGGGCGAGGTGGGGATCGGAGGTGAGTGACTGGTCGAGACTCGGATCGGCGGGAGACGTCAACTCGTCGACTTGACCGTAACTAGTTAGTAGCTGCTGTGGTTACGTCATAGCCACTCTTCCGCAAACCGGTTCGCGATCGACGTGGATGATGGATGATGATGAAACCTCTCCGACGCGCAGCGTCGCAGGCTGCAGCAAACAGATCCGCCAGCGGCCGTCGCCAACGCCGCAACGCCGCTGCGCTTCGAGGGTTCGTCGCCGCGTAGACACGCTCGCTGGAGAACGACGCCGGGGGTGAAGGGGTGATCGTCGCGCTTGTCGAAGTACCTACCTACCGTACTCGGTGTACGCTGCACTGCGCTACGCTCCTGCTGCTGCGTTTACCTTGACCACATTGACAACTGCCGACCGCTCCTTCGTCGCTCGGTGGATCGCTCGGTGGATCGCTCGGTGGATCGCTCGGTGGATCGCTCGGTGGAGGTCGCGACGTGGTATGTGTGTGGGGGAGGGGGAGGGGGAGGGGGCCCGCCAAGCATCGCTGCCTGCCGGCACAGACAGACACAGACGCAGTGCGAACGCTGAATCCTGACACGTCCCCGATGCGAATTGAAATGTTTATTCGTGCCTATGCTCATGCCGATGCTGATGCTCATGCGTGGAGTGCAGCAAAGCACAGCACAGCGCGCCGCATTCCTCGCTCCCTCCCCCGCTCCCTCCCGACGAGCCGGCGTGCGGCGGCGGCGGGCGCCAAGTGTACTGGTACTGTGTCGTCCCTTCCCCGGCGAAAAAACGGAAAGGACGACATGGGCGCCGAAGCGATTGCTGGGTCCGGGGTCTACATATGCAAGCTGCAGCTACGGCCCGATCGGTTTTACCGCGGGGGAGAGATAGCTGCCGTATCCAAGTGGAAACTCTGCATACGTGGTGTGCGGAAGGCGGGGATGGGTGCCTATCTGGACTCTGGAGTAGAGAGTGGAGTGGATAGTTACCGTACCTAGTAGCTACGGGTTGAACACATATCATAGGTTATGTAGGTTTGTAGATCAATGCATCTAGTCTAGCTGAAGAGAAAGAACGAAAGAGAAGAAGAAAACTTCTTCTGTTCCGGCCAATTACCTAGACAACGGAAGTAGGTCTCTACCTACACCTATGAGGATTCGAGTTCGCAAGTGGGGGCCGGCCAAGCTGGTGGATGCCACTGAAGGGAGGTGGGGAAACCACTGGCTGGGGATACGAACAAGTGGCCACGGACGAGCTCAGCTTCACTACCTAGAGTCTAGATACTCCCACTGCGCGTTTGCCAACGGCCGCTGTTCCCCCCGCCCCCCGCATCAAGAACACTATGTACGTACTCTACAGTAACTTACATACGTAAGCAGGTCCCGCCGTCCCGGCCTGCGTTCCGTCCGCTCGTTTATCCGTTCGCTCGTTGGTTCAAGCAAGCTTATCGATTGTTTTGCAGTACGTACCTACCCACTTCCACTTACTGCTTACCTACATATGCACCTATGCATATGATATGTGTACATACCACGGGTGGTTGAGGAACAGAATTTTTCATCCGTTTTTTCACGCGGGTGCAGCAGTGGTGGTGAAGGTTTTGCTTTGCTTTGCGTGGCGGACGAGGCATTTGATACCGGCTCGAACACCGGTACGTCACTCGGTGCAACGGTGCCGACTCCGGGGGCGGCCGGTCGGAAGTACGTCCGGCGATTTGGTTCGCTGGTTCGCTGGTGGTTCGCTGGTGGTTCGCTGGTCGGGCGGTGGAGATTAACGATCTTCGGGAAACAGGTAGGGATCTCGGAAGATGCCTTTGCAATGTACATCCATCGCCGCTGTTCGGGTGAGATGATGGATGGGGCAAACGGGGATGGCTACTATAGAGTACTCTACATACTCTACATGGTCATGAATGCATGGAGAAACCGCTGAAAGATAAAGATAACAAACAGGCCACTGGCGGACCACAGGCCGCGGACCACAGGGGGGAGGGGGAGGGGGAGGTTGTTATCACTATCACTATCACGACATTCATCACACATCACGGAGAACAGAACAAAGTCTGCAAGCCCTGTAGACTCCAGAGAGGATAAGCGCCCATCCCCCCCGTCCCAGCGAGTGCGATCCCATGTCGCGCACGCGCGCCGCGCATTGCCAGCAAACTCAATCTCACTCCCCACGCAAAGTCAACAGAGCTCGGTAAAACAGCATCCGATTTCTTCCCTCCCCCCCCCTTCCCCCCGTCCTTCCCCCACACCCCCGCGGCAACGGCAACGGCAATATGTAGCAGGCAGGCAGAATCCCATCCATCTACATACGCTGGCTGGCTGGCTGGCTGGCTGGCTGCAAGAACCCACGCATCGCAGCGCATCGCATCGCAGCGGGCGGAGCGGGCTGCGGAGCGGACCTCCACACTCCGCTCATTCATTATTTTCGCTGCAAGAGACGGTGCGCTACCTACCCGAACGACTCGGAATGCTCCTCGATATCGGGGCCAATCGCAACGGTCCCGTCAGCGGCGGCGGCGGCGATGGGTTTGGTAAGTCGTATGGAAAGGAGAGGAGGAAGATGAAAAAGAAGAGAAGAAGATGAAGAGCAGCAGCAGCAGCTACCCGCGGCCCGCACTACATACCTAGAGTAGAGTACTTGCCGGCATCTGAAGAGTGAAGAGTGAAGACTAGATCCAGACCCAGACCCAGACCGAGAATGTATAACGGCCTGCTGCATGGAGGTACTTGGGTAAGGTACCTGCTGGGGCCTGGGTAATAGGTATCGTCGTTCCCGTAGTCTGTAGAAGAGTCGAGTACCTACTATACCGTACCCTGTCAACACGACTCTCTAATGTCTATACCCAGTACCTACCTTATACCCGTACCGGCGCACCGATAGATACATATCGTGTATGGTAAGGAAAATCGAGCCACGGAGCCACGGAGTCGAGTCATCATTCTCATCCGACTTTTTTTCCTACCATTTTTCTCCGCGCAATGCGCTGGCCATCCATACATCCATCCATACACCAATCTAGAGTACCAATCCATCCATCGATCATCCCACCTCCCCCCAAAAGGGCCAAAGGCTCTTTCTCAATCGATCCGGATCCCAACCTACCGTACCGTACCGGTGGTCTACGTACGACGCAGGTCCGTATTGCGCAAATAACTAGGCGGAGGAGGAGGCTGAGGGAGATGGAGGGGGGAGACCCCAACGAATAATCACCGGACCTATCCCCATCCATTCATGATTCCCCGCAAAACACCGAACGTTCCGATAGTTTACCTAGTTAGTGGCTGGTGGGGTGAGCACTGAGGGGTGTGTGGAGAGTAAATACCTACTCGGGGTATCTATGTAGATACCAGGAGTGGTGGTGGTGATGGTGGTATGTACTCTACACCACGTTCTCGAAGCCGGCTCGAAACCCGCGCGCCGCGCCGTGAGGTGACGTGCGTCAGCTGGTCCATGATCTTCCAAGTTCCAGCTCGAGCGAGCGAGTTCATCCGCGAGTTCATCGATATCGAAGGATCCGCGTCTTCTAGAAGCCTGAACCCTTCAGTGAAGCCTCGGAGGCCGCCGAGGCGTCACGGGGACTTGGGGGCGGGGGAGTGTCCGAGTGTGTGTGGCTGTGAAAAGGCAAAGGTGGTGTGGTCACGGCTCACTGTGGTGTCGCGTCGCGGGGAGTCGGGGAGTCGGGGAGTCGTGGAGTCGGGGGCGGACGGAGGTGCCCAGCCGACGGATGGATGGATGGATGGATGGATGGATGGATGGATGGATGGATGGACGGATGGATGGGATATGGATGGACTCGTGGGGTAAAGACGAGCTGGTGACAGTGCTGGTGGTGGTGGTGGTGGTGGTGTAGGACGGGCAACCCGAGATGGTGGGACGAGATGGGACGAGCATGAGCGGATGATGCTTCGATGCTTCGATGCTTCGACCATCACATCTGTCGACTGTCGCTCATGCTCGAAACGGGGAGGCGAGGCTTGGATGTCGGATGGAAAACAAGATCTCTGAGCTAAATGTTTATGTTTCCCGCGCGCCTGCCTGTTTGGCTGCCTATCTGCCTCGTGGAGAAACCACCAGGCTGGGATGGGATGAGCCTGGATGGGATGGGGTGGGCTGGGGCGGGGATGGCCCATGGGGATGGGGGGAATTCGAAATCAAACCGGTGTTGGAGTAATAGAGTGCCGCATCTACTCCAGACTCCAGAGTCTATTACAGTACTACCCCACACTTTCCTTCAAACCCCCCATCGTAATGAAATAAGGTAGAGTGGAGTAGAGTGGAGAAATCGAACGCTGAACGTCCGATCCACGATCCAGGAACTTTCGCCCGTCCCCGTCCACGACCTCAACCTCACCTTTCCCCATCCACGACATATTGCGTACACGAATCCACCAGCACCATCCAGCCATGACCATCGTGAAAGTGAAGCTGCACTTGCGTGCTGGCATTCTGGCTGGACCGCGAACTGGGAATAGAGTAGAGTATTTACCGTAGAGTGGAGCCGCTCATGTCGGCAGAACCAGAACCAGAACACAAAAAATCTCACGATCATCCTCATCTCACACCGAAACCCTCAAACCGTCGGGTCGACAGTCGGATCGTCGGTTTTCCAGGAGCGCTGGGAGCGCTGGGAGGGCTGGAGATCGGGGAGCTCCTCCCAACGATCGTAAAAATTTTCAGCGGGGGGGGGGGGGGTGAGGTCGTACATAACTCTACTGGCTGCTGGCTTTGGCTTTGGCTTTGGCTTTGGCTTTGGCTTTGGCTTTGGCTTTGGCTTTGGCTCTGCCCGACCAGTAGTCTGTAGATGCACCATGGCACGGCAACCAGCAGTCGTACACGCCCACCGTACATACCGGCACTCTCGTTGCGGAATGATTCCCCTTCCACGCTCCCCTCCGCAGCTCCCCTCCGCAGCTTTGCAGCTCTGCTTCCCGGGAAAGAAAAAAAAAGGCATAAAAAGGACACCGTTAACCAACTATCTGCCGGAACGAGCATGGCATTGGTATGAACTAGAGTAGATACGTCAACATGCAGCCGGCTGGTCGATCAGGAAAAGAAAAGGCAAAAGAAAAAGAAAAAACAATTAAAAGGAAAAAACAAATGATGGGGTAAAAAAAATTGAGCGAGCGAGCGAGCTTGATTCAATCGGAGGCTATTTTTCTCCGTGCGTGTGTGTGTGTGAGGGGGAGGAGGAGGGTGTCGACTCGGTTGTCGGTCCAGTCGTTGTCGAAGTCGCGGATGTGGATGTGGTGGATGTGGAACATTTGTTGTTGTTGCGAAGCCGACCGGCCGACCAACCGGCCGGCTCGATTCGGGCTAACTGACTACGTCGTGGCCGTTGAGTGCTGCCAGCAGAGCCAGCCAGCGAGATGGACTCCTGACAAGCATCGACCGTCGACCGTGGAAACCAGTTCAGGCACCCACCAACACCAGCGTTTACCTAAGAAGTATGTATGCTTGGTGCGCCTGCGATGAACCACGAATCTGTTCGTTTTCATTCGGAAGTATGCACATGGTGACTTATGTATGTACACGGTTCGGAGTTAACTTTTAAGTTAGTTACCTCTGAAGGGGATAAACCCACCGCCGGTCCGAAGTTTCTACTCTATTCTAATGCGCTCGACGCTTTCTTTACATATTCGCCGGCGCCGGCTTTGTCATTCCGAGAAGATGACGGACTGACAGACGTACGGACGGATGGATGGGGGTTGTTCCTGCGGAATTCGGAAGTCAAAGTCATGGATGATGATGGTGATGATGGTGATGATGATGATGATGATGATGATGGTGATGATGATGATGAGAGCATTGGCGGGCGTGCGGGCCCATCATCGAAGCCCCCAGAAAGAATGCTCTGTCCTCTCCGCTCCTCTCCGCAGTTGGAGTAATACGCATAGGTACGCATACGCATACGCATGCTGTAGGCAGGTAAGCGGACCGCCGGCCGCCTAGGAACTCTACATATGTACTCCAAGTTACCGCAGTCCACCGTACTCTACCGTTCTCTAGTTGTGGTAGCCAGTCTCACCGCCGCTTTTGGTGGGTAGTTATCGGCATTGCCATCTTGTACCTACCCCCCGCGGCCTAGAGTAGGAGTGGGTGTTAGCCAGGTGGGAAAGCGGAAATAGGGAGAGCAGCTCAGCAGAGGAAAAAAACAACAACGAAGACGACGACGCTGGACTGGGCTGTGCCTTACGCCTATGTAGAGCTCGGTGCTCGGAGCTGCAGGCTGGGTATACATATTGGCTATACTGACTATGGTAGTACTACGGAGATCTCGAGAAAAAATCCCAGAATGTACATATTCGTGATTCATCGGCGCTGTCGGTAGATGGATTGCTGGGGAATACCGCATGTATGTATGTACCAGTACATACCGGTCATACTGTAATGCGCTGTGCGGCACAGTTCGTGGTAGGTATCCGCGACCTACCTGCCTTTGTACCTACCTGGGTACATGCCTTTATGGTCATCCCGGATCGGCAATAGCTACTCTGGTTACTCGATGGCGGGGCTGCAGTGTGCAGTTTTAGGTAAGAAGTTCTCCGGGGCTCGAGATCTTTGTATGGACGGACGGTAGGTATGCATAATTCTTGGACCCGTGGACGAGTTGATCGGTGGAATTATTCGCACACACGTGTGACGGGACTTGGCCTTTTGCTCTTTCATTCCATCGAGCAAGCCTCCGTGAGTCCGTGATACCGGTACCGGTATTTGTTGCATTTTCTTCTTCCCTCCGGAGTCCGAGGTAGGTAGGTAGCCTTCCACATTCCGTCTGGAAGAGTATGTACCTACTCGAGTACCTACCCAAGTACCTATGATATGTAGGTCGGTGAATATCTTATACGGTACATACACATGTAGAAAAGCTTCGTCCAGCAAAGCCGCACCATTAGTTATGTACATATCCGAACGGGTATGTACTAGGTGCCTAGCACTTGGCAACACGGCTGTTACTGATAGTTATGCACACGAGGCACCCGGCCTTGACTCTTGAGACCGTGAAGATCAACGACCGACCACGGGGGCGCTTTCCCGTTCCGGATTATCTAGTTAGTTGGGCTAGGTTGTCACTAACAACGGAAGGGCTGTGGAAGGGCTGTGAGGCTGGAAGGGCTGTGGAAGGGCTATGGAAGGCTTTTAGCGAGGCGAGGCGGTGGTGGGCGGGCTGAAAGGCTGGCGGAGGAAGGGAGCATGACTGGTTATGGGATACGCATCGAGGGAAGAAACAGAATGCTCATGTTCGACTAACTATCTTCAAGTTCTCCGTGGCGTTCAGTACTCTATCCAGCATCACGGAAACTCCGCCCTTATACTAGATAGTAGTAGACCGTGGCAGCAGAACAGAATATTGAAGAGTATCATGGTACTAGGTAGTAGGCACTAGTTAGTAGGTACGCCTCTCTGCTGCGCCTTCAAGTTTCAACTTTTAACTTCGGGAGGAGCCCTGGACTCCCGGAGTCCCGGACGGCGTGCGGCGTGCGCAGCTCGGAAGCTATATACTCAGCCTACATATTCGCGGCCCGCTAAAATCTCCTATCTAGCAGGCTATGTACTACTAGTATTATCGTATAGACAGAGTATGAACCCCTTGGGCCTTGGGTGAGCGGTGGCACAGTTTTCGCCCTGTTCGAGATATCGGATGTACGAGGTTTGGGTCCGGTTGCTTCAAGCTCGTACGAGTCTGCGAGGTTGCAAATAATCGATGGGTTCATTGGAGCCTCGAACTTGGGGCTAACTAGCCTATCCTCGAGGTAGGTATGCATAATGTGTGTGTGCGGCAATACCGATTATGTATTACCACACGGTACACAACTACCGTCGACCTCGAACTTGAACTTGACGGACGGGCCTTTGGCTTTGCATGTACGGTAGTTACAGAGCAGCAGCAGCAGCAGCTAAAGCCGTGCTGCCGTGGTCGTAGTCGTAATCGTGGAGAAGGTAAGGGTGATAATTTTATACCCAGGGGCCGGCTGTTGTGCGGAGCCGTGGAGCAGGCCTGAGGCATGATTAGAGTCATCCGGATCCCGCCCCATTGTCCGATCAAGTGTGCAGCGACGACGACCACCATCGAATGTCGGTCACATGATATGCTTTTTGGATATACCTATCGGTACTCCAGCTCTGAGCTCACGGTTTGAGCCTTCAAGATGGCGGAAGCTATGTACACTGTGCATATTCCCACGGACCATGGCCACGGTATGAGCTGAGCAGCATTAGGGTTGCTATCAAGCTACATACGTGAGCTGCAACCAAGAAGTTGGTTGGTACGGTAGACCAACACGTTCGAGGTCCTTGGAGACGAGAAGCGGGAACTTGGAGGCGAGCGGATCGGAGCTACCGTAAGTTCGTAACCTTAAACCGAGGAGTGGCCGATAAATCTTCAATCAACGCACAGACTCACTCTGGCCAGATTCGGGGAGTTGATGGTCAAAGTTGTGTACGTACTAGTAGTTGAAGGAAGCCACGGGAAGGGAGAATGGAATATGTCCAGCCGCGGGATTCACGTCACCGTACGATTGCGTATATAAAGGACGCCCCGGCGGAGAGACAATGAGACATGCACCGCCGAGGACTCAGGGCTGAGACAGTGGAATCGTGTGCCGTGGGGTTGTTGCTCTACGTACTCGATGCTTGAGTAGATCTAGAGCACTCAACTGAGTGAAATACCCGCATATCTAGAACATCCAGAGCATCTAGAACGTCCAGAACATCGACGAGAATACTATATAAATAGTGGCAACTGTGCAGTGTGCACGGTTTCCGGCGCGCATCTGTTCGTTTGGATCGTTTCTTTCCTTTTTGTATATAAGTATGCATACGTGTGTACAAAATCAACATCGGACTACCGTAGACGATTGCACACGCGAGCTCTCTCCGCCACGGCGCCACGGAGATCGGGGGCTCAGGGCTGATTAATGTCAGCGATTCGGCGACATGAGTAGAGCACCCAAGCAGGTATTCTGTGAGTGTGAGAATCATCCGGTCGATTCCAGATTCCCAACAGCGGAGGGTCAGCGTATTATAGTAGCTGGTCGAGTAGAGTTGAGTTCAGTTGAGTTGTCTTCCGTAATGCTGTGCTTCTATGAAGCTTTTATGATGCTCTGCTAGTATTCTACATACAGAGCTACTAGTAGAAGCACTATTCCTATCCATCCACATAGAAAACATAGATCCAATCGCGGAATTCCCATTCCCCAACAAGTCCCAATAAGCCCAGAGGCCTCGTGTTATCGAGCCAGTCGCTCAATCGAATCGAATCATTATCGACATGGGCCCACCATTCACCGTTCACCATTCACCATTCGCCGCTCACGGACGTACTTACGAAAGTTGAAACAAAATAAGGAATCAAACCAGTACGGGGCACGGACCAGTCGCTGGCCCCGCACCGTCCCGTTCTGGTTCAGCCGTCGTTCGTTCGTTCGTTCCTTACGGGCGCGCGGTCGCGCGCGCTCGCTTGCGCGTGGATCCGATTTCCACGGAAACAATCAAATCTGCGCGGACTACGATCTACCTAGCAGAACTAGTTGGTACCGAGAGGGACGGAGGCAAAACTCTAGGGATCTTTGGGGGATCTTTTGGGGATCTTTTGGCTCAAGGCTCGAGCACGGCCTACGGGACGTGCGACGTTCCGCGAAGGTTTTCTTGTTCTCGAGATCGGGCTTGGGAGTCGAAATTCAGGGCTGTCGCGACTCTCGCGCCAGGTAGTACCAGTAGGTCTAAGGTGGGTAGGATCAAGAGTCAAGAGTCACAAGGCCGGCGGCCGACTCCCGAGCCCCGCCCCGAGGCGAGCAGCTGGCTGCTGAAGCTTGAAACGCCGAGGGGGAAACGAAACAAATGCAGCCTGCACAGAGTTACTCCACTCTCAAGTCTACCTACCAGCCATGGGCGGGTGTGCGGTGTGTGGTGTGTGTGGACAAGGCGCTTGATTACCAGGAGGTGACACCCGGTACGACCATAAAGTCCCGCACGCAGGCAGGCAGGCAGCGATCGCACCAATCACCGGTTTCGAGGGCCTTGCAAGATGTTCGAGGTCGGTGGGAGGGATGGAGGGGCCAAGAAACAAAACAGAAAAACAAAAACAAAACTCTGCAGTGTGGTTGGTTGGAGGGCATGCAGAAACAATTGCATTCAAATGTTATATACAGATTGCCGGATGCGCCCTCCGCCAATATGGATATAGCTGTAGCCTCATGTAGGCGCTCGCTCAGCGCTGACCCATATATCGAGGGCTATATCTATCCATCGAGGTCTCTGAGCTCATAGTAGAGCTATTATGCTATAATATAGTCCGGTATAGTATAGTATAGTCGCGACTTTTGTTCTCGATTACACGATTCACGATTACACGCCTCGCACCGGAGTTCGACGTGCTTATGTAGATTACTTGGGCACTACCTACTACCTGTAGTGTGCGGCCGCGCGCTGGTTACCAAAGGTTTAAGGTCCGAAGGTCCGAAGCCAGGCGGTCATCTCGCGAAGCCCACCGTCGCTCGGCGGGGAGCCCGTCGTGCGGGGCGCTGGCCCGCTGACATGGACTGGTGACCGTGACGTTGCCGCCCGCCCGCCCGCCCGCTACTGCACCGGTAGTAGAGCATGTCGGGCGGCGGCGGAGAGGGAGGAAGCGCGGGTAGTTACTAGTGGTTCGATCCGCACATGCTGCCGTGTCCTACGCCGCTACGCCGCTGCGCGGAGACGTGGGGGGGCGGGGGGGGCGGGGGGGGAGTTCCTCGAGCGGGCTAGCTATCGACGATTCTCGAATCACGAGTGTGACGTCCAAGTGAAGTAACCATCTGCGCTTGAAGCAAGCAAGCAGAAAAAAGGCTCGGTGCATCAGTGTGATTTGTGCCTACGATGAGCTTGAACTTTTGTGCTGGTGGGGGGTTAGTTTTGGTTGCTATCACTACCGTATGTATTGACAGCTGGGTCGCTCTAACCGTGGGGGGGTATGGTCATGGTATGATGCTGATGATGGTCAGCCAATAATTTCCCGCCGGGCCAAAAATACTAGCGGGTGGTTGGCTGCGACGAGTGGTGCGTAAGAGCATGAGCCTTGATGATGCCGGGCAAGGATCGAAAACAATTGCTGGCCAAGGAAAAGAAACGCAGTTCCACGGCGGTCGGTTGGACAGATTCAACGGGGATCGTGGACGGGAGAATAATCTCTAGGTATGCAAAGTAGGTAATTGATTAATCCATGGCCATGGCACGAGAATGCGAAGGGTGGGACACCAATATCGGCATGACGAGGCCAGACAGAAAATGGACCGGGAAGACGGGAGGCGACGGAGGGGAAGGGGGGATCTGTGAGTGGAGACTGGAGCTGAACGGCAAAAGAGGCGTTCGTGGGCGAGCGAAAGCCGTGAGACGCGGACGGAGGCTCCGGCAAAGGCAGGCGGGCAGGCGTGTGCCCGTGTGGCAAGGGAGGAGGCTGAGGAGGTGATGGGGGGGCCGAAGGGCATGAGGGCATGAAGGAATGAAATTGGGTCGATTTGGGTAGCTTTGGTTGGGGGGGTGGGGGGAATGGCCATAATGCTCTCTCGCTAGCCTTGAGCCCACCGAAAGGCCAAATCGAAATGGATTTGGCCTGACCGACTAACTGGCGCACAATGCCTGGAGAGACCGCGGCGCCACCTGATTCGCTGACCCGATTCTGAATTTCTGCCTCCACGAAGGGGCAGGAGGCATCAGCGGCGGGGGTGAGAGGACACCCACCCAGCTGGAGAAGCGCTTCCCAGCACACACGGAGGCAGAGTAGAGTAAGTACAGTAGGTTACACTCGCAAACGTTCCCACTTAACCCTCAGCACTGCCTAACCCTTTCTCCATCCCCCCCTCAAAAAGGTCACCATCGCCGCTTCTTTAAGGACGCCCGAATGACCGCGCCGATTACAGAATATTAGAAAGAATCTCACCACCACTATCTTCATCATCAGCAGCAGCAGCAATACCATCATCACTATCGCTATCACCATCATCCAGCATCGCCACACTCCCCCTCCTAACCACGGCCACTCTATTCGAGCCACCACCATTCTATATTCTGCAACCTTTGATGTGGGATCCTTTACAACCGCTGCCTCCGAAACCATTACATACAGCCACGCAGAAAAACCCTGACATAATCCCCTCCCGACACTCCCGTCAGAATCGACTCTAATTCTCATGATCCCGCTCGGCATCACCGACCGCATCGATATCTCTGCTTTCTGCTTGCTTGTTATTCGTCTAGCCGTCTAGCTTCGTCCGTTCCCTTCGCTTCGCTTAAAAGTGGCTCGATTTCCACCTTCACACTGCTCTACTGCTCCTGCTACTGCTCCTACTCTTCAACGGGACATTCGCACATACGACCCTTACGACCCCATACATCGCAACTCTCCATACAGACCCTACACATCTCAAAGACACCTCACCACTGAACTCGCCCCTGGAAAACAAACAGCCAGTTGACATCTCGTTTGTTCAAGAAGTTGCCACTTGCTTCCGGAAACCACTTAATAATCCGTCATCCCCCCACCCCGTGAAGAATATCGCCTTTATAATCTCAATATATTCCCGACTTTCAACATTCAACACACCTTCACACACCCTACCACTACCACCACTATCACCATTACCACCACTACTACCACCACTACTACTACATACAACCCATCGCCTCCGAAACATACACCTACAATAGCTACCCACTACGACCATCACAAGCTGTTCTCCAACATACTTCGCCCGCAATGTTTTCGACGTATCTGCGACATGGTTCCGACGACGACAGCAGTAGCATGTCTTCGTCCACCTACGATAGCTCGCGTCAGAGCTCAGTGCCCGATTCTGTCCCCTCATTAGACCACCACTCGGCGGGAACGAGTTTCGATACCCCACAAGAGTCGGAATTGTTCGACTCGGCCTCGGGTGCCTCGTTGAACACGTACTGCACCACCGTTGCTTCCATCAACGAGGACGACGACGATATCTACAACTGCTACGAAGACTACACAGACGAGCCTTCCCGGAGTAAAGCCGTTCCGGCAACACCGCAAGAGTTCGCCGAACACTTTCCATCCACCAGACGGCTCATCATCAAGCACGACGACTCGACGCTCGACGGAAACATGAACGTGCGCGTCGATTGCGACGCGCCCACGAGACGCGAGCACGACCGACGCATCACACTCTTCCACCTTCGCATGTACGACCTCAGGGATCGCGACTTTTCTGTCCGTCGGTACGGACGGGATTGTGGACGTGAGGTGGCTCACGTGAAGCGGAAGGTCGCCAAGACGGTCCTCCAGCGACCGGTCCTCCGCAAGGCTCTCAGCAGTTTCCGCAGCAAATCCTCGGCCGACGAGCTGAGAAAGGTTGAGCGCGTGGATAGTGGCTACGGATCCAATCCCGACGACGAGGAGGAGCCCGATGTCAGCCCCACTACACCTGGTGGCACAAAACCGACCAACACTTGCACGCTCGAGTTCTCAAACTACGCACACGTGGACCTGACCCGCCGCGGCGCCAAGTCCGGCAAGAAGTACGATTTTGAGTACTGGGGAAAGAGTTATTCTTGGCGGAGGCGCATCGCTGCTGGGATGTCCGAGGAGGTGTCTTATGAGCTCCACAACAATGCCACAAACAACGTTGTCGCTTACATCCGACCCGACATTCTGACTCCCGCGATGGTCGCGATCGAGGAGGCAAAGGGCGGATTCGTACCGCCGTGTTCCTTGTACTTTAACGACTCAAACACCGATCCCATCAACAGTAACACAGCAGATGTTGCAGAGTGAGTAACACCTTATCCTGCCGTACCTAGTAAACTCTACTGACACAGCCCCGCAGTGTCATCATCACCACTGGACTAGTCGCCTTGGTGGACGATTGCATCAAGCGCAAGTACCACAAGAAGAAGTCGGTCCGACTGGTATTGCCCACGACGGGCAAGACACCACTGAAGATGAACATGGAGTACGTGGGGCCGAAGCGGTTCATCGACGAGATGTTCCACCGCCGACCAATCATCAGCCGGAGTCAGTCGGTACAATTCGGGCGCACTGCGCCGCCGACGTCGCCGACACCGCCACGCAGGATGTTCACGAGTTGATTTCGTCCGCGCGTCATCCTCTTGTGCTCTTCCTTTTTTGCTTGCCACATTACCACATTACCCCACCACCTAAACGACAGCACATGCGGCGACATCACATCGTATCGTATCGCATGGACTCTGTTGCGGTTGGCGGAAACCCACGCTTTGCAGTTGCGTTTCCGTCGAAGCCGGTATATATATATCTGTATTTGTGCATATCTTCATCTTTTTCTTTTCATCTTTTTCTTCTTTTCATCTTTTTCTTCTTTTCATCTTCTTTTCTTCTTCTCCTTCTCCTCCTCCTCTTAGTACGTGATGCACTACCGTCATCACCTGAGTTCCGGCGTCTTCATCTTTGCTTTTACATACCTACGCGGGGGATTTATCGCGCACTTCTTCCGGGCAAGAGGTTACGCTTTTTGGGTTGTTCCTGTGCTTTCTTTCTTTCTTCCTTTGCTTTTTTGTTGGTTTTTTTTATGGGGTCTGTTTTTTTCTCGGAGAACTACGATATAGGGAAATCCCGCGATGGGGGTGGACGGAGTGGTATTTACGGAGCAGAGCGGGGCGCGGCGGCGGCAGCGGCGCTGGATTGGTTTATTGGGCTCGGTTTAAGTTTGGCCTTTGGGGATGGGAACAGTGGTTGGTGGAAATACAGGACAGGACAGGACAGCAGAGGAGGGGAGGGGTGGCTATGGCAGTGGTTGTAACTTAGGGTGGGACTGTGATGGGATTGTGACGGTTGTGATGGTTTTTCTTTGGTTTTTCCTGCTTGTTCTTGTGACGGATTATGGCACTGGATGGGGCTCTGTGTATGGACGGTGGATGGATACTGGATGTATGGATGGAATGGTCAATGATGGAATGTACTCTACAGGTCTCGTAATACCTCAATTTTTTATCACTCACTCGCGCACGGGACGTCGTTTCGCCATGCTATGCCATGCCATGCTCTGGAGTCTGTCGCGACTCTCCTGACGTCGAACGTCGAATACTGGGCTATGCTTGGGTACTTGGGTACATACCCACTTTCTTTCTTTTCTTCTTGCTTTCTTCTTGCTTTCTTCTTCGTTCCTTCCCCCTCGCCACATATTGGCCCGTATATTGGCCGCGCAGTGCAGCGCCGCGCAGTTCAGTGGCTGCAGTACAGTACAGTGGGTGGGTGTTTTATCATTTATCTTGTACGCCGCTCGAATCGAAGATCGAAAATCGAACAATATTTCATCTGCGACCGGCGACTGACTGGCGACTGGTGACGGAGATCATGTTCTGTTCCGGACCGCCGCCGCCGCCGTTCTCCCATGAACGGCCACGATGGCCATGACCGGCGACGAACGGTTACGAGCTGCCACGGACGGCCACGAGAAGAAAGTACCGTGGCCGTGGTTTCCGCGGGACTGCAGGACTCTGCGGATAGGACTGCAGCGGACAGGACAGTAAAACCTAGGCCGTGATCGCGACCGTGGATGATGTCTATACTGTAGGTAGTATAGGTACATAGGCCCATACGAGCGATACCTGAGCGACCGATAGACCGATAGACCGACTGAGCGACTGAGCGACTGAGCGACCGAACGGCGAGGACCATAGACCGGCGACAAATGACCGAACGGCGAGGACGACAGACCGGCGAGGACGGCGGGCGGATGACCGAACGGCGAAGACCGTAGACCACAGACCACAGACTACAGGCCGAACGGCGAGGACCATGGTCCATAACTAGACCATAGACCACAGACAGACGACAGACACATACAGCGCCACCCCACGGCGGACGCTGGTTCGTCCGAACCCACCGGTTCTCACTGCTCACCGCCGACTGGATGTATATAGTACTAGTATCCTGTTTCCTGTGCCGTATCTTGTGTCTTGTACCGTATCTTGTAGAGTATCATGTACGGTAGCTATCCTGGACAGAAGTAGAGTACATAGAGTAGAGTACTCTACCAAGAGTACCTATCTAGAGTATCTACTGGACAGAAGCAGAGTATCTAGAGCACCCCCCTACCTCCTCACCGTACTCTACTTAGAAGTTAGAGTACGGCGCGAGAATTATTATTTTTCTCACTGTGCGGGCGGGGGGCGGTGGGGGGTGATCGTCTCACGGTCTCAAGCGGGGGTTGCCGTCTCAAACTCCCAGACTTTTCAAATTCCCAGACTTCTCAAATTCCCAGGCTCGCAAGCGGGGGTCTTCGTCTCAGTCGTCTCGGCGGGCGGGGAGGGGCACGCAGTGCGTACCGACGATCCGTGCTTCTTACTTTCTGCCTCTGCCTGTGCCTCTGCCTCTGCTTGTGATTGTGATTGTTTTTTTCTTCATCACGCAGTATTCAGACTCGCTCGCGCAGTTTCATTCCGGGCTGGAGGACTCGCTGTGTCGCGGTGTGGACTCGCTCACTCCTCACCCCCAAGTTCCAGGCCGATTGCGGACTCGACTGCATGAGCGAGCGAGCGAGCGAGTTCTTTGTTTTTCTTTCCTGCGTGTCGCTCACTCGCGCAACGAGACGCAACGCACAGCATGGTAGGTGAATGGTGGGTATGGTAGGTCGTATGGTAGGTCGTATGCAAAAACAAACCCTGCTGCGTCGATGCTGCGTTGTTGTTCTACTAGGAACTGTACGGACCACGGACCACGGACCACGGTAGGTGGATACCGTGCTCGACTGGGAGTCGAGAGCTATCTGGCGACTGCTACATACACAGATGGGTGTTGGGGTGTTGGTTGTTTCGCTGGCGAGGAATGTGGAATGTGAAATGGAATGTGAAATGGAATGTGATTGTGGAATCATGCTTCTGGCTGCTGGCTGGGGTTGGAGGGGGGGGGGGGGGGGGGGGGGGGAGGGGGAGGGGGTGCGACGGGGGAGGGCCGAGGGGGAAGGGGGAGGGGAGACGGGGGGTGCCGACTGACTTGACTTCCCCGCTCTCCTGGTCTCGCCAACTCATGCACGCAGCACGCAGCACGCTCACTCCATGCTACATAGGTGCGGGGTGACCGGTCGTGAAGGAGGGGTGCACTGTGCACTCCTACATAGGAGCGGCTGGATATTTGCAGATTCACAACTCGCAGCTCGTGGGAGAGGGAGAGTCGAGACGGGACCGAACACGGGAGGGGAGGGGTAACCATGGTGTACATATCAGCTATGTAGTAAGCTAAGCAGCCCTACCGGTGAACCGTGACGATCCGGAAGCTGGAGCGGATAAAGATAGATCATAGTTAGAGGTTACATAGAAGTTAGAACTGGCTGGAGACGGGGTCGCGGTCGCGGGGTGGCTTAGGTATGAGGGGTGGCTTACTCGTAACTCGGATGTGGCTGGGGAGTTTGAGTTTGGCTTTGAGTTTGGCTTTGAGCGTGCCAGACTTGTAGTGCGGTGTGAAGGAGTCAAGTATATCTGGAGTTTCGGGACTGGGCTGCGCTGGGAAAAGTTACCGCCCAGCCGCTCAGCACAACACACCGCAGTACAGCGCATTGGTGAGGCCTCAGGCGCAGGCGGGCGTACGTGAAGTACTGAGGCGGCTAGTTACTATACATACGCTCGGGTGCGGGTGCGGTGTGGGGGCGTGGCCTGGCCGAGCTTTCAGCGCCTCAGGCACCTTCGTCCTAGGCATGTACATGGTTACCGGGCGTAGATAGTCAGGGCCCAGGCAGCACTGCAGCGAATGTGCCGGCTGGTGGACTAACTAAGCTCTGGACGATGGACGATGGACGGCAGACGATGGACGGTGGACAATGGACAAGAACATGGCAACAAACAACCGTCGAGAATAGTTAAGAATATCTGAATAAGTCGTTGCCGCGTCGTGATGCGAACTGTACAGCTGTACAATACAGCTTTACCGATATACCCAGTACAGATGATACTTCTGACGCTGAATCCTGATTGCAACCGTCCGCAGTCACCAGTGCGCACGTTGGCTGGAGCCGAGGGTGAGATTTCAGCCCTACGGCCATGTTGCGAGCTTACGAGCTTACGATACAGCTACAGCTACCGGTATGTTTATTGTTGCTATGTATGATACGTACATGGATTTCAGAATACTTTTGCATTCCGGTGCGGCGGTGCCTGGTAGGCAGGTATCCCCGCTGTCACCACTCACCTCCAGGCTTCCGGTCTGGAGGTGGAAGGGTGGAGGCTGGAGGCTGGAAGCTGGTCTGGCGTCACTTCTAAATCTACACTTCTACTGTTCTACACATGTATGATATGTACTCCGGAGGCTGGAGCCCGAGTTGGGTCTCTTCAAGCCTCAATCCTCAAGCCCGAAGGTCTAGAAGTGGCGCAAGAGTATGCACTATTACATATAGACGGGCCTGCTACAGCCTGCTCAGAGCTCTATGTAGGAGACTAGGGACGAGGAAAGATGTGTTTCTGAATCGTCCCTCCAATGCCCGCATAAACACGTTCCAAATTCCCCTCAGTCCGCAAGGCTGGAGTCTGAAGTCTGGACACTGGAGCGACCGGCCGGGATGCGTCGAGACTCGACAGTTGTCCTTCCTGCACCGAAGCTTCCATCTCGCCTTGCGGGGGAAAGCTGCCCTATCCACGTCTCGTCTGGGGCGCAAGGCTGGCACCCATGCATACTTAGGTAGAGTAGGTACACGACCGTGGCATAACGGCGATACGGAACGCAGGAATGCAGGAATGCAGGAATATAGCCTGCAGCCTGTAGCAGCCGTGGGAGCCTGCGAGCCTGGGGGGTGCGAGGGTGCGTGTGATCCACTCATCCGGCGCATGCATAATGATGGGGCAAAGCTGCAAGATGATAGATCTGCTCTTTAAGCTTTAAGCCTTTAACTGGGACACGCGGCAGCCACAGTGCCACTGTCTGCCACGCGACGACGTGAGGCGTGGCTGCGTGGCTGGATGGCTGATGGCTGCGTGGCTGGATGGCTGATGGCTGCGTGGCTGGATGGCTGATGGCTGCGTGGCTGGATGGCTGATGGCTGCGTGGCTGGATGGCTGATGGCTGCGTGGCTGGATGGCTGATGGCTGCGTGGCTGGATGGCTGATGGCTGCGTGGCTGGATGGCTGATGGCTGCGTGGCTGGATGGCTGATGGCTGCGTGGCTATATACTCAAAAGGCGAAGCCTGACTGAGCCTATGTATGACATATGTAGAGTACCCACGTCAGTACTGAGGTCGGCCTCAAGGCTCACCCCGCGCCTTGCTATAACACTGCGGTTTATTGTACACATAGTGCACACGGCTGGGCGTCGGAGTCGGGGCCGTTGGCTAGTAGCTACCGGTACTGACGTAAGAACAGCAAAGACACACTACACTCCCAAGGTTGCAAGGCTGCAAGGCGGGAAAGGGCACATCGAGACTTGGAGTCCGGACGTGCGAGTCCAGTGCCCTACATATCGTCGTCCTGACTCTTGACTCCTGACACCGCACTCCAGTCTAGTCTCGGCGGAGGCGGAGGTGGAGGCAGACACGGGAAACCTTTCGTCCCGCCGCCCGGTGCAGCGGTGCAGCCGGTGCTCAACAAACTGCGCAGGTGCCAGACCTCAGGGGGGTGTGTCTGATGTCAGTAGCTGATTGTGTTCAACAGAGGTCGTCCAAGCATACAAGCATAGGTAGACTGCAGAGTAGGTAGCTGCGCCATCCGCGCGGCGCGGGGAGGATTGAAACTTGAAAATTGTCTTCAAGATTGATTCATGATTCATGATCCTCGACTGCGCAAGGTCGATCAACCCCCGAGTCTCAACTCGCAAGGTCCAGGTCAAGGATCCCACCGAAGCACGAAACACTGTAGGTAGACTGTGGCTGTGCCGCTGTGAAATGAGGCTGCACTGCTGCACTACCATAGTCTACAACTACGGGCGTCGGGCGTCGGGAGGAATCCACTATCCATGTTGAGTGAACAGTGAACACGGCAGTTGCCAGTTGCACTGCATTACACGAAGTTGTATTCCGTCACGGTGTCACGGCGTCACCGTGTAGAGTATGCACGCGAATCGAGGTGAGAAACAGACGGCGGTACCAGTAGTAGCAGCTGGGAGCCTTGTGCGCACGCAGGCAGACAGGATATACAATCGTGTGACGAGCAGAGTAGCATTGAAGAGACGAACAGTAGCACGAACGAGATCCCCGAAACCGACGAATGCGCCGGATCGGGGAATGAATGGCAGCCCGACAGCCTCGCCGCGGGAGTCGGGACAGTATGGCGGGTGATATCCTGTGACGATGTGCGGGGCATTCACTCATCGTGCGTCATGTGGGCGCAGCGTGAAACATAGAGTACGTCGTGCCAGTAGTAGACAGCCGTAGGATGACGAAACAAGAAAAAGAAAAGAAAGAAAAAAGAAGGAAAGAAAAAAGAAGGAAAGAAAATGATCCTGCAGGTTAGGTATGCGAATCATTATCCAACGGCGTCGATATGAATAATGAGTCGCTACAGCTACAGCTACAGCTACATACGGACCAGTATCGGCGTGTGTATCCGGTCCGGTCCAGCGTCAATGCTAAATACTAGAGTATACATACACGGTCCAGCGCAGAAGCACAACACCCTCGGATCCGAAGTGGCAGCCAGCCAGCTATGGTAGGCAGCCAGACGCTTTGAAGTTCTAAGTTCGAAACCCCCGGCTGGGAAAAAGAGAAGATGTGTTTCTAGTACCTATCTACACCGCAGATCCGCGGGTCCGCAGCGAAGCATAAGGGTTTATCCGATCTGCCTGAGCATCCACCCTGCATGGAAGAATAAGATCTCTCGGTGCAGCAACTCTGCGACTCTGCGAGAAGGCCGCCTATCAGCCAGGCAGCCAGGCTCGCAGCCTTCTGCCAGGCGCCAACCCCCAGCACAGCAGAACTGAGAACACCATCGGTCTATTGCGGGAAAAAGACACAACACAACCCCACTACGTTTCCGCACACACCACACGCTGGGTTTCCTACCTGCCTGCCTGCCATACTTCCCAGCCAGCCAGCCAGCCAGCATGTCTACCTATCGACGAGCGGACCGCGGTGCCAGATACCTACTGACGTCGCCGTCCGCCACCGCAGTCCAAACACGGGAGGTGCGGTATCCAGAGTCCAGAAGCGGCCGAACTCGAGCTCGAACCGAGGCTTTCGCGACCGCCTCGAGCCTTGCGGCAGTGGGTAATAGGTATATTACCTAGTACGGACGAGACGCTTCGGTGGAACAGCCAGCCAGCTAATGCGTGCATTGCGCGCCCCGTCGTGGGCGAGGGGCGGAGTAGGAGGGGCGACGACGGAAAGGCTTGTACCGGCGGTACCGCTACTACCGTAGTCTGCGTTGCGTTGCGCTGCGCTGCGTTGCCTAAAGCGGCGGTCCACGATTCCACGGCAAGTCATGGACTCATGGCCCATGACTCATGGTGCTCTCCAATCTCGCACGGCGCACGCACAGCTAGGCGGCAGGCGGGAGGCGTGCTGGTGCTCACGGTGCGAGCACGCTCTGTAGGGGTGTGCGAGCACGAAATACGCACGAACACGCCAGTGCGATCATCGTGAATTCGTGGTGGCGGCGACGAGTGGCGAGTGGTGGGTGATATCGTGTGCTTTGACCACCGTGTAGGCGTCGATAATGTAGCCTGTACTATGTAGGCGCGTTGGATGCAGGTCAACTAGCAACAAACACGCAGTGGAGTAGGAGCGGTAACTTGCACGCCAGACTCCTGTGCCGCCACCGCGTGGCTATGCTCAGTGCGGGACCCACTGAGCCTGGGCCCTGGACAGACTACAGTTGTGAAGCTTGAACGGTGGACCGTGATCTCGCCCACCGAAACTTTAAACAGTGGCTCGTGAGGAAAATTAGGACCCTCTCACTGGACAGGAGTAGTGGGAGGAGGAGGAGGAGGACTCATGGGTCTCGAACCATAATCCGGCGTGTGGGGCTCCTGGCCATCAGGGACCGTTGGACCGTTGCGTTCCGGGAGGATGGGGATGGGGATGAACGAGTGGGACGGACCCGTGTCTATTATGTATTGTATGCAAGTTCGTATCTCATGGATCATGCGTGGCTGCCTCGAACATACCGATTCTACTACACCCCGGGTCCAGGCTCTCCCTGTTCCTCGCCCGTACTCAATAGCCATCCTCACAGAATCACAGAATACAGACAGGGACGGCAGGTCGAGGCTGTGCTGTTCTCAGTGTCCAGGCTGGTCGATCTATCGTCATAGTATATATCTGAGTAGAGTAGAGAATTCACCCCTCTTCGGCGTCGTTGTTTGGTTGTTTATTGATTCCGTGCAGCCTACTGTATCTGGACTATGGTCATACCTATATACACTCAGAAACTCTTCCTAATCCTGTCTGCAGCCCCTGTAGGTAATGGGCTCGGTGCAGCAACTTTGTCTTGTTTGTTTTTATTCGATCATACGGTCATACGATCATACTCGCATCTAGTCCGTCTAGACTACAGCGGCACTGTCGTTGGTCATCCTCTTCGGTGTCTCCTCTCCTTTACAGACGCTACTCGATAACTACCATAAGGTCAAACGAACGAGAGTTAATGAGCATTGCAGTTGAGTCGGAGCTCTTGCTTTGCGACACACGGATAGTGTCGGTGGTGCTGTACATTTCTATCTGGCGAGATTCAACGATATCCCACTGTTCCTTTCCTGCCGGTGAAACCAACGTAATCGATCAAGCATAGGTACTCCTTCGTGATGGCAGGCAGGTGGACACTCTGGTTTGATACTCAAGAGCAACATCAACTCTACCAGATCGATTCACGAGTATTCGGACAGCCACCCTACTACCAAGTACCACCCAGACTGTCCGAATAGCCATGCAATCATCCAGGTAGTAAATGTGATTTCAGTCCGTCAACTACCCGATTACAGACGGGTATAGAACCTAGGAAACAATCCCTCTGTTCCCCGATTCCCCGATTCCCTCCCGCCATTCTCATCCATTCCCCCTACATCTCCACAACCTCCACAACCTCTCTTCCCCGCCCGATAACCACCTTCAAGTGCCTTCCCCTCTCCTTAAACGCGCCCTGCCTCAGTGCGGACACGTAGAGTTCATACGCGGGCATATCTATCTCCGTCAGCACATTCCCGCCCGGTTTAGGGAAGGGAGATGATACGCACATCCATCCACAAAGGCCACCACCTGCTCGTCGGTCATACCGCGCCCTGTCGCCGTGTGCAAGGCATGTTCCTGCTGCAGCCGCCACGCGTAGACGTAGTCGATATATTCGGCGTCGATGTGGATGAGGACATCGAGTTGGCTTTTTAAGTTCCCACACTGTCAGCGCGAAGTTGGCGTGGAAGGAGAGGGAGGGAAAGTAGTACTCGGTGATTTCATCGTATCCCTCTAGGGCCGTGTTCATAGCCACCAGGTTCTCGAGTAGATGTTTCCCGACGACTCCCGTACCACGCGTGTGTCTTGCCTCGAGCTCGTCTGGGGCGAGCGCACGGAAGCCGACGCACCAGCCCTCGAATAGCACCACGTCGACGCGGCCCGGCACGTTTTCGCCGGCCTCAGCACGGTCTCCGGCACCCGAGAATGCACTCTTGTCGTAGACCGGCAGCGTCACCTCCGAGCCGTTCTTCAGCGCCGAGAAGACACTGCGCGCGAGGGGAAGGTCGTGGGTTCCGGGCACGCCCCGGTGCTGTAGCAGCGGGTTGTGGGGATTCGAGGCGGCAAGCGCGGTTTGCTGCGCATTGGTGAGGTAGAGGTCGTCGATGCTGAGGACGGCGACGGAGAGCGAGTAAGGTGCGCTGCGGAGGACGGAGGCTAGGGTCGTCACTACGGTTGTTTTACCGCTGCCTTGGGGGCCCGAGAGTGCGATGAATAGCGGGGTGGTGCGCTCGGGGAGGGAGGTGAGATGTGGCCGGAGGAAGGCAAGAATGTGCGTGAGCAGCGGTGACGATGTCGGCGGGGGCATTGTTGTCATGGTGGGGAGCTTCGATGCCGGGGTTGGGACTGTGGGCGGAACATGCTGAATTGTCTCTATATGTGTCTACGGAGATGTTGTGGTGGGGGAAGTGGGGTGCAGCACAGGACGCCAAATGGAAGCGGATCTGGGATTACCGAGTCGCACGCCCGAAAGGTGGGGTGGAAACAAGCGATCCAAAAGCCACCCGATTACCGAGAAACCCATAGTGAAATCCCATCCCGTGCTCGCATCCGAAGAGCTTCACCCCCACACAGTCCACGGAGTCCAGGCTCACATCCAAAGTGTTTCACCCCACACGCAGTCCAGTGCTCATATCCAAAGTGCTTCACCCCCACCCAGTCCAGTACTCACATCTAAAGTTCTTCACCCCACACGCGGTCCAGTGCTCACATCTGAAGAGCTTCATCCCACACCCAGTCCAGTGCTGCCTCCTCGGCCTCCCCCACCAGTGGCCGAACACTGCGATCCCAGCTGGCGAACGACTTCTGCACGCTTTCGGCCTCGGCAGACCAATGATACCTGTCAATCGCGTCGCACATTAGCCCTGCACCATCATCCAGCGGGGACGGAGAAAAAAATCTAACCCATCCAGCGTCGTTTCCGGCCTCGCATCGGTCAACGCGAACGCATCGACGAACGCCTTCCTTCGATGTTTCCACCTCCTCGTCTCCTCATGCATCCATGCCCGCAACTTGTCACTCCTATCTCGTCCGTGGCCTCCCTTCTCGAAGCACGTAACGGGTTGCACCACGCTCGTCGTTGCCCTCACGACCACACGCGTCTCGTTCCCCCATAGCGCATCCACCTCATCAAAGAACCTCCGATACTCCTTTTTCATCTCCCACTCATCGTTCCCCGGCATCCACAGGCCAATATTATACACCACGAGGCCTGGTGGCGTCTTCGTCCTCCGTATCTCTTGCAGAGCGGATCCACTCAGCCCTTCCGCGCCGAGGAACACGAACGAAACATCCACCCTCCGCCCGGTCGAGGGATTGTGCCATGCGCCATACCGATTACCATGCCTGCCTCCGTCGCCCTCACACCCGTGACCGAATAGCTGCGGCCACACGATGGAGCACACATAGCCCCTCGTCACCGAGTCGCCTAGGAACAGCACGCTCTCCACCCCGAGCTCACCGAGCGCCTCCTTCACCGTCCGATGCGGAATCTTGCAGTTATGCGGAACATAGACATACCCTCCGCTCTCCGTCCACCCGTACATCTCCTTTACCTCGCCCTTCACCGCATCGGCCCTTACCCACCTCGCATCGACCGCCTGCGTAAACCCATCACACGCCCTATACCCGTCCACCCGTCCCCTCCCGACGACCAACAACCTCGCTGGCGCACCCCTCGCCATCCGCCTGTACGCATGCAACTCGTCCTTCACGCCCGCATCCTGCTGCCTTGCGCACGCCAACGCGTTCGGCCACGCATACACCATGTAATCCCCCGGATCCGCGATCGCAAACGTGGCGGTGACCGTGCGGCCGTCGGCCGAGACACGGAACGCGCGTGCGGGGACGCTCCCCGCTGTCGGCCCGTAGTACTGGATGTAATAGCTCGCCGGACAGTCGGCAGAGTACACGGCGGTGCAGGCGATCGACAGCGTGAGCGGCCGGCCGGCGGTTGCCGCCAAGGGGGACGTCAGCGTCCATGGTCCGTGGTGTAGCCGCGTGCGCTGCGAAAGCGGGTTTGTACTGGGGCTGTAGGGAGGTGCTGCGCTGGTGGCGCCCGGACGGAAGATGCTGTTCGGATCTTCGGCGGCGGAGGGCGAGGTGCGGAGATGGTAGAAGCATAGCAGTGATAGCGGGAAGAGAAGGAGGAGGCGCCGCGGTGGGAAGTATGCGAAGTATGGGAGTAGCATGGTGATGCTTTGCAGTCTCACGAGACAGAATCAAGATTCAGACAACATGTATGTATGATGTATGTAGGTCGTTGGCCGGTGGGTAGAGTTGGTGGTGTGCACTCTCCCACCATGTATACCTCGGCACCCCGGGGCCGTGCATACGTACTTGTTGCATGGTGTCATGGCCCTGCTGCGGGGATTAATATATCCCGTACATGAGATCGGAGACACTCCTTCGTCCCGCATGAAACCATCCCCCCTCCCCACCATTTCGCCGCGCGTTCGCTGGCGGCTACAAATTCACAGCTGCTCACGCAGCACCATCCCACAGTAGTAGTCGGTATTGGACATTCATTCCCACTCCCAAGCAAGATGAACCACCGGATAGATATCGATACAATATCCCCCCGCCCACCCGCCCACCAGCTCTTCCGCTGCCCTCGTCCCCCACCACGTATTAGAACCACCGCCCTAATCCAGCTGAAGCCCATCCCAAATTCCCAACTAACAGTCACTATCGCCAAGCAGAAAGCACAAGTATATATGTAGAGGACAAAAAAATGCCCATCCCTCAGGCCATTACAGAAAGAAAGTAAGAACAAGGAAAAAAAACCCCGCCGTATATGCAACCAAAGCACAGAAGAAATGAAGAAATGAAGAAACACAAGTAAAAGCGGTATTGAAACTCCCAGGTATCATTTAATGCACAAAAGAAATGCTCAAGAATCGAGTTGAAAGGGGGAAAAATGAAGGGGAGAAAGCGAGTGAGAAACAAAACCATTGAACCATGAACACCGCAAGCAAGAAAGGAAAGAAATGCGCCAACGAAAGAAAAGAAAAAAGTAGTAAAGAAAGGGCAAAAAGTATGGTTGTAGAAGGAATCAAACCCAAAGCAAGTCAAACCACAAGCACCCATTCCAGTTCCGCGCCCATTCCGCCACGCCAGTAGTACTCCGTCCGTGTATCAAAAGCAAACAAACAAAACGAAAAATGAATTTGTGTATTACGTCCTCGTATTGAGGGCCCCAGTTCAGACAGGTAGATTCTTGGAAGAATCACATCCACTGCTGTAGATCCTGCTGCGGGGTTCCTCCATTGTGGAGCTGCATATTCGCCTCGTTCATATCGCTGTAAGGCGGCGGCGCCATGACCTGGGCCATATGCTGCTGCTGGTATTGCGGTTCCTGCGGACTATCCATTGACGGTGGCGAGACTCCGCTTCCCTTCGAGTCCAACCTCATCTTCATCATCAACGTACGAATCGCCTTGACGTCCTCTCTCTGCGTATCCCGTGGTATCTCGGCATCACGCATGTCCACCAGCTGGCGGATGGTCAAGCCGATTGCCGTTTCCGAGTTGTTGAGAACCCAGGTATGTTTCAGCTGAGGATTTTCCCACATTTCCGAGATTCGTGTGCGGAACGCAAGAGGGAACACAAAACTGCGAATTGAAATGGTCAGTGAACTAATATCTATCGGTAACATCGGCAAGGATAACTCACCCCATCTGCTCCATCTTCGCCAACTGGTACTGCATCCATCGACGGTAATTGTGACGGTTCGGTAGCCACAGGGCGGCGAGTCCGATCGGTGCCTGAGCGGCCAACAACGAACCAGCAGGTGTCTCGGTGTAAGCCTCGATGGCTGCAAGGACTTCGCAGATCTTGATCGCATACTCTTGGAGTGACGGATCTAAAGTTGGATCATGGCCGTCGCTGCTGGTAGATGCTATCTGGTGCTTGAGGACGATGATGATGCCATAGTAATCCAGTATCAAGAAATTGACTGCCCATCGATCTCCCTTGTACAACGGCGCAGGCTTGAACGGGCAGACGGGAATGTCCGCTACGACCTTCGAGGAAGCTTGGATGGGTTCGGATCCGTCCAGGATCGATGGATGCAAATCATTCCACCAATCGTAGCATTTGTTCAACATTTCCTGCGCAAGTTGTCCGAACTCTTCTATCGACAAGACACCCGCGGCGCGGTCCGCTGTCATCTGAGAGATATGAAGCGAGAGAGCCCTGAACGCACACATCGCTTCCTCGAGCATGAGACCGAGGTAGTCCGGCTTGGCCTGCTGCAGGGTCACGACGACTTCTCGATTCCACCACGACCATTCGGGACCGCAAGTCGGCTCGTGTCCGGCCATCAACGCTGCGAGCAGATCGAAGTGCATGAACCAGTTGAAAACCGTCCGATGCTCGCTCGTTTGCGCCATCGTCTCCGGAGTCCACATGGTTCTGATGATCCTCGAGGCTGCATTCCGATGTTCCATCAGACTGACCCAATCACCCAAATATTCCTACAGGCCATACAGTCAGAAAACCCAAGCCTCGGAAGGGGGCACCGCCGCACGTTACCTCAAAACTCGCAAGCTGCAAGATGGTTATGACGGTGTCCAGTGAGTGCTCCTTGTCCAGCGAAATTCGCAGCAGAGCGATCGACTTGTTGTAATACTCGAGGAAAGTTTGGAACGCGCCTGTGGTGTAGAACACGCTGTAGTGGAAGGAAGCAAATGCTGTAACGGCATACAGCAGTGCTTCGTTCTTGACGGCATGTTCGAGCAACGAAGTCTTGAAGAAGCTGTCGATGTCGTTCTTCAGTAGGTAGTGGTGGCACGTGAGCATCTGGTTGTGGTAATTTAAGTAAAAGGCCACGTCCCGTGGAAGATGCGCCCAATCTTGGGAATTGATCAGGCTGTATGTCGAAGCCGTCCGTCTCAGCGAGGCGGCGGGGGAGGTCGGTACCGATGAGTCGGCGTCGCGTGGGGACGGGCTCGGGTCGGCAGAGGACGTCGTCTTTCTACTCTTGCTCCGGCGACTCTGTTCCGAGGACGAAGGCCACGATTCTCTGCGCCCATGCACCGACCCCTTGAGATAGCTCGTGCTGGCTGACTGTTTCAATGGCGGGCCACTCTCCGGGGGACTGAGACCGTCCTGGTACTCATCATCCTCCTCCTCTACATCTTCCAACGATGAACTTCCTTCCCTCGCACCCTCGGCAGGGAGCTTCTCCGAGCGACGCTTCTGGGCCGATGCCGATTTAGCCGACGAAACGACTTCCGGATATTTACATTCCCTACCACCCTTCTGGCATCCTAATAGCAGGCCATGTTAGCAGTCGGGCACTACGTTTGTTTGTTCGTTCGGGGGAGCGTGGGGAGATGGGGGTCGTTACGTTCGCAGATCGGATGGGTCTCATCGCACTAGTTTGAGATGGAGCGTCAGCAGCCGTGCATAAAATTACAAGTGCAACGGGAGGGGGGAGGGGGGTGGAGCAGTAATAGCAGTTCCGAGCTCACCTTGACTCTACGCGTCCTGCATGTAAAGCAGCCCGACCTCGTCCGGCGATGCTTGACAGCGTCAGCGCCGGCAGCACTCCTCCTCCGCCGCGGCGCCTTTCCAGTGGCGACGTTCTGAACCTGTCCCCCGTCCGGCATCACGAAAAAGTTGTTCGTCATTGGCGATTGAGCGTAGCGCGGTGTGTTTGGGTTTGCACTAAGCAATGGTGAGTGGGATTGTCGCGAGATCGCGGTGTCCGAGATCTGGCCAAACGCCACCGGTGTCGGGTCGTGGTGTTGGTGCAGTTGCTGGCGCAGGTGCAGGTGCAGGTGTTGGTGTTGTGGTTGTGGTTGATCGTCTGGGTGGAAGCTGAACGAAGCGGCGGTTATCGATGACGTTGGGAAAGCGCCGATGTCGAGCGAGAGATGTGGTGTCGATGACGACGGAGCATCGTCTGGGTTTGTCGACGGCGCCGAGTAATGCATCATCGAGAACGTACGTGAGTTTGTTACGGACGTTTGATACTCGGAACGATTCACGTGGGCGTGGGGGGGTGGGGGGGGTGGGAGGGGAGGAGGAGGGGAGAGTCCTGTCGTTTGGTTGTCGGTGGTGAACGCTGGCTGGCTGGCTGGCGTGGGAAAGGAGCAGGAGGGAAGGAAGGAAGCTCTTCTTAGTCGTCCTCTTCGTCGGACCCACTAGAGCAGAGAACCCTACGGGTAGGCCTGTAGAATGCTAGGAGGCTGGACTTTTGACTTGGGGATGGGTAGAGTAGTGGGGTCCCGTCGTGCGGATTACTCTAGAAATTGGACGGAGGGAACCAAGTTGATTGTTGGGTACATCTGTCGTTGTAAGTGAGTCTCAGGGCCGGCCAACCCCCGCTACTTCTATGCCGACTGAGGGCTACCTATGCCTCAAAATCGGCAGATATGTACTCTGGATGTCGGCCTAAAGTTCGGTGGCAGACCCGGGACAGGGAGCATAGAAATGTGTAGGAAAAATGAAAGAAAAAAATTCGACTCGAGGGGAGTCTGTCGTCTCTCGTGTGGCTGCTGAGGAAGTGTGGAGATGTTGTGGGGTGGGGGGGCGATCGGAGGGAAGTCTGAGTGAAGTCTGACGGTAGGCCAAAAGACGGGCCGTCCGGAGAGGGGCGCAGATGCGTAGAGGAGGTACAGACAGACTGACTGAGCGTGCTCGATGCCAGCTGCACAGGCAAGTACTCGCTCACCTTCTGGTCCTGTTTTTTTCCAGCAGCGGAGTGCAGTGCAGTTGCAGTTGCAGTGCAGGAGTAGTCAGTTAGCTGCTTGGGATGCAGATGGTGTTTCCAGCAGGGTCAGCCCTAGTCAATTCCAATCATTGTCGCTCCCACGTTAGAAAACCCCCGGTAGGCCCAACAGTGTCACACGTTCCTTCTACATCCCGTATATAGAGTACCATCATCCATGTGGAGCGGCCACAGGCTGGATGCCCGCAAAGACACGCACAGTTTGTTCGCGGGGGCCAACCCCCAGGCAATGCCGCTCTAGGTATTCTGTGAAGAGACCGCCCCTCGTGTTGCTTCGGCGTCGGAGGGAGTGTCGGTGCTTTTCACCGCCGGCCGCTTCATGTTGGTGTCGGCTGTTCGGGCGCTGGCTTCTGCTCGAATACCTATCTATTCTGTTTCAATATGTACTCGACCTATTCTGAGCGAGTACCAATTCTACCCGAATACGATACCGGTACCTATCCTATTCGACCGAATAGTAGTCGCCTCGTCGACGTGCATTTGGTTCGCCGCCCATCTGGCATCGCCATCTGTGCACTGCAGAATTATTGGTGATGCTTTGTTGTACCTAGTACTAACTTCTCTACCTATACCGTACCCAATCGTCCCGACTTCTGTCAGCAACCACATCCTCCTCCTCCAGTCAGAGCTCACGTTACCGATTCGGCGCCGCCGTGAGAGGCTTTCTCGCCCAGCCCGCCGCATCTCCGATCAAAGAAAACACTTCGCATCGCAACCAAAAAGCCAACCATCTGGCCGCCTGAAGATTCAAACATCTGGTAACCAATCAGTTCTAGATCGCCATGCCAAGGGGGCAACACGCGCTAATAACTTTCTGGGGTTCGCAGCCTCCACCAGCTAAACCACTAGATATCCATCTTCTCTCTCGTCTGATCATACGGAGCTTGGCCAACCCTTCCCTGCTTGGATTCCCCACATGTTATTCGCAGCTGCATCTCTTCTCAGACTCCTTTCCACCTCCTATCTCCGTTCCAGGATGCAGAGCTGTCAGAATCCAAAGAACAACGGCGCCGTTGATGAGGCATGCACCGGCCCGTCCTGGAACGGAGTAGGCGCAGGTCTCCTCCATATTTCGCTGCGTAAGCTGAGCTTAAAGGGGTGGAAAGCACAATTGCGGCATACCGAGTCGGTTGGTTAGGGCCTGGCACATATAGTACTCTGCATAGGCACTTTTATGACTGTTGACACCTTGCAGTTCCAGTCCCAATCAGACCCCGTGAATCCCATGCCTGTGCAGTGCAGTGTCTTCCGTGAAGGAGGCCTTTCAAGTTATTCCTCCCTTCCCGTCCAGGATGAGAAAAGCACCTATGTATCATATCATACGGATTCTTCATGCATTATTCTTCCCGCTACCACATGGTGGTTGCGGTAGTGATGGTGATGGTGTGCCCACCTACATACGGAAGCGAAAGCATATCCAATCATCGATGCAGGAGCCACAATAACCCCCGAACACGAGGCCTCTCCCTTCTCGAGTCTCCTCTCTCTCTGAAGAATCGAGGCATAGAACACAACCTTCAGGCTTCTGCACACTAGCACTCGCACCAATGATTTCGTCCAGCTGCCTGATCCTTTTCCAGAGCTCATCCCTCCCTCCATCCATCCATCCATCCACACCTTGCCATTCTTACTTGCTCCATCTTCTTCTGCTCTAGACAGACTTCTTTCCTCGAACTCCTCGCTATGGAACCCCCTGCATGAGATGGTTGCTCGACTTGCCGGCTGTTTGTAATTTGTACAGGTGAGTGGTCGTGAGATGTCTCCTACTACTTCGTCTACCACTACTACGACTACTGCCACTTACTCTGCACCTAGGTACTAGGCATATATATGGCCATGATCGTTGGAATTCGATCGATTTGCACGTACGTACATTCGTACCCCGAATTCCAATATCTGGAGTCTTTGAAATAGACATGCTAGGAAAGCCACCCACGTACTTCCTAGGTACCTACACCTACATATCTCCACTCTACGGCGGTTAGACCATCAGTATAGTACAGTAGGTACTAGTACTTGGGTACATAGGTAGGTACTCAGGCTCAAGATGACCCGATGCCCCTGGGCCCCTGGCGTTAGTATTCTCCAAGGACGGGAGAAGAAAAGAATGAATGAACGTACTTGAAAGTGACAATCAACACCCCCATCCCTCCCATCATCTCATGTGGGACTTGCCGCCGTACCGCACGGCGCAAACTGGAAGAATATCTAAGAACTGGTATGTAACCAACAGGATCTGCCTTTTCCTCCGGATGAATTTGAATCTTTCCCGGCGTGCATTCCTAGGTAGAACTACAGGTAGATTGCATGGCTAACTAACCACGGCACTGTTCTGATTAAAATCCTGAGATGAAATACACACCTAGAGTGCCGCTCTACAGACTACAGTACTATATACCGTACTATAGTAGAGTATAGTACACAGTACAGATCCTCGCCCCCGATTCTATACATACGTATAGTACTTATATACATACGCATTCGCCAATTTGTAATTAACGGCCGCTACATATGTGGTATGGAGAGTACTTGTTGGGGGGGAGGGAGGGGGAGGGGGAAGGGGGGAAGGGGGGAAGATTTGCCGCGGCGTCAGATGTTGGCGCCTATTGCCAGTATGATAGTAGGTATTTGCAAGTTGGCTAGAACTCTACGGTCTACGTCCGGCGAAACTACTGTTAAGTAGCGTTCTGTTTGTTGATCAGCGCACGCCTCTAGATCCCTCCAAGTGCGGTCTCTAGCATATCACAGGACTCTCTACCATCGACGGGCTACCTATACCAACATCGCACCACATCCCGATGCCCCGTCCCTCCCACCTCCGAGTCTCCGACCCCACACGAAAGGAAGAAAAAGGAAGCCAAAGTAAGATCAGGTGCGGTAATGAGAGGGAACTATAGTACCTAGTACCTATGCCTGACGCCGGACGGCAAACAGGCACTATGTACGTATGATACTAGTACAATGTAGTACCTAAAGCAGCTATGCTGGACGTGAGTCGTGACTACTCTTGATCCCGGGGGATCGTCACGTACCGGTGGGATCGTGAATATGTATGTAGATATGTACTCTACCTATGGATGTATAGATCGTATGCGTGTCTTCTGGCTCCCAGGTGAAGTTGGTGAAGTTCGAACAAGCCACGAGCGTCGAGCCATGACTAATGTAGGTAGATGTTCTACCACACACACTCTCTCCAGACTTCCAGTAGGAATTCGATAGGTACTCTATAGTTACTCTATCACTTCCTCCTCTGTTTCTTCTTCTTTCGCCCATCACACACATAGCCATCTCCTTCAAAGAAAGAAAAATGAGAAATAACTTGAAATCGAGAATCTCCGTGGCAGATGGTGAAAGTCCCGCGTGCAAGCAGCAAGTTCAGCAGTGATGTTCAGATTGCGATGGGCAAACGTGTCCAAATATTTTCTGCAGTTGCCATTGCTTCCCACGATTGATTTCCAGTTTTCGATCTCGCCACTCGTCACTTCATACGTACCTACGTGCACTGCAAGGGAATTCTTCACAGATTTTGGCCCCAGGTTACGGATACGATCGCTACAGACTTGGGGGGGAGAGAGCCAAAACCAAACCAGGTTCAAGTCCATCAGCATGCCAGAATATCCGTAATCCGTATTCTCCCCTTCCGCCCCCAACATGCTGTCAGTCGTCCCGACCTTATGGCTCCTTTTTTCGGCGAAACAGTAAGGCGATCTGTGCGCCCCTGAGACAGTCAGGCAGATGTGGGGATGGGGGAGGGAGGAGGGGGCACGATGTTGCCGCTGAAAAAATCTTCAGGAAATAAAATGAAAAATAAAATGGGAAAACGGGTGGAGTTGCGATAGCCATGAGATATCACTCGGGCGTTTCTTTTCTTTTTTTTCCAGCCACCAGTCTCACCGGCTGATGGATGGGGGATGGGGGATGGGCGGAGATACAAGGATACCTACCTACCTAGCTCACCGTCTCGGAACCTCGAATTGGGACTCACTACTACTGCTAGTACATAGGCCTGGGAAGTTGCGATGGGATATTTTGGGCCCTGATGATTCACGATCACTCTAGGTACCTTTACTAGGAGACATGCTCGTGCGCGCTGGGGAGCACTGGGGCAGCTTGCTTCCTTGCTGGATCGCAGCAGTCGGACCAGTGTAACCGTACACAACACCGTAATCGCTACTCTATCTCGGACGGACGAACTACTCAGTCACTGGTCCACATCGATCGGCCGCTCGCCGGTCGGCCCATTGACTAGGGAATAAGTAAGAAATATTATTGGCCAAGACTCTCGTGAGTGAGTGAACGAGAGAGAATGCGAGACAAAAAGCAAAAGGAAAAGGAAAAAAAGCAACTGGTCGAGACTCGAGAGGAAGACGAAATCGACAAGATACTCTTGCGCTGTCTACTTCTGGGGCGCAAAGGAACGAACGACCTGCTTCGGGATTAGCTAGGGCTGGAAATTGCTGGCCGGCGGCGGCGGCGGCGGAGGCGGAGGTTTAACCAAGCAACCAAGCAAGCTTGTGCTGTGCGACGCTTCCAGGTTGCTTGTTCAGACTGCATAGATGGAATATCTTCATAACTGCAATATGTACTGCTTGCTACTTGCCGCCTCGAGACCTCTCATAGCAAAACACCTACAAATACTACTACCTCCTAGTATGGCTGGGTATTCAAGGCTAACCCGCCGTGCGCAGTGCTGTGGTGCCCTCCATACATCGGCGCAACGGTTAGTTACGGTTGAGAATCTCTCACTTCCTCTTTCTACCGCTGCTGCTGCTGCCTGCCCAATGCCTGCACGGGCGCCGGTAGGAATTGGATGTACAATACATGTAGATATATCCACTGATCACGTCAAGAGTGAGGAGTGCGTATTTTATTTACGCACTGCCGCGCCGCACCGCGCCCGCAAGTTGCAACAGCTCATCGCTAATCCCCGGCAAAATAACGGGCAATCATACGTACTTTTAGGTAGTGAGTGACGCGCAATATGTAGATAGGCAGAACGGCTTCATCCGGGCGGCGGGGGCTCTTCCAAGTGCCTACCTCCTCCTCCCAAGTATAGCAACCCGATCCTCGGGGCTCTCGGCGTATATGCTCCCGCAATGTTTTTTGTCCGAGAGCGGCGTGCCCTCGTGATGAAAAAGATAATGTTGGTTCCTCCTCCTCCTTTACTCCCCCTCCCTCCCTTCCTCCTTCTCCTCCTCCACATCCACACCCTCCTCATCCCTCATTCCTCATCCTTCCCTTCCTCTTGACTTCTCGATAACGGATTCTTCACGCCATGCCAAATCGGGGGCGTGCTGAAACCAATGCGCCCTCCTGAGTCCTCAACCTCAAGTTCAGAACACTCCGCCTCGAAAGCGGATGTCCGCGTGTCTACATATCATATCAGCGTACACCTGCCCTGAAAGTGATCTCCAGCGTGGATTTGGGACGGTGCGATCGGAGTTTCCTTGCCACCGTAGGTACATACCTACACCGTCCACCGATCCACTCGGTTTTCCGCATCGTCAGCGACGACAGTGGCGGCCCGGTTCCACTCCGTCTGTCCCTGTCCCCCACTAAAAATGGTGGTCGTTCGCAGTCATGTATGTAGGTACATACACAGCATGGAAGGATAATGCCTGTGTCCGCAGCCGCGGCGGCACATGTACGAGGGATGAGACATATTGACACCACCACCACCGCACCACCACTACCACTACCACCACCACTACCATCATGCACGCACCGGGTATGGAGTGGCTGACGGGTATGGTTATGTACATACTCTATGTGCCTTCGTTATATTACTGATCCGGTGTGATGGTAGAGTATCCATCAAGCAATCCCGGGAGCGGGCAATGACACTGGCGGCGGACGTGATCCATGGCTGTGGAAACAGCATCAGCATGAGCTCGAGTTTCCACTGCTGGGTGGATTCTGGAGGTACCTAGAGTACGCGGAAAACGCGCGCGCGCGCTCGAAATAAAAATAACTGTGGTATGGATGGGAATCCATTATCCTACCCTTGAGTACCTACATACGGGACTGGACGGCGGAGTCTGGAGAGATCCAGCGGCCCTGGAGGGTGACGACATTCGGTACGGAATCCGCCTCCACTATCCTAACTCCGCACGCACGCATCCACCCTCCACCACATGGCCAATCCATCCACGTGTTGCCCGTTCAAATACAGGAATTACGGTTTACCCAGATCAACTACATCCTCGTTAGGGTAGATTGACTGTCGGGCCCGCGCAAAAAAGAAAACAAAAAGAAAGAAACAAGACATCCGTAACACGGAGGGAAGCACTGCAGTACTACACCGACCGTACTATAGGTAGTACATAGGACAACCCCACAAAAGCAAACACATTGTTAGCCGGATATCGATCTATACGGGACGGTATGATGTACACTACTCTACGATGTGTATGTATGTCCTCAGCTATGTATGTGTATTCCCCAGCAGCTGTGTAGCCTGGACCGACCGATGAATCGATGATAAGAAACTGGATATGCAGCGCTATAGTTAATAGTTTCAAAGGTGAGACATTCTTTCTGCAGTCGGCACTTGTTCTCTTGCATAACTGCATAAGGAAGGGAACCACATCCTTAGGTAGTTATGCAGAACGCACCACCATATCATGATATCCGTTTGGCTGGCTGGCTGGCTGGCTGCTGATGACGCCCGACGCCCGGCCCCCGACGCCTCCGCGCTCGCACCTCCTCTGAGTCCTCTCTCTATCTTTCTCGGAGTCTTCCTTCTCCGCCTTAACGGCCGATCGATAGAAACCGTCCTAGACTCTTAGTAAAATCTGAACATGATCCTCATCCTGAACCTGAACCTGAACCCGGACCCGCACCTGGACCTGGCTCAAGCGTTAGTTAGCCTTTCCGCTTCCCAGCCCCAGTCACAGCCCCAACCCCAGCCCCAGCCCCAGCGCAGTTGTTACGGCGCCGCGAGTGATACCACCCAAGTAACTACCACTACCAGACGGCACCCCCCGCCCCCTCCCCCTCCCCATCCCCCTTCCCCGCCTCGGGACCACCCACTAGATCCTGGCTCGTTGGATCCATCAGGCAGGCAGCTGTACTATAGTACCTACCATACATACCATACTATACATGCGCACGTACTCGTACATACAAACAGCTACCTACCTGCCTACCTACCTACCTACTACCAACCCGCAGCAAATTTCCCAGTCGTACCGTATGTACCGACTCAGCTCATGATCCCTCTCCGGGTATATATACCATGCAGATCGGGGGGTCGGGGAGGGGGGATGCATGCACTCAAGTCAAGTCAAGTCGAAGTCCAGTCATGTCGGAATCCTCCCAGTGAGTAAGTAAGTGAGTAAGGCTGACGCCCCGGAGGCCGAACCATGGACGGACGGTGGTTCCGTGGGTGGTTTGTACGATACCATGATGGTAGTTATAGCAGAGGAATTTATGATAGCGGAGGAACTTATACCTACTATACATACCTACACAGACCCCATTCCCTACGCCACACATGCGCACACCACTACCACTTCCAACAATACCAGTACATACCAGTACCACCTTCACCTCGGCCTCCACCTCCACCTCCGCCGTCGCCCTCCACACCCACCGTACGGTTGAGTCTCGACTGGCCGCGCGGGGGCTAAACGCGATCACAGATAAGCCAAGCACGCTTCGTCACTCGGTATCGGCAGCCGAAGCCGCGGGGCCGCCTGTAGGCTGCTGGGAAAGCAGAAAAGGAGGAGATGATTGATCGACAGGACCCATGGCTCACATCTCGGCCTGTCTCTCCGTTTTGCTCATAGATATATGTACATGTGTAGTCTCAAGAGTACATGTTTGTATGTATGAGACAACCTTCTTTCTCGCAATCTGATACAGGAATATGAATCCCAAACGTCGCGACTCGCCACCCCTTGCGACCCCGGGTAGGTCGATATAACCAAGTAGGGCCCAATATCTCCATGCAAACAGAAAGAAAGAAAGAAAGAAAGCCAGACGAAAACCCTACATACCAAGTAACTACTACCCCGCTCCCGGGGATACGTACGCATTCGGGCATATCGGCCGTGTTGGGTAAGCAACACCGGAACGCGGTGCAGGTTGTCACCATGATCACCGTTCCAGGTTGACCGCAGCTCGCCCGTTTGGTCGTTGTTGGTGGTACATACATATACTGATACGTCTCTTTCGTGTTGTGTGGTCCCGAGTCCCGACAGCAGTTGTATGTAGGTGCGGGGATACGAAACCTACATACTAGGTATACGGTATACCTTACCGTATGATCGTGCGGGGGTAGAGCGGGATGGGATCCTCCGCGACTACGGTGTGGCGATGGCGATGGCAGGTGTCGACTTTTCGGAAACTTCAAACTTGTGATGGTTGTAGATTTATGTTGGTTTGGCAGCCAGAGTAGATTATTACGAGGGATGTCCGAGTCATTGTGCTGACGGCAGACTGGCAGTTTTTTTGCTTCTGTCTGTACGAACGAAGGGCTCTCAGACTATCTAGGATACCGGTAGTGGTCCGGTGGCGTGTTATCCTGCTCATATTCCCATAGTAGAAACTATATACCATAGGCGCCATAAGAAAGAAAGGAGGAAGTAGTGAATAGGATTATGTACTCGTGTGGGCCAGCACTGAGCAAGCGCGCGCCGTTAATAAAGAAAGGATCTTGATTGGCGGCGGTCAGCAATCGCCATACCATAGGGACTCGGGACCGGAACCCCGGGTTCATCACCATCAACCACGGTCTTCCCTGTGCATCACTATGTAAGAGTCCGATTCTGGCGGCGTTCATCCTGGTTCGAGTGGTGGGATTCACCCGGTTGGTGGAAGAAACGGCGGTGAGAATCAATTGCGTTCGTCACGGAAGCCTTGCTAGCAAGTCACCGGGCCTCATTCGGATCGAACCACAATGTCAATGGCAATTCGGCCCAGCCGCCAAAAAAGGGGCCCCCATATGTAGGAAAGGTCTGACCGGCCGAAGCGGGAACATGGTAATTCTGGTCTAGCAGGGCTTTGCCACGATCTCCCAGGAAATCGAATGGTGGTTCGATTACTTTGCCGTCGTAAGCGATAGGTGTCGGAGATTCGGAGTACGCGTGTGGCTAACAGAGGACCAATAACCACACGAACAAGCATCGAAAGTATCAGACGGCAGCCGTTGAATCCCGATGTGATTCCGAGAACCGGCTTTTGTTCTGTCCAGAGGCACTATGGGCACCGTCGGCCGCGGCAATCCCCGCACCACCACCGTCGTCACCGCCATCACCATCACCCAAGAATTGTTCCAGCAAAGCCAACCGTCGGTATTCTGTACATACAACCCCCATTCCTTCTCCCTCTCCTTCCAAATCCACCCTATATCTTGTGCCCAGCACCGTGGAATGGCGAGAAAACACCACGCACACTCGCGTTCGCACTGAAAACAGGCTTCGTCACTCTGCGCAACTTCAGTCCCGACGAGTTCCGCAGCAGCTCCGCCTTAGCCAGCACCTGGTTGTGTTCCAGATTGCGTACGCAGATGACCTTCTCACGGCCGTTGACTATAGTAGGTACGCATATGTCTCAGTGTTCTGGCGGGGCGAGGCGGGGAGGGAGGTGGAGATATGGGGGACGTACTGTACTCGCCGCGGATGATCGGGTGCTTATGTGGCCGCGGCGACACGGTGATCTCGATCGCGGGGTTCGCCTTCGCAAAGGCCGGCAGGTGGTGCTTCAGGAAAGCGCTATTGGTCGGCCGCCGCCAATCTGTCAGTCAAGCTTCCTTCCTCCCCGCCAATTCTCTTTCCCGACACGGGGGGTGGGGGGGCTCACTTCATCCCGCGACTGCTACCCGCCCAGTCGCAGTAGTTGAACTCGAGACGTTTGCATTGGAGCACGAACGCGCCGACTCCGTTCTGCGATTTCGAGATGAGGCGTAGCGGTGTTACAGGCATCGTTGTGGTGTTCCGGGAGTGCGGAGGTCGAGCGGCGCGGCGGTGAGGTTACTTACTTCTTACGTGTGTGGGTGGGACTTTTTCGCGCTAGTTAATGGGTGCTGCTGCGGCTCTGCGGATGACGCTCTGCTATGGGCACGGTTACTCGGTCATGAAACTCACTCGAACGGATGGTTACGTGGGCACGCGAAAATTGGGAGTTTTGGAACTTGTATGACAGCCTACAGCGAATAGTAAATAGAGCTTCTCTATCAGTTCAGCGCTTCGTGAAGGCGCCATTGAATCCAGCAGAATTCGCGTTCGATCCGAGATCTCCCATTTGTGGAGTGGTGGTGCTTCTGGGACGGGTGTGTTTCGAGCTGTGTATATCTCGTTAAAGTGACATCTCCTCGCAGTGACTCGTGGAATAAAGTGTCCTGGTTGGATTGGAGCTGACTATCGCCGATGTCCCCGCCCTCGACCGCAGTTGACAGTTGACGAAGCTCACGGGCGGAGATTTATTAATTATCACACCGCGCTGAATGAAAACCTGCAAGCTGCTATTCAGAGAAGTGGCTTCAGATGTGTATTTGAAACGTAGATATGATCAGTGCAGGTAACAGCCCAGCCCATGGGCTTTTTGGGCTGTTGCCTGCACTGGATATGATACAGAGAATCACTCGGCTCTCACCCCATTCACAAGGTCGCAATTGGGCCTGTGTCTAGAGTACTCCCGCCCCGCATTCACCCTTCCGCCTCTTTCTTTTCCTCCCTTATATATCCGCTAGGCAGATCGAGTACAACGAACCCGTCCAATCAATTATCAATGTAGTTTTCTCGTCTTCCCGAGAATCTACCCAGCCGCAGCCGCAGCCGCCGTCTCGCCGTACAGGCACCCTGAGCTCCTGCGATGTATTTACCGGCCGATCATTTCGCTGGTGACGACATGGAAAGGCGCCGACGGAGATGGAGTCCACCACCCATCACCATCACCGAGGAAGCAGGCACCGGTGCCGATGGGATGGCGACGATAACCACCTACATACAGTATATCTACTCTAGCTATCTATAATCAAGATTCAAGAGAGCCTATGAACCACCAGCCATGGACGAGCCGTCGACTCCACATTTTCACCGTACCGTACCGCATCCTCGTAATGTAGAAATATTCAGTAGTAGTCTCCATCGCTTCCGGCTACAGACTTCCAGTCTTCCAGTCTTTGGCTTGCGGCCAGGATGCCCCAGCTAGTTACCCCTTCAGTCACTCCACGTGCAGCTTGCTTTGTCCAGCCACCACCATGGCACCATCTAGTGTTTCCGTTGCTTCCTACCTAGTCGCGGACTCGCCGTATATATCCACCCTTCGTCAAGAGTCTAGACTCAAGCAAAGACGGACCCGCAGCGGCACAGGAGATCGTACTCCATACCATCTCCTCCATACCACCGCCGAGGGTACGAGGGAACGAGGAGAAGTCTCCACCGAAGCCTGACGCCAACTTTCAGCTTTCCTTTTTGCTTCTAGGCTTCTAGGCTTCTCCATCGGTGCTCTGGGCGCCGTATGTACATACGAGGGGCGGATTGAAACGGGCTCCTCTTTGCGTCTGATAATTAGTGCCCTTTTTCTCTTTGTATGTATCCTAGGGGCGGTGCACTCTGCACTGTGCCCCAGATGCACTCTGCACCTGCGATTCTGCGAACAAGAACAAGAACTACCGCTTCACCCTTCCGACTTCGTCAGCGAGACAAGCCACATCTCTCATGGAGGGCGAGGGTCTGTCCGACTCTGCATCTATCTATTAGTACTAGTAGACGATAATGTGCTTTACTCCAGCTGCTCAAGCTGCTCGAGCTGCTCCATCTGCTTGGGCACCATGTATCACTCGACGAAAAACTCATGCATCCGTGCTTGTGAGGTTGATTTGGTTCTTTAGTTTGACCAAGATCTGTCTGGCCTCTGGACTCTGCTCTGGGAAAGCGAGGCATGTAACATGTTGATTGTTTCCCCCCGTCTCCGCAGAGCAAGCCTCAAGCAGCTGTGTCTGTGAGTGTTGGGCAGTGGGCACGGCACGGCGATTTGCAAGTTCGCAAAGGCAGATGTGACCGCAGATCCATCATCCCCTCAAGGCTCAAACTGGTAGGTAGGAAGCCCGTAGGCTATATACCATTATTACCATCAAGTATCCGCAACCATCTTCCCAAGTATCCGCAGCCATCATCCCAGGAGCAAGCAAGCAAGCACAAAGTTCAAGCGCATACCATTGCAACAAACCAGATATCACCTACAAACCCTACAAACCCTACAAACCCACCGCATCCCAAACTAAACCAGTTACCAAATCACAAGAACAAGCAGCAAGATCAAGCGGCCAGTAACAGCAAACGGCCGATCCGTCAAATCAAATCAAATCAAAGCAAAGCAAAGAAAAAACTAGCGCCTACACAATATCTCAAGCCAGCCCATTACAACGCCCTCCTCTTATTCCCCCTCCTCTCGCTCCCATCCTTCCCTGCATCGTCCACGCCCACATCCTCCTGCTCACCGCCCTCACGCTCCTCCAGCATCTCGTCCCACTCCCTAGCGCGTTTCCAATGCGTAGTGCCCGGCTTGACAAAGTCGCCCACGCGCTCACTCGCATCGGGCAAGGGCCTGCCGGGCAGGGCATGGGACATGATATCGCCATTGATGGACCTCAGGGACCAGGCAAAGACAGCGACCTGTCTGATGGAGTCCATAAAGTCCGTCTGTGCGGCGGCGGACGGCAGGGGTTTTGCCGGAGCCGCGGCGCGCGGGGGGAGCGCCCACGGCGCGGCCGAGACTAGTGGTCCCTCTGCGCGCGCCTTGCGCAGGATCACAACGAGGCCGTCCGAAGTGCAGGAGACGACCGCTTCGACTTCTGTAGTTTCGTTTGCGACGGGGGCGGGGGGCGCGGGTGGCGCGGGGCCGGCAGAGCCAGAGATGGACGATTGCGGGGTCGAGCCGCGGCGGCTTTCGAGCGAGCCGTCTTCGCTACCCTCGCCCTCGCTGGTTCCCTGGTCGGAGCCGGAGCTGGGGCCTTCGCGGACGTCGTCTCCCTCGTCGTCGTCGTCGTCGGGGGCAGGGGTGGCGCCGTCCTCCTCGTCCTCGCCTTCCTCGCCGTCACGTCGACGCGGGTCCCGCCAGCGGAAGCGGAGGTACGCGATCGAGTCGTTTTCCTTCGCGCGCTCGACGGCGTCGATGCAGTCGACGAGGCAGTCCTCGGCAATACAGTGGTAGAAGCTCCGTCCGACGGCATCTTCCGCCTGGATGCCCAGGAGCTCGCCGAGTGCGTGCGTCGCATACATGATGCTCAATGTGCGGGTAAAGCGGTTCAGGATCAGTGCGGCGCGCGGCTCGTGATCGTTCACTGACTGCCCCGGTGGCCGTCGGGGTGTCGTGAATTTCGGCGATAGGTGCGCTAACATCTGATATCTAGGATCCCGCTCGGGTGTGGAGAAGGCGCGGCGGATGGCAGGGGCGACAGCAGCACGGCCTATATTCGTCCCCACATCAGCTATCGCTCGGTAGTGGGGTGGAATGCGTGGAGGGGGGCAGAGGCCATACCCTGGCTTTTTTCAGTGTACCTGTACAGGGACGTACAAGCCACAATAACAGAGTAGACGACGGTGAAGACGCATTCGCAGCGGACGTAGACGCCATCGGTCCGTTTCAAATTGCAGTAGGAAAGCATTGCGGCGCGGTCAAGGTGCACTCCGCGGCCGTGAACGGCCTTGGCGAACGGCGTTTCGTCCGGGTGGAAGTATTCGAAGCAAGACTTGCCAACTACCTCTCGTGGCTGGTAGCCGAGTACGTCGCCGATTGAGTCGGAGGCGTAGAGCACCCGCGCGTCTGGCATACCCCGTCTAGGTCAGCTCGCCCACCTACACATGATTACGGACGGCCCAAGGGATAGACGGGTGGATGGAAGGTACCGGGCGTCAGGTCGTGCATCGTGATGAAGGTGATATCCATGGTGGCGACGGCGGTGGCGGCGGAGGACGGAGCTGTGGTGTGGAGAAGGTGAATAGAGTGGATGTGGGGAAAGGTATAGGTACGGGGAAGGGATGGATCGTAGTCTCGGTGGCAACTAGCGGCCGTTGCAAGCTACAGATGTCAGTGGGGACGGTCCCGAACACCCTCTTTATATAACGGCCCCAGCTGGTGAAACTGGAACGTTTAGCTCAAGCCTTTTCGAGCAGGGATGCGAGGCAAGACGTGGGGAAGGACGAGGATCTATGCAGGATGTCTGTAGCGCACCTACATGGGATTGAGGAAGAAGCTCGCAAGAAAAAGAGGGTGAGGAGAGGATGGAAGGGAGCCGGTGATGGCGATCTAGGTAGGTAGGTGAGTAAGTACCAACCTGTGGAGGTATTTAGGCAGGAAGCCGGGAGCCCCGGGAGAGGATATGATCTGTAGAGTATGGTTTGGCCGTAGGATAGAGTGCCTAAGGTAGGTATGTGCAATTGATGGCCGCCTTTCACCACACACACACAACGTTCACCAGCAGCGAACCAAGCAATCCCAGTGGATGGTATGTGGAGTACTCTACAGTAGGTACATCCACTTCACTTCGGGGATTATTGGGAGCCGCGTCTGTCTCTTCAACTATCATGAATGCTGCCTGTTTTCCCGCATGTGCAGGTGCAAAAGAGGGCGGCGACGCAGGGAGAGCAATTCAATTGTGCGTTTCCTTCGGTTCCGTCCTCCAGTGAGCAAGTATGTAACTTGGCTCGCTGCGGCCGGCGATAGGGATGGGTGTATTTAAGTCAGCACTCTGAGTCTCCGACTCTCAGACGATGGCGGGGGAGTGGAAGTGGGAGCTTGCGGACATGCGGCAGGTAAGAAGTAAGCACTCGACTCGGTTCTGTCCGTTTTTTCCCCTTCCTTTCGACGGCCGAGCAAAAACAGGAACGTTCCCACTTCTCGTTTCGTGCGCACCACTCCAGCACTGATATCGCAGTGCCCTTGGACGAGAAGAAGTGGTAGACGGATGGAAAGAGTCAATTAGATACTACAACTACTACTATAACCAACAAGTACAGAGCTCAAAGCACAAAGCACACGCCCGTCCATCCGTCTGCCTGTCCTCCCATCTGCTATGCATAGCTGCATGTGCATAAGAAGTCTGTACTCACTCGATCATTGACGTGAGGACGCCTCTGCTGCCGCCGTCGTCGTTATGTGGGCATCCTGTTGTTCCTTCTCTTTGAATCTTTGATATGTCTAAGGCTGTCAGTACAGCACTGAGAGTCTGAGCCCGAGACACCACCAAGCACAGTAATCTCGTGAACCCGAGTGTCTCTGATTTCCGAGGGTTTCTATGAAGCCGACTGGCTGCGTACATGCGTGTAGGCGCCAACATCGCCATGTCGTCGGGATAAGCTACTAGTTATAGTACATAGTGGAGAGCGGGCCCGCAATCATGGCGCCTACACACTGTTCCTACATACTTACTCTACCTCCACGGCTCTAACCGGATGCACGACAATGCACAGTCACTCGCGGAGGAAAGTTCCAGCTGGCCCCGTAGGCCGTGGGTCGTGGGATCCACGCCGAGAAGTCGGTGATATCGATGATCTTTCTTTCTTGTCCGCTGCGTGATAGTTATCCTCCAACGTTTGCAGCAATTGTGGGGGGACGTTTGCAGCAGTGCCCTAGCCACACGGAAGGCCCAAGGGGGGATCACAGTTAACGTTTGCAGGAAGTCATGGACGTCATCGTGGTGTTGTTCACGGGAGTAGGTACCTGGTAGAGTACTGTGTGTACGGGTGTACCACAAATAATCCCTAACGAAGATGGCGGAGGAGGATCAATCATCAATGCATGCGGTGATGAGTGCGGGTGGCCATTGGTCGAAGATAGGCCATGAAATGTCCCTTACCTATCCCATCGCTTTGTCAGGATTTGAAGGAGGAGGGGGGACACTGATGCTTGATCGATCACTCGATCACTTGCTTCTATGTACTCTATGTAGGCTCTGGCCTGGGTGGCCAAGAGGAGAATTAGTCATGTTTACTACAGACTACAGTTGAGCAGCGAGCTTGTGGTCGTGGGCTCAGTGGCTGTATGCATGTCCTAGGGTAGGGGCCTGCTTCAGGGAAGACATGTATGTAGGAATATGTACGTTCTATTTCCGTTTCCATTTCCACTGCAATGGCCACTGGCTGGATCGCCGAACAGCTCGCAATTCCTGGCTGCAACATTGGGTTTGACGTTGCGGATTTCACTTGGCTCGGGGCTGGCAGTCATTGGATCATATATCACTCTCATGCTGTGGATGTTTTGATTGTTGATGTCATTTTTTTATCGATTTCATCCATCCATCCATCCATCCTCGAGAGCTGTAGCGGCGTAGGCACGGTACGGTATTCAACCGTCTAAACGGCTACCTAGAGGATTCTGCCTCGCCATTTGCTGCCTCATTCTCTCTCTCGGTCTGCTGCAGCCTGCAGAATTTATTTGCTTTTCTCACGGTCGATCTTCGATTTGGTACTCTACCGTCGGCTATGGCTTGACTGGTCGAGACTCGTGGACCGGGTTGCGAGAGATACAGAAAAGAAGAACGAACGAACGAGAATGGCCAAGGCTAAACGTCGGGTCGATGTCGCTGGAACTGAACATAAACCCTAGTCACACATATGCGGGAGGGGAGGGGAGGGGTGAAGGGAGGGTTGGAAAACCAGCCAGCAGCTCGGCGGGGTGCACTGGCGGTCGACATTGGACAATCCCACCAGCACCGCTCCGCTGGACACTGAGTCGGTATAGACGTAGTTATGGACAGTGGTACATTCTGTGATGACTCTGCCATGGGTAGCCTGTAGGTAGTCAATAAATCCAATGACTCGAGTCAATGGAGTCAATGGAGGCTACCGTAGGTTATGTCAACCCACCCTGCCCAGAAGCCCAAAAGCCCATACATACCTCCTACCCATCGTCGTTCAGAGTTCTTGACAATGTCCGAAACCCCGCGGATAATCCTCCTACGGCATCTACCTACCCACCCACATACTTCCTACCTACTCCATCAACCAGGAAATCCCGCGGCAAAGGCCGACATCCTGCCGATCCATCATCCTTCGAGTTCTAACTTCTTGCATTAGTTTGGCGGGCATGCAGATAGGCACATATGAGGTAGATACCTGCAGTTGAATGTTTGTGGAGAGGAGGGGGATTTCCAACGAAGACTCAAGAGCAATTCCACTTTGAGGCTATTTACGCGTAGACTGTAGGCTGAACTTCGAACTTTGAACTTTGAAGACGTCAGTTACTAGTCCCCACGGGCCATGGCCAACTATCTAACCGGATGGGGCGGTGGTCGAGTATTCAGAGTATCTGGAGTATATAGAGTACGGTATGTACGGTATGTAGACTCGAGAGTGGGATGGCGACTCGGCGAGATGCGCCTGCGAACTGACTAGGTGCTGAAGACTTGCAGACTTGCAGGAATCACGGGCGTGGAGACACCTCCGTAACTCCGTTTCGACGATCAGCTACCTAGCTCCCTGACGACACAGTAGTTAACTATCTCGGAATTCCCAAGGTAGCGGAGAATTTGAGCGAAGCTTATGGAGCACGAATAGGAGTTAGTAGTTGCTGGGAACTGCTATCTGTACCATCTTCCTGCTGCTGTAGCTGTAGAAAGAGAACACTGCTGAGGTTAGAGCTCGTCGGACAAGCCACAGCATGTCGGGTGAGCCACAGGTGTTGAAGCGGAGTAACTAGATATAGTTTAGTGTCGACTCTAGTTTTGACTCGAAGCTCGAAGCGGTAGCGCGGGGCCATGTCGCGTTGGTAGCCCGTACAGGGAAACAGTCAACATGCAACCGCAGCGATGCTGCACTTCAGCAACCAACATCCAGTTGCACATCACATCGAATTGCCAACTGCTCCCCGTTCACCCCCAGCAGCGCAGCTCACAAATACCAACAGATCCCAGAAAGTGGTCCTACAAAAGAAGGAAAAGAAAAACATCGGACCGCATCCAATTCCCTTCCAACAGCTACTCCCGAGTTCTGCACTCTCGTTACCGGCCCTGCAGCTCGACTGCAGCTCCCCGCAATCAACCAACCCACTCAGAGTCCACAGAAGCCATCGGAGGACTCTCCGGTACATACATAAGTCTACTGAGAACTTGCGCACACAGCAGCACCAGTCGTCCCCCTCTCCCCCTCCCCCACCTTCTATATCGAAACCGGATGCAGTCTACTCAAGACGTCGAAGCCTGGAAGTTCCCAGCTATCAAGACCATTGTGAGCGTTGCCACAACTCCAAAGGTTTGTAAACCTGCCGGCAACCTCCTTCTGTTGTCTGGCACACACCTACGCGTGTTATCTTCTCCCCTCTCCACGAACATGCAGCTGACCGTTAATCCAGACATTCAAAGCCACCCAGACGCAGGAGGAAAGTGTGTATCCTCAACCGCAGCCTTGCGTTGCCCCCTCCCACTTCCCGGACGCATGCAAATTCAACATCTGCATCGACCGATTGCCCGCTCCCCCGCCCCCTCGAACGTCGCTTTCGTTCTTTCAATGCTCATTAGTGGTCCTCTGTCTACACAGGAATCTACTATGGCGTATACTTCTATCCCTACACCAGACCAGGGGACGATCCCGTATTCGCGGTCGTCGGCGGCACAGAGGTATCCTTCCCCCCTCCATCTTTCTATTCATCACATTTTCTCTATTCAGGTACTCATTGAGCGGTCAAGTCCCGATGTTTCTGACATTTGCATTTCGCTGTCACGTAGGTGTTGATCATTCGCCCGAATGATATGAACGGCTTCGAGATAATAATGGCTTTTCAAGACGATGTGGTAGCTACACCTGGCCGAGTACTTGAATTCACAAACTAGAATCGCTTTACTAACCCCGGGTGATTTTGATATGTACCAGAGCAACCTACTACACCCCCACCCCCTGTCGGCTGAGGGCTCCCTGCTGAGCTAATGTTAGGGATTCGGCGGCGGCGGTGGACTCAGTGCTGGGTGCTGGACTGTAGACAAGCATACGGGTGCCCCATTATTGGCCGTTGGCGGCTCGGGATCCGTCGTCAAGATTCTCGATATTTGGCAGGGTGAATGTGTCCAGGTGAGTCCGCATTCGGGCTGTTTTTGGTGGAGTTTGGTGTGACAATAGATACTGATCTGGGTTTGAACAGACATTGACCGGACACGGTGAGGTTAGTTGGTGTACCAAAGTGGTGTATACGGCGAGATGCTGAATCTCGCTGCAGGAACTTATGGACCTCGTGACGTCCCCTATTGACCAAAGCATCATCGTTACCACCGGTGCTGACACGACCATCAGATTTTGGTCGTTGGATCCGGCGCATCAGAAGCAGCCATGCTCCATAATATGTGCCGGCGAAGACCATCGGGAAACGGTCCTCACGATAGTCAGTACCGAGTGTCCGTGGTGGGAGGCATGAGGTCAGAGGCACTCGACTGACTGCTGGGAAAAGGCGTTCCACCACACAGGTCGTTACCTTCTTTCCGGAGGCATGGATCACTCTGTAAATCTGGTAGGCCGCTCGAGATCTGCCACTACATGATATCGATCCAGCCTCCGCTAACCTTTCACCCAGTGGGTAATACCGGAGGATGCAGGTGAGATGGCCGGGACCGACAAGCCCAAGCGGATAATGTACCCGCACTTCTCGACTGCCATGATCCACACCAACTACGTCGACTGGTATGCACTTCCCCCTGCCACACATCCCGTTCCGTCAACAGGGTTGGAGCGATCACCCCACACTGCACACACGTCCCTCTAACCTCCGGTGGCTGCAGTGTCGCGTTCCACGGCGACTACATCCTCTCTCGCGCCGCTGACGAGAACATCATCGTCCTCTGGGCGATCCAAAACTTCAGTTCTAAGGACCCACCTCCCGGGCCCGAGCTCGCGCCCACCACGCACGAGTACCGCGACACGCGCTCCGCCTTCGGCGGCAGCTTCGAGCGGCTCCTGCAGTTCCAAGCTAACGACACGATCCCGTTCTACATGCACTTCAACCTGTTCGCCTCGCCCGGGCACCACCCGCTGCTCGCCATGGGCGCCACCACCGGCCGCGTCTACCTCTGGGACCTCTACATGATCGAGCAGTACGGCCGCGGCGCCGGCATCGGCGACGACGTTGCCTCCTCTGTCCCCCCCGCTCGTGAATCTAGCTGCAGCGTTACGCCGGGCGCGGGAACTCCTGCCCCTGGCAAGGTCCATGTCAAGAGAGACGATATCAGTGAGCTCTTTGGAAAGGTCCGCCCGCATGCTACCCTTGAGTTTAAGCAGGCAAAGGGCGGCGTTAGACACATTGCTTTCTCGAACGATGGGAGGTACATGGTGGCCGTGGGACATATGAGCCAGATCAATATTTGTAAGAGGTGGTAGCCTAGTAGGGTGTGGCTTAGGGTGGGGTCGGGAGGTACATTATGCAGTTTGATTCTTCTTGACAATACCAATACAAAAAGTCTCTACTATCTGGTGTAGGGGATAAGAGGTGCATACATTCTATATAGGCGTGTGTAGATGAGCCAACACGAGACCCCATAGTTATTAGGATGACAATGAAGCGCTAAAAACATAATCCTATCTATTTAGCAGAGCCCAATCAAGACAAAACTCGTAACCCCCCGCGAGCAGACAGGCGATACTCGAGTGATATATTGTGACTTCGATCAGATGGAGAAAGTTGTACGTATCGTCCGGCCTCCTCTGCCTCTTCTATCCCTAGAGGCTAGGTACACGGGCCGAATACAAGTGTAGGTGGGAACATCCGCCACAACCACCACGGCTGCCACCACCTACCCATCTTGTCCGTTTATGGAGGCGACTCCAGAGCTGAGAGATGTAGGTAGTAGGCATTGTGTGTGTGTTGCATACTAGGCGGGTAGGTTGGAAGCTGTTATCGACATCCCCCAACCCCCCATGTTGTACATTTATCGAGGCAACGCAGATGCAGGTAGTAAGCATTGTGTGTGTTATGTTGATGGGTAGTTACAGTGGATTGTAGGCGGTTCAGTTGTGTTCTGGTTCTGCGGGTTTTGCGGGTTCTGGGGATTGCGGATTCTGCGGTTTCCGGCCCGGCTGGCGGATTTTCGAGTTGGAAGTTGTTGCAGTGCCAGTGGTGCAGTTTTCTCATGATCTTGGAGCCGGGCACGAAGTTGAAACGTGAGCTGAGCCGTCGAGTTGTTTGACTTTTGAACTGGGCAGGTTCGCTGAGTCTTGGGTCTGAAGCTGAGTCAATTGCTGGTGTTGGCTCAGTGCAGGTGGTGAAGTTAGAGCAGTTTGCTCACGATCTTTGAGACTTTGGACCCCGTTGGAACTTGAGTGGTCAAGCTGTTTGACTCTGCTCTGGTAGGTTCGCAGACCTAGGATCTCGAGTCTTGAGTCTTGAGTCTTGAGTGACGAGTCTGGAATCTGGATGTGGTCAACTGCAGCTGGGTCATTTGGTGCAGTGCAGCGCCGTTTCGGCCTGAAGCTGATTGTCCCAGTTCCAAGTTCCAACAGTAGTCTGCTGGGATTCTGACCCTTTCGCGCATCGTGGGTCGGACCCGGTGGTATAGTGTCGATGGTATACTAGGTAGGCAGTGTAATCTTCGAAGTCCGCACCACTAAATACCCACCACCAAACCTAACGCTCCGGTAGTGCAGAGTGTCAAGATTAGACGTCCGGAAGGCTTTTGACTTTGCACTGGGCAGTGGGCAGGTTCGCTGATCTGGTGTCTCGAGTCTTAAGTCTTGAGTCTTGAGTGACGAGTCTGGATGTGGTTAACTGCAGCTGGCTCATTTGGTGCAGTGCAGCGCCGTTTCGGCCTGAAGCTGATTGTCCCAGTTCCAAGTTCCAACTGTAGTCTGCTGGGCCTCTGATCCTTTCGCGCATCGTGGGTCGGTGGTGTAGATTCGATGGTATACTATAGGTAGGCAGTGTAATCTTCGAGGTCCGCGGCGCTAGATACCCACCAAACCTAACGCTCCTGCAGTGCAGAGTGTCAAGATTAGACTTCCGGAAGGCTCTATGTAGAAGATCCACGATCCGGAAGGTTCCACCTGATGACGCGGACGCGGACCGTGCTCGTCTCACTCTTCAGAAGCCGAAGGATTTGAGTATCTCCTGCGTAAGAGTACTCTGCCTTGGACAAGACGAACGTGTATATAGAGGGCCGAGCTGGCCCGACGAGAAGTAGATAATCGGCCGAACATTGTCTGTCTATCTATCCATTCCTATCTCTATCCTCCATATTCTTGACACAGAGAACGACGCTTGGTCCCGACTCCCGCCCGGAGCACTGTAAAACTGTCTAGAGTGGACGTAAACCCCGTGGTGTGTGTGCATGCTGGTTGGTGGGATAAGGCAGTCACTGTCTTAAGGCGCAGATGGGTACTGGTTACGACCTAGGTCCCAGGTAGTGAAGCGGGATTGATTGTGGTTGAAGGTGATCGAGATGTATGATATATGCCGCCAAGGGTTGAGCTGGTGGCTGTATCTGTCGTTGTATCTGTGGTTATATTTGTAGTTGTACTTGTATCTGTGTTCGTAGTTGTAGTTGTATTTGTGGTTATATTTGTGTTCGTGGTTTTGGTTGTGTTGTGTTGTGTGAAGGAGGGAAAGAAGGGATCGGAGAAGGGGGGGTACATATACAATTGGGGCTGTGACATGGAATCTTCTGGAGTCGTCTATTAGACTTACTTGCTTGCTACATATGCTGAGAGACCCACGGGTAGGTGGTCCACGTCGTCTTCTAGGGCAAAGAGCTCACTGGAAGCCGCCGGTCTAACAGCGGCTTCCAGGCTGCGATGTGGTGGATAGGTCTCCGCCTGCCCTACGACTGCCCAGTTTGAGTGACATATTGTTGTCTCGGACCCACTTTGCAGATAATGAGTCACACAATCAATTAGTTGTTAATTAGCGAGTGACATCTCATGTTCCAACCTGTAATTTTGATGGTACAAGAGAAAAACCGCAAATCCCAGAAAGCGACAAACCAAGTACTCCATGCCCCAACAATGAGTGACGAACCAGTGACCTACTCGTCATCATCATCCACAGATACGACGGTCTCCCTCCTGCTCTTTTTCCTTCTCGCCCCGCCCCGCTCATTCTTGACTTTTGAACGCGTCGGCTGTTCGTCCTCCTCCTCCTCCTCTTCCTCTTCGTCGGCACCACGATTATCCCTCGCAATATCCCTCTCGCGCTTCCGCCTCTCCTCAGTCGCGCGATGCCTCGCCAGCTTCATCATGATGAACTTATTCGGCTCCAGGTCCCTGCGGGCAAAGTTCTGACTGCAGCCATTCGCGGGACAAGTCATATTCGCATGATTCCCTAGCAGCTGGATGATCGCATCTTTCTCGAACGTATGGCCACATTTCGGGGCGCGCACAGGATCCGTAAACTCCCGCTGCGTGAGCGGACACTTGTAGCTCTCGGTTTGCCGCGCGATCTGGAGATCGTCCTCGTCCTCGTCCTCGTCCTCGTCGTCCGCGGCGCCGACACGGAACCACTCTCTCGCCGACTGCGGGGGGATATCCGGGTTGCGGGCGTCCCAGTACGTCCGCCGGAACAGCTCGTAGTCCTTGTGGTTGGCGTACTTCTCGAACTCAGACAGGGCCTCCCAGCGCTCGCGGCGCGCCTTGACCCCGTCCGAGAACCGTCCCCACACGCCCTCCTCAACGCGCACAACCGTGAGCTCCCCCGCCGGCGGCGGCGTCACCTCTCGCGCCCGTATCTCCTCTTCCTCGACAATCTGCACGATCACGTCCTTGCAGTCCGTCACGCTGCGGCGGTAGTCGACGAGCCGCTTCGCACTGCTGTCGAGCCCCTCCAGGAGCTGCACCATCGAATCCTTCTCCTCGCCGACGGCGAAGAGGCTGCGCTGTCCGAGATCGCTGGCTGACGACGCGAGGAGCACTCGTGCCCGCCGGAGGAGCTCACTGTCTTTCTTCGTGTTCTCGAGGAAGTCTTGTGTCAGCTGTGGAATGGCGCGAGGGTGCAGCGGGAGGATTGGCGGTTCGTAGGCGGGGAGCCGCGATTGGCTTTGACTGGGCGGGGATTCGGAGCGTCTATAGGTATAACGCGACATGGTGATGGTGGGGGAGGCTGTTGTGGTGAAGGTGGTAGTAGTGGTAGTGGTGGTGGTGGTGGTGGTGGGATAGTTATGGTGGGGCGGCGCAGATATCACCGAGCGTAACGAGCACCAGTAACTTTATCACGATGCTCGCGGCCTCGCCCAAACCGCGTCTGCGGCTCCATCAAACCCAGCAGTATTCAACGCGTCGCGTCAGCCAGCCGGTAACCTCCGTCCTCCACCTTCCGCAACAATGAGCAGTACACCGACACGCACGCCAACATCCACCCCACCACGTGTGTCCCCTCCCCCGTCGCTCCCCCTCCCTACCCCCCTCCGACCACAAGCCGCGCTAACCCCCCAGACCGCCTGCAAACCATCTCCCTCACGCAAGCGCTCTCGCAGCAATCCTCGCAGCACACGCGGCTGTCCACGGGGTCTCACGCGGTCGACTCGCTTTTGCACGGGGGGCTTCCGCGCGCACAAGTGACAGAGATTTGCGGGCCGCCTGGGTCGGGGAAGACGCAATTCCTGCTATCACTGCTGACACAATTCCTGCCGTCAAGCGCGCAGACAGCACAGACAGCGGTATGGATATCGTGCACGACTTCGCCGGCGCAGCTGCCGGAGGGAGGGGGGCGGGTACGACACTTTGTGGCGCCGACGCTGGCGCACCTGCTCGCGCTGCTGCCGCGGGTGGCCGCCATGGACGGCGTGGGCTGTGTGCTCGTCGACGACGTGTCGGATCCGTTTACCACCGCGTTTCCGCCGGGCCTGGGCGGTGAGGCGAAGCGCCGCCCCGCGCTGCTGACCGCGGTCATGGCGGAGCTGGGGAGGATCGCCGCGACGAAACATGCGGTTGTCGCTGTCGCTGTGCAGATGGGCACGAGAGTTGTGAGGGGTGTGGGTGGTGTCCTGCAGAGCTCGCTGGGGGCTGCGCAGTGGACTGGTGGGCTTGCGGTGAGGATGGTGGTGCTTAGGACTGGGGATGGTGGGCGGGAGGTCAGGGTGCTGAAGATGGGGGGGAGGGAGGCGGGGGAGGAGGGGCTGGCCAGGGCGAGGGTGGAGGTGGGCGGGGATGGGTGGGCGGATGTGGAGGGCTGGCAGGAGGAGGAGGAGGACGGGATGGAGGCCCTTAGGGAGGCCGAGTCACAGCAGTCCCAGAGACCGAAGGTGTCGCTCCGGCTCACGCCGAAGAAGGCACCGCCGCTACCGCCGTCTACGTCCACAGGGAAACGGAAACGGTCGGAGACGGGCATTGCGGCAGGGGTGATACCTGATAGCGATGACGAGGGCGACGATACAGAGCTCGAGGAGGGCGTGGGGGAAGACGAGTTTGGCTGGGGCGACGATGGGATATTTGAGATTGGGGAGAAAGGGATTCAGGAGGCGGCGGAGTTAGAGCCTGCGGGAGAGGGCGAGGCGGCAGAGTCTGGCGGGTTCGAGACCGCTGCTGCTGATGATGGTGATGCTGATGAACATCCTGATGGAGTAGAGGATACTACTGGCTCTCCATCGCCAGTGGTCATACGGAACGACGATACTACGTGATACCACGGGTTGTATTTTGCATATTATTCTCCTGCCGACATCTTGAGCTGGTAGTAACTTTTAATCCATCGAGTTATCCACAACAGAGTAAAGAGCCGAGTGCTCTGATGTGTCCGGCTCGGAGGATGTGACACCCATGAGATTAGGCTATCACAAACTCTATTAACTTTACATACGAGCGTGTTCTGGACCGGCACGACTAGTCAGCCGCCAACGATAAGACGAACGGTGACATTCACGGACGATGCAGACATGGCGCTGAATAAGCTTCACCACGGTACCTACGCTCCTCCGGCGACATCTGGCACGCCGAGTCGCCGCTGCTCGAAGTGACCGTACATACTTCATACAAAGCAGCCGACTGGTATATATCTCCACATCCTCCGGAAATATGAAAACATCGCCTACCACACATATCTAGCGTCCCAGCGTACCTGTCTATCGCGCCAGCCCTGTTGCAAGGGTTCAAAAAAAAGTGCCAAACTAGTTCGTTAGTTACTGCAGGGCCCACTTCAATTCACCTCTCCGGCCTCCGGAGTTCCAACTTCTCATCCTTCAAAAACAAAACAGTACTCCGGGCTCTCCCTCCCCCACAGTCTCTATCGTCCCCACAGCGCCCACGGCCTCTATCGTCCCATCCCCAGCAACATGGACCTAGAAACCCTCCCCCTCCCGGGCCTATTCCTGACCGCGCTGATCGCCAGCGGGCTGCTGTACCTCTTCTCGTTCTCGTCCCCGCCCTCCTCCACCTCCACCACCACCACCACCACCGAGGCAACAATAAACAGCAGCACCACCTCCACCACCCCCACCACCACCGCCGCCTCCACCGACGAAACACCCCACGTCGCCGCGCTCTGGATCTACCCGATCAAGTCATGCCGCGGAATCTCCGTACACAGCGCGCAGGTCGTGGCGACGGGGCTGCAGCACGATCGGCAGTTTACTTTTGCCGTGCGCCCGGCGGGGGGTGAGGAGGGGGAGTGGACGTTCATCACGCAGCGGCAGTACCCGCTGCTGTCGCGGGTTTCGACGGGGATCGCGGGGGAGGAGCTGTGTGTCCGCTGGCCTGCTGGTCGGCGGTCGTGGTGGGGGTGGGGCGGGGATAGGACAGCTGGGTTCAGTGTAGGACTCGCCCCACCCGCACCCTCCGAGCAGACGCTGACGCTGCGAGTCCGCGTGTGGAAAGACACTGTATGCGCGTACCGCGCCCCGATGCCCACCTCGGCGCTGTCAGCACTACACTCCTTCCTCGACATTCCCCACGGACAGGAGCTGGCACTCTGTCGTGTCAGCGAAGTGCGCGAAGTATTCCGCTGCGCGCCCCGCAAGGAAACGCTGGGCTGGCAGGTTGTTACGGGGTTCGCTGATACGGTTCGTCCCCCGCCCTCTTCCCCCACCCCGCTCCCCCCTCCCCACTCAAGCTAACGGGAAATAAAAACAACAGTATCCAATCCACCTCCTCTCCCTCTCCTCGATCGCCTCCCTCGGCTCCCTTCCCGCCATCTCCTCCACGCTCGGCCCCCTCTCCCCGACCCGCTTCCGCGCGAACCTGCACATCGCCGGCGCCGCAGCATTCGACGAGGACGGCTGGAAGCGCTTCTCGCTGGGCGGATCCATGTATACCGCCGCCTGCCGCACTGTGCGCTGCCGCATGCCGAACGTGGATCCCGAGACGGGGGTCAAGCACCCGATTGAGCCGGATCGCACGATGAGGGAAACTAGGTGTGTGGATGAGGGCGCAAAGGGGAGCGCCTGTTTGGGGCTGCAGGTGCTGTGTGAACAGCGGGAGGGGGCGACGGTCAAAGTGGGGGATCGCCTGGTGGTCACGGAGAGGGGGGCGCATAGGTATATCAAGCAGTAACATGAGCGGGTGTCGGTGGGGAGTTTGGGCTGGCGTAGAGGTTACATAGAAGGTTGTTTTTGTTTGGCCGTGAGGGCCGACTGCAGCGTAGATATCATAGACATAGAATAGAATACCCAAGTAAATAGAAAGCAATATGTTTCACGACTCCTCACTCGTATTTAGTGGCCACCGTCATGACTCAACAACGTAATCCAACGTAAAACTGCAGCATTACACGGCTGAAGAGTATCATATGTAGAATAGAATACCTAGAATACCCCATAGGTATTGAGCAGTGTACTAAAGTCGAAAGCATTAAGTATGTAGGCCTTACATAATCCTAAGAAATAAAAACAACACCCGTATAAGCCAGCCAGCCATAAGCACGCCGAACTCAAAAGGCCTCCGTATTTAAGGGTTATTTCAAAATAAGGCTAGTTAATTGTCTCGTTTCCCTAAAATTCTCGTAACTCATGCATAGAGTAATGCCTATGCAGCGAAAACCACCACCACCACCACCACCACCACCACCACCACCACATAAACCGGCCTTCTCACTTTGTAAGCCTCATACATAGCTTTCGTCAGGCCTAGGTATATCGTCATTGTTTCAGTGCACTGCACTACACTGCCGTACAGTAATCACTGGGAAACTGGGAAACTGGCAGGTTGGGTGAAGCATTATGGGATGTATCAGCCCGGGACAGAAAACCCAGTATGATGTAAGCGTTCAATGAGCCTTATTCGAACTTTGGGTTCTACATATCAGTCTTATGAGTTAGCAGCTCACACCTATGCGAAAATCAGACTGCGTGACACGGAAATTCTTATATCGGCCTTGTGTTCATCTAGCACTGGCACTCCGAGCAGGAGATGTCGTGCCCAGCGCACGCCGCACTGCACTGGGTGCGGGATCGAGAGGAGCTCAAGGTAGCAGTCACTACAGAGGAGAGAGCTGGGATGGGGGGGTTGATTGTCTGTTCTGTTCTGTAGATGATGGTGAGAGAGACAGTGAGAGAGGCAGCTCCGACAGCTCATCCTCTTGCCCACAGGAGTCCATCGGCTTCAATAAAACCCGCCAGATATGTAATGTCCTAACGCGTTATTAGGCGCAGAAGGTTTTGAAGACAGATCTGATGAAGGTTGTTTTGCAGTTAAAAGTTAAAATCCCTAGAGCTCACTGCTCCTCCTCCTCCTCTCGCCGACATCTTTTCCTCATCTTTCTAACAGCTCCTCCTCTCGCCCACAGCTCCCCCATCACTTTCCCTTCTCGCTGACATGTCCTCCTAGGTCTTCCATCACTTCATCGCCCCGCTGACAGCTCCCCCATCACCAGGCCTGGGAACCGTCCATCCAGTCCCCGATAGGTCCTCCATAACTTCGTCGTCTCGCCGACAGCTCCTGCATTACTTCCTCCACTTCTTCCCTCGATGCCCGCAAGTTATCCACAACGAGGAGCAGTAGGGGGACACACTATGGCGAGCGGGAGTCGGTATGAGAATGGGAATGGTGGCGGGCTGACTGGGGAGCGGGGAAGGAGAGTGGTTTAGGTATATAAGGGTACATAATGGAACAAGTGATACCTAGTCATCATCAAGTGAAGAGCATCGATAGGTAAGTGATAAGTGATAAGAATTACAAGAGGTGAGGCTTGTCACAGACGAAGTCATTAAGGAATCCTTTTGAGCGTATATAGTATACCATACCAACCCTTATTTCCCAAAATTCCCTACAGAGCCCATATGGAACCCTTATGGAATCTCTCATTATGAGCTTCTAAGGCAGTCCGGCCAGTAGGCGTTTCAGAGGACTGATTTCCACTGCACTGCACTGCACTGCACTCAGTCTCAATCTTGAGCACGCCATATTCAACATATTCAACAACCAGAGCTAGAATTCGAAAACCCTGCCTATATAAGCCTTATTTTACAAGAGTATCATGTCCAAATCGCCCTCATACCTACATGACAGCTGGCTGCCATAATGCTTTTGACTTTAGTATAGTACATGGCTCAATATCGGGGGCCGGGGCCTGTGGAGAAATGTGCCTCACGCATGATTACTCACTTGTCCTCGTCCCTGAGGGGACGGCCATCACTCGTCCTTGGAGGCCACCCACCACGATTATCACGACGTAATCCATAGTAACCCAAAATTAACCCCCATTCGATTCAATTCAACCAAGAAGTATGCTCTACCTACTCAGTATCTACTCGTACCTACTGCCAACCCTCCCTCTTTTGTCCCGCTACCATCACTACTACCACCTAGCCGCCTTATATCACCGCACCGCACCGCAAAATTACAAAATTACAAAGCACAGTACAGAAACTAAACTCACCCGCAACTCACCCGCAACTCACCCGCAACCATGATATTAATATTCCAAGCAGCAGGAGTATTCCAAGCAGCAGTATTCCAAGCAGTATTCGAACATGGTATCCGAACATGGTAGTAGAATCAGTAGTATTCGCACAGGGTAGTAGTAGAACAGGGGAATCCAAAACCTCAAAAACCTCAAAACCATCCAAACCACAAAACAGTAGCCAAAATAAGGTAAGTAAGTGAGTAAGTAATATCAATTCAATGCAGCGGGAATGCAAAAAAAGGGCCGACAAAAAATGTGGGGGTAGTAGTAACCAACAGAGCGAACCAGCAGGACCAATAGCAAGAAGACAGAAAAGAAGAAGAAAGTCGAACATTACACCTGCGACGCCCACGCCCACGACACCAACCAGCCCACGACAGCAACCAACCGCTCATCCCCATCCACCCCATCCCCTCCCTTCCTTCCCTACCCCCCCCCCTCCCCCCCCTCCCCATCCCCTCCCCATCCCCTCCCATCCCATCCCATCCCATCCCATCCCATCCCATCCCATCCCATCCCAAAGATCTAGCCATAGCCACAGAGTAGATGACAAAACAACAAAACAAAATTAGCAAGTCTTGCATTTTCAGCAAGCCTGCCCAAAAGAAACAATCACAAAACAATCACAATCACAACAAACCAAGAAACAATCACAAAATACAAACCAAGAAACAAGCCAACAAAAAACCAAGCAACCCCCACATGTCCAATGGATCTCTCCCCGCACCGCACCGCATTTGTTGCCACATGTTACCTTACCCAATGAGAAAGTTCAAAAAGAAAAGAGAAAAGAAGAAAAAAATTAACACCCGGAAAATGAAAATCGGAAAAAAGGTCCAAGAAAGAAAAAAAAGGGCCCTCCTACTTACCGCCGTAAGTAGGGCCGCCAATCGCTGTACTGGTTTCGTTGTGTAGTTTTGGTTTTGTAATGTTCATTGTGCAGTTTTCGTTGTGATTTTGTGTAGTCTAGAGCGCCGCCGCAGTTTCTGGGACCGCTGGGGTGGTGGTGGTAGTAGTAGCTGGGGTCGCCGCCGCCGCCTCGGCAGCCTTAGATTTCTCCTCGACACCCTCGCCACGACATAGCGGGCACGAATTGCGTCCAGTGGTCAACCACTAGTCCACAGTTAGCACACACATCCCATATCATTCCCGGAAGGAGATCCCACCTCGTCGATGCACTCCTTGTGGAAGATGTGATTGCACTTCACAATCTGTCGACACTCGGCGCCCGTCTCGTAGTCCGACAAGCAGATGAGACACCGCTCGGCATTTCCAGGTCCGTACTGCGTCGCACTGCCCTCGCCAAACGTAAACACGCCTCCGGCCGAGTCGAGGTCCTCCTTGGCCGCTACAGGCAGCTTAGCCGGACCGAGCAGCGAAGAAAGTAACGTCATATCCTCGTAAGTAGGTTCCTGCTGTCCCTATTAGCCACCATCCAACTCTCTCCAAAAACAACTGCGGATACTTACATCTGTAAACAGACTCGGCGTGGTGAGGATCGGGTGGTTTTCGGGGTAGGATCCACCAAGAACATATATGATCCAGCTCCTGGTGCCCTCCGGAGCGGTGGGACGGTTCGGTGTGCCTGTAGTGTTGCTCCGTTCCCGAGTGGTTGTTCCGCTCTCGCTGGTTGCAGCCGGCGTTGCCTGTGGAGGTCTGTACGGATTAGCCAAGTCCAAGAAGCCGGACGGCGTGAGCCCCATACGACGGAGCGGGTCCCTCCTTGCACCAAAGCCCTCGCCTCGGTACGGAGGATTCACGACCCTCGAAGGAATCGCACCGTTCCGCCAGAATGCCGCGGGGGGAAAGAAATCTGAATCTGAATCTGAAACGTACTCTGTAGCCGCATCGTTGCTTGAAAGTGGCCTTGAAGGGGCGATGGGTGAACCCATAGACGCCGGACGAGGTCTTGTCCCGCTGCTGCCGCCAGCACCCGCACTTCCCAATCTCGACCTCCTATGAACGCTCGGAATGCTCAGGTTTGCTAGTGCGTCAAAGAACGGCGCAGGTCTCGGGCCATCGCCGTCCGTCGATTCCCGTGGCGACACGGATCTTATTCCGACGATGATCACAGGAACCATGCGGCTTCCCTGACCGCCCTCCTCCCCATCCTCGCCCCCTCCGCTGTTGCCCGGTGTGCTTCCGAAACGGAACATCCTGAAGAAGTTCAAGGACAGGACTCCGTTCTCAGCATTCGGATCAGCAGCATTTCCCCCACCCATCTCGTTGCCGCCATTCCTCAGTGCCGCCTCCAACCTTCCGTTCCGCAGGGCCCGCAAGAATGACTCGAAACTTCCATCCCCTCCATTGTCCCCACCCACATCTTGAGCCTGCGTGATCGCCTCCTCGGCATCCCCAACCAACGACGCCGCAGTAGCTGCAGCGGCCACCGACAACAACCTCGACAGCATCGCAGCCTGGTCCTCGCCCGGTCGGATACGGCCAGGATTTCCCAGTCCATCAAGGATGCCCTGAGGATCCCGTGGCCCAGATCCAAAAATCGACGTTCCGCCCTGTATACTTGGTTCCTCGGCAGCTGGCGGGAATATCGAATCCGTGTCCCGCGCCGGTGCCTCCGTCCCGGGCGATTCACGGTGAGTGCCATTCAGGGCGTCGAGAGCGCCAGCACGGGTTTCCGACGGCCGTCGGGAGCCCGGACGATTGAGCATCGAATTCAGCTCCGAAGACATAAGGTTGATTGAGTCTCGAACGCGCGACATGCGTGATCTCCGTGAAGGCGTAGCTGAAGCTCCCACGTCGGCGGCAGCAGAGGCCCTGGGCTGAGGAGTAACCGTCGAGACCGGTGAGATATCCATCATGTCGCCCAAAACGGGATCCGTAGCTCTCCTAGCGGACGACACAGTTGGACGTGGCAGAGGCGGTGTGCGGCGTCGTATTGCACCCGACGCTGTCGACCCCCCTCGTCTGGGTGGCGAAGGAGAACGCGACCGTGCACTGCCAGACAATCGATTACTCCGCGCCCGAAACCTCAGGCCCGGCACGCGACCTCGAATAGTTGATGGGTTTGACGACGACGACGGGCCCGATGACGATGACGACGATGGCGTTGCTGCTGCCGCTGTTGTTGCCGACGATGATGGCATGAGCCGATTCCCCAGACGCGTAAAGTGTTCTATGTGGTTCCGTATCCTCCTACTCCTCCTCAACCTCGCCGCAGCCGCCGCCCTCTCAGGGTCGACCCCAGCCACACCCTGCTGTAGCGTCCCATTTCCCGCCTCCCGTTCGTGATTCCTAGAACTGGTGTTGTTTGACTCATCGCGGGGTGTCGAGGCACCCTGACCCATTGGATCCGAGTTCAGCAGGTATGGTGGCAGATACGACGATGTGGTGGGAGGCGGACTCTGACTATCGTAGTGAAGACCGTGTTCGTAGCTTTCGTCCGGGTGCAGGTCGCCAAATGTGATGGATCTCTGGTCGATATCGATCGGTTCTCCCGAAGTAGCGTGCGTATTGTTTCTACGGTTCGGGTAGCTGGAACCTGGCTGCATGTCAACGTCAGCGAGGGCCAACCGCGATATTGGCGGGGACGCTCGGAAGACTCGGTCTTTCGACTGAGGATATGGGTATGTGATGTGAGGTGGGGTGGGGTGGGGGGTGGGGGGGCGTGGGGGGGAGGGGGGTATAGGGTAAAAGAGAAGGTGACGTGGAGGTTGAGGTTGAGGTTGAGGTGGAGGTTGGGGTATGGGGTATAGGGTGGTGGTGGAGGTGGGTTCGGTGGGTGGAGGAAGAGGGGTGTAGGTTGTGGTGGCAGCAGTGGTAGCGGTCGCGGGTTATGGTTCAAGACTGATTTCAAAGAGGGCAAGAGCCGGGGGGTAGGTGAAGTAGTGTCCAGTCAGATGTCGTTCAAGGGGGGCAAGGTATTCCGGACGAGATTAGGCAGCTTTTTCTATGGAGGAAATAGGAAGACGAAAGGGCAGGAGGGCGAATACAGAGATGGAGAGAAAGAAAGAAGGTTGTATTCACCAGTCTTGGGGAGTGTAAGTGGTTGATGCAGGGCCTGGGCGGCAACGTTGTTCACGGTCTACGGAAGGGTTGGGGGGGATAGCGGGTTGAGGGTTGGGGATAGCGGGTCGATGATGATGATAGCTGGTGGTTGTGGTGGTGGGAGCTGCTGCTGCTGGTGATGATGATGATGATAATGATAGCGGCGGATGGATGAGTGGAGTGGATAAGCCGCCTGTAGCCAGGAGGCAACGGGCTGAGGAGCTTGCTTGGAGGGCGCGCGGGCGTAAAGGTGGTTTGGGAAGGAGGAGGAGGAGGATGAGGAGGGAGGGAAGTGTGGCTTGCAGCACTCTCTACGTGTGTGTGAGTGTGGCGGGGTGGCAAGTGGGATGTGGCAATAGGGTTGTGAGTTGGTTGGGGAAAGCGGACGAGGAGTTTAACGGAGGTGGGATGGGAGAGAAAGAGAGGGTGGAGTGGAGGGTGGACGAGTTCGACGAGAGCTCTGAGTCCATCAGATCAGTTGGTTGTTGTCACTCTGCGGCACCGGCGGCGGCTGCAGTCAGTCAGTCGCTCGGAGCTGTGCTGCGCTGTATGATTTCGCGGTAGGCAAGTAAGGTAAGGACTTGCCTGGTAGTGTGCGAGTGCTGTGGCAGAGCAAAATTAAAGGGGTGCGCTCAACCTGAGGGGGAGGACCGTCTCCCGTTCTGCGGCCAATCACGGCCCCACCCCGGTGCTTAGTAAGGGGCCTCCTCAATCGTGAGGAAGACAGCTCACAGCGAGCACTATCAACCTTCATAGTACCCAGAGTACTCTGTAAACCCCCATCGTTCACACGGAGCGGTGCGTCTTCAACCCGGGTCCACCGACCACGCAAGACGAAGAAAACCATGAAGAAAAAAAGAAAGAAAAAACCCAAAGCCACCTATGTCGAGTACGTAGAGTACGTAGAGTAAAGTAAAGTAGCGAATGCCTGTGCCCAGTCTCCACCGCCTGCCCAGTACCCACAGTCCACTGCCCCTCGCTCCGCAAGCCCGCATGCAAACGAAAAAAAAGATCCATTAATATATGCCGTCACCTCGACTCAGTGCTCACTGCTCACTACTCACCCACTCGAACCGACCGATAAGGGCGCTGGGTGATCAATCTCGCGGTCCCGGGTCCGCAGCAGTATTCAATTTCGACATCGATCTCAGGATCCCGAACCCAGAGTACCCTACGTACTAGTAGTGTAGGTATATTGACGACCCCACTGCTATGTATAGTGGAGTATGGACGGACTGAAGGATCTGAAGGATCTGACCGCGAACCGGCGGGAACTGCACTGGAATTGAAACTGCACTGGATCAGAATTGGAATTGGAATTGAAATTACATTGGAATTGGAATTGGAATTATATTGGAATTGGCACTGGAATTGGAACCGACGGATGCATGGTGCACATGCCGCGCGCATAGCATAGCATAGCATAGCATAACATAAGGACTGCATTCCCCCTCCTTCCACTTCCCTTCCACATCATATCCACATCCTTTCCACATATACAGCTACACCCAACGATGGCACCAAGATTCTCAATCCTCAATCCAGCACTCGCATTCTCCATCCCCTGCCCCACGCTGCCACACTGCCAGAGGAAGGTGGGAATGCTGCATACTTCTGGAATGGAAATAGTATTTAACTAGCGAGATCGTGGAATGGCTCATGTAACCTAAGATGTGTGTAAGTTTCAAGTTTTGAATTCCGAATTCCGAATCCCGATGTCGATGTCAAATTTTCAATCGAGAGTTCGAGAGAGTTCGAGAGTTTGGGGGGGCGTCTATTCTGGTAAAGTAAGAATCGTGAGTGAGCTTGTCGCCGCCGGCTTGCTCGAGTCGTCCCTTCATATAAGAAGTAACATACCTACTTCCTGAGCCCTCGTCCGGAGTCTTCAGTCCGGACTTATTTGTTTCCCCCATTGCCCATAAAACATATTGCATGCGACCCGACCCGACCCATCTACCCCTCCATGGAGTAGAGCACCTACATATAGGACCGTAGAGTACCGGTAGTAGTACATATCTCGTGACAACAGTCTCCGGGAGTCCTGCCCGCCGTCTGCCACTCTGGAACTCTGAACAACCAGCCCAGCCGGAAGCGGCGACCCACTTCAGAGTTCCCCCCTCTCCCCCTCCCTCCGCCTGTGCACCCGCGCTTCACCGTTACCGTTACGCCGACCCCTCGCCTAAACTCTAGACGCAGACGCGAAGAGAATGACCATGCGAACGGGAAAGCTATGCGAAGTTCCACCACCACCACCACCACCACCACCACCACTACTGGGCGAGTGATTTTGGCGAGTGATTCTGCGTGCACAGAGTCATGTAACTACTACTATGTATTACCCCGCCAGCCCGCCTGGGGGTACGTCTGGACTCCTGGAGTAGGCATACATGATACGCTGTGACACGGAATGATCGATATATGTACGGTACCCCGCCTCAGTGCCTCAGTGCCTCAGTGCCTCACGGGTTGTCTACATAGGCAGGCATAGGCACTCACTCATACAATGGCAGAATTTGCCCCCGCTGTGACATGGAAGGAAGGATGGAAGGATGGAAGGAAGGAAGGAAGGATGGAAGGAAGGATGGAAGGAAGGATGGAAGAATGGATGGATATTCTACATACAGTATCTACCCCACCAATCCGTCAATCCGCCTCAGTGCCTCACGGGCTGTCTATGTTGTCTACTCTGCACAGGCACTCACTCATACGGCGACAGAATTTACCCCCGCTGTGACACGGAAGGAAGGAAGGAATGAAGGATGAATGGATATACAGACGGTACCCGGCCTCAGTGCCTCACAGGTTGTCTACTCTACATAGAGTCACTCATATCTACCACGGCACGGCGTAATTCACCCCCGTTGTAACACCCGCACCCGGGCTCACGGCGGCTGTGCTAAACCCGCTCACCCGCCGCCCGCCACCCCCCCCCTCTCCCCACGGCTCCACTTACTCCGAACTCGTGGTTACTTATGTATCAGCATCTAATCTCCAAGACACGATATCCCAACTCCCTATTCCATATGCATTCATTCGCTGATGATCCAGCTACCACCTACTTGGTAGTAACTCGAACGGTGGGTAAGTACAGACACATTCCCTCCTCTCTGCCAGTCCATCTCTTCCGGTCCACAATGCTTCCATTCCATGCTTTAACCCCATGCTTCAACCCCATGCACAATATCATGATCTCTTGAAGAGCCAGAGCCAGAGCCAGAGCCAGAACCAGAACCGGATGAATCAACGGGGAGAGAGGGTTCACAGAGCCGTATCCAGAAACGAAGAAGTATGTATGTAACATATGTTTGTTGTTTGTTGTCTACTCTCTCCTCTCTCTCCCCATGCCCTTCTCCCCATACCCTTCTTCACCCCCTTCATCCCCATACCCTTCTTCACCCCCTTCATCCCCATCTTCATCACCCCCCCCCCCCCCTCCATGCCCTCCTCGAAAAGCAAACAAAAAAAACAAAAAACAATAATTCCGTTTTCGCCATAACCCAGTGCAGTGCAGTGCCAAAAGCCAAACAAACCAACCCTAAGAGATCCCATAGAAGCGAAGATAAGTAGAAAGAAGAATCAGAAGAAACAAAAAACGACGAAAAGATGACAATGTTCAGATTCAACAACCCTCATAAGCGGGGCAAGGCAAAGCAAACAACATCAAGATGAACCAGAAACAATGTGTGCAGTTTGAAGAGGCCAAAAAATATTCACAGTGCGGGTGCGGGAGATAAACCGGTAATGGATCGACAATGACGATGCTGCGAGCGTGCGGTATAACCTGGAAGTGAAGTAACTTTTGGGATTCCCGTCTGTCTGCCTGTCTGTCGTTTTCTTTTCCTTTTAGTGATTGCTGGGTGCATGGCGTTGTAATAGTGGAAGTGGTGGTGGAAGTGGTGGAAGTGGTGGTGGTGGTAGTTATATCGGCCGGTGCGGGTGCGGGTACGGTATGACGTTCGCTCCGTTCCGGTGATGTACGGTACGGGTACAGAAAACCACAAAAAAACCGACACTTCAACACTCCCCCTTCAACACTCCCCACCCCACTCCCACTGCAACACCCCTTCCGCATGGATTTATAGCGACATGCGATCCAGCGACAAGCGATCATAAGATCTATGCCGTCTCCTGCGCACGTGTCAGTCACTCGGCCCAAGCCACCCAGAAACGGGAAACCTACACCGGCTGCAACCTATAAAACCTCTCCTGGCCATCCGAGTTCCTGCCACCGATCCACCACTTCTCGCCACTAGGCGGCTCCACAAACCCCTCGGTGGAGCTACTGGAGCTTCTCCGGCCGCGGGCAGAGGTGAACGTCGGCTGCTGCTGCTGCTGGGCATTCTGGCTGTTCCCCGAACTATTACCCGAGTTGTTCGTATTACCCGAGGGAGTGTTGATAGGCGAGCTCTGTGCGGCGGCGGCGCTGGCGGCGACGGCGACGACGGCTTGTGTTGTTGTTGTTGTTGCTGCTGTTGTTGCTGCTGTTGTGGTGGTGGTTGTGGTCTTTGCGGCCGCGCTGGCGGACTTCGATGGTGTGCTGTTCGTGTTCTGCTGTGTTGATGGCTGGCTCGCGTTCGCGCTGTGCGCGCGGAAGGCCAGCAGGAGGTTTGCGAGGAAGGGCCGGTTGGTTGGCATCGTGGGTGGGTGTGGGTATGGATGGGGTATGAGGATGAGGGGAGGGGGCGATGGCCGATGGAGGATGCGCTGTGGGCGTAAGCGGATGTGTGCGTAGCCGTACGGGCGAAGGGGGGTTGCTGGTGCTGGCTGTGGTGTGGTGGTGATGTGGGATGGGGATAGGAGCGGAGATGTAGGTGCACGGGAATTGGCTCTTCGTCACGGTGGCGTGGTGGTGGTGGTGGTGGTGGTGGTGGTCGCTGGCGATGAGGGGAGGTTCACCTGAAGGGCGGATGTGGATGGATGGAGTCGTAGCCGAAAGCTGGGGGGGACAGGCTTCCTTGTAGCTGGATCTGATTGACTGTGCTGCGTGCTTGCTTGGCCCGAGTTGGTCGTATGTACACGGCGGAGTTATAGTAGTGCGGCGTAGGTAGCGGTGTGTGTGGTGGAGGAGGGTGGTGGAGGCGGTGGTGGTGGTGGTGGTGGAGGTGGTGGTGGGTATGGTTTTTGCGGAGTAACTTCTTGGGTTACATAAAAAAAAAGCTGGGGACGGTGAGCGTGAACTTTGGAGCAGTACCTAGTAATAGGCTGGCTGTCTTGTCGGGCAATACCGTAACGGGGGGTGGGAGGTGTGGAGTCTCGGCCAGGTGTCGAGTCTGGGATACCTACTACTTTGTTTGGTGGAAAAGGCCGTAAGCCGCTGCAATTTCTTCCTTTTTGATTTGCGCGAGCTTCTGTTTCTCCTTCTTCCTTGCTGCTGGTCTCTGCAAGTTCGTGTCTTTCGTCTGGAGAGAAAAGTATTTATGGCCGCGCATGTCGATCGCGAGTAGAGTGCGGTATGGCGGTTTCTGGCTGACAGCTGTTGGAGGGCGAATGGCGCGGATCAAGGGAAAGCAAGCAAGCAAGCGGCAGGCAAGCTAACAGCATCATAGGGCCAGACAATAGCCAGAGACTCCGGGCTAGAGCACAAAGGTACTTCAAGTACCCAAGATATCTACAGCGAGACACAGTCCGACACAACTCACGTCGCAGCTCCTCCACCGAGCACGGGTGGATTGCCGCACTCCTATGTTTATGGCAATGTTTGACGAGCTTCAAGATCACTCTGAGGGGCTGGTGGCGGAGGAGGAGAAGTACGATGATGATGATTCTTCAGAGGCGGGGAAAGGCACTCTCCTGTTTCGCGAACACTGCAGGCGGCTTGATGGAGATGCTTCAAGCTGTCGAGCTTCCCCCCATTCAGTGCAAGCTTCAAGAAACACCGAGACGAATTTAAATAGCCGGGAGCGACGTCTTTTGCTGTTGCGTGCTTGGTGTGTGCGTGCAGGACAGGACAGCCCACTGAAACTACTGCCGCCGCCGCCTGCAACCCCCGCCGAGTAATTCAGCAGAAACTGCGGCCGCGTGATTGGCTGCGGTGGGGAAGTGGTGGTGGTGGGGATACATACAGCGATCTGCATCTCCCAGGTCAGAAGTGCACATGTAAGTAGGACGGAGAGCGAGAAGAGAGAGAAACGGGGACGGAGAGCGAGAAGAGAGAGAAACGGGGACGAAGAGAGAACGATATCCAATTAGGCCACGATGGTGATAGCGCGGCTTCGTCCGTGGTGTCGAAATCGAAGCGATTCGGAGACAAGTGCGGGAGGGAGGAGCCCTGGTCGGACGACGGTGTGTGTGTGGGAGAGCTGAGTAATTAATTGTGGCGCTTGAGCCTCAACCCACGCCACGCCTCCCGCGCCACGGCTCTCGGGCAACGGTGAAAGCCGGATCGTTGCTACTAGTAGCGCTGGTTCTGCTCCGATCGAATCGATTGACATCCCGCCGCTCCAACTCTCACTCAACCACAACCACCACAACCACTCCTCCACATCGACATCGACATCTGTTGACACTCCCATTCAACTACACACATCACACACAATGGTGAGGCCCCTCCTGCCGAGTGCACGCAGAGACCCAACCGCTAACGAACCCTTAGGCCGGCTACACTTCTCCCTACGGACCCAAGTAGGCGATCCCGCCCCCCTCCTCGGCCCTGCGGCGACAACATCGGCTACATACACGTATACTGACCGACTTGTAGGATGCGACCGCAGTTCAACGTGGCAGGCCTGCCGCTCAAGAACCTGATCCCGACGTAACCACCCCCGTCCCGACCCGACCCCGCACTCTCCCATCACGATGCTGACCAGCGGGTAGTGGCATGACCGCCGCGGTCTTTGGCGGCGCCGCGCTCGTGGCTGTGATCTTCCTCGGCGAGGGAATTCCCCGCATGCAGGATGATGTCCTCAAGGTTCGTTGTTGCGAACTCACGGTCTGCACCGATCACCACTGACACTACTACAGAGAATCCCGCTCGTCAACCAGTACTACCTCTCCAAGAAGCCCACCCCGGCCTCCGACAACGTATGCACCCACCCTACCTACCCTACCAGCCCGTGCTTGCAAGCCCCGAGACCCAGGATTCTTGCTGACAAGGTGATTACTATTACAGCCTTTCTAGATCATCAGCGATTGCGTTGGTTGGGTCGTCAATGTTCGTTCATTGTTCAATGCGAATCAGCGGGCACGGCACGGATACCCATGTGAATGGTTGGAGCAGCAGCAGGAGCGGGAGCAGGAGTTGCGGATTTGTTTGGTAGACCAGCAATGTATTGTACAAAAGATATCTGTGCGACGGATCTAGAATATAAATCTGGTGTTTATGGTTAGTCGAGCGGACGGAGGTTGTGTATATGGATGGCCACACGTGTCGGGTTACATAAGGGCCTTCTTCTTCATGCCACCGAGGTTTAGTTGCTCCTGTCCTGGCCGAGTACTCGGTGTCCTATACATATGCCTCCAAGATCTCGCTGTGCTATCGCCCGACTAACCCTCAATCTGCCCCACATTCGTATGACTCCTCGGCGGCTCGCCTAGGTAGAGTGTTACTCTACCTTACCTGACGAGCTGACGAAGGCCGGCCGTTCTTTGCATCCACAGCCTCAACCCCACCGAGCAGGTAGGGTACCTATCCCCTCGTATATAGGTGAGGTGAGGAGCGGGTACCCGGGCCGCAATGTTCTTGACATGCCATCCCCACAGCAGTCATCCTCGCCCGTTTAAAGATGAACATCTCATACATAGATCTGCTGGATCATCAGCTGTCACTCCAACCTCCAGCCTGCGGTCCGACCTGCCTGGCTGCCTGGCATGCAGAATGGGTGTTCAGCGATTCCTTACATATAAAAGGCTTCGCACTGCACTGTGGTGCGCCAATTGAGGCGCGTGGGCAGTTGCATATGCAATCGTCTTGCGGCGCCGGAGTCCGGAGCTGATCACGATCACGATCTCAAATTCACTACCCAACCCAACCCAATCCCCGAGCTGGCAGCTGCTGGTGGAATCCCCCATTCATTCCCGGTTACGATTCTGCTGGAGCTGGAGCTGGAGCTGGAGCTGGAGTATCCAGCACCATGCTACGGTAGATATGATAGATGCCTAAGCGAAGAAACTGGGGCCATCGTCAGCTCTCATCATACGTACCACCCAACATCCGTGAGTACAACAGTCGAGAGGATCGACTGTTCCCCCGGCCATAGTTATCCTTGCCCCTCAGCCCCCCATTGAAACCGCGCACTCTACTCTATCTACCTCTACATACTCCTTTACCCTACATACATACACGCAAAAAATAGAAATGGTGCGAGCAGCGGAATCATCCATGATCCGCCTGATCTGATCGTGACAAGACCTTCTTCTTCTTCTTCTTCTTCTTCTTCTTCTTCTTCTTCTTCCACGGACCAGTGTCCAGTGTCCACAGCTCATTGCCCGCCTGTCCGCCAAGCCTCGGCACGTAACCCAGAGAGCAATTCACAGTGTGAGTGCACACGCCCACATCCATCGTCAAACCCAAAACCAAAAACAAGGTTAGGTTAACTTCTCCGTGTCAGTGTCAGTGTGTCACAGCACCATACATAGAGCACCATAGTACCATAGAGTACCGTACAACAGGTCCACAGGTCCACCGGTACTCCAGACTCCAGAACTCTAGAGTAGAGTATTTTAACGACACGACACGACAGCTTGTAGATTCCTTCCCTCCCCCCTCGCCCGTCCCTTTCCCCCCTTCCCTTCCCCCACTCCCCGCACTCACACCCACACACACCCACACACACCAACACACACCCATCCAGCGAGCGCGGAGTTTCCTTCCTTCGGAGAAAATAATCCCACAAAGGCCACACAGCCAGCCATGCACCATGCTGCTGAGCATCCTCACCCGCTCCAAGTCTGCGTCACGTAGTGGCGATGCGGAACAGCAACAGCAACACGATGAACACGACTTACATGCGCACGAACACGCGCGCGACGATGCAGCAGACGAAGAAGCAGAAGCAGGAGAAGCAGAAGCAGAAGCAGGAGAAGCAGAGCCCGAGCCCGAGCCGCAGACCACGCACCTGAACCGCTCCCTCGAGACTTTGTGCGAGGTGTTCCCGGGCGGCGACATCGAGGACATACGGCGGCTGCTGGCGACAACGGAGGAGGAGAGCCGGCTGTATGTCGTCACGGAGATGCTGCTGAAGAAGCGCACGGTCAGCTCGGCGGCGGATACGGCGAGACGCGGGAATGGGAAGACACGGTTGCAGCCGTGGGAGAAGTTTAGGACTGAGGCGTATCGGGGCGCGGTTCAGAAAGCATTGTGAGATACTGGTCGCCCCTGGCTGGGTAGCGGAGGAGGAGGAGCGAGGGATGTAGTTACTGATGGTGCTCGTGCTCAGGAGTAAGGAGTTTCGCGGCCTCTCGAAATCTGCGATCCAGGCGGTCCTGGCGGAACATAACTTTCAGTATGGCCGGTCCCGCGAGACGCTTGCTACGATAGCAGCACGATCATGGCGCGTCTCGTTCTCGAACTTCTTCCGGCGGTCACCACGCAGCTCCGCGTCGCCGCTAGATCCGCACATCGCCTCGACGGGCAGCAAAGAGCTCGACGCCGAGATCTTCGAGCTGGGGCGGCCGGCGCGCGAAGCGCAAGTGCTATCGGACCGCAACGTCGCCGTCCGCATCAACGAGGAAGAGCACGCTGCCGCGCAGGCGCTGCTCGAGTGCGAGTGCTGTTTCGGCGACTATGCGTGGGAGGAAACCGTCGCGTGCATGGCCGGCCACTTCTTCTGCCACACGTGTCTGCGCCGCTCCGTGCAGGAGAGCGTCTTCGGCCAGGGAAAGAGCCTGGTCCCGGAGAAGAACTCGGTCCGGTGTCTGTCGTCCACCGCGCTGCCGCCGTGCGACGAGTTCGTGCCCGCAGATATCCTCCGCGCCGTCCTGCCAGAGGATGTCTACCACTCCCTCGAGGACCGCACCGCCTCCGCCTCCATCGAGAAATCCGGGCTGAAGCTCATCCGGTGCCCGTTCTGCGGATACGCAGAAGCCGACGAGCTGCCTCCGCACCGCGTCAAAGCCAGCGCGATCCTCCTCCTCTTCCTCGTCGCCTCACTAGTACTCACTCTACTCTCACGCCTCCCCGCAAGCCTCTCACTGCTCCTGCTGATCACGCTCACCTCGCCGCTGCACACCTTCCCCGCCGCAGTGCGCGCGCGCCTCGACGCGGCGCTGCGCGCGGTCGCCCTCCGCCGCCGCGGCACGCTGTTCAAATGCGCTAACTCCGCGCGGTGCGCCCGCGAGAGCTGCATCGTCTGCGCCAAGGAATGGCAGCCGTTCCACAAATGCTACGAGAAGGAGGAGGACGCCGCGCGCATATACGTCGAGCGCGCCATGGCGGACGCCGTAAAGCGCACTTGCCCCCTCTGCAACGTCTCCTTTGTCAAGTCCGACGGCTGCAATAAACTCGCCTGTCCCTGCGGATACGTTATGTGCTACATCTGCCGCGCCGACATCCGCACCGTCGGGTATAAGCACTTCTGCCAGCACTTCCGACAAGTCCCGGGCACCGCCTGCGGCGACTGCAACGACTGCGACCTATATGCCAATGAGGACGAGGCGCTCATTATTCATCGCGCTGCCAAGACCGCCGAGCTGGAGTATTTGGAGCTCACTGGGAGGAGCTGGAGTGGTACTGTCGCAGAGACGAGGGTGCTGGGCTGGGGTTATGGCAGTTGTGCGCGCTGCGTGGAGTGGTGGGAGTGGGTCGTTGAGGGGGTCGTGGAGGGGGGGGTTGAGTGGGTTTAGTGTGGGGATGGGGATGGGAAGGGGAGCGGGAAGGGAAGGGGTTGGGCGGGGCGGGGGGGGGGTGTATGGCGTTTTTGTGTTTGGTTTGGTTTTTGGGAAGGGGAGAGGGCGGAGGAGATGGGGAGATGGCAGAGGCATATTTTGTGGGTTTGCCTACTTGCTTAACATAGGATGGGTGAGGTGAGGTATGTCGATGGGGTTTGTGTGTTTGTTTTGATCATTGACCTACTACTCTAGTTAGTAGCTAAGTAGACTGTGGCAATATTACACTCCTATCCTGTCTACATACAGTCGATCCGTATGTACAGTCCGTATGTACAGTCCGTGTGTACACTCCGTATGTACAGTCCGTATGTACAGTCCGTATGTGCAGTCCGTATGTACAGTCCGTATGTGCAGTCCGTACCTTCCATCAGTAGATATAGTAGGCGGAGTGAATCTTCAATCAACAGATCCTCTCTTTCTTTCGCCTACCTACTCTACAGTACCAGAACCGGGTGATATTTGCGTGATCTGCTGGGTAGATTAAGTCGGCCGCCATAGCATAAAGACCCCACAGGACAGGATACTACCGCTCCTTCGAGTTGCTGACTTCGTCTATGTAGAGTAGAGTGGATAGCTAGTGGCCGACTTGGTGAGTAACCGCCATGGTGGTTGAGTGCACTACATATATTTCCCTTAGATATTGTTGGGGGCCATCCGTCGAGCACCATCGGCCATCGCATCTCACAGAACCCATTCATACGAACATAGGCAGAGCCAGTACAGTGCATTCCCAGCCCGTATGTAAAATGGAAGGTGTATATAATAGTAGTAGTAACAGACGCCACCATCACTGCTGCTGCTGCGTCGTGGTATTCACACGAGATCACTCGCTCCCAGATCCTAAATCCCATATGGCAGATGGCAGAAACATTACGACTTCACAGGCCATCACAAGATAGACGGCATTCACTCAAGCTCAAGGGTCAACGCAGTATAGTAGAAAGGCAGTTTATTAACGATAGAAACGAGCAAAGACAATTCCACTCCCTCCTCTGCCGCAGCAACTAAACTTTTCCCCTCTCCCCCCCTCCGTCTTTCCCATTGCTCCTCACCACGCACACTTCCACTTACAGCACTACTGCTTCTCCACATCCCCTCCCTCGGCACCGCCATCCCCACTAGCCAACGACGTCGAAAAGCTCGCATACCTCGAGAACGTTGCGCCGCCGAGCTCCCTCTCCGGATTATGCGCGTTCTCGCCATATCTCCTAAAGTAGACCCTCTTCCCAAACTTCCAGAGCTCAATACCGGCCACAAACAGGGCGCTACCAATGAACACGATCCCCCACTCCCAGGAGATAGGGCGGTGCTTGAACACGACAGTGTTGAGGCCGGGAATGTATATGATGGGGAACACGGTGACGAAGCCGGCGATGACGGACCAAAACAGGAACTTGTTGCGCCAGACGTTGCGGGCCCACAGGGTCCAGGGGTGCTTTGGCTTGCCCTCCATGCGGAAGAACGAGCGCCGCATGTGTACCATTTCCCACGCGAGGATCAGCGCGAACCAGGTTAGCGAGACGAAGGTGGTGGAGCGCGCCCGGAATACCAGCTCGCAGTCCGCGCTGTACCGGTCGTTGCAGTCGTTGCCGAGCTGGCCGTCGCCGAAGCCGAAGACGACGAGCGTGAAGGACGCAAGGCACAGCGCTGACATGTACAGCCCGTACACGGTCAGGTCGATCAGCACCTCGGGAGTGAAGATGCCGACTTTGACGTCGTGCGGCGGGCGCGTCATGATATCGTCGGAGGCGACCTCCATGCCGAGGCCCATTGCGGGGAAGCCGGAGGTGATGATGATGATCCAGAGGATCTCGATGGGGGCGAGCGGGAACACAGAGAGCCCCGTGTTGTCCTTGAAGGCGAGGCCGATGAGCAGCGTGCACGCCTGCGCGATGTTCTCGGCCAGCAGGTGCAGCACGAACTTCTTGATGTTGTCGAACGTGCGCCGGCCCTCCTCGATCGCGTTGAGGATACTGGCGAAGTTATCGTCGGTGAGAACGATGTCTGAGGCGGCCTTGGCGACGTCAGAGCCAGCCATGCCCATGCCGATGCCGACGTCAGAGCGCTTGAGCGCAGGGCTGTCGTTGACTCCGTCGCCGGTCATGGCTACGAACTTCTTGCGTCTATGCAGAGCCTCGACCATGCGGACCTTGGAGCTGGGCGCACACCGCGCAATAACCAGGGGAAGAACCGGCAGGTCGTCGATCTCGCGGTCGGTGAGCTTGTCGAACTGAGAGGCGGTCATGACCATGGAAGAGATGACATCCGGCGCGAACGAGTCGATGTTCTTCGGGATGATACCCACGTCGACCGCGATAGAGCGCGCCGTCTGAGGGTGATCTCCAGTCAACATGTGGACGTTGATACCGGCCTTGTGGCACTCCCTGACAGCACCGGCGGTCTCGGGACGAGGCGGATCGTAGAGTCCAACCAAGCCGTAGAGCGTCATTTCCCGTTCGACATCGGCACGGGGGTGCTGGCTCCATTCCTCAACGTGGTCGATCCACTCCCTCGAGGCGAACGCGAGCACACGAAGACCTTGAGAAGCCAGGGCCTCCATGTTCTTGAGCGTGGTGCGAGTCCATTCTTCGTCGAGCGGAACCCGCGAGTCCTTCAGTTGGATGTGGGTGCAAGCATCCAACACCCTCTCGACGGCACCCTTCATGAAAGCCCAGTCGCGGTAGCCCTTCTCGGCGTTGCCGTTGCGCTCACGGTAGACGACGGCCATGCGCTTGACATCGGAGTCGAAAGGATACTCGGCGATCTGGGACCAGTCGGGGTCCTCAGAGTGCGTGAACTTGCGGCGGTTCCAATCGAAGCGGCTGGTAAACACCTGAATGGCGATTTCCGTGGGGTCGCCTCGAGCATCCCATCCATCTCCGTCCTTCTGACGGGCGACAGTAGCGATGTTGCAGAAGGTTGCGATGTTCAGGTAGTGCTGGACGTAGCCGCTCTCGATAAAGTCGACAGCGTTCCTCCACGGCGACTCGGCCTCCTGTTGGGCTTTGGTCTTGGGGACCTTGGCCAGCTCGTGGGGCATCGACTTGTCGAGGCTGACCTGGGCGGCATGGGGGTCGAGCGGGGTGTTGGTCTCGCCAACCGCGAACGTGCCCTCGGCGGCAACCCAGGCCTTCCTGACGATCATCTTTCCCTGCGTCAAGGTACCGGTCTTGTCGGAGCAGATGTTGGTCACGGCACCGAGGGCTTCCAGAGAGTCCAGTTTTCTGACGATGACATTGCGGGACACCATGATTTTGGTGCCGACAGCCATGGTAATCGTCAAGACGACAACCAGACTGGCGGGAATCATGGATAGTCCGGTGCCGACGGCATACAGGATGACAGCCTGCTCGTTCTTGAACGAGTTGGCGGCCATGCAGATGATGGCGAAGACGACCGCAATGCCGAACAGGAAGATGGCCAACCAAGACAGCTTGCGCTGCAGAGGGGTTCCAACATTGACACCAAGGAACTTTCCGACCTGAGCCATGAACGTCAAGGCACCGGCTTCGAGGTAGTAGTGGAATTTGGCGTGGCCATCTTCGTTCCGGCGGACCTTTCGGACCTTGCTGTCACCACCGCGAAGAGACTGCGCGATCTTTCCAATCTCCGTGTTCATACCCGTCAGCACAGCGACACCCTTGGCGCGGCCCTTGGTGACGGAGCTGCTGGAGAACGCCATGTTGAGCTGGTCGCCGACACCGACATCCTGGTCGGGAGAGAATGTAGCGTCCGCCTTCTTCGCAACGGGGACCGATTCTCCGGTTAGGAGTGCCTCGTCGGCTTCGAAGTCTGAACGCGAGTATCGTCAGTCATGTACGTCATACCGCACTAACCGGATTGTGTGACTTACTCATCGCCTCAATCAATCGTAGATCCGCGGGGATGGTATCTCCAGTCTTGACTTCGACAATGTCGCCGGGAGCGATATCTGCCGAGCGGACCGTGACCGTGTGACCATTGCGGATAACCGTGGCGGTGGGGGTAGATAAGGAACGCAAGGAGTCCATGGTCTTCTCGGCACTGTACTCTTGAAAGAATCCGACGACGATATTGATAACGACGACCGCTGTGACAACACCAGCTTCGATCCACGACTTGATCGCAAACGATACCACCATTCCCATGATCAAGACCTACAACAACACAGGACGATAAGCACGCGTACTCTCATCGCAACCCCAATCACCGGAGTGAGGGAGCGCAGCTTACCAAGACCATGGCGTTGAAGATCTGCCCAGCCAGAATCCTGAGAGGGCTCACGCCTCCGCCGCCCGCCAATTCATTTGGGCCAGCAGTCTGGACGCGGGCCCTCGCCTCTTCTTCTGTCAATCCGTTATCGGGATCGACGTTCAGCCCCCGAAGGACCTCGGCTGCGGACAGGAGGTACGCAGGAGTTTGGAGCTGGGTGTCTGAGCCTGGGCCTGGGTGCACGGGTCCTTGACCACTTCGGGGGTGAATATCTTGGCCACCATCTTGCATACGCTGGGTCGGGTTGATGACTGGTTGAGAAATCGTGAAGGTGTTTTCTCAAAATCGCTGCGGTACTGTAGGCAGTGTCTGCGTACAGTCCCGTGGAATCGGGGCGGAGGGTGGTTCTGTTATGCGGAGGGGGATTGGGGTCGCCAAAAGAGGACGAGAGAGGTTGCCTGTTGGAGAGAATAAACGTTGGATGCTAAGAGAATCGGGCTCGGGTTATTGGGCGAGCATTGGAAATGATGTTGGTGTTGTGTATAAGATATAGGTTGATTGACACATGGGTGGGAAGGGCTCCTACTTTTATAAGCACAGGCACTAATATTGTCGTCAATCGCCAAGATCATGATCTGCGGGAAGGCCATGCATCACTACCACCACAACCAAAGCTGTCCCTTGAGTTCCCGTATCTTCCCCTACTTGCCTGCTGGAGATACCTTACTGATCCCAAGCTCTGCCCATCTTCTCTACTCTAGCTACATCCACCGCGTCCGCGAACTTCTACAAGCGGTCGTCGTCACACGAATTTCACCATTTTTTCGCATCGCGTCGTCTCGCTCTAACGGATTTTTTTTGTCTGCCTTGTTCGAATGCCAAGAGCCTTGGCTCGCCGGAATGTCGCCCCTCAAGGGCCAAGAGTAGTACAGCCCATGGCGGATCGGTGTCTTGGGATATCAAAGACAGCAGCTGTGGCCAGGGCTTGCGGGCTTCTCCGCTTGATGGATCCATTGATAGCCGCGTGAAGAAAACGCTAATCCCACGACCAGCCATTTGTATATGTGTGTTGTATATGGGGGATATCCGTGCCTCATGCTACATACGATGTGCGAAGTGCTTGCTCGTGTTCACTCATCAAGATCACGGCTCTGGAGCTGTTGCCTCTGGAGCTGTCATGTTCTTCTACCGCTGATCTTCAGTGGTATACCTAGACTTCTAGAGCGTGCAAAGCTACCTCCTTGGATAGGTACTATTCCAGAATCGAGATGGACTTTGCATCTCAGCTGGTGCAGGAGTTCATGGGTTGGACCCTGGACGGCGGGAAACACCTGCACGGAACACCACGAGGACCCGAAAGTAGGAGGAGGACACGTGGGCAGGTGGAAGCTCGCGGGAACCATGGAAGACAAACTCCGGTTGAGGCGGTGTTCTTTTGCTGCCGACCCGAGCTCTGCTCGAGATGAGCTGGAGCACGATGAGCAGAGGTTAGAGGTACCTACCTCTAGCTCAGCAAGCTCTTCCCGGAGTAGTCCCACGGGTATTCTGTTACTTAACTGTGCCTGCCGAATCATGGCTCAGATATGCAGCACGGGTTGCATAGAGAAAGTCCATCGACGCCCGGAATCACCCGTTGGAAGCTCGTCTGGCTGGATTCCGGCTGGCGTGACGGAGCCATTTGCGTTCCCCGCTATTTTTGCTGGGCTATCTCGACAAGTACCGTCGCATGTAGGTACTCGTACATACATATCTCCATACAGACCGACCGACACCGGGACACCCCACTCCAACCCCCGCGCTTGTGCTAAGACGCTAGTCGACAGCCTGAAAATTTCTACCTGAATATTTAGACGAGCCGGCGCACGATTATTGATTGTCGAATCGCACCGCGTCTTGAGAGCACATGTCTGATAGCTTGTTATTTCTCTGCTTCCAATTTTTCTTCTGCGGCGGGGCTAGTCCAAGAGGACTCTTGGGCCCCTACTTTTTCTGCAATTTCGACGTCAGATGTGACAGCCAAGGCGTTCGACGGCTTGGCCATGGAAGGCACTGCTGCCTTCCCCGCCTGTCCTAGATCACCAATTCGATCCTTCTTCTTCTCTTCAAACGGAACATCACCATCAGGTCTTCCGTTGACGCCTTTGGGTGCCGTCACCCTGCGAGACCCTGAGTCTCGGTATGTACGGTATCCTGCCTCGCCACTTCCTCACGTCGTCAGGGTGTCTCACTTGAGTCTTACGCCCATCTCACGCTCTCGCCGGTCATTCGTAACCGAACATGCCATGCCGCCTGCACTCCACGAACCCACTTTCAACATCATTCAGAGCGTTGGGTAGTACCGGGAGGGCACGATGGTTACCTCAGTGTCTCTCATTTCATTCTCCGCATTCTTCCATCTATATATCCACCAGTCATTTTTTGACCAAAAGTTTCACCGCGTTTGCATGCCGGATCATGGTCGTGTGCTTTCCTGCCCTCTGTGGCCGTAGCCAGTCGAACTGCACCTGCGGCTTCCCGCGGGCCGCAATATGTTGCCCACTGCCCACGTGTTTGCTCGGGCTATATGGACGAGTGATGTCCTGTGGCTTCTACGGATTCTCCCGTGCTTCCACCCCCACCCTAGGTACCGTACATATGCGTGAGAGAACGCTATCTACCTATCTACGGTATCGTCGCACTGCAACTTGTGTCGCCCGGTCAAACTGAGCTGAAGCTCGTGTTCGTCCCGTTTCCGCGGTTCCACTTGTTTGTTGTTGCCTAGAGTACGGCAGGTACATACATGCACATAGCGCGGTATCTTTGCATGTATCTATGCAGAGTACATACAACTAAAGTACGGTATGATACACAGGGCCCTCAAAGCTCAGCATCGCCCGTATGTATGTAAACCCAAACTCACGCAGCACCGCCGCAAACTGGCTGCAGTGCGTACATGACCTCATCTGCCTCTCCCTCCCCCCACAAAACAATTTAGGTGGCGGACATCATCGACGCCTGCGGTGAAATCCCACCTACGGGTGTTTACATACCCCCATCCTCCATTGCCATAGCGATGACGTAACCATGCGACAGATCTTCGCTCCGTCTCGGGTGCTGTTTGTCTCGACGACGACCCTACATGCTGCTGCGCCGGGTAAGCAAGCAGCCAACGGCGGGCTTCGCTCCGTCTCTGTTGGCTTCCATCCAGCTCCATCTAGCTCCAGCCATCCAGCTCTAGCGAGCTGCTTCGCTTTTTCGCCGGCCGCCGGCCCCCCCGGGCGGATGATTGATTGGCACAGCTAACGAAGGGTTATGTATGCATCTATGCATGCAGGAATCATGCAATCCTCCCTACATGTATGTAGACGGAGATGCTACCGCACTGCACTGCGGGCTGCCCGAATACTAGTAAAGGAAACAAACCAAACACTGGCCGATGCAGCCGCGGTCTTGGGCAGGCTTTGGCAGGAATGCCATGGCATGGCATGGCCGATGCCGACAGTCTCCAGGACTCAGGAGCCGCTTCGGGCTCGACTGTACACACCAATCTCCCTTAAGTTCCTGATGGTGCGATCGGGCGATCGGGCGTGCGATCGGGCGTGCTGCGCGATCATGGCCCCGAGCATGCACGACTCCTTCCTCAAACCCACCACAAAAACTTTCACCCTCCCTGTCATGGAGGTTCTCGTCGAAGGGGCACATGTGGGCCGAGAAGTCTAGGATCGGCACCGGCGTTTTTCATAATTTCACTGCCGCTACGATGCCGGCGCCGGCTGTGTACAGTATCCGTATGCCGAGTCCTAGGTTTGGCGAGGAAGAATGACGGGCATGCGATTGAACTTGTGGAAAATGTGGGCGTTGGTCTGAAGATTGTGGAGATTGCCAACGAGTGTTTTCTCAGGGTGAAGGAGAGGTTCTAGATGGATGGCCCATGGGGGTTTGCCGGCATACCTATGTTGTTTCCATTCGATGCTGCGGAGTGGTACGTATATTGATATTGCGATTGGATCTCTGGTATCGTGACTCGTGAGGCAGAACTTGGGAAAGTGGACTGAAGTTTGATAAGACGGAGTACCTACATAGGTAGGCATGGACGCCGGCGGACGTTGCAGTTAGTCGCTAATAATGGCCGCATGTACAGATTGTGCGTATCACTGAACAATGATGATCATGATCTGCCACTCAATTTGCACTCCACCTGTGATGTTCCCTTTCCCTTTCGTTTGTGGATGGATGGGATTCCAGCCAACCCATTCCCGCTCAGCTCACAGTCGGGGTTCGGTACTGGTAGATAACAAAAACCTTAAGTACGGCCTGCCTCTGCATATATTCTTCGTATTCGATTCAGCTCTGTTGCATAGATCGTTGTCCGAGTCCCCCTCGACATCCAGGGCATTCCTCGTCTCGAGAGTCGAGAACCCACCCCCGACGACCTTCGACCGGTGATATCTCAGCCCAGCCTGGCCATTGGGATGATTTCCCTGACAAACACCTCTATTCCTACTTACGTGTAACTACTCCAATCACAATGTTCGCCCTATATCTTTCACTTCCCCTCAGCTTTCTCCCCAGCCAATTGCTCCTCGTGCACCACCTCCATAGCTTCACATGCGCAGCACGGCAAAACCAAACACCCTTTGCCCAATCCCATCACTTCAAAGCACATCCCGTCAAATCCTACCTCACACTCGTTGAGGGTCTTAATCTTATTGACAAATAGCGGAGAGCATCGCTGCATCCCAAACAAACCCTCATCCGCTCATCCCCTCATCCGCTCATCCCCTCATCCTCTATGTAGTTCTCTCATACCCCCATACCCTCATCCGCTCATCCCCTCATCCTCTATGTAGTTCTCTCATACCCCCATACCCTCATCCTCACCATGATCCATCAGCCAAAAAAATACAGATCTACATAACTACAGGCTACACAGTTTCGTTTGTTTGTTTGATCATGGATGGCATGATCATGGCGATACATACCCCCCTCATCCCGTCTGCAGCATGGAAGGGCCTCCGTGCCGTGCCCCGCTCTGCCCCAGGCTACAAAGTTTCGTATCCCGAAAACGGTAGAAGGGTGAGTGATGGAGCGTGCGAACGGTACATAAACCCTCTACATAGGTATGTACCTCCGATCGCTCCAAAGTACTTTAGAGCCAGTGGTATTAAGCACATACATGCGGTCAACGGTGAAGGGACGGTGAGAGTCTGAGAGATAGGTATCGGTATGTTCCTATGCCCCAACTACGTCAATAGTCCCGGCTTCTGTGCATACTGCTCTTGAGCTCCTACATATGTAAAAGCTCCGTGTTGCGGGTACCGTCACTTACATACCGGATGACCGACGAAGGGATGGCCGAGACCACGTACGGGTAACTTGGATGCACGGAGTTTGGCCCCAAGCTACTAGAATACTCTAGTGTTCCTTCCTTTCTTCTCCAGCGGCAACCAATCCCGCGCATATGTAGAGTAGATAGCTCGAATCGACTCCCACCCGCGCACCCCTCGGCCAGCGCGCACCCCTCGGCCCGAATCCGACGCTACACTATGTCACCATCCATCCAAAGCTCCGGCCGTCCGTACGTAAACCAAAGCGGTCTGTGCACGGTTCATTCTCCAGATCACAGAGGAATCCGGGACATCCGGACGGCTCGGATAGCTGTCCTCTAACTATCCGGACCCAGAGTACCGATGTTCTCACTACTCTAAATACTATAGATACTCGTTACGTATACAAGCTCTTGGTGAAGCGTTAAATAAGCGCTCACGCGTGCGCGCGATGGTTAGTTAGCGGAAGTAGAGCATGTGGATGCGAATGACATCTGGGAATCGTCATGGATTGTCACTCGTCCCCTACACGCAGGGCCGCGTTGACTCTAGGCGAATCCGGGAGTCGGGCGTTGGATGGCAGGAATAGTGCGCTCGAGGGCTGGGACGTGTATGAGCGCACCTATGTACCACTCACAAGGGTAAAGAGACAGAGTAGCGGCGTATGAGGATTTTGATAATGAATGAAGCTCGTAAGGATGAATCGACCTGGCAAGAATGAGTGAGACTTCCGGGAACGACTAAAGCCTGAAAGTGTGAATAGAGCTGGGAGGTTCAGCGGGGTCCGGGAGAGAGAATGAGACTTTGGGAAAGAATGAGGCTCGGAAGAGTAAGTAGAGTTGGGAGGTTGCGTGGGGCTCGGGAGAGTGAATAGAGCTGAGAAGTGTGAATGAGACTTTTAATAGTGAATGGAACCTGAAAGAGTGAACGGATCTAGGAAGTTGAGTGAAGCCTACGAAGGTGCATGAGGCGAGGGTTGGTTGGTATAGCTTCAGAAGCGTCGTTACAGCCTGTGAAAGCGAATGTGAACTATCTAGGAGAGTAAATAAGAGTTGGTAAGTTGAGCGGGGATGGAAGAGTGAATGAGTCTTTTGATGACGAATGAAGCCGAAAAAAATAGTGAATAGAGCTGGGAGGTCGAGTGGAGCCTGGAAGTGTGAATAGAGCCGAGCAGAATGATTGAGACTTTTGGGAACGAATGACACTCATCTAGTCGCCGCAGTCAATCAGGCAGATGGCCAAGAAACCCACCCGGAAAGTTATCCTCCATGTAGTGAGTGATAAATTATGAACCGGCAACCACAGCCACACGGACTGCTTCTTTCTTCCTTTCTATGATACTCACAACCAGAACACCAAACAATCTCAGCCCTCCATCTGTAGCAGATTTGGACCACAACAACAACAACAACAATAACAACAACAACAACAACAACAACAACAACAACAACAACAACAACAACAACAACAACAACAATGGAACTGTATTCTCTTCCGATGAAGTGATCAATGGTCATAAAGGAAGATCGATGCGGATTGATATCGATTCATCTTCATCGTCCTTTTTTTCTTTTAGAAATTAGAACAAATGGTCATCCATTTAGGAGACTGTGGTGTTAGACGTCTAACGAGTTGGCATGACGGGCTTTGCTAATACATACATGTATACCTCCTATCTGCTTCCGTCGACCAAGAGAGCATCGAGAGCGTAGCTTCGTGGCGAGGCACTATCATCGTAGCACGACCGAGCTAGCCTTACGGACAAGAGGAAGTGTCAATCAAGTACCTAACTCGTATACTTGTGAATGTTTGATTGATATTTCTGGCAGGTCTGTAATCCCATCTGACCTCGACGTAACGGAGAAGCCGGTGCGTACGTTCAGCATCACGCCACTGTTGCTGTCGGTGATCCTACCATGTCCTCGGGCTCGGTCTCGGACGTGGGCTCGAACTCGATTTTGCAGGTGAGCAACAGCCGAGTGACCACCTAGGTAGATGCTCACGGACAGTTGGTTTGCATACCTATCTCGCAGCGCAACGGCCTCTCGTACGTTCGGATCGATGGAGATGAAGTGGGGAATCGGCAACACCAAAACTGATGGAGCCAGTGATAGGCTGTCTTCCTCTTCCTCCTTTCCCAAACAAAATTTTACATTTTTGGCTTTTAGCTGATGTTTCTATTGTGGCTGTACATGGTAAGACTCAGGGCTACGGACCTACGGTACAGTTTTCCTATCATAGGTTCGCAGCGAGACCAGCATGCTCCTCGAGTGCGAGCTAGTGATGAAGACGCACACCAACAGCAAGCATCACACATGCCCTCCCTCCTTCCGTCCCGATGCACTTATTCCCATCCCCTTGGCAACCGCACGTCCGGTGCCGTGGTTCGAGATGGGGTACATGCCTACGTCCCACATGACCTACGAATTCGGATTCGTCACGATCGGCCCATGCTGTTGGCATGGAGTGTCTCGGTCTCTGCAGTCGGATGGGAAGATATCTCCCCCGCTACACATGCACCACAGCGTCGGGATTTCAACGCTGTCCGTGGGATTCGCGATGACCGATGACCGATGTGACAGCAGTACGATATGTAGCTGCAGCATCCGTCGTCCCGATGCGGCCTGGGCTCTTCCACTCGAGCGATCGCACTCTGGCGGAGCCACGTGAGTACCGAAAATACCTATGGCGATGTGAAACGGTGCTTCGGCGGTGACGAGGTAGGTATTTCAGGGGCGTGCATGGGATGCGTCCATGCACATCTGATGGGCGTGGGATCATGGAACCGTCGGACTTACACGGTGAATCACACGAGAGCACTCGGGCTGTGCCTGGCGGCGGTGGGGACTGCCCTGCGTGATAACTGGGGTTTCCATCGTATATCTGAGCCGTATGGGCCGTCTCTCCTTGTAACTGTCTCTCTTCGTGAGGCTCTCGCAGCCGTAGGGAGGATCGCGGTGTGAGGTCGTGTGTGTTGTCCTCGGCGCTGAGCCACGATGTAGATCTCGGCTCAGCCCTGCATGGGTTTTAGCCACTGGCACCCGCAACCCGCATCTCGGCTGATGATCTCATGA